AAAGACTGCGATTGGGAGGATAAGGAGAAGATCAATGAACAGGAACTGGAAGTCTCCCAAGTTTGAACCCTTGGAGTAGAGGAAGCTGACCGAGGTGAACTGTATTGCTGAGTATAGGCTCATGTATTTGAAACAGCTGAAGCTTGTTACTAGAGCTGCACGGCCCTCCCTATCAAGCATTAACACAAATAACAGCAAATAAGCCATGAGTTATACAAACCTGATAACCTCTAGGACACACCGAATGTCAAAGACTTGTGATGTAAATGGCGCAGCTACCGAGGCCTCGGCCTCTGACAGTGAGATGCCCACATCAGCAGCCTTCAAGGCTCCGCAGTCATTCGCGCCATCACCACAAAAGCCACAAGAGTAGTCTATGCTCTGCAGCTTTTCTACCAACTCATGCTTTTCATCTGGCGACATTCTCGCAAAAACCTTGCCCTTCACGAGCATCTTGAAGATTGTTAGACTCGTCTTTCAACCGGTGCCAACGAACTTACCTTGGACAGCATGTCGGCTGGGGCATAATCAACTATCCATCGGAATACCTCGCCGCTTACGGCCAAGGAATAATTTTGCATGTTGGAGATATCGTAAGGCAGAGAGATGTCGCCTTCTGGTGGCGCTGGGAGCGGCTATTGGTGGATTACATTCAGTACAAAGGCAAACATATGATCCAATGAAAATGTGCCTAGGCTTACCACGAGGGTCGTCTTGTCAAGACAGTAGATGCTATTGTCAATACTCTCCCATTGCAGCTCTGCTGTGGGATCCTGAGAGTCACCTAAAAAGAATCAGTAAAAAAAAGGGAAAGACAATGGGGACCAAATACTCGGAAGCGCTAACCATGAAGGAATCGAGGCACAAAACAATGCGCATGACGATCGAGGAGACCACATTCTCGAGCAACACTGATAGCCGTTAGGATGTTGTCGCCTGTTACCATTACAGTAGCAATATTGGAGTCTTTGAGTTCTTTTAAAACACCCGCAGTGCTGGGCTTCAGCTTGTTCTCAAAGATGATAAAGCCAAGGAAATCCAGATCTCGCTCAACTTCAGTGCGAGTCATTTTTTGTGCCCTGACCCAGCTCAGTCGGTTGACGTGTCGCGTGGCGCAGCCGATAACGCGGTAGCCCTTATGAGTGTAATATGAAAGAAGTTCATCATAGTCCTTGGGAACTGATTATAGTCATTCATTAGTCGTTGCTTTTGGTGCGCGTAACAGAAACGGCTACTCACTGCTGCTCGGGCGACATATTTCACGCATTACTTCTGGTGCGCCCTTGACAAATATATCGCCATCCTTTCTCCCAAAGTGTCTAACGATAACACTGGATCTTCGAAGCTGCGACACAAATTCGAATGACTTGAGAACACCAAGTTGAATAGATTGCTGTATATTTCGTTAGCTGGTAGTGTCAAAAAGCTGTTCCTAGAACTTACATCAGGGGGAGAGGCAATTGAAGGCGAAAGACTCCCGTATTCATCTTCCTCGCCTTCCACAACATTGTGCTTTCCCTCTTCGAAAGACCACTCCGTAAACTCGAACATTTTGAGATCTAGCGGGTCACCAACAAGCTCGCCATCAACGGAGCGAAGTGAATGGCAGGTCGCCATAGTGTGGAGAGCAGCTTGTAAGATGCGCTGAAAAGAAACGCTTGCCTCCCTTTGTTCAAATAACCGGGGTTCCGAAATCACATCGCTGAATGTGTGAGTGTCGGTTGAAACAACTCGAACGCCAAGGACATCCAGGCCATCTTCTGTAAGTGTGCCCGTCTTGTCGAAGCACATGATATCGAGTTTTCCGCCGACATTTACTCTTTGCGGGCTGATGCAAAATATCTTGGTTTTTTTCAAGCGGGCGAGGGCAAAATTAGTGCCGATTGTAAGAGTTGCAGGGAGAGCCGGTGGCACGACAATGGTTATGAGATCGAGAGCACGAACAATAATCAAGTGCCACTCTAGCTGTAGTCGAATGAAGTTGATAAACGAGGCAACAAATCCAAGCAAAGCAACAACAGCCATGACGCTGATATATCTGAACGAGTCGCGGTAGAACTTGAACCCTGATGGCTTGGGAAATAGCATGGACCGCACAAGAGAGCCTTTGGTAGTATTGAATCCGATCCGGACAACGAGCGCCAGGGCAACGGCATCGCCACCTAAATCCTCTTGAGGGCGCCTCGCCCGAATTATCTTAGTTCCACAGAAGAGGAAATGGCGGGCAATTTCAGGAGAAACTGAAGATGCGGTAAGGTCTAGGTTTGCCAGCGTTGTGTCGGTTGCTGGAATCTTGGAAACCGGGACAGATTCCCCTATGCCGCATATCAGTGAGATGACAAGGAGAAGAAGTCGCCATCATGATCATACCTGTAAGCATACTCTCGTTTACAATGCAGTCTCCAGTAAGTAACAAACTATCACTGGGAAGCTGAGTCAAATTGGGGTCGCTTAGCTCATAAACGTCTCCAGGAATGAGTTCCCCAGACGATATATATGTCCCTTAAGATGTCAGTAATGGATCGTCTCTTGATGATACTCACATTACTTACAGAATCCATTCCGCAAAACTCGGACGTCGCATTCGAAACGAGAAATTTCACGCAGCCGTTTCATTGTCTTTGAAGGGTTAGACGCATATGCAAACATTGGCCAATCAAATAGATAGAACTTACTGCTCGAGTTTCGATGAGTGTTGTTGTTATGCTTCCAAATGATATGAGGAAAATGCAAATGGCATAATAGTAATAAGAATCAAGCGACCATAGAATAATGCTTGCGATTTGGAATATATAGAAGGGATGCAGCACCTAAGAATTTGTGAGCTGACAATGTTCATAAGACAAGTCAATGGAGCTTCATGTAGTTTTAGAAGTCCGAGCAGAATGTGGCATCGGAAGAATTTGGCAATTACCTCATCAACAAGCAACTGGCCCACGGATTTTTGTTGAATGTCAATTAGATTGCTTCCAAATATAATTTCGCGGATCGATTTCTCGTCACTATCCAAACCACTTCGTACAACTTGCATATCAGTCCAGCTCGGATCTTTCCAGCCACTCAGCAAAACGAATTTATCCTTGAGAGAATGGTAGCAAAACCGGACATAACGGTAGTTGAGAGATCGAAGATTGTCGACGACAGGATCGTTTTCGTCATCCAGACCATAAGATAGCGACTTTTCGGGAAGCCCAAAGACTGAGGACAGCGGCTGGCCATAGTTTTGGACCTGCACTTGTTGGATTTCCATCTCACCCCATTGATTCTCTATAACAACCCAGCTACAGTCTCTCAGGGGGCAGGCTTGTCCAAGAAGGGAGATGTACAGTCTGGGAAGCCACCTAAGCAGGAGAAAGGCTAGTCCTCCTGTTGAGATGCACAAGGCTATATAGGCTATATAGCCCGTTGTTCTTGTGCGAAATCCGGCGATAGCAATTGTTAAGTCTTCATTTTCGACGTAAACCTTCTGGCTTGTGCGATTAAATGGATGTGAGCTGGCAGTCGTGACGTTGCTATCCCTGCGAAGAAGATGGGCATGCACGGAAGTACGCGATTGGCTCGATGAGCATCGGTGAAGCATGTAGTCATGGTTATAAGCCAGGAAGTCATCATCCGCCGAGTGATCATCGTCATCGTCGTCTATAGCCGATACAGCGAATTCGGTGATATCTTCAAACTATACTTAGTAGAGTATACGCCATAACTGAAGTTGCAAGCTCGTACCTGCTTCATCGTTGGCTGCATCGTCTTCGTAATAAAGAAAGCTGGTTGTAGAATCGGCTCGAGTTCGTCGATGGGAAAAGGCCGAAACGCTGCTCGGAAGACTCTCCGCCATAGGACCAGAGTAAGGCTACATAGGTCAATCGTTAGCTACTTAGCACTGCAGTACAGGTTCTTTCAGCCCTCTACTCGCCTCATCGTGGGCCATCTCGACATCGTCGAAAATGCCAGAGCTACTTGTGCTGCCATCGCGGCGCAAATACGGAGGTCGAGGACGAGCAGGAACAGCAGCCGAATAGTCGGCCGAAGGTGCCGACGCAAAGTCACGGTGATCCATAGTATTTTTTTTATCCAAGGCTACGGTTCATGACGGGGATTCAGACGAAACCCCTGAGGAACAAAGTAAAATGGCGAGCTGGGTGACTTTATCTGGCATTCATACTGCAGAGGCGTACAGCATGCCCAGTTTGACGAAATATCGGCGGCAAAAAGGTCGAGTATCACCTACGGAAGGCAGCGCTCTTTGGCGCCGAGTGTATGGAGCGGGATTATGTCAATACGAAGAGGGAAGATGTTCAGGTTCACTCAAAGCATCGCGAGGTGAAGGAAAAAACGCGGGCCGCGATAAGAACTTAAGTGCGTCAGAGCGTGTGCTGCTTGGTGGTTAGCTAAGATGATAATGGCGATTAGACTACAAACGTAGATGCCGTCTTCTAGAATCAGGTTTAGCGTTTACTAATCGATCGATGGCTCTGCATCTGGCTTAGTGCAAGAAGTACTACGCAATTTGACAGAGGTAGTTGGCAGTATACCAATAAACTTAGTATACGTAAAAAGGGCAGCAAATAGCCAGTACCAACTCAAGTGTTTGACAAAACAATTGTCCAATATTAAAATAGTTTCTATAAAAAAATTCTCATTCTGTTTCAATATTCTCCCTACTTGGAAGGCCTTGGTAGCGTACTAGCACGGATCCGGAGCACAGTGGTGGCGGAATCAGCAACTTTTTCTCCTTATCTTATCTGCTGTCCATTAATGTACAGCGCTGTCTATTGCCTAAAGTACCTGTACTCAGTTCCAGGCTCTAAATTGTTGAGGGTTTCGCGCCCGTTGACGCGCCTCAGGCCTGCTCCGCTAGCCAAATTTTCTTGAACCTGAGGCCCCACCACTCTTAGCCACCGCCAACGCCTCCTCTCCAAATCTTTCCGTTTTCACATTCTCCCAATCCCCAACGGCCTCATTTTGTATTTGCATGCTTTTTTGCTCACCCGACAAGCATCATGGCTGAGCCTATTCGAAACAAGCGTTCTGAGTATACTGCGCCGTGAGTAACGACAAGTCTTCACAATTCTCTATTGATTGCATATAGCGATACTGACTACCCCGCCTTCAGTACACCGCAGAATACGCCAGCTGCTACCGCGCCCATCACCTCCCGCGCCCAGCAGCCCGGCGTGGCCAGCATCAAAGAAGGCAAGTCCAATCCGGATAATGGATGCAAATTATGCGTGTCTAACTGTGTCTCCGTCTTTTAGATGATATGGAACGAGCAGCTGCCGCCTCTCTGCTGGCGCAAAACCCCAAACTCGTGCAGATGATTCAAGGGCGACTCGGCTCTCTCATTGGACAGTCATCTGGATACATAGAGTCTCTTCCCGCCCCTGTCCGTCGTCGGGTTTCAGGACTGCGAGCCATTCAGAAGGACCATGCCAAACTGGAGTCTGAATTCCAAGAGGAAGTTCTTCAGCTCGAGAAGAAGTACTTTGCCAAGTTTACTCCTCTGTACGAGAAGCGATCTGAAATCATCAACGGCAAGGTTGAGCCCACCGACGAGGAAGTCAAGAGGGGAGATGAGGACCAGGAGGAGGAAGCAGAGGCTGCCGAGCCCGCTGAAGAGGCCGCACAGCCCGATGACTTGGCTGAGGCCGTCAAGGGAATTCCTGAGTTCTGGCTGTCTGCCATGAAGAACCAAGTTACCCTTGCGGAAATGATTACCGACCGGGACGAAGCTGCTTTGAAGCATCTTACCGATATCCGCATGGAGTACCTTGACAAGCCGGGCTTCCGCCTCATTTTCGAGTTTGCTGAGAATGAGTTCTTCTCCGACAAGATCATCACCAAGACGTACTTTTACCAGAACGAGAGCGGCTACGGTGGCGACTTCATCTACGACCATGCCGAGGGGCACAAGATCGATTGGTACCCTGGCAAGGACCTGACAGTCCGTGTTGAGGCTAAGAAGCAGAGAAATAAGAGTGAGTTGCCTTTTCCTGAGCGAAATTCTCGACTGCAAACTGACTTGATGTAGACACCAAGCAGACCCGTATTGTTAAGAAGTCGGTGCCGACGGAATCCTTTTTCAACTTCTTCTCCCCTCCCAAGCCTCCTACCGACGATGCTGATCCCGAAGACGATGTTACATCAGACATCGAGGAGCGTCTGGAGCTGGACTACCAGCTTGGCGAGGATATCAAGGAGAAATTGATCCCACGTGCTGTTGATTGGTTCACCGGCGAGGCTCTCGCCTACGAAGAATTTGAAGAGGATGATTTAGAAGCCGGCGACTACGACGACGAAGATGATGATGAGGACGACATGAGCGAAGATCACGATGATGATGAGGAGTCTGATGAGGATGTAAGTTCCGCTTATTCCATTCAATGTCTGTTGCGAGGCTAACAAATAATGACAAAAGGACGAGTCTGGAAAGCCCAAGCAAGAGGCCGCCGAGTGCAAGCAGAGCTAAAGAGCAGCATCTACCCCGAATTTAGAAGTTGGAAGCTTTCTACACACTAGAGGAAAATGCGCGGGATGGATGATGCGAAGTGGATAAGGATGAGAGGACTGGCGTAACTGAAATTAATGACATCGCTATATGTTTTGTTTCATTGGTGATCGTCTCCAAAAGAATGTTCTTTTTTCTTACTGTTTGTGTTTCACGTACTCAGAGATCTCATCTCATAATAATAACCAGGTATTAGGGGCAACATGTATTTTGCTAATAGTTTTTAATGCGGAACGAATTGTGCTTTCAAAAACAATAATCAGTCCCTGTTGGAAGACATAAACAAAGGAGATTCCATGTTCAGTGCGATGCAGTTTGGGGTTCTATGTGACTAGCTAACTAGCTAACGTGATATCTTGATTTTTCTACATAGCTCCCACCCTTTATATCTCAACTCACGCCCGTCTTTCTGCTTTATCTATTTTTTTCGCTGAGGAAGTGCCTTCTGTGACGAAGTCTCTTTCGGCAGCTCTTTTGAGAAGGGGATAAACTCTGGGGCTCCAGGCAGATACTTTCGGAGGACTTCCGGCACACGCAGACCCTAAAACATGTTAAAATTACTATCGACTGGTATACGATCATCTCATGTAAAGACTTACATCTTCTGTTTGGTAGTTTTCAAGAACGCAGCATAGAGTTCGCGTCGTTGCGCACAATGTAGAATTGAGGCAGTGGACGTACTTCTTCTTGATATCCGTCTGTGTCTTTGTGCCACAGCGGATCTCAAGGGCGCGAGACTGGTAGTCCGTGCAGTTGGAGCATGACACGAGTTCCTTGTATTCTCCCTGGAAGGGGAACCAGGCCTCCAGATCCAGTTTCTTGGAAGCGGCATCATTGAGGGCGCCGGAAACGATGGCGACCACCTGGTATGGCAGTCCCAGAGACTTGTAGAATTCTTCCGACACAGCAATCATGTCGTCAAATGCTTCCCAAGATTTCTCTGGGTCGGTAAGCAGGAATTGCTCAATCTAGAATAAGTTAGCTACGTCACAAGTGGATAGAGCGGGTGCGTTCACCTTTTCAAACTGATGAACACGGTAGATACCCCAGGCATCTCGACCATGGGATCCGGCTTCTCGTCGGTAGCACGTGCTGTAACCAGCATATCTAAAATTGATGGTCAGCAAATCGCCATCCATCTAAGTTCTGTCTGTGGCATGTCGCACTTGATAGGAAGCTCCTTGGGCTGCAGCCACTCGTCGGCGTGGAAAGCGGAAATGGGTTGCTCAGAGGTGGCAATGAGGTACTTGTCATTCTTTGAGTCTCCATCCACAACCTTATACAGCTGCTCGTCGAAATCATCCAGCTGGGCGGTCTTGGCCATGTAATCCTTGAGCATGAATTGGGGGGCCTGGAGAGGGCAGTATCCACGCTGAGTGAGGAACTCAAGACCGTAGTTCACCAAGGCCTGGTTGAGAAACACGCCCCATTGGCGCAGGAAATATCCACGGTGACCAACGACCTTGACACCTCGGTCAGCATCATATCCATCGAGTCGGAGAAGGACCTCGTGATGCGACAGGACCGGCCGCTTCTCGACGGTAACACCCTCGGGGGCCCATGTTCGCTGAACTGCATTGTCATCCTAACATTGATGGGTCAGAAGAATGTCAAGCGAAAGAGGATGTCTAGGGAAATCGCACCTCGTTCTTGCTCACGGGCACAGAGCTATGGACAAGGTTTCCGATGGACTTGACCTTGGCCTTTAGAAGCACGTCTTTCTCAGCCGCTGACTCGCTAAGAGCCTTTTCTTCTTTCTGGAGCGCAATCTTTTCTTGGAGAAGGTCATCCGCATTCTCCTTGGCCTTTTGCAGCAACTGTTAGCGCAAAAACACCGCCAGAGCCAGGCATATAGATGTAGTCTACCTTCTTCTTGGTCGCGATCTGCTTCTGGACGTCGTTTATTTTGCCCTTGATTTGGCTGGCGCCGTACTGAGCTATAGCAAATAGTATTAGCAAAAATGAACCGGCTACGAAAGTTGAGATCGGGATTTAAAAGTACTTTTGCGGTGGTCCTCGAACAGGGCAATCACCTCGTCGACAATCTCGACATTGGCAAAACGGCGACGTTGCGATTCGCGAATGAGTTCGGGATTGCCCCCGCGCTCGGTGATGAAGTCGTTTACGTCGAGCATGGTGAAGGCCCTTTGCAGCAGTTGTATTTGCAGGCTATTCTTGTCTGGTGTTGAGAGGCAGCAAATCGGAAGATGCAACTTCTGGGGTCAGGAAAAAAAAAAAGTCTAAAGTCGAGGACCAAAGCGAAGCTCTCTCTATCTGTCGAGTCACAAAACAAAAATGGAGGGGTGCGCAAGGTGGGGTCTGGCGCTTTTGCAAGACCCTGGCCTTAGTGCTGGGCGGCAATGGCGTACATGCATAAGAGGCGGACAAATAGGCCAAACAGCAGATGGATATTAAAAGTCAGCGCCCTGTTCGCAATCAAGTACCTGGAATTGTGTCTGATACTTGTGATTTTAACATGGATATTTAAATGTATGGCTAACGCACATGGCCCTCTGTATATATTTGTTTTTCACAACCAAAGAGTACTATAGGTAATTAATGTGTCGGTTTGCGTGGACTTGTTACTGGTAGGTATCTGGTATCCTTTATCTACCTACGTTATTGATAGTACTGAAATTGATATGGAGCCCGATTTGAGTGTCAAAGTCCTTATGCATGATAGCGCCCAAATTCGCATTTATCGCTATATATCTTTATGTGTATTGACTCGTAGTTTATCAACTCAGAAGAATGGTCATTTTTCTCTTAAATCCAAATTCACCAAGACATGCTTTTGCTATTTGGCTTCCGTCTCAGTAATCATTTGCTGGCGCTCTAAATCTTGAGTTCCTTCCTGATTTAGGGTATGCGCCCGTGGCTGATTTCACCTGCCATGTCACATTGCATTCACCTCCTATTGGAATCAGGCAGGCTATTTTTTTTTTCTAGCTAGATGAATCACATCAGCTTCACTTGTATCTACACTTTATAGGTATAACAATGTTATATGTAGATACGTCCTTCCGCTCCATAACAGTAAGTCCTCCATCTTGGACTTCTTCCAGTATTTGCTCTAGTCGCTGTTTGCGGATCTGCGCCCCATGCGCTCTGCGGCCTCTAGCAGCTGCCCCTCGTTGGCAAGGGTGTTCCAGAACTGTCATATACCGCACCTGATTGGCCGCCTTTTTTAAGCATCTGCATCAAGACCGCCATCTCGCATCGCGATTCCCTCAATCAGCTCACTGCTGTCGCAACATGTGAGAAGTGCGACGCCTCCACCCGATTTATTCTACAACTCTCGAGGGCCTCAAACTCACCATCTAGCATGGAGCCCCAACGAAATGCCGCCGAGACGCAGCGAAAAAAGGTCTCTACATACGGAAAACTCGCTTCTCGCAAACGCCACACCAGCCCAAGCCCAACCTCATCGCTTCTACAGGTTTCGTCGACAGAAAAAAGCTCTCCAGCAGCCTCAACGACTCATCGGCCCAAGCAATCCCAGACTTCTCTTCTGCAGACCGGCGACTCTTCGCGACCGCAGAAAACGCTTAGCAGTGCCAGGCATGTGGCCCTCGATGCAGCTCGTAAACAACAGGCGCGCGAGACAGACACAACACGAAAACGAAGCCACAGGTCTGCATTTGGTACAGGGCATCCTGCGGCGGCGGTAGATATCGCAGCTGCGCACCGGATCTCCAGGCCAGCTTCAGCGCAAGAGCACGTACGACACTCAGGCGGAACAAATATCAAACATTCAAAAGCGAGTGCTGTTAAGAAAGGAGCGGTATATTCCAAGTCCACAGACTCGCTACCGGTGACGCCAAAAAAATCAAGTGCTGTTGAATCGGCTGCTATCGGGCTTGGGAGAGGTGCAGAAGCAAAAATACTATCTACAAGCAAATCTCCAGAAACGCCACCAACGCGTCGACGCCGTTTAATCGATGCGCTTGTAGCAGATAAGCCTAATGATCCCAGCGCCAGTCCAAGCCAGAGTGTCCCGGTGTTTGAGCACATCAATAGGACAGAGCAGAGAAGCGCTCCAGATGGGCGTCCTAGCATTCGCACGGATGCGCCGCTGCGCAGGACCACCTCCGATACCAATACACTGGAAAAGAGGAAGATCAAATTCACTTATAGCCAATCCCGAAGCTTTCTTCAAAACTCGCAGGAGTCGAATGCAACAGAGCCCACCGACTTCCCATCTATTGACGATATTGACGAACCTTTGAAGCCGCCATCTCCGACCATTGAAGAAGACGACGACGACGACGACTTGAAGACCAAGGTCGCCATCAGGAGCGTTCATGAGCTGCGACGAGCCGGCGCCAATAACCGATCCTCGGATGAAGTGGACGATCTGCTGTCTAGAATTGGGGCGCCGGGATCTTTGGCTTCAACCATGCGGAGAAATGCCTTGTGCGAACTGGCTGACAAGCTACAAAAGAAGGAGTTTATGAATCAATTCCGTGACCATGCATCGCGAGATAACATAGCCAAGGAAATCAGCTCAGAGAAAGACACAATCAGCGGGTTTCTTCTCGCTGCTGCCTTTGTTATCTTCCTATCGTCAGGCCCTGCGCCGCATATGCTTCACCAGCTAACGGAAAACAAGGTTGGCGTGTGGTTGAGCAATCTTCTCACTATAGGAGAGGATATTTCCGCTATTGCTTTACAGAAATCCTCCAATATGCCAAAAACAACCAGGAACTCACTAGCCAATGTGAAGAAGGCGCTGCTGGGAATGCCAGTATGGCATGGCTACCAATCTCTACAACTCTCTCCTCGAACCATTGCTTTACAACTGCTGTCCATGCTCATTGGCCTGCTAGACTCACAGGAGGTCCAAGCTATGTTGGATGATACTGCTACCAGCATTTCGCGACTGAGATCTCACTTTGCGTCTGTCAACTCTTGCGATAACGTCGATTATGCGCTCACCATCTGCATTCTCGAGGCACAATCCAGCTCCACAACCTCCACAACCTCCACAAACGAAACTTTTACAGAAATTCAGCAAGAAATGTCTGAGATCGCTACATTCCTTCGAAGCATGCTGCAAGGCTGGCCAAAAACACACAACGGCATAGACGCTACCTTGTTAAAGCTTGCCATCAATACAACCAATAATGAGACAAGGGCAGCTGCAATTCAAGACCGCCAGTTGCTATCAAGCCTGACCCGCTGTGTAATCTCAGGGTTCTCGACTGTCGAGAGTGCTATTCAAAAATCAACTTTCGAAAGTAACATATATGACGAGCTTCTACTCATACTTGGGATCATGATCAATGTTTTGGAACACTCCTCGGATGCGCGTGCATCTATTCATGTGGATGAAATTAATCAGCTGGCTTCGACTTGGTCTGAACTCGAACGTGTAATGGAAAAGGTATGCTAATTAAGAATACCGCCCCAAAACACAAAGTATCTTGTACATTTGTTAACTCATGAATCATAGGACGATTCCGTCGAGACGTCAAAACTCGGTATAGCATACAGCTATCTCGCTATAGTACTGGGCTTTTCATACCTAGGTCACCCAGAGCTATCCGTCACAAACGGCTTGCTTCCAGCCATTCAGCACTTCATAACGATATATAAGACTGTCAATCACAAAACAGTAGAGCTGGAAAGCCTTGTACAGAGCCTCTCTAGGAGGTCTTATTAGGAGGGTTTTCTGTAACGTCATGTATATACCTGTCTATAAGCTACGACAACTTGTAGAAATTGAATAATGATACCAATACTTTCATGTTACCTACTGAAGTGTGTAACTTACAGCAGCATTCAAGCCCCTTCAAAATCAGTAAAATGAACAAGGTAGGTATGTATCGAAATCTGGTAAATGCTTCTATTCTAAGTTGTACTGTTCCGAAATAATTTCTTGTTTGGTTCCAATATCCAACTCAAACTTCCTCAGATGCACGAATTAGGCACCTTGTAGTCTAATACGCATTACTAGTCGCGATACTCTGCGTTGGGCTAGTTCGCTTTATCCGTACTAGTACTTGCATTAGCCTGCTTTTTTTCCCATGTGATAGCGCCCCAACGTCCCACCTCTGGCCCGGCATTTCATCCCTCCTTCAAGGGTAAGGCCTGAACTGATAACATCACTGCTTTACTTTCATCATCGCTTCATCCTCTCCACCCAAGCGCTCCCATAGAATTTCAATGCCTTCCCTGAAGCAGAGAAAGGTTGCCATCGTGGGCAGTCGATCGGTTGGTACGTCCAAAACAGCAGCAAAGCGAAGCCTGATGTTGCTTCGCCACCCTTGCAGCATCACTAATGGCTGACTTTGATGTTCCAGGCAAATCATCGCTCGCTGTGCAGTTCGTTGACGGCCATTTCGTGGAGAGCTACTACCCGACGATAGAAAACACTTTTAGCAAGACTATACAGTGGAAGGGCCAGGACTTCTCGACGGAAATCGTCGACACCGCCGGACAGGTAGGTTCAGGTTCCACGGGCGCGCTATGCGGATCGTCGCGACCCAGCGCTTACGGGGTTTTGTGTGACGCAGGATGAATACAGCATCTTGAACTCGAAGCATTTCATCGGCATCCATGGCTACATGCTGGTCTATTCAGTATCGTCCCTGCCATCGTTTGAGATGGTCCAGATCGTCAGAGAAAAGATTCTCAATCATCTAGTCGGTGCTCTCCTCCCCAACCTCCCCCGGGGAGGCCACCCATGCCCAACGGAATCACCGCTGACACAATACGCCTTGAACTTTACACACAGGGTACCGAATCCGTTCCCATCGTCATCGTAGGTAACAAGAGCGATCTTCGACCAGAGCAGCGCCAAGTCAGCCCCGAAGAGGGCAAGAAGCTTTCCGAGAAATTCCAGTGCGGTTGGACAGAGGCGAGCGCGAGATACAATCAGAATGTTGGCAGGGCATTTGAGCTTCTGATTGGCGAGATTGAGAAGTCTCAGAGCCCTGGAGAACCCCCAGCAAAAAGCAATTGTCTCTTGATGTAGAGCTCGCTCACGTTGAGCCAAGGCAAGGGTCGTTAACAAGACGATATATCTTAGAGCTGAGAACGCTTTTCTCACAGCCGCTAAATCATGTCCTGGCCATAATATCAGTCAAGGTATGGGATAATAATGCTGTTACTAGTAGAATTTTAATCATGTTGCTACTTTGTATACATACATAATGGCACTGGATAGGTACAGATAGGACTACGAGTCACACAGACAGACAAACACGGATAACGATACTATATGATTTTGTTTCATCAGTTGACCATTGAATCGATGCATCTTGCTGAATACCAAAGTGCAGACTACATAAAACAATGTCACTAGTGGCTAAGACATGGGATGTAAAAAGGAACTGGTTCCAAATCCAACTGCGCAAGGATCCCACGGGGTTAACACATCTCATTCCACAATTTGTAGCGGCCAATTCTTAGTGGTCGATACTAGGATAAAATTCGTTAGTAAATGTCTTTATAAGTCCTCGAGCCGATAGAACGGGTCTTTGAAACTTACTCTTCCCAAAGTCTGCCTTGTACAGATTGCAATTCTTCAGCCGTCAACCGTTTCCCAGCCGTGAAATAGCCTTGGTATGTTAGCAACTATTTACTACAACTGCACCAGTTTGGTTGACTTACCAGCGGTAATTTTGGCATCGATTTCAACTCTTGAGTCGGCCGGGATGAGCTCATCTGGAAGCTCCACTCTCTCGTGAATGGGAATTCTGCAATGATCAGAAAAGATGTCAGGATAGAGGGGTTTGTAAGTATAGAGGCTGACTTACCCTTGACCAACTATGGCATCGTGTTTCATGCTGATGCCCATGTTAGTAATTAGAAGAAGAAAAACAGATAAAAACAAGTAAACCACTGCACGTAATGACTTACTTGCTCATGCTCAACATGCGATCAATCTTCTTAATGCCCAGCCAGTGAAGGATATCTGGCATCAAAGCCTGGAAGCGCATGTCTTTCACACCCGCAATATTCTCTGTCCTCATGAAATAGTCCGATGCTCGATCCTCGCCACGCTTGCGTGCGTTGTATACCACTATTCTTCTTGTCAGCTGTATCCTTTAGGCCATAGATAAGGGAGAAAATTAAACTATCTAGAACAGGGAGCCATACAATACTATGACAAAAGCGTTAGCAGATTGTATTGGATGATCAGGTGTGAGCGGCATACCTTTGTCACTTCTCCAAGAGCGCGACCTTCTTTTCTGAAGTATATAACTACACCACTGCCACCATTCTGAGCCTCTTTGACGGCCTCTTCAATGCCAAAGATCAGGTACGGCCTGCATGTGCAAATATCAGAACCAAAAACGTCGCTTCCGTTGCACTACATCCAGTTAGCTTTTTCACTGCCATTTGTTTGTGAAGTCCTGCCTACCTCATCGTGGATTCTTAGTGATAATCGAACGTTTTCATCCGACATTTTCTCAGGATCGCCGAAGCAGTATACAGTCAACCCGCCTGTGCAAAACTGTTAGCCTCACTATTGCTCTTCTTTTTCTTCTTCTTCTTCTTCTTCTTCTTCTACTTCTTCTTCTTCTTCTTCTTTTTGAATGGTAATAGGTAGTAATTCAATGGTTCATTCCACATACCGATGGGTGGGAGGAAGACTTTGATGTCTCCACGGGTTATCAGCTGTGACTGGTAAATATATGCCATCTTAGCCACGAGAGTGAGTAATTACTTACCTCTGGATAGCTTCCTCCCGTGTGCTCAAAAAGAGAGCGGCGCAAGGTAGCCTCATCTATAACTAATTAACTCGCATGCCTTCGAAGATCTCAATTTACTCACCGATTCCAAATCTCTCGGCTACACCAGGAAGGTACCAAACCTAGAACCATTACCATTAGTACCGCGTTGTAATGTCACAAAAGTCTAGTCATACCGGCTCTACGGCAAATTTGGTGACAGCCAACTCGCCAAGCTCGTTCAAGCACACCTTTCCATCAGGAACCCTGCCAATTGCGTTAGCTAGGAAAACCTTTGCTATATCGATAGCAAGACGCACAGCCGACCACTCTTGACGCTCTCTGCAAGTTCGGGAAGCTGTTTATTTCATGGTTAACATAATCAGGTAGAGCATCATGAAAACATAGAACAGTTCGTACCTTCATATGAGCCTTCGTAATAGCAATTGTTGGTCGCATATCGACTAAACACTAAATGAGCAAGTGAGAGATACTATAACGTGGGGTGCCATACTGTTTTGCTTTTCAATGATATCTTTGAAGGTCCACGGAACCAAGTGACCCCAAGGATCCATGGCAACAATCTTCTTCTTATCACCCCATTGAGGGAACGGCCCAATATTAGCAGCAGGCTCAGCATTCGTGAAATCGGGTCTGAAGTGTCCGAGGTCAACATAAGATCAAAGGTATCAAATTCCTTGAATGGTACTGCTCTATATGAGACGAACCTGTGATCGGCGTTGAGTTCTTTGCTAGCAACAGCCAGCGCATAGTAGATCGAGTACGAGCCACCGCTAAAGACGGGTCAATACGTTATGTACTATTTTGTGTGAATATGTTTTCTCATCACTTACTGCGCTAAATGAAAGTCAGCTCTATACACTCCACACACGAGAATAGGATTACTCACCTCCAACAGCTAAACAGTTATCACCACAAGTTAGATCAAGGCCTATCATATACACGACAACATGGGGAACAACAAACCATTTCTGCGACGAATGGTAGACGCAGCTCTCGAAACGACTACTGGGCCTCGCTGCAATGGATCGGAATTACCCCAGTCCATGGTAATGGGGTCAATGCCAAGTTGCTTGGGATACGTCCTGTGGTTTATCACATTGGATGAGACACATATTTCTCACACAGTTATCAAGTATTAAGGATAGGCAGCACACACGTGAGCACGATTCGCGAAGTAAAGCCTGAGCGGCTGGCTGGAGACAAGGCCGAACTGGGCTGTGCCGTTCCATTCTCAAAGGATGACTGGATGGGCGCCAGATCTCCAGCAGCCTCAGCGTCCTTTGGCTTAGCATCCTTGTCATCCACAGGCAGCAGGGACGCCGCTGATAGTGCTTCCGCTGAGATGGCAGAAGAGCCAATTCTACCGTTGAGGGACTCAAGATGGCTTAGCAGCTGTTGCTGGGTTTGCTGGATGTCCCGGAGCGCGTCCAGGACACCATCTTGCTGTCCATCTGCAGCCATGAGGGGCTTGAGATCTGCCAAATCGGGATAGTCAGTCTGAAGAGGAGGGGTGTTTGGATATGGCGATTTCCTGAAAGAGGACAGAGCACGGGATACGTCGAAGTTGGAAGAAAAGCAATGATTTACACAAAGCCGGCGATGAAATACAGAGAGGCTTCAACACCGTTTGACAAGAGAGAAGGGCAGTCAGGTTGGGCAGGACGACATTCTATAGAAGAGCTAGCAGCAGCACCCAATCGTACGTAATCAGGCGAAACAGGCAGTCAGTTGACGGTCAGCGGTGATAGTGCCCAACGTCGCGATAAGTACCGATGTCACCCGCAACGACTGCGACCTTATCCGACGAGCACCTTGCCGGTACCTCCACGGCGGTGGACGGAACTTTAGATCGGACATGGCAGATAGCGGAATGCGGGGTCGCTGGCAGAGCACTGGCTGTCGGCAGGCGCCGAAGCGCGGACCCCAGCCCCGTTTGGACGGCGGGCGCCCCGATAGAGCACTGCCCCGGCAAGCCTAGGGTGCGGATACAGCGATAGGCCGTCGGCGCTAAGACTGCGCGCCTGCAGAGTGTTTAGGTACGTACCTGGTTCATAATCAGCGCCGATAAGATAAGAGACTGTGCCGTTAAGCATGTCTCACACGTAGCGAACGCGATGCGACTTTCAGTTACCTAAAGCACGAGATACTGTCTTTTGCACTTTGCTGAATACTTGCCTCCATCACACCCGGCACCATGGGAAAGCGCAAATCCTCGTCAAAGCCTATGGGGCCCAAGAGGGTAAATACCAAGATTCTGCTGCGCGCGGTCTTCCGGAGCTGACTAGGCCACAGGCTGATCCCTTACCAACTACCTTCACCTGCCTCTTCTGCAACCACGAGAAGTCGGTAACTGTCAAGCTCGACAGGAAAGCCGGTGTCGGCCAGCTAGACTGCCGCATCTGCGGACAAAAATTCCAGTGCGCCGTCAACTGTTCGTCTCTCTTACCGCCTGCATGCTTTCGATGTTGCCGCTAAATCGTCTCCTCTAGATCTTTCAGCCGCCGTTGATGTGTACGGAGAATGGGTTGATGCTGCTGGTATGCTACTGATCCTGATGAATAAAATACGATTCAGGGCTAACAATGTCTTTGAACAGAGGCAGTCTCGAAGGCGGACGGTGGGATTGGGAGCGCCGGCAGAGGTTATGGTGCTCGAAGGCTTACGGACAACAAAAATACCATTGACGAGCACGAAGAGATCGACCACGACGATTACTGAGTGCCATACTGTGCATTTATACAGGGACAGGCTAGGGCGTTACAGAATTGGGGATATTGATGCATACTAAATACCAGGGTCTTATCGAGAGAAAGAAAGCCATATCCAAATCGCTCTTCAAATCGTATAGAATCGGTCGCCAAAGTCTCCAAGACCAGGCACAATATAACTGCAGCAGGGTCAGCTAATGAATCATGGAGTCGGCCATCATTATCATACTTCTTCTCATCCAAACCCTGCAGACAGATTCTGTTAGTACGGACCAAGTGAACCAGCGATCGATGACAGCACCTACCTCGTCAATGAACGCCGTCACGACCTTGAGTCGGGGGAATTTCGCGGCAAAGGTTGTGATTCCCTCTGGGCTGGCAATCAAGTTGAGGAACAGAATACGCTCTTCGGGCACCCCTCGGCCTTTGAGGACCTCGACGGCCATTGTAGCGGAGCCTCCTTTATATTGTTAGTTATCGGTGCAGATTGCTACATCAAACAATAGGACAAAAGATAAGTCAATAGAGAGTCGTTACCTGTTGCAAACATGGGGTCTAGCAGAAGAACCCATCGGTTCGCAATATCTTCAGGCAGCTTGTCATAGAAAAGTTTGGGCTGGGCTGTGTCTTCGTCCCGCTGAATCAAGATCTTGCCAATTCTTACAGAGCGGCAACAGTCTCGTAGTCCCTGCTCCATTGCTTCTCCAGCTCGCATAATCGAGACACCACATATCTTGCCCTGGAACATGAGACCATTGTAAGTGCGGCCGACCGGGGTAGTGATGCTTTTCTCAATGACGGGCAGATGGTTCAGGCCTTCTTCTACTAGCAACCGGATAATTCTGTTGGAATAAAAGATGAAGTCTGCTCGCTCGGTGTCCTTATTTCTTATCATGCTGCGTGAAGCGCTTAGTAAAGGGCGACACGTCAAAACTACACGGAAGAGAGCCCAAGACCTACGACAGAAGGGCAATCAACTGGGGGGTTTGCGGTAGGACATAGACGTTATCGAACGGCACCACGGCAGATACAGTGGCACTGGGCTTCTCGTCGACGCCCTTGAACGTCGGGCCGACGCATTGCGTGGGTGCAGAAGCTGTTGACGGTTTCTCAGCCATTGAATTGAGCGCTGGTAAGGTACGCAGAGGTGGTTGCTTCAATAAAATACAAGGTTGGTTGCAGCGGCACGAAGCTCCCCAGCAGGTAGATAAGTTAGCAGCCCATCTAGTCGGGCTTTTGGCGATAAAGAAGCTTAGATAAAGAGGGGTCCAGAATTCCTACTACACGGATAATCGGGGACCGCCGCCAGCATCTTATTGCATATTGTGGTTAAGATGATCAGCTATGGCTTCAAGCAGAAGCGCTGGTCACACCTACGTCTTAGCTGCTTTGGCCGATGGAGCTACGGAGGATAAGCGTTTATTACTCGTGCAGCAGCAATGCAGAGCCCATTTGCTTCTGCGGCCCCTGTTGGTTTTTCTCCAAGTAAGCATCTGGTCAGCCGAGCAGAGCCCATGCACTTAGTCAGCTTCGTTACCCGTTCTGTCAGAGCAGACTCTCCGGGCAATTTGTACATATCCTCATGGCTTACCGACTGCATGTTTCAGCGCTGCTTTTCATGATTGATAACTTGTGCAACCTTAAGATATGTAGCAGTAGTTTATTGTTTCTTTTTTTTTTTCCCTTTTCTTTCTGTTTTTATAGTCATAATATGAGCAGGTGGTATTCGTAACTCAAGCTCTCCATTGCTAGGCTCAAGTTGTTTGCTGGTGCGGCTGTTCGATCTTGCTGACATAATCATGTCGATTGCTCACTCATGCATCAAAGGCTGCCCAGACAGGCAAGGCTCCTTTTCGGTGGAGTGGGCCTTGATTAGGGCACCCATATGGGGCACACATCTTATCTACAATTTCTCAATTTTTCCAGTATCACTTCTTTTTATCTAACCATCCCTCTCATTAACTCCTCTCGGCACGCAAACCACGAGCCTCTGCCAGATCATCAATCGCCATCATGCGTAAGTTTCCGAATGTGCCAGAGCATTTTCATTGCAGCTACTAATTCACAGGCAGCTCCCAAGCACGATCCCAATGAGGTGAAGGTCATGTTAGTTTATTCGGCGCTGCCCAATTCCGCGAACAGAACATGCTGATCTAACCTTCGACTTATAGCCACCTCCGTGCCACCGGTGGTGAGGTTGGTGCCTCTTCGGCCCTTGCCCCTAAGATCGGTCCTCTTGGTCTCTCCCCCAAGAAGGTCGGCGAAGATATCGCCAAGGCTACCGGTGACTGGGTGCGTACAATTGCTATAAGAGAGACGACGAGGATTTCCCCCCGTACTGATACCATGAACAGAAAGGTCTCCGTGTCACCGTCAAGTTGACCATCCAGAACCGTCAGGCTGCTGTCTCTGTTGTTCCCACTGCCTCTTCTCTCATCATCAAGGCCCTCAAGGAGCCCCCGCGTGACCGCAAGAAGGAGAAGAACATCAAGCACAACAAGTCCATCGCCATTGACGAGGTCATCGAGATTGCCCGCACCATGCGCTACAAGTCCTTCGCCAAGGACCTGAAGGGTGGTGTCAAGGAGATCCTGGGAACTGCTTACTCTGTCGGCTGCCAGGTTGACGGCAAGCCCCCTCAGTCCGTTATCGAGGCCATCGACAACGGCGAGATTGAGAGTATGCATCCTCCCTACGAGCCCCAATATATCAACAGTTGCTAATATGTGTTACAGTTCCTGAGGAGTAAATTTGGCCGGTTCAGACCAAACGTCGAGATGAGAAGAAATTCTCAATTCGCGACGGCAAATAAATAAAGAAATCAGTACAACACCATGATATTCTCTGCTCCGCGTGATTACTTTGAAATGCACTCCCATTGCGGTTTTGATACCGCTCCCCTTAGCTCACTCCGAGATACATCGTCACTGCTCTGTGGTGTATTTCTATTTTTGCTCAAGGAAGATTGAAACAGGCCACTTACTCACCTCTATACCCTGCTCTCCCGTGGGTATATTGGTCCTTCCAATACGGCTAACATATCACCACTGTTGTTCTACTTTCAATGCCATGACTGTGATGACACCTGGTTTACATTTATTTAGATGTCTAAAAGTATTACTTCAAAAACCACATAGATTTTAAAATATCAATTTCCGTTTCAAATACCTAGTGAATGTGAAGTTGTATCTTCGTTTGCATCCTTAGCTGGCTCTAGCTTTGCACTAGAATTTTGGCATTGCATTCTCTTATGCCACGTCAGTATGAACGAAATCTCTGTAAGGTGACATCCACCGGAGAAGAGACACTCCAATGTAGATAATTTTGAATCAAACAACTTGCTTGCGTTTGCAGAATGAATCATAGGAAAATGGTGTTCCATGGCACGTGGCATACATAAGTTTTTTTAACAGTATATTCTTGCTACAAAATGAATTCCATTACCCAAACGACTCGCGCCCCGACGCGTTATTGCACCGCCATTATCCGTCACTGTCCATCTTCACAGTATTTTAAATCGCCTTGTTCAAGGGCTAGATAAACACACGTATAAAGTAGAAGCAATCCGAGTGTCTTTTAATATATCATAGGGACATTACCTAACCTCCCTACCCGCCTATGGGTTGTTACTCCATGTAAAATGACTGGGAAAACGGCCAGGCGCGAATCTAGCACTCGCAGGGCTCCCTGCGCCTTCATTTCTCTACAACTAGCCCATTTTTCAGACCTCCTCCAAAACACGCTCCTTGAACTCCCGCTCAACCTTCTGGCCCTGGTCGTCAGTGCCAGACTCGCCGTGGAGGGCCATCAGGGCACCCAGGTCGAACTTGGGGGCCTTCAGCAGCTTAACCTTGCGGATGTGGACCTAGAGAAAATAAGCAGTCAGTAGCTGATAACAGAACAGATTTTCGTAGCAACTTTGCTTTCCAAACAACATACGTTCTGGAGGGGGTAGATGCCCTGGGTGGACTTCTCGATCTCGCGGCCAATGACCTCGGGGATCAGCTTGGAAACCAGCTGGGTGAGAGTGCAGCTGGAAGCCTCGCGGGTGATGATGTCGGTCATCTTGCGTCGAATGGCGCGGATCTGGGAAGAAGCAGCGTAGGTGGTCTTCTTGATCTGGTTGGGGCGTCGCTTGGTGAAGGCGATGGCGAAGAGGCGGATGAGGTAGTCATCGGTGGTCTTGACGGTGATGTTGGCCTCAATCAGAGTCTGCCACTTGCGAACCAGAGATCGGAGCTTGTCGGATGTGAAGTCAAGGCCGTGGAAGTTGGTCAGGCAGCTCTTGCCCTGGACCTCGTCGACGCGGAGGCGAACCTTGCGGAATGAGTGGTCCTCATCCTTCTGGAGGTCGGCGAGAGAGACCTCGACGATGCGGCCCTTGAGGGCATCGTTCGCGTTCTTGAGACCGGTTGTCCGGTTCACAAGAGTCTTGCCAACACTGCAGCGAATCCGTCAGTTCCATGATCTTGAGATTTGTCTGTCCGGCAAATTGTTGCAATTCGACTCACTCTCGGATGTTGAAGGGGTTAGGAGCCTGTAGGACGCGTAATTAGCAAATCGTATGGTTCTGAGGCTGAGTGCAAATTCTTTTTTCTCGATGGCTTCGACATACCTTGATAGAGTACCAGTCCTTTCGGGAGAAAGGGTCCACGGTCTTCTTCTTAAGGCCCTTCTTGCCCTTGGAGAGTCTCTTGTTCCTATTGTCTCTGGTTGGCGATTTTCCTTTCCCAAGATTCGCAGCATAGATACTCACTTTCCAACAGCCATGATTCCTTACCAGCGTACAAGCAGTTGGGAATCCAAAGGTACTAAAAAGTTGGTGGAGGGGTTGAAGAAATTCAATTCTTGTGTGCATCAACCAGAATCTAAGCGAGCCAAACCAGAAAGGTACCGGGGCAAATATTTTTCCGCTTATTCTGTGGGCGGAAATTTCGTACTCCACCGCTCTCAGCCCTCTTGGCCCTTCCTCCGAGTCTAGGACGGAGGGCATCACGTGAAGAATTTCGATGCTAGCCTGCTTTCGAGAATAGCGCTGAAAGGAGGCTGTGTTCAGCGTTACCAGGAGGCTGGTTGGCTAGTTCATTTGCCTTCTACTGCATATAGGAAGTAGACATGGCACTCAAACGCAGTGCAGGCATTGCGACGCCATTTGCATGATCCTATCATATACCATATACTTGCAAATTGGATTTGACAACAAAAATTCAATCAGCCGTGATGAAAGCCGCAGCAGCACATACATACTCTTGACCATTATCATCAAAGGGTCTAGGTATTAGCAAAGAAATCGGTATTTCATGGCCAACTACGCTTGCATTTCTGCCGTCTTTGCGAGGACAGTTCCCAGCCTCAATTCAAATAGTAATTCTTGGAATCGCCATTTTCAGAGGAAAATACAATTCAGGGGAACGCATGCGATTGCAATTCCAGGTTACCTGGATTATTTCACAGTGATAGTGTTCAAGTCTTCTCGCAACGTAGTCTCATACGCGGGTGCCTCCTGTTATTGCTTACTGTTATTGCTTACTTGCTGAAAGCATCTTGGTCTGTTCGACCGCTGTAACCCACGATGGCTTCCAATTGCAATCCATCAAATAGAAACAGCCGCGAGCATTTGAAGCGGACTAATTACATAAATATCCTTATATGCGGAGATTCGCGCATACCTTTGCCAAAAGTGGGGCATAAGCGTGTTACTCATCATGCGTCTAGATTTCCGGCGACTGATTGCTCTATGGGCTGTTGCTATTCCGTATATCGCGAATCAGCGACTTTCAATTAATCTGCCAGGTAAGTGTTCCGTCGCTGTTTCATGTGGCGCAAGATCTCTATAGAATGATAAGAGGATTAGTTATTGACGTCCATCTCTCCCTCCCAGGTACTTCCGTCCGAATGCTCCTCCTCGTCTACAGCGACTGAATTGCCTCTAGGTGCAATTGTAAACCCGCAGCAGCCATGGGTCCCCCGAAGCCTCCCGTTCCTCACGTCGCCCCGATCTACCGAGTCACAGCCACTGCCCTTGGCGCGGGAATGTGGTTCTGGGTAAGCAGAGTGTCTCCAGCGCCTAGATATGTCCGGCGAGATCGTATATGATGACCTGATATGCTGACCATAATATCCAGCTGATGTACCGGGCAAAGAAAGATGGTAAAGGACTCAGTCTATATGCAATGTTTTCGTATCGCACTGCTAACGAGTATACTGTTCCTAGGCCCCGCTCTGCTTGGATGGAAGCACCCTTGGGACCACTAGACGACTCGACCAGAGCGCATATCGAGAACCGAAAACTAGAAAGCCGGCTGTTTGGTCAATTGGGGTAACGGCTGTTAGTGCGGCGTCATTTGGACTGCGATTCGATACTGAGGTGGTACTCCCTACAAATGTTTGAGGAATTTGAAACAGCGATAGTACAAAGTACTGCCACCTAATATATCTACACCGTGAAACCACGCATACATGGACTACGCTTCATGCTGTTTGTTGAGAGTCGATTAATATCTGCTGCCATATTTGAATCGCTGTAGGGAAGAACAAGCTTCCGTCATCGTGAGATCTGCTTCCAACAATCTACAAATTGTACATGCTGTCTAGTTGGAGATCATTGCGAATGCTTGTAGAAAGGTTAACGGTATATATAAAAAATAATAAACCCTTAAAGCTCGTCTTTTCATAAGAAGGCGATTACCAGAGAAATACTCGTTTCAGAGTGGAAATTTGCAATATACGATGTCCATAGTTTTTGTCCCTTTATTCCCTAATGATTAGGACCTATCCCCTCACGTACATAGAAAACATCAACCATCAAAAGCTGATCCACTAACAGCTGTTGAAGCAGCACGGGCACTGTTGAAGTGATTATGACCACTACCCAGATATACTAATTTTCTAAACACCAATCTGCAGATCCATATTTCTAAAACTTTTCCCCAAGCCTATAAAAATGCAAAAAATGAGCGGAGATTACCTGGCTCCAATCTTACGCAAGAGACTGGAAATAGCCTAGTAGAGAACTCTTGTCATAATGCATGCTATTATCGCTTGTTAAAAACTTTCTGGACATGCAATACAATGGTGTTACTTACAGCTTAGGCCATCCAAGCTATCGGCGATATCCTTGATTTGCTCATATCTTACGTTGCTAATATCGGCCATCAGATATGCCAGCTAGGACTTTGTTAGTAGTGAATCACATGGCGTCAGAGAAAAGCTTCTTACATCTCCTCTGCTATCACTGAGCTGCTTGTCGACGTTATGGTCACCTAGGATCTCGTTGACTGGCGACTGTTAGTATGAGGCACTTGGCAAAATTTGAGGGGCAAGACAAACCTTTACGCAGCACACCAGGGACATTTCGGTGAATATAGATAATCTAGAGTTCGAGTTAGAGCCGTGATGGAAAGAAATGATACGGGAGACTGACTCGGGCGTGATCTGGCTCGTCCATAGTCAGGGATCGTAGCTGAACTTCCGGAAGGTTGACACTGCCCAGAGTGATACCAAGGTTAATGTAGCGGACCAATGCGTCGGCGACTGGAATCTCGTGAGCATACTGTCAGAAAAGTAAGGATGTGGCAATGTCGGGCTGACCTTCAACACCAATTGCGCTCTGTGCTTCTTCTGTGCTACCGCCGATATGGGGGGTGAGAATGAGGTTGCTCAAGCTGCGGAGATCTTCACCCCATTGGTTCAGGTTGTTGGTGAAATAGTCGCCGTTGCCAGCCGGCTCATTGGGGTAAACGTCCAAAGCAGCGCCCGCAATGTTTCCTGAGCGCATGGCCACGATCAAAGCAGGGATATCTACAACTGTTCCACGGCTTGCGTTGATTAAATATGACCCCTCCTTCATACGATTCAGCTGAGCAGTTGAGATCATATTTCTCGTTTCGGGGAGGTCTGGTACGTGGAGAGTCACGAAATCGGCCTCCTCCAGGAGGTTGTCCAGTGTAGGAACCTGGCGGGCGGTTCCCAGTGCCATCAAAGTTACCACATCATAGTAGATGACGTTCATGCCCAAAGCCTCCGCGAGGACCGACAATTGAGAGCCGATATGGCCATAGCCAACAATTCCTAGCGGTTTAAGGTTAGAGAGGAGCTCCAGTGGTAGAGAGAGTAGAGGTAGCAGAGGTAGTAGCGACAGTATCAGTAGTAGAGATAGTAGCGGTAGCAGAAGTAGTAGAAGTAGCAGCGGTAGAGGTAGTAAAGGTAGTAAAGGTAGTAGCGGTAGTAGAGGTGGTAAACATACCCAATGTCTTTCCACGAACCTCCCAGCATTTGGCGCTGACTTTGTTCCAGGTACCACGGTGCATTTCAAGCGATCGATCGCCGAGTTGTCGTGCGAGGGTGATGATTTCGGCAATGACCAATTCTGCAACACTGCGGGAGTTGGCAAAGGGAGAGTTGAAGACAGCAATCCCACGGCGGGCAGCGTAGTTGAGGTCAACCTGGTTGGTTCCGATACAGAAGCATCCAATGACAATCAGATTCTTGGCTTCGCTTAGAACCCTTTCGCTCAGCTTGGTCTTTGATCGGATTCCGATAACGTGGACGTCACTGATTGGCAACGAAGTTAGAGATGGTCATCAGTCCTGGAGGAACAATTGCAATTGCCTACCGGATCTTTTCAATAAGCTGGTCCTCTGGAAGGGAGGTCTTCAGGGCTTCCACTTGGTAGCCTTGGCCGGTGAGGATGTCTCGTCCGGTCTGGTTGACATTTTCCAGCAACAAAATCTTGATGTCCTGGGTATTAAAGGGCTTTAGGACTTTGGGAACACTTCTGCGAGGCTGCAATCCGGTGCCAAAGCTGGCGGGAGGCGACTGGAAGGTGGCAGTGGGCGATGTCGAAAGGTTTTGGGTGCTGATTGAGACCCGCCTGTGAGCGATTGGAACGCCAGCGTTGATATCGCGAGCTGAAGACATGACTGCTGCGATGCGATGCGAGGGACTAGTTCTATTTTATGCTGTTTTTAGGTTGCCAAAATTGAAGCCTAATGTGTTGAGGCCAATTGTTGCCGATCGATCGTATGTCAGTCTATGTAGTAGGAATTGGAGGGTATTTCAATGTCTGACGCTGGAAGCTTAAAATCGAGAATACGCAAGATAAGGTAATAGGCCCGTTCTACTTAGTAACTAACGTGACTCACTGCGTACCTTAGGTAGCAGAAGATGCCACTTTCTATTCCACGCCGCGCGAGTTTGCGGCACTACTAATTGGAGCATTGATTGGCCGGTGTCGGCTCTTTCGCAAAGTCAAATGTGAGATTTGCTACATGTGAGATTTGCTACAATCCACAACCCCCACTACAACAGCGTCACAAGCAAGTGGAGAGCAGAAAAAAGAGAAGTTTTGTAACTAGTAGTATATATCAACTCCTAGAACTACCAAAGTATTATACGATGCTTGTATTTAAAATGAGTACCTAGGACGGTTGATATAATTATACTGCATCTACTAGTATATCTACTGCATCTACTATATCTACTATCTACCATATCTACTATCTGCTATCTCTATTGCTCCTACTGTTATTAAAGGTAGCGGGCTCTCTAACTGTGCATCTATAAAAGGCGCTCCCATAATCCTTGTGTATCAATTATCTATCGCGTGGACGTAACATTTAAAGAATGTGAATACCATCACGGCCATTGACTCATATGTCAGGATGCTCTTGTCATTGCTTGTATGTATGCACCCATTCTTGCGCCGCCTCGGTTTTCTATTTTCCGGGCGCAGAAAGGAGGGAATTTACAAAGAATCCACATGCAGAACAGGCGCTATTCACACAAAAGTGGCGACAAGCTAACTCTTTAAAGATGTTTTGAAGATGTCCATGTGTATTTGCTCCTTTAAAAGTCCCTGACTTTCTATTTCTGTCTCTGCTTGCCGGTCAAGGTAGCATGCGCTGTTAGTGCGCTGCGATAGTAGGCCATCGTGAGCATAAAGAACCTTCCTTATATTGCTGGTCGCATTCGTTGTGCCTCGCGAAATTCCAAATCCCAAGCACCCCATAACGCTAAGGACACATAGGGCTGCATATGACGTCGGATTTTACCACCGCGACTAGCAGCCAGTACTGACTTGATAGCACAGTTTGGTAGGTACTTGCGGTGGCATATATCACCACCTATTGTCCAGCCTCTCCACAGAAAGAGGCGTTGACAAATAATTGATTTTGTCAGGCCATTCCACTGCGCAATCATGATATCGCCTCTGCGCTCGCGGCTTAGGAATGCCACCCTGCTCGGCGCACAACACCATATGCGACTAGTCTCTACAACATCGCATCCTCAGCCCGTTTCGCCATTGTCTTTCGATCTTCATGCGCCTGCAAATCCCAAAGCAGATGAGAGAACTGCGCCAATCATTTTTCTTCATGGTCTCTTCGGATCCAAAAAGAACAACAGAGGAATCAGCAAGTAAGCGCTGCCAGACTTCAAACTGCAAGTTGCTACTCGTCACTCACAATTGAATAGAGCTTTAGCCAGAGATCTGAGGACTCATGTATACACAGTGGTAGGTGGATTTCACGGGGCAAGAGTAAAGCCAGCCATGTTAATCAAGAAACTTCATAAAGGACCTTAGAAACCATGGAGAGTCGCCTCACGACCCCCGCCATGACTACACAGCCATGACGGAAGATATCCTGGCCTTCATCGACGACCATGGCCTAAAGGAGCCCGTCTTGATAGGCCACTCCATGTATGTTATACGAGACAGCTGCAAACATGACCATTGGCTGATTTTGCTCAGGGGTGCCAAGACGGCTATGGCGGTTGCCCTCCGCTCTCCTGAGACGGTAGCAAAAGTCGTCGCGGTTGATAATGCGCCGACCGACACCATGCTCAGCAGCTCCTTTGCTACCTACGTCCGGGGGATGAAAAAAATCCAAGAGGCCAACGTTACCCGCCAGTCTGAAGCGGATGCCATTCTCAAAGATTACGAAGAGGTTGATGCCCCTGGTGCTCTGTATGCATACATACCTTGGCAAAACTGACCACGCCCTTGAATAGTCACTGCCCATCCGTCAATTCCTGCTTGGGAACTTGTTTCGTTCACCAGAGGACGGATTTCAACGATTTCGTGTCCCGTTGGACATCTTGGGCCGATCGCTAAACCATCTTGGAGACTTCCCCTTTAAAAGCTCCCAAGAGGCACGGTACACTAAGCCCTCACTTTTTGTGCGAGGCACTCAAAGCAAATATGTGCCAGATGACGTGCTGCCCGCCATTGGCGACTTTTTCCCGTGCTTTCGTCTAGCAGACATTGATGCTGGGCACTGGCTGATATCGGAACAGCCTGAGGCTTTCAGACAAGGTGATTCACATTATAAATCACGCTTCTAGATAACCGGTTCACTGACGCTTATTCAGCCGTGGTGAACTTTTTGCAGGATCCATAGATCAGCGTAAAAGGCGGAGCTGCGACACACTTTATAGAATATTACGGAGTAAGTATGACTGTACCGCAAATTGTATAGAATTCAAACGCATAATCGCTGCGAGGCTGCGGAGGATTATCGTGGATATAATATTTTGAAGTTTATTTAGTTTAGCAGAGCAAAAGGAAAAATCAAAACATTGTTAGACTGCAGCTATTTATCAAATCGCCAAAGGCTCCTCCTCATGCATGCCACCCTCCCCAAAGGCGCGAGGATCATCTGTCACTGTCAGTCTAAAGTATGCATAAGTGTCCCCCCAGGTACCTCTGACGCAGTTTCTGTATACGCCAGTACTAGGCAGTACCCCATACCCCATATTTGAATAAGCACCTCTAAGTTCCTTAGCTCAGGCTGTCACTGCCATTTCCTTGATTGAAAATCCCATATTGCGTTTGGTCATTTCAAGGTACGACGCACAAACCCGGTACTTTGCGTCGCGGCGTTGCATTGGAAGAGGTCAGCCATTGCATTGCCGCTGTTTGCTGCTGCTTGCCCCGTGCATCTCGCCGCAGCTCAGCCCCCGAGGCCTGTCGGCGCCGTTTCCAGCCATGATGTGAGCGCCGCTGCTGCTCGTTCGCAAGTGATACCCTCTCCTTGACGAAGCTCGCATCAGCCATTCATCTCGCCAATCCCCCATCTCGGGCATGTTGCCCTTAGTACAGACGCACCCTCGCGTGGTGCCCACCAACTTCGACGCTTTCGGCGCCTCGAGCAGCGGCCATGGCGCCCGGCCAGAGCAGGACAGGCGAGCCATCGCGTCTCCCTACCATCGCCCCTCGACCATCCGACCGTTTCAGCTGCAGTATGACAGCTCGACCGTTTCTGCCGGCTCAGGCGCCCGAGACTACGGCCATCACTTGCGCCGGAAAACTCCAAGAGGCACCATCGACGCGGGATACGATGGATCGCCAACGCAGCTGTCGCCCGGCCCACCGCCGCTGAAGCAGCTGATACTTCCAACGCCCTCAGGGATATACCCATACATGCCGCCTAATAATCTTCCTTTTCACGCAAAATCCCGTCTTTTAGAACACGACCAGAGGGGTCTGGGGCAGGCTCCTCTTCTGACATCACCATGGCCTGCAGTCCAGGAAAGGCCAAACTTTGTTCTTAGTAGCGACTCCTCCATTGCCTTTCAACCGTCTAATCTCTCCTGGCAGTCAAACGGATACCCCATGTTCAGCCAGATCCCAGGCATGTACCAGCCACTGATGAGAGCGGCTGAGTACAATGTGCGAGCCTTCTGCCCACCACCCGCCTCGGCGGCGGACACGGCGACGATCAATCAGTTTGGCTGGCATCCAGGCTTCATGCAGTCAAGCTCCACGCAGCCAAACTATGGGTACCTTGATACCTCGTCTCAGTATTCACAGTGGTTTATGCCACCGGGCGCCTCCGGAAGCTTTTTGCAGCAACAGGGATCGGATCCTCAGTTGCTGAGTTTGCCTACAGCAAGACTGAATGCCAGCGCCAATGTCCCACGGTCTTCTCAACCAATGCTGCACGGAGGCTACCAGGACCAGAACATCATTGAACATGTCTCCTCTACCAACAATCAGCATGTTTCTCGATCGAGCTTTACAGAAAAGGCATTATCGCAAGCTCAAGACCATTATGTTGAACTACTGTCCTACCTGCAAACTGCTAGGAGATTCGATCAGATGACTGGCGCCAATTCCAACGCAAGACCCAAAATCTTGGTATTTCCCAGACCCCCAAAGTCCCGAAAGGTCAATTTTGGTACTCTACAGGAAGCCCATCGCAGTGCTGGACGGTCCAATCTTTCGACGCCCACACCGAATAACCACCCCCAGGCTCTTACATCTAACATTGAAGATACATTGAACAATAATACGAGACAGCAGATAGGGCATTCTGCCCATGGAGAGATTCACCAGCCAAGTACGTCAGCAATGCATTTCGGTGCTTCACCTACTACATACCCCCCATCTTCGTCCTTTGATACACTTGGTCCGGCTGCCATGGCAAAAGCATTGCCGGTCATTAATGCAAGGAATTCTCTAAATCTACTTCGAAGCTTGTGTGAACAAAGCCATTGGAAATGGATTGATGGAATATTACTTGGTGGGTGTCTTTTATACGGCCTATCGCGGTTCGAGGATGCCGTAGAATGGTTCTCGAGAGTTCTCGCTCTAGATTCAAGGTTTGACCTGTTCCAGATGAACTATCAAGTGGTTGTTCTATATCTGACTCAGATTATAGCCATGTTGAGGCTATCACAAATATAGCCGCCACGCTTTATTGTCTTAACCGCCAAGAAGAAGCTGAGAAGCACTGGTTAAATGCTATCAAGCTATGCCCTTCTCATTTAGAAGCTACGGAACAGCTCGTCGGGTTGCTTTACAAGAAACGTAGCCGAGAAGCAATCGAAATAATCAGCTTCGTGCAACAAGCGCTGAAATTACCCAAGGAACGCTCAACTCAGACTATGTACTCAACCTCAGCCTCAGACTTTCGTCCCGTGCCTTGCGATGATGACCACATGAGGAATATGTGCGCCCAACAACCAGTTACCATGAACAACGGCTATCACCCTGACGCTGCGCCCCGACTAGACGTCCATAATCTGGATGGCTTCGAGTTCGGGTCCAGCGGATACGCGCTCCCCAACAGTGAAAATGGCAGAATCTTAGCATTAGTTCATGCCAAGGGCACGATATTGTATGGACTAAAGGACATTGAAAAAGCCTCCGAGGCATTCGAAGAGGCCGTCTTGATCAGTGTTGGAGATCAAATAAAAAGCGTCCAAGATCTGGTGAACCGAATACATGTCGTGCTTTCCCCAGCAGGGTCTTTCCCGGTTAACAATAGCCAAGGACAAGCTTCGCGGCGACCTCTTTTGCTACCACCAGAAAAGGCTCGCCAAACTGCCCATCTTGTCTTTGCTGGCGGCGGCGGAGGCAGCGAGTTACCTGGACTGGCATTTGTTCCCGAGGGCGCCGCTAGGCGGGTTGCGGTGCAAACGACGAGTAATGCCTTACTTTCACTGGCAAAGATTTTTCAAGATGCCACCTCTGGCGGTGGCATCGCCCCGAGTCTGCTCAGACAGCCCTCCGGGATCGGGGATATCCTAGCCTTGTACTATCTGTCTCTTTCTCTGCAAGAAAGCCCTTCTACTGCAAACAACATCGGTATACTCCTTGCCGGCGTGCAGCAGATCGGTTCAAACAATGTCGGTGCGACGGGGATGGCATCTTCCCGACCTAGTTTGCCTGGTATTGTGCCAGGCAGCGGCCTTGCCCTCGCTTTGGCATACTATAACTATGGGCTACGTCTTGATCCTAGACATGTTCATCTGCACACGAATCTCGGCAGTCTTCTAAAAGACGTTGGGCAATTAGACTTGGCAATTCAAATGTATGAGCGAGCAGTCTCTTGCGACAGAACTTTCGACATCGCTCTGACCAATCTGGCCAATGCAGTAAAGGACAAAGGCCGTATCAAGGACGCAATCGCCTACTACAGGCGAGCTGTAGAAGCGAATCCAGGATTCGCCGAAGCCGTCTGCGGACTTTTGACAGCTCTCAACTCCGTATGCGATTGGCGCGGTAGAGGAGGAGCGCTGCTTGAATCAGGCCAATATGACCGATGGCACGTGGACGAGAACGGCGCTCTTGTAGATGTGCAGACAGACATGCGTGGAAGCGGTCTTACACAACGAGTGATTGGTATCATAAACCAGCAGCTGCGCGATGCGTCACAATGGGGCTGTAATACTCTAAGGCAACCGACGATCCATATGTTAGCGCAACAGCTACAGGGCTTCGCTCGCACACCGGGATTCGATTTTGAAAAGGCGCTGCATGCTTGGGCTCATAAACCGTGGGAAGGCCCGCGCTTGGTGCGTCTGGTCGAGCGGGCCACAAAAGCCATCCTCTGGACGTGGTATCATGACAAACACATTGCCAAGAGAGAGACGACGCCTGCGCGCTATCTGCGGCCTCAGCTACCCTCGTCTCTCACGATACCATCTGCGCCAACCGTGCTTCCTTTTCACACTTTCACGTACCCCTTGTCTGCTAAAGACATACGATCGATTTCCCAGCGCAACGCAATGCGCATATCATGCTCGACTCTGAGGTCTCCGTGGCTGCCGCCTACCGTGTATCCGCCACCACCGCCGCCAAGTCCCCATTTGAATGTTGGATATGTGTCATCCGACTTTAACAATCACCCACTAGCTCATTTGTAAGAGATACCTTTTCCTATGTGATGATATTTAATTCTGCATTCTGCGGCGCAAATGAACTAACTTGCCTTTTCACTACAGAATGCAGTCCGTGTTCGGGTTTCATAACCCTCGGCGAGCTCGCGCCTTCTGCTATGCTACCACCCCTAGTGACAGATCCGTTCACCGACAACAGATTGAGAGAGAGGCTCCTGTCTTTCGCGATGTTAGTTCTTGGCCAGCAGATAAGCTTATCCAACAGATTATACAAGATGAGATTCACATCTTGGTTAATCTCAACGGTTACACCAGGGGTGCGCGCAATGAGATATTCGCTGCTCGCCCAGCCCCAATCCAGATGTCCTTTATGGGGTTTGCGGGGACTTTGGGCGCGGAGTGGTGTGATTATGTGCTCGCTGATGCAACGGCTGTCCCGCAAAGCACTTTGCGCCCTTGGAGGGCAAACGTCAGCATCGAGGATGTATTTTTCGACAACACTGAAGGGGACGACCTCTCGTGGATGTATTCGGAGAACATCATATTCTGTCGGGATACTTTTTTCTGTTGTGACCATGCACAGTCGTGCGATCGTGGCGAGCGTGACATAACATGGGAGGATGAAGAGAAGCGCAGATGGCAGATGCGCAAAGAGCTATTTCCGACAATAGCAGATGATGCAATCATACTGGCAAACTTCAATCAACTGTACAAGGCAAGTGAAGAACGCGAGACGACGACTTGCACTGGATTCTCCAGCTAACTTGATGGCAGATTGACCCTACCACTTTCCGGTCTTGGTTGCGGATTTTGGCGAGGACTCCCAAAGCCCTACTCTGGCTGCTACGGTTCCCCGAACTGGGAGAAGTCAATTTGCGTCGAACAGCTGAAGCTTGGGCCGGGGCAGAAGTTGCCAGTCGACTAATCTTTACTGACGTAGCACCAAAGAGCCAACACATCACCAGGGCGAGAGTGTGCGATCTGTTCCTTGATACTGCGGAGTGCAACGCTCATACGACCGCTGCTGACGTCTTGTGGTCAAGCACTCCACTCCTCACCTTGCCTCGATACTCTTACAAGATGTGCTCTCGAATGGCTGCGTCGATCCTGCGAGGGGCGCTTCCTAAAACAGCTGAAGGCGAGCAAGTCGCAGTAGAGTTGATTGCAGAGAATGAGACCGAGTATGAAGATTCAGCCACGGAATTAGCTGGAGGCTTAAACTATACGATGACAGACGAAGGATACGGCCAAGGCACGGGGCGCCTGGCAGAAATAAGGAAGATATTATGGGACAGTAGATGGCAATGTGGGCTCTTCAACACTCGGCGGTGGGTAAACGATTTGGAATCGGCTTACGAGGAGGCATGGCGCCGGTGGGTTTTGGGTAAGGGTGGTGACATATATCTATAAACATCTAGATGGTACTACTCGCTGTGGCTTTGGGACATATATTTAAGCGGCTTGGTTTATGGCGTTTCTGATTTTCTTCTTTTCTGTCCTTCCTGTTTGGCGTTACTTCCACGAAGCCATACACAAAGTTTTACCAATGCGAGAAGATATACCTGCATCTGGCTAGCTAGCAGGCGGCTGCTACGGATAGCAGCATTATGCCATATAATGCAATTTAATACTGCCCTTGGATGGCATTTACACTGTTCCATCATATATTGTCTCCCGAAGCTAGTGACAATTGAAAATTTGAGTAGACATTTTGAGTAGGACGAACGACATAGCCCCTGAGTTGCCGGCTCACTCGGTTGCGCTCTGGCTAATCTTGAACTGATTTTTTGCAGCCTACTCGTTATCGCCTACATCGCTTTCATGCAAGCGTTGCTCATCGTCCAAGTCACACTCTTCTTTTGGTTCGGGCTCTGGAGTGTCCAAGTTAAGGCGCAGGTGAGACGGCGTTAAATGCGATAAAAGATGGCCATTATAATGCTCTCGCTGGCTGGTTCTTACCCTTCGGCTTAGTTGTCGAAGATTGTTCTCGGAACGATGTCTCCAGAGTTGGTTTTTAGCATTGAGGCGGGCTGTTATATCAAGGGCATCACTAGACATGGCTAAATCAAGTTGGAAAGAAACATCTTAATTAGCTCACAGTGAAAACCAATTTGGATAAAGTTGGATCTCCAAACTCACAGGTTCGCCTGCCCTGGATGCCTGAGCCCTTGCAAGGAGAAGCACTTTTGCAATCATCCTGGCAGAAATCCGCTTCTGCAGGCACTTGCTCAGGGGTCGCTGTTTCTGCTGTATGTGCTCTGCCTGATCCGCCTTTCCTGATGAGGCTGCCAGATCGAGCCAGCGCAACAGCCTCGACGCCTTTCCCAGACACTTGTTGGATAATCAGTTCCAGTCGCTTGATCTCTGCCCTATATCGTGCCTCTTGGGCTGACCAGTCTGCAAGCAACATCTTGCCGTTTTCTGTATCTTCTTGCTGCTTTTCTTTCAGCTGGGCAACTTCCTTTTCCTTTACCGATAGCTTGCTGCGGAGCTTGCTGTAGCCTTCGATGAGATGAAGCACATATGACGTATGCTGCGGATCCAATGTTGGTGGTGTTGGAGATACCATGATGATGGTCCGTAGCATGTCTGCCATTTCATCGACTGACGGGGTATTCTGTAACCTGTCTGCTTCTCTGACGAGGATGTCGTTGGCAAAGTCGGTAGAGGATTGGTTGAAGCCGGCCAAGGGCCGTGGAGCGATCTTTAGATTTGCTGCTTCGTGGGGGGTGGTATCTTCATTGTCGGTTTGGCCGTAGTGAAGCCAGGGGGAGACTGGAGTTCGACAACGCTGCCCTGGAATTAGACGCATCCATGCTGAATCTCCCATGTTATGTGGCTACACTGTTGGTGAGGTCGTAAAAAGCATCTGTAAGGGGCCCTATTTGTGTAGACTTTTAGTTGTGGTTGAGGTAGTAAGCGGGAAGTAATTTTTAGAAGGCTTTTTGAGGAAGCTTCGGTGGTAGTTACGGACATGGGAATATAGAAAGGGGGATATGGAAGAAGCAGTAATGAATGACTGGAGGAAAGTAGTGTTTGAAGAGCGGGTAATTGCAGCGGCTGGCCGTCAGCTGATGAAATGGAACGAACAAAACAAGGATGGCCTTCGTGGAGCTTCGATGTGAACCACTACAATGGCGCACTTTATTTACAGCGTTATGATTTGTTTTTCTAGGTGCATTTATACTTCTTGCTATGTGACTACTAGTACTTACTGAGCTCTCCTAGATGGTAATTCATTCTTGTTTTATATTGCAGCAATCGGTCTCGTCATATCTATCAAGACGTTTAACATTGTGTGAATAAATGAGACTTGGCCGTGTGTTTTCTAAGAACTAATCTAGAAATAGTCGACTTTTCTCTTGTGGCTCATTCTTAAGCGTGAGCATCATGTTGCCTCTCTCAACAGGTGTTTTTCCTCAATTATTGCCCAGGCTATTCAACACATCACCATCCAGCCCCCCCTTGCTCAACCCCTTATCCAACTCATCAATATGAGGAAGAACATATCGGCCTGCCAAAAATTCAGCTCCTTCATTCCAGTTTTGGCATTACATTCACTGTTGGTAGCGGCCTGCGAACGCGTGAACGAGCATTCTCTCGACGGTAAGAATGAACCGGAGATGCCGTTGGCATTTCATATCCAGGAGGACTGTGGGGACTCGTAAATGAATCCTCTTCTTCCATGACCGGTGGCAGCAAGCATGTGATGAACGGGTCACCCGAGCGTGGGATCTCCCTGAATGATGCTGCTGAGTGAAGAGAAGGACTTCGGCTGTGAGAAGGTAGGCGATTGATTGGCTTCGAGAATCTGAAATCTCCATACGGCGGCGCATTGTTTTGCCAATCAGAACGAGTGTGGGCCATTTCTGATTCAACAAGTCGAGTATCATTTGCTTCTTCACCATAACCCCTCAAGTCCAATTCTTGGCCAAAAACTTCTACTTCATCTGTCAATGGCGATCTCTCGCGGTCAGAAGACTTGGGTAAGCTCCTTTCAGACCGTTCCCTCAATCTGGAGCTGTGAAGTGGAGAGTTGCTGTCATCTGTAACGAGATTGAGGTCCCATAGATATGCCCACGCCCGATAATGAAAATAGAATCTCGCAAATGGTGCTTCTACAGCATCGTGTAGAATCCACTCATAGTAAGCAGCATCTTCAGGATGTTCAAGGAGTCCTGTTGAGGGTGATCTGTTGATTAAGTATTAGTATAAGCACGCAAACATCTTTCTGGCTTCTTAATCCTCTCTCTATACCCCAAGGGTCGACATACATAACACCATATTGTTGTTGATCACGGTGGGGACCTAGTTGGGGAGTGCACCTTCGGCGACTCTTTGCCCGAAAAACCTGGACTTCGATAACGCCTCCATCTTCAGCTGCAGCAGCGGCATCAGGGCCAGGAGAGAAGCAAAAAGAGCGCGACTCAATTCCGCTTCTTTTCAGCATCGTTCCATTTTGCTTCAAGTGCCATCTGTCGCTTGGCTCGTAGAGAGCTCTACTGATTGTGCCTGATGCGGCATCACTTATTCCACAGCTGGTGATATGACGCCCATTCATGAACAGTTTGAGGAAGAGGTAGAATGAAGGCTCTGGGCTGCGATGAATACGGTACTGTATCCAGAATTGAGAGCCTGGCGTAGAAGGTATGTAGACAGAGGCCCTTGAGGCTAACTTCAGGATACGGGCCGAGTCTGAGCCATGAGGGCTCGACTCATTTTCTTCTGTCTGCCCCCTTTCTCCCAGAGATACAACGCGAATTGAAGAAGCGTCAGGATGAGGAAATTCTGGTAAAGGCAGTGAGTCTGGTTGAACGATGACAGATAGCTCGATGCCTCGCAAACAAGGCATGTTTGTTATTATTGTGGAAAACAGTACAGAAGAAGAAAAGCTTAGGGGAGGAATAGATGGATGTTGAGCTGGGTGGTAACAGGAGAGAAGCTGTCAATACCACAATCTTTCTGAATGGGTTTATATTTTTTGAAGCAGGAAAAATTTCAGCTGATATATATTTACTACATGCCACATGGCAAAGTCTCCGAGGCGTTCCATTCAGTGATTGAATGCTCTATCAGCACGTATATTATACCACAGACGGAAGTCAACAGCTGCGTGGAAGTGGCAGAAATACTCTGCTTAGCAGTTTGCAATCCTCAGGTTTGTGGAATAACACAAAGTGACGACCATTTTACCTGATATGTTAGCTAGATAATTCTTTAGCTATAGACATCAGTCATCAATTTTTTCTCCTTTTGAGTATTAAACACGTCAATTCGTTATACGGATCAGCTGTTGATGTTATCCTCCGGCACAGACTGGCAGAATCTCAAGCCAGCAAGACATGACGTGTCGTCGATATGCACACAGCGTAGCGTTCAGAACTCGCATATACTGTCCAGTTTTGTCTGATTTCATATGTATTTTTGGCTTGCTGCGATATCTATGCGCATCAAGGATATGTATGTAGATACGTAGAAGAGGGTCGAAACTCCGTCACGTCGCTTCAATCGTCTATTGCTTCAATTTCCCTGCCCAAGCACCGCTTTTGTGTCCTCTGTCTTCCCTAGAAGCCCCAAATTCCGTATCTGGCTTGCGCTCGGCGCATTGTCTCGCGGGGTTGCTGATTGAGCTCGGGCGTATGCGGCTTGTAACGCCAGCGCTCTCGCATGCTGTGTTTCGTTAGCTGCGTCTCCTTCCAGCATGGCTGCTCTGCTTCCATCAACCAACCTCCTTCTTGTGGTGCAGGCACTCGTAGTAGTCTTCCAGCACGGGCGAGCACTTCTTCTTGCCCGAGTCGTCCTCGGCTGAGGTGTTGACGACATAGCAGGCCATGACCTCCTGCCAGAACGGAAAGCAGCGGCCAACGCCTAGAAGCACCGTCAGTCAGTATCGAGAGAAAATATTCTCGTCAAATCGGAGGCCGTACCGCCGTGCATGCCATATCCTGAAGCCATGATGTGCCGAGTTGTGTGTGTTGCGACGCCCAGGGACTCTTTTGCATCAACCAGTGATGGCAGTCAAGGTTCGGTGCATCGGGAATTAATGCTGCTCTAGGCGCTAACAAGTGTACTTAGCTTTGCACCTAAAATCCTAAGAATCTTAGGTACTTACGCATAAGCAGCGCGCCCCCGTTACTAAAGTAGCCCCGCTACTGAGCTGGAGTGCCTCCCATTGGCGAATCGGGACAGAGCAGTCCCGCTAATTCAATAACACTCACTGACACTCACTGATGACAGCATCAACAACACTTGAAGCGAGCAAGTCTCAAGCCTATGCAGCTGCCGGCGTCATTAACAAGCTATCAATTTTCTTTTTAAAGAAAAAGAGATTTATTCCCTCTTATAAACCGGCCACAAGGCCAGGATAACCTGCAGCCTAGCGCGTGGGAAAAAAAACAGCTTCAGCATGACTTCTTCACTCTCTCCAGGAAAGGTGCTGCTTCTCGCAGCTCACTATGCTACGCATGCAGATATCGAGAGCTTGGCCCGCTTGTCCAGCCAGCAGACCAAGGTGCTGCACAAGGAGCTGTTGTTGAGGATTCTTCTCACATATCTTCCTGAGATCGTTAAACCTTCCATCTATGTTGGTTTCTTGCTCTCACTGGCCAGGGACAGTCTCGAGGAATACTCCGATGGCGTGTTAGACACAGCTCCAGTTGAAGGCTTATCAGAGGATGAGGTCTCTAAGCGTGCAAGGAAGCTTCATCTTCAACAACTTACGTGCACCGACGCACCCAGTCACTTTCACAATGACCCGATAAGCACCTTTCTTATCCAGAGGTCGTATAGAATGGACAGCGAAACCGGGCTCTTATCACAGGTTCTCAGCCTGCTCACTCCCTTTTCATCTCACTCACCAGAACTTCGGTCTTGGATAACCTCAACAGTTGTTCCATATGTAAGGAGAAACGTGGAATATTATACGGATGAGAACCCTCCGTACTCTCTACTCGAATTTCAGAAGCTCTCAGATCCAGCCGCAGTGCTATATCTGCTTTCCAGGACTGGCAGCCGTGAAGGGGAGAAAGGCCTCATTGGCCGTGACATCAGAGGACTCATCGGGCCATGGCTTCAGGGACATATTCATTGGCGTTCAAAACCAACCGATGACGACAATCACAATGTTAGCGACGCCGTCTTCTCTGCTGGCTGGGAGCAGTTTCTGGAATGGCTCACTGATCAAGCAGTGACTTCATGGACAGTTGCTGTCGCTGTAACTGAGCAGTGGGGAGGACCAAAAGACCTGGATTTAGGAGAAACGACCGGCTCAGAACTGACAGAATCTCAGTTTCAGTACTTGCTCCAAGGCTATGCACGAGCAGCACTTGCATCTGCATATTTGATTTCCGAATCCACGGTGGAGGCATTACCTGGTGCCTATCAAATTACGACACATATAATGTCGTTACTTGGCCATGACAACATCTCCCCGACCCTCGATATGGCAGTTTCTAGACTGCCTAACATGTCTGACTTTGATGCGTCGTCATTCCTTGGCATGAAAACTGCGACCTATATGAGAAACGATCTGCTTAGAGAAACAAACCCATTGACTTCTCCCACGGAGGCAGCAATGGTCCTACTGCTGGCTTTAATTATGAGTGCTTCTATTTGTACCGGCTTCGGAGTGCCTTACTCTGTCAGAAAGGCCGGAGACTTGGCTTTTATTCAGGACCAACGCGAGCAAAAAGGCGAGATTGCCAAACTTATTCGAAGTGCGTCCACTCGAATACAGGGTGACGAAGATCAATACTGGTCACAAGTGAGAGACAAAATCCTATGGTTGAACACGTGGGGTATAAGTAGAGATCAACCAGCCAGTTCTGAAGCCATAAGAGGCATCGCTGGGACGGTGTCTACGGAGTTTATCGAAACGGAGATACTCAAGGCTCTACTCTCCAACTCACGTACGATATGCCCTAAATTATCCCTTGTCTTTTGCCCTGCTAATTTGCTATAGGTTACGCCCTTGCCAAAAGCATCTACGAGGACGGTCACAGCAAGCCCCTTGCCGCGGAAATAATACAAGACACAGTATATCAAGCGGCACTACGCGCTTTTGACAATGCTTCCAACCCGAACCGGTCGAGAGGAGGGCTCAAGAAATGTGATGAGATGTAAGATTCTATGGCGTTGTTCACTTTGTAATCAAACCATCTCACTAACACCCTCTCAAGCATCCATTCGTTCCCAGCGACATTGGACAAGACGCATCCAGCTACCAAGCGCGTGGAAGCGTTGTTGCGATGTACGCATGCCTTGAGTGATTATCGACTTACACTCAAGCAAGGAGAGCCATTCAAGCCCGTAGTCCTTCGAGTGCACTCTGATCCAATATCAATCATCGACAAAGTCCTTGAGCAAAACCCAAAGGCATACACACGTCTCCCCGAGTTCCTGGAAATGGCCGCCAACATGGTTCGCGCCGGTATAACGCAACAAGCCCGCTCCATCAAATTCGATTCAGAAACAGGAGACAATAGCAAGGAGCTTCATCGTGCGGAGAAGCTGATCATTGCTTCATGCATAGAGGCAGCACTAAGAGAAGATGACTTTGAGACGGCTTACTCCTACGTTGTTAGTCGTCTAGAAACACCCAGCTCTGATGGAGACCAAGACGAATGGTCTTGGAAGGCAGCCCTAAAAGCAGGCCAGTATATCCGAACCGAGAGGACGTTGCTGCCAACGCATCTAGGTATTGCAAGTGGCAACCCCGAGATCCGTCACCTAGAGCAGCGTATAGAGTGTCTCGCAACCGCGCTACGTGTCGCACCCACCTCTCAGCTTCAGGAGATCCTCAAAACTTTCCGACGCTGCGAAGAGCAGCTGGATTCCGCCATCAACGAGGAGGCTGCCGCCGAAGCTTCCTGGGCCGGAGTTGGAGAAGTTCCGGGAGCGTTTGAATCACAAGCCCCGCAGAACTTACAGCCAGCAAGGAACATGACGGCCACGGCTGCCTCTAGGCAGGCAGAAGAGGCGCCAATGTCCCTTTTCGATCTCTCACGAGCAACCGCCAGCATGGCATCGCGAAATTTCACCAAGCTGTCTAATTTACCTTCTCTCGCAACCTCCAGAGCACCGGCTTCACCATCTCCGTCTGAGGAGGCGCCGCGGGTGAGGAAGAGGGACCAGCTCAGGGAAGCAGCCACTGGCACGCTCGTCTCTGGAGTTGGTTGGTTAATAGGGGCAAATGTCAATCGAGAAGCGACGGAGACTTGAGAATGATGATGCTAAATTTTTTTTATTGTTTTATTCATTTTTTTTCTTTTCGCGAATGATATCCCAAGACTAGTCTACTAGAATACCTCCTCGTTCTACTAGGATGATGAACGGGAGTGCCTTGGCAGAAATAGATAGCATGGCAAACGAATTTCTCAAACTAAGCAGCATCCAGTCAAATGGAACTTTTACCGCGATGTATTCCAGCAACAGGTTCCAAATTTTGACGTGATTCATGCGTGTTAGCACAAGGGGTTGCAAGGCGTTGTGATCAGATGAATCGAAGTGTCGGGTACAAAGACAGCGAAAGCCTAGGACTCTCAAGCTGAAGCTGAGACCTCGTCGGGCAATCCTCATCACTAGGCAAGGACTAGGTATTATCGAAACACAGGATGTTTGATAAGGGCTTATGTGCCAAGCTGTCGTCTTGTCGTTTTCAGTTTTGCCGAGTAATAAACATATGGTCATAACGCAAACATACCTACTCAGTCCTAAGCTCAATTAGTAGCTGAATAAGTTGAAATCTAGCGCGCAATAGACAGTCAGAAGGTGAAAGTAGACAAGATAATGAAAGAAAAGAACACTATTCTTAGTCGCTCGTCAAGTTCGTTTGAGGATTTCGTAACTTCAGTGTTCCAACATGTCTTGGCTGATGCAATGTGCGTGATGTAGGTATGCAGTGTAGCAAGAAGAAATGGCGAGACAATTGCGAAGGGTGTGTTGTGTGAGCGAAGAAAGCCATCTATCGAACTCAAAGATGGGCGAACTGTCCGGAAATCGGAGATTTAAATTTGCGTGCACGAAGCCTTACTAAACAGTTGAGAATAAATGTATTTTGTTGTATCAAGAGGGCGGTAGATGATTACGGCGAAAATTGGTGGACTTTGCTGGCTGGCGTAGAAATGACAAAAAGTTTACACGTTGGCTACTGGATTCATCAGGTGGCAGTTAGCAATCTCATGGCGTATTGCGTTCATTATCGGCTGATATTAATCTGAACCCGAATTTGTTGCTTGTCGACTTCAGGCCTTATTGACAAACGGTACAAATGGCTGGCTGCAGAGCATGGTCGAAAACATCTGAAGCACGACCGATATTTATTGGTTCCATTAAGGCGTCACTTCGTCAGGAAAGAAAATCAGGGCTCCTGGGTTGATATTTGCTGGGCTGTGGTGTTGTTAAAACGGTATCAAAATGTTGGTTTTGTTTATGTAGTAGCGCAAGGTGACGAGTGATGAAGTGTTTGATTCTGCAAAGATCCGGAAGCTGCCCATAAACGCAACTCTGTAGCCGCAAGACCGACCAGCAAGAAAATTTTAAATATCCGCGACGACGGCCGAAAACCCGATAGTGTTTCCCCTCCCTTAGCAGTCGCATATCGCACGAAACTCCTAATTGAGTAGATTCTGACGAAAGAGTCCACAGCGGTCCCAGGAGGTCGATTGACGACTGCGGACAGGACAAGTAAAGTAAAGTAAAATAGAAAACACAACATGAGAAAAACCCGGAAAAATTGAAAACGCAGCAACAGGCAGTCCATTAATGTCAAAAGACGGTTTGCGCCAAAGATCGAGAAAGGGCAGTCAGAAAACCGCGGGCGTTACTAGTGCATAGCCGATTCCGGGCCTGTGAAAATTAGCAAACTTGATCAAGGAGCATTGTTTAGTGTCGGCTCGAACCTCCATACGACTCGCGTGCCTCAGGTCGTGAGGCAGAGTCGGTGTAAGCTGGGCCACTGCTGGCGGCTGGCTCACGAGATCGACCACCATCGCGGTCTCCGGTGCGCTCGTATCGATCGCGGTCATATCCACCGCCGCTGCTGTTGCCGCCACGAGCGCCGTAGCGGTCGCCTCGGTCACCACGGTCACCACGCTCTTCGCGCGAATAGTTGTTGCGTTCGCGACCAGCATAGTTGTCATCGCGCTCGCGGCGTTCATAGTTGCGCTCATAGTCTCGTCCGCCTGCGTAGTTACGGTCATCATATCGTCGCTCATCTCGGTAGTTGCGGTCGTAGCCTGCTCCACGCTCCTCATATCGTCTCTCATATCCGCGCTCGTAGTTGCGGTCGTAGCCTCTCTCATTGCCACGGTATCGGTAGTCATCACGATAACCGCCGCCGCCGCCGCCTCCGTAACCGCCACGTCGGCGATCATCAAAGCGAGAGCGGGGGTCTTTAACAGAAAGATGTCAGTATCGCAAATGATGGGTTTGATTTTCATCCGAAAGAATTGTCTCAACTTACCTCTCTTCGGAGGCCCAAAGTACTTGCCGGGCGTGGGCGTGCGAGGACGAGCGCGGCGGGCCTTTTCGATGCTCATAGTGCGGCCTTCGATGACCTCGCCCTGGAGGCCTTCCTTGGCGGCCTCAGCTTGTTCGGAGGTGACCATTTTGACGAATCCGAATCCACGAGACTCCTTGGTGTGAGGGTCTCGCATGATTTGGCACTTCTCAACCTCGCCATACTTTTCAAACATCTTGGAGACCTCAGCCTCAGACAGACGAGGATGGATACCAGTGACAAAGAGGTTAGAGCCGGGGTTAATGGCACCATCGTCATCCTCCTTAGGGGCGGGTGCATCCTTGATGTTGCTGCAATTCAGGTTAACAGTGCGACAACGAGGCGAGAATAGTCGTCAAGCTTACATATCAGGATTTCCGGGGGGAGACATGGATCGGCGACGACTGCCTGCGTCGTCGCGCGCCGGTCGAGGAGAAGCGCTTCTGTTGTCACGCTCGTAACGAGGAGGCTCGTCTAATGAAAACCATGAAGCGTTAGTTGTGGGCCAATTAATCAAGGGCACGCGGCACAAACGCGTCGACGTCAAGTCGTCGCCATGGCCATCGTCGTCGTCAGAAACAAAGAACACGAACCATCGTAGCGATCGCCGTTGGCGGCCTCGTAATCCATTGAAGTAGTCGCCATGTTTGCCGGATGACTAGAGATGGGAAGAAGAAAAAAAAAAGGTGAGCAGCCGACGAAATCTGATGGAATTGGGTGATGGTTTGGCAGTTCGCTTCTGCTTGGCGAAAGTAGAAGGGAAGGCTGGAGAAAAAAACTTGGTAGCACAGGGAAAAGATGTACTGTGACAGCGAAAGCCGATGATTAGGCGGGTTGGGTGAGCGTGCGAGGGCACAACAGCAGCTGAACAACGCCCGAGGCTGGCTTTTCGGATGAGGGTTTGGGACAAAATAAACAATCCAGGTGCTTCGTCCGGCTGTGGCTTGGTTTTTGTAAAGGAAGGGATGAGCTGGATGCGAGAGGCTGCTGGGAAGGGCAGCCCGTCCAAGGCCAGTGTCAGCTCGAGGCTACTGTGAAGCATGGGCCAGGCGGGTGGCGACTTTGGTACCTTGGAGGTACGGAGTACAAAGGACTGCAGGTACTAGCGCAGCCGCTTTAAGAGAAAAGTGATGCAGCACGCCAGCTGCAGTTTCAAGGCAGCCAGTCCACGTATCAAGATGGATATCAATACCACAACTGGCCAATACGCCTACGTAGAAGTGGCAGCAGCAGGGGCAGCAGTAGCCCATGCTATAGCTGGAGTGCTGGATGATAGAATCCAGGCGTTGGATAACTTTTCCCTACTTTATTCACCAAGCATCTGGTGATCCAGATACTTCCTAATTTAGGCGGTACACCTAAATCTATCTTATTCGTATATGGATGTCTTTCTTTACCATCTTTGCAGGCCTATGTGGCAGAAGTATGGAATAACAAACAAAGTGGTAGCGACTAGTTACTTCGCTGAAAGATGGAATCGACGCAAATGATCATAGGCTCTTTGTCGAGTTCCACAGCGTATGAAAATTCCCGGCTCGGGCTGTCCACAACCACAAACCTCACCAAACATCCTCTGGGTGGACCTCGTGCTGCTCGCCGTCGTCTCTGACATGCTCGTGTTTTGCATCCCTCTTCATGGACTTGCGCATGTCAAACGCATCTTCGCTGTCCTTGTCAGGATCCGTGGCATGCTCGCCATAGTAGTCCTTGACAACACGGAAGACGCTATAGCCCAGTTCTTTGTAGAATGCTATGGCTTTTGCGTTGCTGCTGCGAACAAATAAGTCCATAAACCATGTGTTGTGAGTATCTGCTGCGGCTTCTAGCTGCTCGACCAAGATTTTGCCAATGCCCTGTCTTCTTGCTTCCGGAGCTACAGTCAGGGCTGTGATATGGGCGTGCCAGGGAAGATAATGCTCTGAGAATTTGTATGCGTCTGGCGATGACTCAACCTTTCCCATGACTTTAAGCAGTTACATTAAATCAGTATCGAGAGAGAGTGGCTTGCGGAGGGGGCGACGAACTGTATCCAACAATATTTCCTTCTGAATCCTCGCATACCTGAAACAGAGAGGGCCATTTTGCGTGGTACTGAAGATAGAAGTTGAGCTCATACGTCTCTGTTAAGGGATCCAGGTTGCATTTCGAGAACTTGTTGACATCATCTGGTCGAAAGCGCCGGAATGTGGTCATCGTGCTGGCTCGGAAGAGCCCTTGCTCTCACTTCAAGACAGCCCACCAATGAATAAAGACCCAACCGCCGGCCGTTTGCCTTTGTCAAGGGAGTATGACTTTAATGATTTTCACTAGCAGTGGAGCGACTTAACATAAGTGATTCGTATTAGTGGAGATTCCCGAGTGGCTGTTGAGAGGTATCTGGTCATGAAATGCTTAGGCTGGCGAATGGAGATGAAACCTCGTCAAACTGTAAGCCCACATAATCCAATTCTAAGGAAAGAGGAAGGAAATACAGCTCTATAGCTCTTACCAGTTCTAATAAACAGTGAATTGTTAAAATTGAATGATATTTCTTAACTCTTTATTAACCACCGGTATATGAAAGGAATAGAGAGTGAGTTGTATCTTACTAGTAGTACTTGCACTCTGCAGCTTCACTGGTGAAAGGCCGCACGCTCAAAGCGGGTGTTGTTTTTTGTTGCACGCCGCAGCAGCCAAACTAAGCCTGGGAAATCATGCAAGCTAGAAAGTTGATGGATACCTTCCCGGAACCTTTGGCCCCGCCAATTTTCCTTGGTTTTAATTGTACTAAAGGGTACTAGAAAAGTCCCCTATCTTATCGTGATAGGGAGCTGCTTACCGTATCTTTAGTTCTTGGTACTCGACCCTGGTGGGATCTGGATGATTCGGGGTCTCCTACCCATAGCAGATACCAGTAAGAAAGTTGGCGTTGCAATAAATTTTGTTCCTCAACCACCAACGAAAACCGACAGAGACCAAAATTACACTGGAAAACAGCATCGCATCATCTTTTCCGGGGGACTGTGTTCAGCAAAACTGCGCTCAACCATTATGCCCGGGTCGCCGCGAACTCCACGACACTCTCGCAACTCATCAGCAATCGACAGCTTTGCGGGCTCCCCTCAAATTCGACGGTATTCGAGATCTTCCACGCAAGATGCAGCAACCTCGTTCAATCACAGCCCAAGCCATGATGCTCTCGATCTCTCAGTCCTAGGCGGCGGTGGATCAGGGGCCAACGGAATGGGGAACCTAGCTGATGAGTTGGCGGACGCATTTTCCGATTCAGGGGAAGAGGGCGACTACGATCCCGAACCGACAGGCCAGGCAGAACACAACAACGACGCATCACGAAGCGCAACGACTCATGATGAGGCAAGAAAGAAGGAAGGCGATGCGGCGAGCTTGCTCTCCCCTCGTGCAAAGGGCCACCAGAGAAAAACCAGTCTATACGATGGCAGTGACTATGGCTCGGACTCAGACCTCGACATTGCCGGCATACCCCCCAGCCTGATGGCAAAGATTGACGCTGTCGAAAACCTCACCATTCGCGGGACGGATAACTACGGAGGCACAGCAGACGACGTACTGAAGCGGGTAATACAGGAGCTGCGTGACCTGGGATCGCAATCCAGCGTTGAGGGTAGCGCTTCGAGGTGAGCTAACAACATCTTGAACTCGCATATGAAAGAGGCATCCAAGCGCTAACTCTTGTGATATTTGGTTAGACTTATAACAGCACACTCTGCGTTGACGACGCATCTTGCACACCAGACTCGTCAACTTCACAACCTCACCTTTCCCTTGCTATCCCCGCTAGCACCGGCACCTGACGCTGAAACGATTGAAACGCTTGAGCCGCTACTCGTATCTCTGACAGAAGACATGCCACGGCCATCGACGTCGGCGTTCAACTCTCTCACAGCGCTACATTCCATCACATCGGAACTAATACAGTCGCTGAGCTATCTCTCGGATACGCTGCACATGTCCCGCCAGACAACGGCCGCAGCCAGCCGCAGGCTGAAGAGCGCAAAGGAGCTCGTTGCTGAAATCAGGAAGGAAGATGACTTGAGAGAGCAAGGGGAGGAGTGGCTGACTAGAGGAAACTGGGGCGAGCGGCTGGAGAAAAGGGAGTGTGCAAGCGTCTGCGGAGAAGTGATTGGCGGGTTCGAGGATGTCTGCAATTCCTGGAGAGAGCGGCTGCTGGCCCAGGCCGAATCTCAGGCGTAAATACTATTCTGTTTTACTACCACTACCACTATCGCTACCTATTGCTGCGTTTATTACCACCACTGCTATGACTTTTGTTTTTGTTTTTGATAAAGAGGGACAGGATAGAGATGACGGCGGCTGCACTGATAAGCGAATGGCACCAATTTTGTTACCTATTTTACTTTTTTGCCAATGTTATTTTCGCAATAGACAGATTCATGGATAGAATATTAATGGCCTTGTTTATGATCATGTAAGTGGCTGGCGTGACTGGCTCGATGACCAAATGCGTAACAAAATAGACTCTTGCTTTTGGCGTAGAAGTGTAAAAGGAGTCCGTTTGCCAAGGTACGTGGATACAGTTGGATCGCAAATATGCCCGAGCAGCCGAGGGGCGTCGGTAATGAAACTATGTTTCGAGAATTTGCACTAAATGATTCTCCTTCAAGCTTCTAAATCTGACGGATCAATTTCTTGGAAAGGAAACACATATACTAATAGTAAACATCAACACTCAACACGAGGCGATCTAAACCAATTTCCTGACGAAAGTTGTAAACAGTCATTGAAGTAGATTGTTTTGTGTAAGCAGGAGCCTTTCTAAGATGCTGAAAAGCATTGAGAAGAGCGTCTTGGCTTTCAAAGTCTTAGCCTTTTAAGATGTATAAGGTATTTGCAACTTTGTACTGATATACTGTTGCCACTGTCCTATTGACTTCGTCATCCCCTTGTTAGCATCTCCAGCTCCGGCTCCAGCTCCATATAGTACCACGAGCGAGTGCTATAAATGGTCCCGGCACTAAGCCCATGGGGACAACCTTGTTAGACTACCAGATTACTCAGCGGCATGGGGAAATGGAAAGAAACACGAGACTACATCGAAAATGGTGCCTGTGCTCGTACGTCAGAGAGCGAAAGCGAGTCGCAACGCATGGCTGACGCGAAACTGGTGCGTCCAAAGTCGCCCGGCACGAAAAAACGCGACTGCGCACTTTACTGGGCGGCGGGGACAAGTTCCAGGGCCAGGGAGAGGCGAAAGCGCCGCTGATTGGCCGCAGCTTTCCTTTCAGACAAGAGAGGACCGGCATTAGCAGCCAACCCGCCGCATCTGGCCACTAAAGTGGCGCGTCCCCTGCTGGAGACCCCCATAATGTTTACCTTGCACGTCCATATGCAGGTGCACGCAGTTTTGGGGGTTTCCTTGATCAGATTCAAAACAAACAACACAGCAACAATAACAGCGCATGGCGGGATGCAAGGACGGAAAGGCGACGCTGCGACTGGCGGCGAAGCGCCCAGGGTCCCTTTCAGCCGGTCTTTTTAATCTGACTCGATGTGATATGTGCACTTGTAGACGATTTCAATTTGCCCCGTACCTATGTGAGTACTTTAATATCAATACATCTGGTACGTAAAAGGTCCCTGAGCCGGCACTTTATAGTGCTGTGCGGGACGACACGCGCATGTGGATGCTACCGCAGGCCGTTTCTTCTTACGATTCAATACGTATCAATGATTCTGTTCTTAGAGCCACTTGAACTCGAGTGTTGAATTTGAGTTTTTTGTGTCTAGCGGATAATAGTAGAAGTGCCCGTAGATCCGCCCTACTTAAAGAATTTCGAAGCCTCGAACTTTGTGGTCTAACAAATGTGGCTAGTATACACGAGCACCTGAATCTTATAATTCTGATTCATTGTATAGATGCCAGCTCTATTACATGCATCGCATCGCGTCGTATTTTGTATGGCTGGAGTGTAAAGACGAAAGAGGATACAAACGAAAAGAAGAAACAGGGTGCCATTGTGTTTATTGTAACCATGCACGCACGCATGCATTTATGCATTTATTCATTCACTCATCCATTCATCTCATTGACAGAATCATTGAAAGGTTGTGGCATCCAATGTATGAGATAACATAATAGGCCAGAGAAAGAAAAGTTTAGGGTCAATATAAGAAAAAGAGCCCCTGCTCTTATTGTTTACTTTTGCAGGCGAATGGTAGCAGTGAGAGCGCTTTTGGCGTGTGCGGCCAATGTTGTTGTTCACGCACGCCGCGTTTTCCCACTAGCACTCACTGCTAATATTATTGTTCCACCCCCCTTTAGCACGTTGACGCCCCCGACTAGGCATAGTCCAGCTCTCGCAGCCATTTCGCAGCGGCTTCAACCTCCCTCCAGCAGCTTCTCGCAGCTTTCCGTCTCAACCACAGGCCCATCTTCCGTCTTCCTCACCCACCAGCCTCCTTCGCTTTTGCACTCCCTCGACAACTTGTGCGCCTGCAAGTGCCAGTAATCGCCAACAACTGACTGCACTGGGCCATATAGTCTTTCAACTTTCTTTTTGTCTTCTTAAGTTTTTGTGTGTATTCGGGCCTTGTCGTCCGTGCGATTGGCGTTGATTAAGCATCCACCAGTCGTCCCAGGCGATAGTCGCCAAGCCGCCCTCTTTTTCTCTGCCTCTATCCCTCGCCCTCGCTCTCGCTCGCGGTGGCCTCTGCTCGATGAACACAAGACTTGCACCCGCACTCTGACTGGATGCGCGCTCGCTCACCCTCTTCTCGGTTGCTCCCAACATAATTTTACTCGCCTCAGCATCATTTCTGTCTTCACCCGCAACCGCCCCGCCGCAGAGCCTGCGATCCGAGCAGCAACTCCGAGGGCACTTCCCACGACGGAGCTGCGTCTTCCATCACGACCACGCCCGCAAGCCCTGAGGCTTACTCAAGCACCACACAGCGGCATCTCCATTCGTCGATATCATGGGTTCCTCCAAGAGAACCATGGGCGAGTCGAAGCAGCCATCCACCAACAACACCGTTCGCATGTCCACGCCTCCTCCCGTATCAGAACGCAGCCGGCTGGAAGCAAAACCAAATGCAGAGAGCAACAGCGGCACGATGCGACGAATGCGAACCAGAGCACGGGCTAGCGATGTCGCCCATCCCGCGGCTTTCGATGTAGACGCCGTCGACAGCGCCCTCTTGAGGGAACTGCAACGCCCCGAGCGTGAAAGCACTATCGAAGCAAGCCCGTCTCGCAAACGCCAGAGGATCAATGTCGATCGGTTGGTTGCCCCCGTTGGATCATCCATCATGGCCTGAATTGGCTTCTAACTGTGCAATCTAGATTCATCCCGAATCGCACTGGCCAAGATTTACAAGCCAGCTTCAGTCTTCTACATGAAGATGCTTCTCCCGCTACTCCCTCAAGACATAAGAAGAGGACGCCACAAGGTGAACTTCACTTCCAGAAGAGTAAGCCGATTCTCCCCTCTCATCGCCCCCTCTCATGCTTTCATCCGCAAAGGTTAGAGCGATAAATAGCGATGGTCACTGACTCACTCACAGCCGAGGAGGCCAATCGCACATTCTCAACGTTACTGCGTGCGGAGCTGTTTGAAGGATCAGTGCCACAAGTCACTCCCTCTTTATCACCAGACAGCAACCTGCCCGCTGCATCACATATCACTGTTCAGGATGGCACACGATCTCACACCCCTCCCAGCCACAGCTCTGTCGTAACTCTACCTTCCTCATTGACCCCATCAACCCCCCATAAGAACCTCTTCTCATACCTCTCGCCCCGTCAACACGGCCACCCTGTGGGCCACCTCACTCCCTCAAAAACTCCCCAGAGTCGGCATGGCCCGAATCTGGATACGAGAGCAGAGATCTACAGTTTATCACCTGTGCGTCTTGGTAGCCAGCAGATGCTCTTGAGCCCGCGCCGGCAACCTCGGGCAGTCAGCAAAGTCCCCTACAAAGTCCTCGATGCCCCTGAGCTCGCAGATGATTTCTACCTCAATCTAGTTGACTGGGGAAGTGCAAATGTTCTAGGGGTCGGGCTAGGATCTAGCGTTTACATGTGGAATGCTCAGACCAGCAAGGTCAACAAGCTCTGTACCTTGGAGGATGATACCGTAACAAGCGTATCATGGATACAAAAGGGCACACACCTCGCCATCGGAACCGGAAAGGGCCTTGTCCAGATCTGGGATGCGGAAAAAGCTAGAAGATTAAGAACCATGACTGGACATACGGCTCGCGTTGGATCCTTGGCGTGGAATTCGCATATACTCACCTCTGGCTCTCGTGACCGGCTCATTTACCACCGAGACGTCCGGGCACCAGACCAATGGCTCAAAAAGCTAGTCGGTCATAAGCAAGAGGTTTGTGGTCTGAAATGGAACTGCGAAGATGGCCAGCTGGCCAGTGGTGGCAACGATAACAAGCTCATGGTCTGGGATAAACTCTCAGATACACCCCTCTGGAAATTCTCTGAACACAATGCTGCCGTCAAGGCCATTGCATGGTCACCACACCAGCGAGGCCTGCTTGCTTCTGGCGGCGGTACAGCTGACCGCCGCATCATATTCCACGACACCGTCAAAGGAACCGTTGTCAACGAAATCGATACCGGAAGCCAAGTGTGCAACCTCGCTTGGTCGAAAAACTCCAACGAGATCGTCTCAACTCACGGCTATAGCCAGAATCAGATTGTTGTGTGGAAGTATCCGTCCATGACACAAGTGGCCAGCTTAACCGGACACACCTACCGTGTTCTGTATCTGGCAATGAGCCCTGATGGCCGCGTTATCGTGACGGGAGCCGGCGACGAGACTCTGCGTTTCTGGTCCACATTCGGTCGACGGCCAGGCAACCGGGAAGATGGTGAGACAGGAAGCGGTAAATTCGCCGACTGGGGAATCATTCGATAAAATCTGACATCTGGCTGATCAAGCCATACGAGATCATGACAATCTGTTTGAAATCACATCTCTCCTTGGACAAGATGCTCCATTTCTTATATTTATACCCAGGGCGTCTCGTCCCTCCTCCTTTTTTCCAAAGTACTAGTTTTTTTTTTTTTTTTTTTTTTTTTTGCTTTTTTTTTCCCTCCAATTTTACGCAGGGAGTATGTACGCTGTTTTGGCAAGGCGTGTGAAATGCTTCCACACAAGCCTGGGATATTGAGACTGCGGAAATGAAATGCGATAACGTCTTTGCTATTCATCTGATTTATTTATCATTTGGCATAATCTGGCGCGGCGGTGACGAGGGTATTTTTTCTTGGGTCGCTTAAGCGGCATGGTTACTATTTTTTTTCTGGTGTTTTTGGGTCGGGCTATTTGTTATCAGGCCCAAGGTGTACATTGGCTTCTTCTTTTTTACTCGACACCCTATTGCAGCATGAAAAGGCAAAGGGTCATTAAGACGACCAGGAAAGCTTCCTGACAGCGGTCACAGTTTTTGCTGCTTCAGTGCAGCCCAGCGCATTTATAGAGAGGATAGGGCATATATCTGATCACGAACTGACAAATGAACATATAATCTATCAATCTACGTTTGACAATTTGCACTCAATGTGGACAGTGATGCAATGTGTATAAAGACATAATCGTTGTACTATCTAATAAATGACGAAGATGATAAAAAGCCAGTAGTATTCTAGCATCCAAATCCAAACAAACCTACGCTCAAGTTCTCCTGTTGCTATAGCTAATCCGCTCACTCAGTCCCATGTCCAGGTCGTAATGAAGAAGAGAAATAAAGGGGAAAAAAAGAAAGTTTCGATAGAAACTCAAAAGCCTAGTCGAATAAAAGCTTCTACCAAAAACAAATAAACCAAGATAAGACAAAACTTGCGAGGATATCATTCCAACACCCAAAAAAAGAAGATAGATACATTAAAAGAAACCCCGGCCCCATAACGTTCAGCTTACCGTATATCATTCATTAACTGTTTATTTCACGGGCTCTTGGCATTAAAGGCGTTGTGACTGCCAACACTTGACTTTCCAATTCCCCCTTCTCTGACATCACCAACAACAACAACCACCTCCTCTCCTCATCTCCTTTCTTCCCTTATCCAACCCCCTTTAGATTCACAAAACAGAGAAAATCAAAACGTATTCTTAGTCTTCGCCTGCTTTCCGTTCCCTCGCGATGCCGTCATCCCCTCTGTCCACTCCAGTAGCGCTGACCTTGGAAGTTTCATCTAGCATGGGTATATGGTCCAGGCTCGTAGTTCTGTCCTTTCCGGCAGTCGGTCGCATTGGCGACGGTGCCAGAGGCGAAGCTGCCAATTGCGCGTCTAAACTTGTGCCACCTTGCACAGGCGGACCATCCGTGTGTGGAGTCATATGAGGAGACTGGGGTAGCGTCTCTGGGTTGTTCTGCCACTTGATGACGTCTGCTCGCATCGCCTCGAGCTCTTTCTGGAAGCGCTTGCCAAAGACATCGATGTAAAAGGTAGCACCGTTGTAGATACTCCAGCCGAATACAACAAGGAGGAATGCGGTGGAAGCCCATCGGCTAAGGAACCAGAGCGGGCAGGGGAGGATGGTGAGCACGGCGTAAAAGTACTGAATTATCATAAAGGTGGGTTCTTGCAGCGCGGCAGGGCGGGCGAGGACGAATTTGCCAATCCAGGTCTTGGCATATGATCGTCGAAGCCAGGTAAAGGACGTGAGACGGCCAGCAGCAATCTTGTCTCTTCGGCGCACAGTGATGAAGAAGTAGTAGTTTAGTTGCCAGATTGCATAGGGAAGGGTGCTCCACGCAAGCATGGAGAGGACATTCGCGTACGCCGTCGGCGATCCAGGGACCGAATACTTGATGGCGTAGATAGCTGGGAACCGTATCATCTGCTCTGCAGGCGGGTAGAGGTGCACAATGCAGTGGAGCGTGGCGCAGGGCATGATGTGTATGAAGAGAGACGTGACTTTGTCAAAGCTGTGGAATACCAGGGAGTTACGCCACATGATGATTGCCACAGCATTGTTGCCATAAGACAGACAGTACGCCGCCATGAAGAGCCGTTTCGATTGGGGGAAGACCCAGAGGCTAAGACTGAGCAGCACGTTGACGAAATAGCAGAGATCGGCCAAGAAGTAGTGCATTCCACGCCGCTTGTAGGTGAAGATACGGATGGGCATAAAGTATATGAGCTGGACAGTATACCAGATGTGGAACCATTCAGGAAAACCACCCATGAGGTATCCGCTTGCAAAGATGTTCATAACGCCGCAGATGAAGGATATCTTTTCTCGGAGACTGATGGCCTTGGTATTGTTCCATTGCTTGCCGAGCTTCTCGACTCGCTCCCGCATGCGCTTCCTGTACCGCTCGAGCTGCTCGTCGGCCGAGGGGACACGTCGCCGCCATTCTTCCACCATTCGCTCGCGGGCCAGCTGGGTCTTGGATTTGAAGGCATCTCTTGATCGTCGAACCTTGTCGGTCTGGGCGGAAATGCCCCTCTGGAGCTTCTCGAGCTGCTGCGGCAGGGCAAAATTGTCCAGGAGATCAAGGACGGTCAATCGATCCAGCGGCGGCAGCGTGTCCCAGTCATCTTGATAGGTGCTGCTGCTGCCAGAGAAGGACGGATTCCTGGACAGCCTGTGGCTCTTGGGCGTCGTTGCGCTGAGGGTCGGGGAATCGAGGACATCGGCGTCGAGTGGCGATGAGCTCAGAGGAGAGGCAAGATCCGCCTCTGCAGTGGCTGGAAGGCGGTCGATGTTGCCGGACGACCTGGTGCCCGGCGTTGAAATAGGAGTAGTCGAGTTGGTTTCTTCGTCCATCTTCACGGTGGGCAATTGTGGCTAGCACCACGATCTGATTTGCACAGATAAGGCTGGGCTTCTGGTCGTTCACAGGCCCATAGACTACAATCTCTGAGGATCCGACCGAAGAGTCAAGAGGTTCGGCAGTATCGCGGTTGGATCAAATCATGGATGTTCGGGCTAGGATGATGGCTGATATAATTGCAAACGGTGGCAAAAATGTCACCGCAAGTAATGACCACAGATCGACAACGTGGGTCAAGATACGTAGGGGTAGAAACAGGATAATGGGAGAGAGAAAGAGCGCCAGCAAGAGGCGAGGCTATATTTGAGGTGCCAGGAGAGAGGTTTAGGAAAAGAGGGGAGGGCAAAATATAAAACAGAAGAGAGTTTCTTTTTAGGTTGCGATGTTGATGCGAGCCCAAGTCAATGTCATGGCTCCATCGATGATCATCCGCAGGATGCCTCTATCCAAGCTGTCCCCAGCCCAGGGTCGCGGTCTCGTCCATGTGATAGTTCAAGCAGTTAGCAGGTACCTAGAACGATGACGAGGCTACAACTCAGTACTTATGGCGACAATAGCAACGGCTAGGAGATAAAGGTCTCTTTGGGTAGCGCCTTCCAACACGTTTGAAGCTTAAAGTACAGCAAAACACGGGCAGTAGCCCAACAACCCCACATGCCCTCTGGATTAGCGGCTGCTGGACCCCTGTTCCCAGCAAAGAGTGTACAGAGCACATGCATCGCATTACTCGGGCAAAAATGCTGCACACGACAGAGAAGAACGGAACTTGGGACATTTTGCTGCATCTTATTGGGCTAGGGATAACTTCACATGCGGCGGCTTAAGCAGTGTTCTTTCCTACCCGGCAGCAGCCCGGAAGATGGACGCAAAAGACATATACAGTCTTATACGGAGACGAGGCTTAAGGTCAAAGATCTGGTGTACAAAGTGGCCGTAGAGAAATATCATAGCACGTCATTGGGAAAAAAGGTAATGTGGTCCAAGCCATCTGACAGCCCACTGTATTGGCTTCTTTTCTTTTTGCTTTCAGGCAGGTCGTCGACGAGGTCTAAAGAAGTCGAGAGCCATTGCTGTGTAGCAGGTGCTGCGGTTCCGCTCTCTGGTTGGAGGAGGCCGGGCGCTAAACAAAGACAAGCCTTTTTTGGGGTCTTGAGTCAGCTGTGAAGCGGCTTTGATGCGTCAACAGCTGGGCCTATTGTTTGTGAAGTCCAGAAGAACGTCACGTGGTTGAGACATCATTGCGCCAGATGCGGAACGGCCATTGTACGGAAATGGGTTGGTGTTGATCCATGGCAGAGCAAGCTCGGCTCCCCAAGGCCAGCGCAAAACTGCCCTACCCCCACCATAACGTGTGCTCGCTATAGCGCCTTGGTCCTACCTTAGGCCCAGGTCCCATTAGTGGTGCTACCCAGCAGCAGCAGAGTGGTGCCTGTTTTAGTGAACTTTACAGAATCGCAGTTCGCGACGCGTCAAAGCTGCTTCTCGCATTGCGCACCGCTCACCAGCAACACCTCGCCTTTCCCTAGCATGACGTGCTGCAGCCTCACGCATCGTCGCGGAAACTTGTAATTTGCGCTGCACCGCCCATGAGAAGACTGCTTTGAAAGATCCGCATCGTGTGGTGTTGTGTCGACTCTGAGATTGGGCTACTCCGCGCGTGCTCCGCCGCCAGAGCTGCTTCGTTACCAGCGCTTTTGTTTTGTATCGGTTGCGACTGAATCTTGATTGAATTTTGCGGGCTGCGGGCGCCGCTGCACCTCGTTCACCATGGGCAAACTCATCCGCCTTGAGTTGCACAGTATGTTCTACTTGCATTCGTTGTTGATCGTGGTCGCTGGGCTTTACTAACTGCGCTTCAAGACTTCAAGTCCTACAAGGGCCACCATACCCTCCTATTCGGCGATTCCTACTTCACCTCGATTATTGGACCCAATGGATCGGGCAAATCCAATTCGTGAGTTGCTTCAACTAAGATATTCGTGCCCGTCGCTATTGGGCCGCTGTGCTAATCACGAGGGTGGGATAGCATGGACGCCATCTCCTTTGTCCTTGGCATCAAATCCTCTCACTTGCGCTCTACGCACCTCAAGGAGCTTGTCTACCGTGGGCGCGTTCTGAAGACATCCAAGATCAACGACGATGGGTCCGCCCAGGCGACTGCCGATGCGAGCAACTTTGCCGACGACGATAAGGCGTCTCGAGGCGATCCAAAGACCGCTTGGGTCATGGCTGTATATGAAGACGACGCCGGAGAGGAGCAAAAATGGAAGAGAACCATCACTAGCCAGGGAGCTAGCGAGTACCGGATCAACGACCGAGTGGTTACGGCTCAGCAATACAACGAGGCCCTGGAAGCGGAAAATATCCTCATCAAGGCGCGCAATTTCCTCGTTTTCCAAGGAGATGTCGAGGCTATTGCTTCACAATCTCCCCAAGACCTCACCCGTCTCATTGAACAGATATCGGGAAGCTTGGAATACAAGTCCGAGTACGAAAAGCTCCAGGCCGAAGCCGAGCAAGCCATCGAAAACCAGAATTTCCAGTTTCACCGCCGTCGTGGTATCAACTCCGAAATCAAACAATACCGCGAGCAGAAGAAGGAGGCAGACAGCTTTCAAAAGAAAACCGAGGAAAGAGATGCGGCCATTGTCACGCACTGCTTGTGGAAGCTTTTCCATTTTCAGAAAGCCATGGACGATTCCAGTGCCGCCATTCAAGATCACCATGAAAACTTGAAAGAGTTTCGAAGAAATGTACAAGTGTTTGAGAATCGACTTGAGGAAGCTCGACGAGACCAATCTACTGTCCAGAAGCAGGTTAACAAGGTGGAAAAGGATATCAAGCACGCAGAACGAAATATCGAGGATAAAGAAAATGCTCTGGTTCCATTTGATGAGAAGATCCATGAATCGACGCAGCAAATTGAAAAGCTACAGACTCAGTCGCAGAAAGTCAGCAAGGAACTTGACGAGCAAACTGAAATTGTTCAGAAAGTCAACAAGGATATTGCGAGCGTCAAGAAGGCCCAGGATGTTTTTGAGAAAGATGTCAAAGAGCAGCTGAAGAAGACTGGCCGAGAAATAAGTGACGACGACCGCAAAGAGTACAACGCGCTCCGAGGACAGGTTTTGGCTCGCTCTGGTTCCAACCAGGCAAAACTGGAAAACCTTGAGCGGCAGAGGAAGGCGGATGAGGTTACCGTTAACAGTCTCAAGGGCAAGGTAGATAGTGTCTCCGCTGCCATTGAGAAAATGGAGGCAGAGCTTACCAGCATCGGAGAAAGGCGAAGCTCGGCGGAATCCGCAACAAAAGACATCACTAATGAAATCACCACCAAGAAGAAGGAATTTAATCAGCTCCAATCTGAGCGAGTGCGAGCCAACCAAAAAAGGACTGAGCTCGAGGAGAAGCTCGAAGATGTTGCGAAAAAGCTAAGAGAGGCCGACGATGGCCGCCGCCAGAATGATAGGGAGACGCGCATGAAAGAAATGGTAACGACTTTGAAACGGATCTTTCCTGGAGTTCGTGGCCGCGTTGGCAACCTGTGCACGCCCAAACAAAAGAAATACGACGAGGCCGTCATCGTTGCCCTGGGAAGAGACTTCGACTCTGTGGTTGTCGATACAGAGAAAACCGGTGTGGAGTGTGTTCAGTATTTGAAAGAGCAAAGATTCTCCCCCATGACGTTCATCCCGCTCGACAATATCAAGGTTAATGCTGTCAACACCGCCATCAAGGGTTTTCCGGGCGCTAGACTCACAATCGATACCATCAACTTTGAACCAGCAGTCGAGAGAGCAATGTCATACGCATGTGGTAGCTCTGTGGTTTGCGATACACTTGATATCGCTAAACACATCTGTTACGAGAAGAAAATCCCGGTCAAGGCCGTTACACTAGAGGGATACATTATCCACAAAGCCGGCTTAATGACGGGTGGTCGTGGTCCTGAACCCAAAGGCGGAAAGCGAAAGTTCGAAGAAGCTGATGTTCAGAATCTTCAGCGAATGGCGGCCAAATTGAAGAGCGAGATTGATCGTCTACCAAAAGCGGATCGTCGGGGAACTCAGGAAGAATCTCTACAGATTGAGCTTAACGGGTTCGAACGGCAACTGGCGGCTACCAGAGACGAGTTAGCAGCGTTGAACAAGAACTGGACAAGCAAGAAACGCGAACTCGACAGCCAAAAGAAGCAGCTACAAGAACTTCAGCCCAAATATGAAACCCAGTTGGAGCAACTGGATCGCACCAAGGACACAGTCCAAGAGTTCCGCGACGCTATTGCGCGTGTGGAGGATGACGTCTTTGCTGGATTCTGTAAGAAGCTTGGATACAGTGACATTCGTGCATACGATGCTTCCCAAGGTAAATTAGAACAAGAGATTTCCGAGAAGCGCAACCAGTACGAAGTCCAGAGGCAGAGACTGGAAACTCGACTCAACTGGGAAGTTTCACGCCACAGCGATACCGAAGCACGCATCAAAAGAATACAAGATCAAGTAAAGCGACTGAAACACGACGTCAAGACTTACAACAGAGAGAAGGCTGAAATCGAGGAGTCGAAGCGCGAAGACCAAGACGAGCTGGACGCTCTCGGAGAGACCCTCGAGGAGCTAAAGACTGAGCTGTCGGAGAAGAACCAGGCAGTCAGCGAGGCTAAAGCAGAGCTGCAGAAACGGAGTAAAGATATCGAAGTCTGTCAACGGGAGATCAACGCCCTGGAAACAACTGTGCAGAAGAACAGCGCTGGCAAGTCTGCGCTGCTCCGACGATGTCGGCTCGAGCAGATTCAGATCCCATTGACAGAGGGAGCTCTGGACAACCTACCGACGCAAGATGACTTGCTACGACAGGATCCAGATGCCATGGACGTTGATGGCGGAGATGATGAGATGATGGATATCGCGCTCGATGACCACGGTATTGAAATCGATTTCGACGGCCTTGACGAGGACCTCAAGGAATCCGGGGAACCCAGCGTCGAGGACACGCTGACAGAGAAGATTTCAACCCTCACAGCAGAATTGGAGAAGCTAAATCCCAACATGAGAGCGATGGAGCGATTAGAAAGCGTCGAGACGAGGCTCAAACAGACTGATCAAGAATACGAGGACTCCAAAACAACAGCACACAAGGCCAAGGAAGCTTTCAACGATGTCAAGCAGCGAAGATATGAACTCTTCAATAAGGCCTTTGTTCACATCTCGGACCAAATAACGAACGTGTACAAGGACCTTACCCGATCTGACGCCTATCCGCTAGGTGGCCAGGCATACTTGGATATTGAAGAAGACACAGATATGCCGTATCTGTCAGGCATCAAGTTCCATGCCATGCCCCCGCTCAAGAGATTCCGAGACATGGAGCATCTCTCTGGTGGTGAGAAGACTATGGCAGCACTGGCACTTCTCTTTGCTATCCACAGCTACCAGCCGAGTCCTTTCTTTGTCCTGGACGAGGTGGACGCTGCACTGGACAATGCCAATGTGGATAAAATCAAAAAGTACATTCGGGAACATTCCGGCCCTGGCATGCAGTTCATCGTCATCAGTTTAAAAGCAGGCCTGTTCCAAGACAGCGAGAGTCTTGTGGGCGTTTATCGTGACCAGGAGGTCAACAGCTCTCGGACATTAACATTGGATGTAAGTGACACACATATATATATCGCCCCGCATTGGTATGTATCAAAGCTAATCTGATTTCTTTCAAACTATAGCTTAGGAAATATGCTTGATAGAAAGCAACTTCTCTGGCAATATTTCTTATCTACCTCTGTATCAATATCAGTAACGACCGGATGGGAGGGCAGTGTGTAAAGAGCAAGGCAGGCTGGATAGGAAAAACGTAGGAAATCAATGAACGGGGCCGCTGCCCCGGCCTTTGGATTACTACGAGCTAATGATTTATTTGGCGTATGGATGAATATATACTTTTCTTGCCGTTGTTGAGTTGGTTTGATTCCCTCTGGCGGATATGATTTGTAGGGCACGTCAGCTTGCCTACGGTTTATATAGTAGGTTACCATTTCTACTTAATGCCCAGGTTTCATAATGATGTCTAGTCGGCAGGGGTATATACATGCAATCTATATACCTACTAGCAGATAAAAATGGCAAGATACTTTATGACAGTAAGAAGGCAGTCTGGAGAGTGAATCTGAATTAACAAAAGGGTTAACCGTTGACAGTGCATTGGTGCGGCGTGACAGGATGTAGGAACATAGCGATGGCCTAACCTTTCTCCGAGATCCGACCTTGACTGGCGTCGCGACCGCAGTACATACTTAGGTAGGCAGAAGAGGCGCAATGACGCGACAAACTTTACTTTTTTCCACACGCATGCTTTGAATTTGAGCCATAGAAAAACTAATCGTACATTAATCTATTTCTTCTTCGTATAAAGCGCAAAGACAGCTTCTCCCGCTGAAAGAGAGAAACGGGGACGATTCCCAGCACCCTCATTTTAGTATATATTCTGGGTCAAGCTGCGCTGTCAAGGGCCACCAGAACGATGCACTCCTTCCGATGAGCATGACTTACTCTCCGTCCTTTACAAACCGAAACAGCGCCGCCTCTCTTGTGTGAAGTTTATTAAATCGCTCAATATTATACTCATTAAATCGAATCGCCAACCACCCTCTTCTTCCATCGACATTTTCCATATCGACGCTGCGAGGGATCCCAGGGCGCATCGAAAATCGAGAGTCATCATATGGAAAAAATCGAGACGAACGATTCAGCGCAGACTTCTTAAACGATCTACAATACGCTTGTTTCTTCGACTATAGCGATCTTTATACAGAGTCGGCACCATGGATCTCGCCGTCACCTTGATCAAGGCCGTCATGCGGGCGTTCTACTCGACGCGAGACATCCTCGTGGTAGACGCATTGATTCTTCATGAAGCGTACGCCTCTTTGACGAGTTGAATGCTTGGATATGAGAATGAAATGCGCTGAAACAAGTGTTGATTAGTCTACGAGATGACGATCTTGCCTATTTAATGGCCATCAATACGAAAGATTTGCATAAGATTTGCGGAAAGCTACGAGAAGATCGGTTCCTAACAGTGTACGCATGATTTCCTCTGCTATGCTTTGACGTCTTGATGGGAAGTCTACTTACAGTTATGGCAGCCACACGAGATCAGAGTTACGACCGGGGAATCCCCGACCGAGCAATCGCACGTGGTACTACATCAACTATCGACACACCATTGATGCCATCAAGTGGCGGGTTTACAACATAGACAAGGAGGTTCAAGGAACGACGGTGCCCGTAAATGAGAAGAAGGAATATTTCTGCTCGTTCTGTAAGGCAGAATGGACGGCGATGGAGGTATTGGACAGCGTTGGACCAGAGGGCTTCATCTGCCACCGATGCCGCCACCCTCTCTCGTTTGAAGCAGATCGAAACGCTGGCGGACATGAACAGTCGACCCGACTGAACGACCAATTCAAGTTCATCAGCGAACTTCTACCCAAGATCGATGCGGCACACATCCCCGAATGCGACTTTGATCGAGCGTTATCAAAAGCTCGGCCTGTGGTTCGCGATGCGACACACCAACGCGCAGCCACAATACCCGTCGATGATGCATCGTCTCGACCCATGGCGGTCAGAGGTCTGGCCAATACGGGCCCACAGTCAATTGCAGTCAATATATCTACATCCGACGGGCCATCCGAGGCTGAGAAAGAGGCCGAAAGGCTTCGCAAGGAAAAGATTGCACAGCAAAATGCGCTGCCTGCCTGGATGTCCAATAGTACAATCACTGGAGAGTCATATTCCGCAGCTGCTGAAGCCAATGCTTTGGGGGCGAGCAAGGACCCAGCAGGTCGAAATCCGTCTCAGAGCAAGCCCGCCGATAGTGCTTCCAGCACACAGATTGATGACATTTTTGAGAAACTGAAAGCAGAACAGGCTGCGATTCTGGCTCGAGAAGAAGAAGAGGAGGAAGAGGAAGAATACGCCTCTGAAGAAGAGGACGATGAATTTGAGGATGTCATGGCAACTGGTAATAACTCGGGGCTTGGCACGCCAGGCGTCAAGAACGAGGTATCAGAAGCGCCAACCGGCGAGGCATCTCGAAACGGAGTAAACGCGGATGACAGGGCGATTAAGAGAGTCAAGGTCGAGGACGAAGTTAAGAAGGATGATAGCGGCCTTGACGAAGACGAGGATGACGATGAGGTCGAGTTTGAGGATGTTTGAAGACTGATCGACTCTTTTGAGTCGCATATATAAAAATATCTACCGCTTTATCATGGTGGTTAGACATGGCTGGGGCAACTTGGCCTGGAGGAGGGAAGTTGTTTGCGCTCTGCTAATTGGTGGCCTGATATTTGGCCTTTGGCAGTTACAACAGCGCCGCGTGTTAGTGTTGCTTTTGAATAGGAAAACAATAGTAAAACAATAGATAGACAAAAGAGCAGCCATTAATGAGATTGCGCATTCCAACGGACCTGAACAGAAGCAAGTGGTTGGTTTTCGTCCCGTCATTTGTATAACAGTTAGGGTGGGGCAAAACTTTCCTAAACGGGTTAAAGAGCCAATAGGAGAGTTTCCATCCCGTCATTCACGCAGCTGTTTGCATGACGACAAACAAATCCAACAGCGCCTGAGCTTTTTACTCGACAAGCTCACCTGTAAAATACAAAAAGAGCCCCGTGCTCTCCTACTTGTGATTTCGTGAAATGACGCTTACACCGACCTCACGCAAGGCCCTGAGCCATGGCTCCTGAGCTGCCACGCATCTTCTTGCTTCCTACTCACTTACAAGAGGATGAGCGGCACAAGTTGGAGGAAAGAATACCTACTCTGACTCGCGATTGCCAGGAAGCTGCCATTATTGTGGGAAAGATATCTAGGCCGGAGCGTGCTCTGTTCGAGCTGAGGCGGCTTAGGCTTGCGACAGAACCAGTGGATTATGCCGGGGCCGGACAAGGAGCAGAGCGAAGCAGCAGACGTGAACGAGAAAATGATGCGCAAGAGCCGCCGTCAAAACGTCCGAGACTATCTGGATCAGAGGCTTTGAAACCCCAAAATGGGACAGATGGCGGCATTGCTTTGGATGTATTGAGACTGCCAGGAGATGTTGTTCTGGTGCTTAAGCTGGCATGGCTGTTGGATTCTCTTGACAAAGACGTTGCGCTGCCCGTTGACGACTATCTGCTCTACCAAGGCCGTAGACTGCCCTCTCAGCCCAAGAAGGATATAACTCCAAAGACTTCTCCGTCGAGACAAAGATTCAAAGGCCACTCTCGAGCCTCAGCAGTGCTCGCTCGTGCAGCCGAGGACCAACAGGGAACCCATACCAGCCCGCATTCACCGCAGGCAGCAAGACGACGAACGGATTCTCCAAGCACTCCAAGTGGACGGAAACGAGCTGAGCCGCCGACGCTGTATCGCGAGACCACGTCGGAGCATGATGTTCCCTTGCCGCCTATTCCTGATTTTCTCCATACGTCGTATTCTTGTCAGAGACCGTCTCCTGTCAACCCGCCAAATGCTGCATTCATCAAAGAACTACAAGCTGTTCGTACGTTGAGGCTTCTACAGGGAGATCGAATTGGTGTTAGGGCGTACTCTACGTCGATTGCGGCTTTGGCCGCGTATCCATTTCTGATTCAGCGACCGCAGGGTAAGTCGGTTTCCCTAAGGGGGTTTTACACCCATTTGGGTGACTCGAATTGAATCTAGGGACAGAAAACTAATGTTGAAATCGTTGCAGAGATAGAAAGACTACCTGGATGCGGGGGCAAGATTGAAAAGCTATACCAACAGTGGATGGCTGATGGATGTACTGCAGAGACCAAGGCGGCTGCAGTCGACACCGAACTAACCGTGCTGAGAAAATTTTACGAAATATGGGGAGTTGGAGATGCGACTGCTCGCGACTTCTATAAGAAAGGTATGTCAATTCTACAACATTGGTCACAGTGAAAGCGGCTTGAGGCCTAACGCAGCTTTTCTCTTTGTATGGTTAGGGTGGCGAGATCTCGATGACATCGTAGAGCATGGATGGAGCTCGCTGCACAGATCCCAGCAGATTGGCGTCAAATACTATGATGATTTTCAACTCAAAATCCCACGAGCAGAAACAGAAGCCATTGCCAATGTCATTCTCTCTCACGCCCGGCGAATAGATCCAGGCTTCCAAATGGTAATTGTTGGCAGCTACCGGCGAGGCAAGCCTGAGAGCGGCGACGTTGATGTGATCATTAGCCACCCTGATGAGGCTCAAACGCTCAAAGTTGTGGAAAGGCTCATTTACAGCCTAGAGAAGAGCTCCTTCATCAAGCATACTTTGAGTGCTTCGATGCGAAATAGTGAGCGTGAACAAGTCCCTCTGCCATGGCGTGATCCTGATCGCTCTGCTGGGTCGGGATTTGATTCACTGGATAAGGCAATGGTAGTGTGGCAACAGCCGAGAGACGACAAAGAGCATGGAGGTGCACCGGCGCCTCACCGAAGAGTGGACATTATCATCAGCCCCTGGAAGACGGCCGGATGCGCGATACTTGGATGGAGTGGAGAGACTACCTTCCAGCGAGACCTTCGACGCTACTGTAAGGCGAAGATGGGGTTGAAGTTTGACAGCAGCGGCATCCGGAGGCGTGCAGACGGCTCGTGGGTGGATCTGGAGAGCTCGGAGCAAGGACCGGCGCCTGATATGGAAACGGCCGAGAGGCGCGTATTTGAAGGGCTGGGGCTGGAGTGGCGGCCGCCGGCAGAGAGGTGTACAGGATGAGTGGTGTTATTTTGATTGAGTTGCTTGTTCTCTAAAACGATAGCCGGGCCATTGCCAGAATCCTCCGACATCCGAACTTATACATCCGAACTTATACATGGACCAAGGAAAACTGTGTCTTTACTTGTGCGTCACAATGTGACTAAGGATGATTCATTCATATGAAAACAATATTATTAATGTGTTTGATAAGCATGACAATCTATTGCGAAGGATCAAGCTGAGCTGAGAGTTACGAGTCTGATGCTTGAAGCCCGAATGCCTGATACGATGTGCTCGAAGCTGAAGCGAGGCGGACTTTTGGCGTTGGGAGCGGCGGACTTTGAGCGTCCTTTATGCTCTCCTGGATGCAACTAAAGCGCATGGGTTACGTTTTAGTTTTGACCTCGCTTAAAGGATCAGCACGGGAAAAAAAAAGTGGTCTTTGTTAAGACACAAAATAAGCGTGTCATTTTGATATTGTGGGCAGGCACGAGATATGCGTCTTGGGTGATGCGGATGTGTTGCGGATGTCGCCAGGCGAAGGCCCGAGGACTGTGATGCGGACCGTCGGCGGATGTTGAAAGCCGAGTTTTAATTTTGGTTTGGTTTGTTATCCCTAGAGTTGGGAAAAAATAACATTTGCTTTCTTAAGCTTTGTTAACAATGCAACTTGTCTACGTGATGCCTTTAATCAGCATCGAGATTCTTGTGATACTGAGATTTGTAGGAGCTTTAGAACATCATCAGCTTCCTTCCTATCTGTATAGAGCTAGAATAAGCAAAGCACCCGTGTAGATCCTGAATCCGCGTATAGCTAACGACCTAAAAGATTAATCAACAATTCTCCGTTGGCCTATTTTTCTCATATACTATCCTTTTGGCCACATGAAAGCGTAGGTACATCGAAAACAAGGCAGCGTTAGTAGCTACGTACATAAATCGACACGTAATGCCTTAGGTATTAAGGAAACATTACACGATCCGTCAAAAACACTCCGCAACGAAGAAGCAAAAAAACTAGACTAAGGAGGCAATCTGCCGTGTTATCCATGTCTCCACGCAGGGTAGAAACGCAAGGAATAGCGGCATTCGGAATTCCTCGATGCCCGATTTGAAAGAGAAAAAAAAAGCAGACGAAAGAATGGAGAGAAGAAAATAGAAGAAAAAACCACGTATACAGTAGCTGTGGTGGTGGGGCGGCTAGCCTACTCGCTACTCAGTGACTACTGCCTTGAAGCAGGTCTCATGTTGGTGGAGGTGATTGTCTCGAGTTGGCCAGGAATTGAAGCCCGTTGAAACCCGTAGTCTCTGCACCTACTTACCTAGTAGTATGTAGTAGGCAGCTACCCATAGTAATAGACTATTGCGTATGTATGTAGTATTCAGTGGTGCCCCGTGGTAGTGTTAGCGGGTGGGTGGAATCACAATAGCTTGTATGTAGCATCGACTCCTTCTTTGCTGTGGCTCGAGTCGGGCTCGGATGGATCGAGTCAGGGGAGAGCGACGAGATCTTCCGAGGTTGCGGACATTGAATGCTTAAATTGACAACGACGCCCACCGCCATTGCTGCTGCTTCTGTCATTTTTACCAAGCTCATTCCCTTTCTCTTCCATACTCTAATAACTCAATTGACCAAGAATATCAACTCTGTTCCATTATTTACACAACATCACAAAAAGCTGTCCAAGATGCCTTTCGCTTTCGAAATCTCCAACTCATACGGGTAAGTCTCAGCAACACCACCCGTCACTAACAGAAGTCTACAAAACACCATGATTTAACCACTGTTCGTTCAATTGCTAAATCACGCACAGCTTCGTCCTGGCCGCCGCCACGTCCGCCTTCTTCGTCAACGTCCTGCACATGGCGCGCACCGGCAAGTTCCGCAAGGCCAGCGGCGTCGCCTATCCCAACGCCTATGCTTCTCACGAGCAGGCCGAGAAGGACCCCAACGCGTACAAGTTTAACTGCGGTAAGCTGAAAACCCATAATTTCATCTTCGTTTCTCTCTTCGCCGCTGTTTGATGGACGGCATGGAGTTGAAACTGAATCGTGGCATAAAACCACACAAAACCGCACAAAAACACCATAAACTGACTGAATATCCCAGCCCAACGCGCCCACAACAACTACACCGAGAGCCTCGTCCCCGCCGTCGGCTCCCTCCTGATCGCCGGCCTCAACTTCCCCGTCGCTTCTGCCCTCCTCGGCGCCACCTGGTCCTTTGGCCGCGTGGTCTACCTCTACGGCTACACCAGCAACGCTGGCCCCAAGGGCCGATCATTGTAAGTTCTAAACACAACAATTGCAAAACTTCATGGGCACCCCTTTTTATCTAACATTTTTTTCTAGTGGTGCTTATTTCTCCGGTGCTGCGGATCTTGCTCTCAAGGTGATGGCTGCTTATACCTCTTACCTGGTTATTACAAGCAACTAAGTTCTTAATCTGTAATTTTTTCACCTGGGCTTCTTATTTTTGCGATATAGACCAATCTTCACTAGACGGAAATCAAATTACAATTCAATTAATTCAGATTTTACTATTTTCACTGTTAGAAAGCCTTAACAAGAAGGCGCGTGCTTGTTTCAGCTCTCGCCTTGTAACAGTCTTTCGGCAACAATACAAGCCCCTTGCTCTTGAGCTGAAACCACAAATGTTTGCCTCAAAAGCTATGATGGCCCGCGTACCATCTCTTCACGCCATGTGTTTGTGTGCATAAGTATGATTTTTGTCATCAGAATTTCCTCTCTTCATAAGTTTAGGAACAGAACAAAACGGCTCATGTATGTCATTTGTTTTCCTTCTCCCCCTTTTTTTCTAATCAATTCATTACAACTGTTGCTATTCGAGCAGTAATTATGTAGGATATCATGATGGCCGGAAGAAGAGAGAATTGAAAACTCATCGTGAATAAAAACAAGAAAAAACGCCAGTTCCAGCAACGCTACCTCAAAAACTTCATCTTCGGAATTTGCGCCGCCGTAGCTCAAAGGTTTCTTGCTGGCCGTCGTCGAATTCTACATCTGCGACGCCTAGTTCCTCCACCTCGTCCTCCTCTTCCTCCATGTACTTGCCTGGTATCGTCTTCTCAATGCCATTGTTTCCCAGCAGATAGTCTCCAAAGTACTTCATTGCATCAAATACTTCTTCTCCCGTGGGGATTATGTATTCCTTGGGGAGGAGGAAACCATAGCTCCCCGTGTCTCGAAGCTTGATTTGATAGCTAAAGTGCGCGCCCAGCTCGTGGTAGAACCAGTCAATGGCAGACCCGCCGCCCGACTCGATTCGAGACCACACGGGATCACGTCCTTTGGCGTCTTTGGAAGCTACGGCGCCCTCGCAGGCGGAGGTGACCGAGTATAATTCTCCATTGGACAGACGGATTGCCTTGGCGATTCCCATGGCAAGCTCCTCCAAGTTTTCCAGGTTGGGCGGCTCAGTGGCGCAAGTGTATGAATATGGGAAGAGAACCTGTTGCGAATATGAATGGAGATCTAGCAAACCCACAAACTTAACGTTATTATTCTCAGTCTGGTTCACAGCCCAGTTTGCGAGCTCAGCAGACTCCACAGCCTGGAAGGGCTTGTCTCCGCCGTAGCTCTCCGAGCATGGGTCGCTTTGAGCCTCGGCACTATCCCAGCCAAAGCTAAATGTGTGATCCAAGTCCATGCCTCGACAGAATCGCAGGTTGGTTTGCTGCCGGCTTTTGCGCCATAGACGGTCGACCTGCCAGCTGTATTCCACGCCATCAGGGTTGACCGCTGGAATAAAGACAATGTCAAAGTGGTTGAGGAACTTTGTAATCATTGGCTCTTTGCCGAATGAGGTGATGAATGACCATGCCACATAGTTGACAGTGCTGGTTGAAATCCACTCGCGGGCGTGGAGTCCGCCTGTGACGACAATCATCTTTCGCGGCTTGCTAGGATCGGCGAGCTGCGGCACTCCCACGCGGAGACCAGGTATCTCTCGCCCTTCAAACGACTTTCCAATCGTGATGTACTTGACATATGACGGAAACATTGCTTCCAAAAGGCGCATCCAGCGGATGATGACGGGTAGCGGCTGGTAGTCCTGGAAGAAGAGATTATCGGCAGGCCTCAGGGGCTCTGCCAGTGCCCATGTCATTCTATCCGAAGCCATGGTGGTGTCCTTGGATGAAGGCATCGACTGATAGACCGCGGCGGCCAGGTCGGGGATCAGCGTCGATTGAGATAGCTGGAGAGATCGAGGCAGGAGGCCGAGCAGCGGGCCAACTTCGTCGACATGAAGTCGAATGTCGACAAACTGATCGGTAAAGGCCCATACATCCAGGAAGAGACGAGAAGCCGCCTCGGCGAGAGCGGCCTCTTCAACGGCAGTCGACACATTGAATCGTAAGACCAGCTCATTGACGTATCGAGACTGCGAGTAGCTGGGAGGAGACGGCTGGGCAGCCTTGGACGGGTGACGGCCAAAGATGAACTCAATGGCACTATCGCGGAGCTTCGTCAGGAATGGGAAGACGGCCGTGTTGGCGTTGTGGCTGCTAATCGAGGGGACTCGCGATGACGCTGAGATGCCCGCGCCGTGGGCTGGGCCGAGCAGCGCCAACGAGGCCACCAGAGGAGCGACCGTCGCCTTCATCTCGGTTTGGAGCAGGCGACTCGGCTCGGCGGGGTCACTGAAATGAAAGTGATATCGAGCAAATTGCTATGAGACACGCGACAAGTAAGAAATGGGATCGATTATTGAATATACATGGCGCTGGCGATGGAGCTGTTGGGAGGCGACTTTTTCTTTGTTTTCCGTCTTAGGTAGTGGTAGCGTAGGTACATTAGGTTGCGGCAGCAAATAGTGTTGATACTAGGGAGAGATGTGGGCGTTGCAACAGGGAGGTGGCCAGCCAGAGCTGCGATTCGGGCGAGGCTATGCTCTAGGCAATGATTTAGAGAAACCAGCAAGCAATAGTGGCTGCCATGCTTGCCATGCTCCAGCACGCAGTGCTAGGCGGCGTTCTAGAGCCTGAGCAGCCAAAGGTGTCCGCTGCGGACGTGGAGGGCCCCGGAGAATTTACGGAGTAGAGGGAACCTGGGGGCACATGTGCTGCGTGCTAGGGGCCGCAGCGCGTGGCTACCGAATACACTTACCAGCCCGGAGGTAGCCTGTACCTGATGGCGGGGCTGTGCCCAGCGAGCGCTGGAGTCGACAGAGCAGCAAGAGCTCTCACTGAGGGCCTCGTACCGGTACCGATTCCTAGAGTGGATGTTTTGCGCAGGTAGGCCGTTGTTTCCGGGGGTGGTGCATGAATGAGCCCGCCGTAAAAGCGCTGGGAAACGCCTTGGCATGCGGCCGCGACCTCGTAATCCAGACGTGCCAGGTGGGCAGGATTACTGCCATGCCAGGCTCGACTGGCATGTCCATGCAACTCTATACGGCGCATCAGTAGAGCGCAGAGGCCAATAAGGTTCAGCACGCCGGATACGCTGTAGCGCAGCGTGTCATCCGCCACACCTGTCAGCACCACGTCTCGTGGCCTGGTGTGGCACTCGGACGCCGTGAGAAGATGACATGAGTAGAGAAACTCGCCATTCCGCCTCTGAATCGCTAGGCGCTGCCCGATGACTAGCAGTAGCCCGTGTATAGCTTATTATAGCGGCTGTTGCTTGCTGCTGCTTCTGCCAGTGTTCTGGACGGGGGCGAGGATCCACTGCGCATCAGCCTCATGGCCGCCGCTGGTGCTGCAGCGGCCAATTGCAACGTCGTGCCGCCAGCTTCCAACGAAGCACACGCGCGTCCACTCGGAGCTGTGGCCCCCCTTGAGCAAATGCCAACCCAACCCCCTGGGCCTGCAAAGGACGCCTCTCCACCGTGGGAACTGCTGGTGCCATCCATGCAATATCATCTCTGCTAAGGCTATGGCGTCGATGCTGGGCCTTGCTCGCGTACCGGTACTTGCGCTGCACTGAACCGAACCCCCTGGGGCTCTCATCTCTTGCGTCCACCTTGCATCTCAGACCAGATCCGTCCAGCACCATCTCCAGACGCTTCAACGACCTTTTTGCTCGATGCCCTTTCTCGACGCGCCGGGCGCATTCAGCTAGCCAGGGCCACGCCTCCCCCCCTCTGTCCCTCGTCGCTCCTTTCCGTCCTATTGTGAAGCGAAGCGAATCGAATCGAACCGAGTCCAGTCGTCGGAAGCTCAGCGGCCGCACCGGAATTTCCAGCGGCCAGGCGAGCCCTTGTAGATCATGAGCATCGGCCGCCGTCATGCCATTTCTACGCCGCCGCGGCATCATGGCCAGTGAGACTGACATGCGTCGCCATAACGTCCCCTTTGCGCCGCAAGCCGACGACGTCCCTGAACTGCCGCTCCAGATCAAGGTGCCAGAAGAGGCCACCACTGAGCCCCAGCCTGAATCTGGACCTGAACCCGACCCCGAGCCCGAGTCCGCGACATCTCGGCCGCAGAGCCGCGAATCTGACACTTCGCTGGATCGTCCCATCACCCCGCCGGTCCAGCCGCAGTCCAACAAGCACCGGCGCTTCTCCGTCCTGCGATTTCGAAATGCTTCCGACTCCCAGCTGTCTCTCCGAGTCAAGCAGGCGGCCGAGAAGCCCCCTCCTGTTCCTCGACGTAACCAGACCCCTCCCCTCTGTCCAGACGTAACGAGACCTCATGGCGACTGACCTGTGCCCTTTTCCCCTCGTGTCTAGCTCCTGCCATCATCACCACAGCTCCCACCATGGAAATGGGAAACCTAAAGAAATCCGCTTCCCGCCTGGGACTGGCCGCCATGCTGCGGCGCTCCACGGACATCCCTCGTGACGATCCCTTATCCAGCAGTGCCAACCGCCGCCACCACGATCCCATGCCTAGAAAGTCTACAGGCGACCAAGGACGACCCTCGCTGAGCGTTACGGATGAGCCTCAATCGCCGCGGCCGTCGACCCAGACCACGGTTGATTCCGCCGGCACGGGCCTCAACATAGCGCCTCGACCGTCTGAATCTTCACGATCAGATGTTAGTTCCACTGATCGAGTATCTCACACCAGCCTTAGTTCTACGCCCAAGAAGCCCTTACCTTCCACGCCCTTTTTCAGCAAATTACGGCGAAACAAAAAGGCCCCGGAACCGCTATTTCCTTTTGCACACCTTCGACAAGAGGGTAGCGTCGCCGGGACTGATCGATCCTCGACTACATCGCTGGGCGTGGAGGCCACACCGCGCCCAACTTCGGCCCAGAGTGCAGGCACTCATCCCGGCGAAATCGAACAAGGCCCTCAGCTGAATCCAGCCATTGCCCTTTTTAATGCAAACGGCGGACCTCCTTCCGACCACTCCTCTCCCACACGGACACCTATGCGACGGGGCAGATCATCTACGTTAAGCTCTGTAGGCAGAGACTCCAACGATGAGCATCTCGTTCCCCCCACAGCTCCGCGAACATCCACCTCCATCGGCCGCAAGAGCTTTGGCGACCTGTTGGGCTTGACTCGTCTTCGCCAGAACTCCGATCTTAGCCGGCAAGGCTCTTTCACACCCGCCACGCCAGGATCCATCGCATCCAAGACCAACTCTCTACAGCTACCAAGAGAGGAGTCCATCGTTCTTCCAGAGCGATTCGAGGATGAGTCTCCTGCCAAGTATATTGCCCGTATCGAGGGCATGATTAGCCGGGGCGTTGTAGCTGCTGCGCTGTCAAAGGGCACAGATCCCTTCTCTATCGCTGCTCTGAGAAGCTTCATGAGAACCTTTAGCTTTTTCGGAGACCCCATGGACATGGCCATTCGCAAGCTCTTGATGGAGGTTGAGCTTCCCAAAGAGACGCAGCAAATCGACCGATTTCTGCAAGCGTTTGCGAATCGCTATCACGAATGCAACCCCGGCATCTACTCTACTCCTGACCAGGCATATTTCATCGCCTTCTCTCTGCTTATTCTCCACACGGATGTTTTCAACAAGAACAACAAGCACAAAATGCAAAAGACAGACTATCTGAAAAACACTCGCGGGGAGGGCATTTTCGACGACATCCTTGAGTGTTTCTATGACAACATTTGCTACACCCCTTTCATCCATGTTGAAGATGACGCTGAAGCCAACAGCGAGCGCCATGGCCCAGGCAGCATCAAGACGAAGAGAAAACTTGCCATCCCAGCCCCTGTGGCCGACCCTGCCAAGCGGGCGGCGAAAGAGCCCCTCGACCCCTATACTCTCATCATTGATGGTAATCTGGATGTCCTGAGACCAAATCTCAAGGCCACCATACCTTTGGAAGACCAGTATAACTACTTGGGCTCGGCGCAGTCCCTCAATCTCAAGGACCTGCAAAAGACATTCTTCAGGACCGGTGTTTTGCAAATTGTGTCCGCGAGGTCTCGTCCTGACGCATTCATGTCCGATAATCCTCTAGAGAACACAGATGATGCACCGGGTATTGTCGACATCAAAATCACAAAAGTCGGCCTTTTGTGGCGCAAAGAAGCCAAAAAGAGGAAGACGCGATCTCCATGGCAGGAATGGGGAGCCATTCTCACCGGCGCTCAGCTCTACTTCTTTCGCAACACAAGCTGGGTGAAGAATCTCATGCACCAGTATGACAGCCATATCAAAGCAGGACACGATGGGATACCAATAACCTTCAAGCCTCCACTGGAAGAGTTTAAGCCTGATGCCCTCATGTCTACCAAGGGCGCCGTAGCCCTCCTTGACACTTCGTACAAAAAACATAAGAACGCTTTCATCTACGTGAGGCAGGGGGGCTTGGATGAAGTTCTTTTAGCCGATGACGAAAACGAGCTTAACGACTGGCTGGCAAAGCTCAACTACGCCGCTGCCTTTGGAACATCCGGCGTGAAGATGCGTGGCGTTCATGGAGGCACATATGACGGTCACAGTCGTCGGGCTTTTAGAAGACTTGAGAGTTCCGACGCCACCCAACTTGTTGACACCCCAACTGGTCCAGTATCGATTGCCAAGAGCCGAATTGATTACAAGATGGCTCAAGATATTCAACTAGCGAGACGTGAGTTTATGGAAGAAAAGATTGCCGAGGCAAATCAAAAGATTGAGGACTCCAAGAAGGCCTTGGAGAACCAGCTTAGGAATGCTCGCCATCTGCAGATACTTGCGCCTATCCAACCGAGGACCAGAGAGCAGCTGCTTCTGGCTGCGGCCCGCATGTCTGCGCAGCTTCGGTGGGCTCGAATGGAGATTTGGAAGGAAATATGCCATCGCGACATCTTGGTTCTGGACCTTAAAGAAGACGGAGAAGTCGCTACGGAGAAGAACCCCCCGGCCGACGGCCCACTTGCGGTTGAAGAGCGTCGCGTGTCTTCAGCACCACAGCCATCTGCAGCTAAACGACCCGAATCCCAGTCCCAGGCATCAGTAGCAGCTTCTGAAAAGATACCTCAGTCGACTACCACAGAAAATCTCCCATCCTTCTTCACAGATAAGGACGAGTTTACCTTGGAGCTGCACGATCCGGCTAGACCAGCATCGCCTCCCGCAACACGGCCAGCAACACGGCCAGCAACACGGCCAGCAACACGGCCAACGAGTGAAGTGTACCCGCCGTCTGAAGTGCAAGAAACGCCCAAGGCCGATCTTGGAAGCATCAGACACGGCTCCGTTTCAAGTATTACCGCATCCCCAGCGCAGCTACCGTTAGGCAAGATACAAAGCACGCAGCTCGAGCCTCATGACGAAGACGACGCGGCATCAGTCAAATCTGACCGCGCAGACGGTGACGAAGTGGACGCCGACGAACGACAATTCTTGAAACAAGCTGGCTTGCTGCGGGGAAGAGTTGGGAGAGATCCATCAGACAAGGCTATCACGTCTACCGGAGAAGCTGCTGAATTCGGGGACAAATTCGAGAGAAATAAGATTCGGCGTAGTCTCCAACGCACCCTTAGGGAGAGTGCTGGCCACCTCTCCCACCACCGGAGCAGGAAAGGCAGGGAGGGAGGCCCAGTCGCGTCGTCAGAGGATGCTGCTCGCGACAGTACGTTGGCGCGAGGCACTGGAAGCTTTGTTGTTCACGGAAAGAAGGCCTCTGTTATCACCCTAGGCACCGAGCTGCAGGTCTTGAATAATGAAGAGCAGATTCTGGCTCGAAAACAGCAGCAGCAGAGCAATCGGCAATCATGTGATCAGCTACCTGCTCCTATACTGAATGAAGACATTGATGATGATTTCTATTCTGTTCTTGAGGCCCCTATAGAGGAGGGCGAGGGCGAGGGCGAGGGCGATGTCGAGGACGAGTCTCGCGAGGGTGAGTCTCGTGATCGGAGAGCGTCTGCCGCGAGTGCCAGCACCGCTACGGCGAGAAGTTTCCGCGAACTCCACCGGAAATATTCGTCTGCTCAACATCGAAGTGTATCCGCGGCGGGAAGGCTGGCGGTTCCCTCAGATGCGGATAGTGAGGTGGCAGTGAGCTTTTCCGATGGACGAAGATCTCCTCTGCCCCCCATGGAAATAGAAGAAGATGAGAATGGCGCAGAGGACTTGGCTGTCGGTGATTCGGCCATAAGCGAGGACGAAGAAGATACCACATTGGAGTTGGAACACGAAGATGAGAAACAATTAGAGCGCAAAACGAAAAATCTGGCGCGGGAAAATGAGCCAGCAAACGAAGAGGCTGAGGGGTCTGAATCTCTACCAAATCGACCTCTGCAAGCAGTCAATGCATGAACTGAATGGAAACCCAAAGCGAAGTGAATAGAAGCAATGGCGAGTGCAGGATTCCCTGTTTTAGAAGAGTGCGAATATGTATGTCTATTTAGCGAATTATTATTGTTCGAGCGTGGAGCTCGCGAGTGACGGCGAAACCAAAAGGAGGGCTTTCATTTTTATTCATTTCATCTTTTTCTTAATCGTTTTTTTTTTTTTTTTACTTGACCATGAAGGTGGAGGCTGCATATGGAAACAACCTCTGATGTCTCTACTTCTGTTTTCTTCACTTTGTGTGCTTTCAGCTCTCTTCTTTCTCCTTCTCTTCTTCACTCACTCTCTTTTCCAATTACCATTTTTATTATACCTTTTGAGCTGAAGAAAAGGGGAAAGATGAAGAAAAAATGACATGGAAAAGAAAAAAAGGATTGTGCACTTTGGAATACACACTCTCTCTTCTGCTGAGCTGATCAGTCGCCTCACACACACTCTCTTTTTTTCTCCCTTTTTTGACTAACATACATACACAAACACACACGCACTCTCTATATATGTCTTTTTTTAATCATTTTGAAAGAAAAAAAAACAAACGGTGTGGCTTATATACCCCATATGAGACCACGTGGAGAAACATACATCAAATCATATACCTTATATATCATCTATATATATTTTTATACCATACAAGAATTGAGATATATAGAACTTTTTCTGCGCGCAATTTTCTTGTTTGTTGTTTTTTCCCCATTGTGATGGTGAATGTTTTTTATGATTTTGGTAATCCATATGACAAGATAGAGGGAAGATGGTATGCATTTTCTTTCAGTCTTAATTTTACTTTCCCCTTCCCAAATAAACCAGACCCCTTGAAAGTGGTTCTTACAATTAAACTCTTCCCCTCCTATTCACTTTATACGCAACATCCTTTCATCCATATATGTACTAAATATCACATTCCCCTGGCATCATGATGACTCAAAAGAAGATAGAAAAAGAAAAAGACAGGAAAATGAGAGCATCTATTTCTTACCCTTCTTCTTCTTCTTATTGTTCGCTGAAGGCGCGGGTGCCTTTTCCACCTTGACGCCTCCTCCACCTACGAGGCCAAGCGTTTCCTCCTCTTTGACGATACCTCCCTGCGTGGCCTCTCCGGCTCGCTTCTTGCCCTTCTTGCCCTTAGGCCGGTATGACGATCTGTCGCGGAGGGGCAGCCATCGCTCTGGGTCGGGAATCTTGCCCTCGACGTAGTTCTTGGGGAGCTTTCTCCTTCGTCGCTTGGTTGCCTTTTCGGCATTGGTGTCGTCTGAGGCTGGTCGCTTCTTGGAGGCGGTATTGCTGTGGGCGACGGCCACGCCAGCGTCGAAGAGGGCATCCACGTCAATGCCTTTGATTAGGTCGTTGACGGGCGGCAGCTTGTCGGAATATTGTTTGACCTTTGAGGCTTCAGATGCCGCAAATGCAGCTACCAGCCCAGCCGAAGCAATGTCGGATTCCTGTGCCTCTCGGAATAGCTTGTCAAAGGATGCGCCCGCCAACTTCAAGTCGTCTGCATTGGAGGATCGCATGAGCTCGATTCCGGCCTCGAGGAGCAGTGAGCCGACGGAATGGGTGGGACGATTTTGCCACCACTTGGCGGCCTTGACAAGCTCAGCCTTGGCCGATGATTCCCGCCGCTGCGATCGCATCAACGAGACCGTCAGGGCAACTAAACCAGGGCTGTAGCGGGTGTCTATATCGTTTGCATCCTCGGAGTTCTCTAAGCGGCTGAGGAAAGACGTGAGAGTCGTCAGAGCGGCGCCGCCCTGCTGTTCCCTTATCTGCAACTGAACGACGGCCAAGACGATGCCGACATCGCTGGGACGCTTAGCCGCCAAGGCCTGCAATTTCCGAAGGGCCTCCTTGCTGTCCAGCCCTTGAGTGTGAGCAGCCGCATTGATGACGGAGGAGATGTTGATTTGCGGGTTTGCTGAAGGGAGCGTGGCCTGGGTCAGGATCTTTTCTGTTCTCTCCGCGACGCCCTTGGTCTTGAAGGCACCAAGGTCGATGACCAGCTTGTTGCGCTTGAGGATATTGGACTGGTAGCTGAAGAGGTCGCTTTGAGCTGCTGATGCCATCAAGGACTCTGCTTTCCGCTGGCGCACGAATGGATTGCCGGCTTCCTCCAGGGCAAAGTGGTTGTTTTGGGTAATGACGGCAAAGTCACGGCCATCTCTGCCGCTGTAGCATCGATTACGTTAGAAAGTCTGATTGAGCTAGAAGAAGAGTGAAAAGCTAGTTGAGAATCCCACTTACGTTGGAGGACCGAGCATCTCGTAGACTTCCAGGGCCGAGCTAGGCTTTGCAATCTTGGCAAACAGATACGCCTGTTGGGCGCGGATAGATCTCAGCTCAATCTTCTTATCTTCGTCGGAAAGCTCATCCGAGTTATCGCAAAGCATAGCAGCGCGCTGTAAGAGAGTAAGGGCAACGCTTGTGTTTCCTCGAGCAAGCTCGCCGCAAGCCAGATTGTAGCACAGCTCAAAGGTATCCAGCGTTTCGGGGGCCACTGCCGGGCTGGAGGAGGGGACGCCTGCCCATTGGCTCTGAGCAACAGCAGCGCTGATGTTGATTTTGAGATCGCTCTCCTCGTTTTCGGGTTTTGTATCCAGCAGGTGCCTGTAAATGTTCTCGGCGTTGTGGAATTTCTCGGCTCTGTAAGCGACTTGGGCGGCAATATGTTGAAGGCTTCGCTTCTCCAAGCCACGTGTCTCGAGCAAATCGGAAGCCTCAGTCAGCTTGCCGGTTTTATACAGCGCATAGGCTTGTTCGAGGTAGCAGGTAGCCTGAAGCTTGATTCCCCCACCGGTCATCAAACGAAGGGCATCGTCGAAGCGATCGAGCTTCAGGAGGGCGACCACTTTGGTGTGTTCGGCTTCATGGTCGTTCTTGTCAGCCTTGAGGGCGGCATTGGCGGCATTGAGAATCTGTTCGTGGTCGTCGATATCAGCGGCCCGGAGGAGGGCGCTGAGGGCGTTGCGCGGGTCTGAAGACATTGGAGTATCGTGCTGGGAAGAAGAGCTGTCTATGAGAGACGACACATTGTTGGTGGGGTTGGCGATAAGTGGTCTGTGGAGTGGAACAGACTGAGCCGCAGCGAAAGCGCAGATGCGGCGACGACAGCAGGGAAAATTGCGGATGCAAAATAGTTTACGGAGAGAAATGTAGGAGCCGCGATGCCGCTTTGGCGAGTTGGAGCCGCAATGAGGCGATGCGAGCTGGAGCTGGGCGGGAGCTGCGTCGTGATCAATTGCCTGGAGTCTCGACGGTGGGATTTTCGGGTCGCGGGGCTTGCGAGCGCCACAGGTGGCTTGTGTTAAGGCGCAGGAGTCGCTTTTCAACACAGAGGTACCGCCTGGAGCTGCGCCGGGTACCGCTTGTACCGCTGCGCTTGCAGGTACCTCTGCGGCGCATGCGCGGCGCCTGTCGCAAGAGCTCAAGCGCCGTCACCGCCCAAACAGCCGCGCTTCTCTCCCGCCAGCTCGGGTCTCGCGTCGCAATGCCGCCTTTCTGCCACTCAGCGATCTCTCCGTCTTATCCCCTGCGGCTCGCCATTTGCGCATCGCTTTGCATTTTCTTGGAAGTAAAAATAAGCAACAAGGCAATCTTGCTTTTTCTTTCTAATCTCATCTGCTTTTATCTTGATTGCATCTCTTTCTTTTTCTCTTCTTCCTGCTCACCAGCTACAATACCGAGTCAATCTTATACTCTGCATCCGCCGCCTACTTTCTCCCCCCTGCTGTCTGGTCCATCATCACTCAGCACGAATCATGGATTTGGACATCGATATGGACGATGGTGCCGGCGGCGAGGCTTTCCAGGAAATTCATGAAGATCTCCCCCGAGGCGACGATATCTTGGTACCAGACGAGCCAGAAGAGCCAGGCGAAGTGGCTGATGATGGAGAAGTCAATGAGGACGACGCGTCAAACGCCATTGTTCCCACAAAGATTCACATAAAAGGCCTGGACAATCTGCACACCGACGATATCAAATCATACGTCAAGGCACATTACGGGACTGTAGACCGGGTAGAGTGGATCGACGATACCTCTGCAAATCTCGTCTTCAGCTCCGAACCCTCTGCGCGCGATGCGATTGTCGCTCTTAGTGCTATTGACATTGCAGATGCGACGGCGTTGGGAATTGGCGAGGCTGTCCCAGCCAAGGCTCTCGAAGGAAAACCCGAAACTTCTCTACAGATTCGCTTTGCGACGCAAGCCGACAGAAAGCAGGCTGGCGCGGCGCTTCGCAGCCGATACTACCTTTTGCATCCCGAGCACGATCCCGAAGAAAGGCGACGTCGGTACCAAGAAAACCGCACTCGATATCGCGATCGTGACAGCCGCGACAATCGGGGAACATCAGGGCGACGAAGACGTTATTCAGACGACGAGGTGGAAACTTTCGAGGCAAGCATGTACGACGATGCGCCGCGGACTTCCAGGGATGACAGACCATCAGCTCAAGAAAGTAATCGCGGCAAAGAGCTATTCTCGGGCCGCAGTGTTGGACGATCGACCTCCAGAAGGGACAGATCAGCATCTCCTCGCCGCGACGACGATGGAGACGCAGCTATGGATGGCTTTGCCAGCTCGTCAGGTAATAGAGAAAAGGCTCGGGCTATTCGAGGCCGCCTCGCAGACGAAACCAGATCGAAAGAGCTTTTCCCCACCAAGCCGTCTAGTAGAGGCGGGGGTGGAATGCTAGACCAGCTGGAAAAGTCCATTGGCTCGGCCCATTTGAAAGAGGAGGACATGCCTAAGATTGTTGCCGAATCAACAGGCGATGGCTTAAACATTCGAGGTGCCGCTACTCAGCGAGCCGGAGGCAGTGGGTTCTCGATAAAGGGAGCAGCCAACGCGCAAGACTTATTCCCTGGAAAACTTGGGTCAGGCAATGCCGGCAAGGAATTGTTCAATGCGAATCAACCGAAAAGGAGACAAAAGGCCGAGGATCTATTTTCATGAGTTGCCGAGAGAAGAAATAATCAAAAGATTGGTATTCGCTTTGGTTCTGGGTGGTATGAGCTTTTTGCGGAAAGAGTATTTATATGATGGAAAGGGGGGGATAATTGCCAGCGAAATTGGACTACTGGGACGGCCGTATTGATGATACCATGGGCGTTGGGGTCGCGCGTGCGCATACGGGCATATATACATACATATCGCTATCATAAATTCAGCTCTGCATAGGAAGCATTTGTCGTGACTTGGTCTCTCGCCCATTGATGAGCTAGTGAATGAAACATTCCCCTTTTACCACCATTTCTCCGTCAAAACACGGCGCGAATCCATCACCGCCGCAAGCTTCTCAACCAGCTCATCCGTCATTGGTGGCGGCCCACACACATACACAACGGTGCCTTCATGGTCTTCACCTCCAATTACTTCGTTAATATCCGCAACCGTAAGGCGGCGCGGCTGGATCTCCACCGGAGCTCCATTGATATATCTCGTCTCTTGCTGCTGCTGTGGAGCTGCGCTGTCCCCAGCAGCCGTTATAAACAGCGTCACCTTGCCCTTCACTGTACCCTCCCCAAAAGCCCGCGTAATCCTATCGAGGAAGACAATATCTAAAAGATTGCCGGTCGCAGGCAACTTGCTTGCGTATATGAAGCTCACGTCCAGACCAGTAGCATCTTGCCCCTGGCCCTCGGCAATGTAGCTCAACATGCTCATCAGTGGATTCACCCCCACCCCACCAGCGACAAAAACGCCTCTTTTAAAAGCAGAAGAAAAAAAATCGGACGCATCACCGCCGCTATGAGGAGGGAAAACAAACCTGCCACCCACGCGAACACGCAGCGTCACGCCCAGAATCTCGTCCACAGGCCGCCACAGCCAGGTCGCAGGTTCATTGTCGGGCGACTCCTGCACCGCGAGCTCCAGATACGGCGAGGGACCCGTGAGAGCGGCTGAAGGGGCGGATGTGATGGTGAACCCGCCAGCTTTGGGGACGTTGGGAATGTATGTGTCGAGCCACTGGCCGGGCAGGAACTTTATGTTTGTTTGTTAGCACTGCGATTCGCACTTTGTCTCATATTACTCCAATCGTCATGATGAATTGAATATATAATTCAAAGAATGATGGGAATTTGTTTGACTTGCCTTTATAGGACCAGATACAAGATCTAATCGAAACAGCCTCACTCTCTCATTGACTTGCTCGACCCGACCCAGCCGCACCTCATGAAGATCCTTCCAAAAGACATCAGCATACCCTTCTCTTAAAAATACATAGTCGAGGTATATATGAGAAGGTTAAGAAATATATTAGAAGAAGAAAGGGGGGTTTACTGCATCTCTCGGCTCAGCCGCTGTCCTTTCAAGATGCCCCTCTCGCTGCTTTCCCGTCGACGACATGGCTACTGCGCCTAAGCTGCTAATTGACCGCCCGCAGAGTGAAGAGCCAGGGCGAAATAGAGGCACTGCCAATCGGGTAAAGGATTTGTTGGCAAAGGTTCTGCAGAGCATCAGCTGATGATTTTAATGAATTCATGTCTTATTAGTTGCAAAGTCCTAAGTGCAGTGTCATCGAGCTTTAAGAGGGATAGGTACTATATCCCGAACTCCCGAAATAGATAGACGGCTCACTTTATATGCGGATTCAACTAGCGGAAGCTTATACCTACAACTAATGATGAGTAATTCCACAGCACCCTTAGAATTACGGAGTAGACCAAATCTCGTTGATGCTTCTACGTAATTATGCCTATTTCGACCAGTCGGCCCCGTCATACATCTTCAGATCGTCCTGCACTTAATGTACCTACTCTCCTGAAAATTTTGATATCTACAACCGCTCCGCAAGTACCTCCATATTTATGTTCCAAATTAAACCACTATAAAAGCCCAGTAACGTAAACTTCTCGCTGTAATCAAGTTCCCGCTTATGATGACTCTGCCCAGTTCACCTGATCGACCACTTGACCCGCCGCAGGGTGAGTGAGCGCGATACGCAGCCGTAGTCGTAGCGGCTATATGAAATCAGTCAGCATATGATGCCAAGAAGAACTCAAGAAAAGGAGAAAAAGAGCGAAAATAAGAACATAGAAAAATGCTTACCCCCTTGCAACCAGCTACTCTCATCATCTGAGTAGTATCCGCTCCAGGTCCAAGCTCTGGCGAGGAGATGGGCAGCAGCTGCAGCTTCTGAGACTTGGGAACCGCGGCTTGCAATCCAACATTGGACAATGCCGCCGAACCAGTGTTTTGGAACCGAGCCGTCGCTTGGATAAGTCCTTCGGCGTTGCGTTGAACTTGAAAGGTGACGTTGAGATCATTAGCATTGTAGCAGGGAAGCCATTGGCCTTGAGTTGCCGGAGATTGCTGCTGAGGTGGCGGAGATGCCACAGGGGACATGATATCGAGGCCGGCCGAAGCAGGTGCAGGTGAAGGCGAGCCCGCAGGCCCCGAGCCAAAGAGATCCATGATGGAAGTAATGTTAGACTGCGGTGGAGCAGGAGAAGCAGGCGCAGAACCTGTCGATACGCCTCCAAGAATATCAGCCAGAAGATCAGAGTTTGTCGCCTGGGATCCATTCGTAGGCGCAGCCACAGCGGCTGGTGTATCCATGATATCCAGCAAGTCCTGCTCGGTAGGCTTGATAATCTTGGATTTCCTGTTGGCGCTCTTGGCCTTCTTTGAAGGAGCCCGGCCCAGCACTCTAGACTCTTCCTTGATCTGCGGCGGAGGCATCTTCTCAAGCACTCCTCGGCGGACCTGGTCAAATGCAAACAGGTTGCCGTACTCAACAGCTCGCTGCTGCACCTCGACATCCAAACTGGTCTGGTGGGTTTGCAGGATGCGTCTGATCTTTTCCACCGGGGCAGGGTCAGTGAATCGTGTGCTGAGCTTCATCAGCGCTGTGACAATGTACTCCGTGGATACCTGGTTGGCGTAGCTGCTGTTTAAGATGAGCGAAAACAAATCGACGACATCAGCCTCCTTGACCTCCTGAACAAGCTCTGCCTCTTCGTACTGTCCGCCTTTGAGCAGGGCATCACCATACTCGCCGATGCACCAAGCGCCAGCCTGGGTCAAGCTTTCTTGAGTGATATCTTTTTTGAGGTTAGTATACAGCTTCTGTACTGCATACGTCTGAAGCTCCTGGGTGGTGGCAATGAGCCGGATGAATGACGAGAGAATCTGCTCTTTGACGTAGTTGCCTGCCAATGACAAGACGCGTAACATGGTGTCAAAGTGCCATCGCTTGTTCGGGGCATATTTATCGGCAGCAATTCCAATCTGGCTAGTCATGGTTGGCTTGAACTCGTTGTCCGCAACCTCGAGGAAAGCCAGTAGTTCTCTGATGAGTACCCGAACGTTGGATTCATTGATGAGGGTGAAGCTCAGGTCGAGAGCCCTTCTCCTTATACTGATATCAGGATCGCGGAGACATTCCAGAATTGTGTTACGATGCCTTTGTACCGCATTAGGCTCAATAGCAACCACCTTGATGAGGGTGTTGAGCGCCACGTAGCGAACGTTGTTGTCCCGGTTGGTGAGGAATTTGCCCAGAATATTCACACCGAGAACCCTCAGGCCAGAATCGGCCTCAATATCCAGAATGGTAAGCACAGCCTCGTAGAGAATCGAGTTGCCAACGTTTTTGGATGAGTCGGTGTTCGTTGCTACTTGAGCCAAGATATCGTTGATTTGCTCGCTCGTTTGGGCATCGCCAACGGCTAGCACTCTCAGTAGTCGTAGAACCTTGACCTGCAAAAAGGGGTCGGTGATGCCCGTAACATCGTGTTCCGGAGCATAACCTGACGTCGAAAGACCCTTTAGCGTCTTTACCAGCCCAGGTACAAGGACCCTGAACTTTTCGACTATGCCTTCTTCGCCGCCCTCTTCCTCATCTGCTTCGCAAAGGCTCGTGACTAGGGTCAGTCCGCAAAGAAGGACGCCGTGGTTTCGATCTGAGAGAAGAGCTGTGGCTTTTTCGATAAAATGCTCCTGAAGATCAGGCACCTTGCGACATATTCGCATGGCACAGAGCGCAGCTTTTCTCCTGATATATGGGTTCGCGGTTGAGATCAGATTCTCAATCTCTGGGAACAGATCCCTCGACATTTCGTCAGACGCGATATTTCCGAGAGTGCAGAGGGCGAGTCCGACAACATATTGGTTAGAGTGTCCCAAATCGCTAAAGTCACAATTAGAATCCGTCTGCTGCTGAATCGCACAGCAATAAAAGGGGGGGAGGAGGGGCGGGCAAGTTACTTCTTCAAAGAGTTGGTCACCAGCGTCAGAACCTCCTGCTTCTCATCAAGCAGCAAGCTTGTAGCAAGATGGCCAAGACGCTTGTCCGCAAATCGCGGAGACGCAAGGAGCTTCAAGCATTCGACTTGACCAAAGTGGGTTCGCTCGCCCAAGGTAAAGAGGTAGAGGAGTTTCGCGACATTGTTACGGCTGTTTCCCACATTATGAATGAGCACTCTTATTCATTTGTTCGGATGCGCAGAGGTTCGACATTGAAAACCCACCGTATGCCGTGGTCGTGGCCTTCTTCGCGGAAGCTGGCTCTGATCGCTGCACTCTCTTTCTGGATGACCGCTCGCTCGTCTGCAATCGTCTTCGCCGCACGCACGTTGCGGATGAATTGCTTTACTATAGTTTGCAACAAAGGGGGCGACCGTCAGCCATCAGGATCTCACAACACGAATAACGCAATGAGCTGAGCTGTCTCACAGGAACTCATCTTGAGGCAAAGTAAGAGCTCGACCCGGCGACTGGGCCACCTCGCAGGTTGTTATACAAGGAACAGCAGAGGCGGTAGGCGGTAGAAGCAGTGGTATCGCACCAGCAATTCCCAGACTCCCTCTTGCGTACCGGCTAGTGCTGACCTATGGCGGAATGGCGAAAACGGCTTCGAGCCTCGACGTTGAGCTGGACAGCTGTGAATCGTGGAACGTGTATGAATCGCAATGCCACCAGCGTCGCTGGCTACAGCACTACTGCTCCCTAATACACTCCGTACTGGCAATGTACCTGGGTCTAATTCGACGTGGGGCAGGCCACGCTGCATCATGGGCCTATACACGAGATGCGGGCGGAAAAGCAATGGCCCGGCGAGGCTTCGGTACCTTACCTTGTACCGCTAGCACTGCCAAGTCTCTTCCCGCTTCTAACAATGAGCCTCCAAAGTGCTACCTCAGCTACGGTACCTCGAGACTAACACGGGATTAAATTTCACACTGATGGATGATCTGATCGCCTGTATGGGCAATTTGTTTTCATTTTTTTATTGTTAGTTTAATTTCAATAAATGGCTGCCTACCAGCGTATGCCTGGGAGTTTCCTTACTGTACTTGCCTACACACTGCTGCCTACTACTACTAGCATGGTTACACTTGTGATACCTGACTCTCTTTGAACAAGGAACTCCGGTATCACAGGAGCCTGATATCACGCTTGTTTGCTCGTCTGCTTTCCGTCGGTCTTGTGACCAACACAGCATCGACAGCAAGGCCTACGGTGCTACATTTCGATCTACGGCCTACCCACTCTGTTCAAGAACATGGCAGCCCACACATGCGCATACGCGGCGAGCCGCTGGTTTATAACTTGATGGTATCCATAGAAAGGCCCAGGGTATCTACCTAGACTGCTACCAGAATTGAACATCACGACTCTTTCGACAGGCCAGCAATTTCGAGAATCGCTCGTAGATTTGACAGTATAGGGAATAAAATCAACTCGTTGATTTTCTTAAAGAAAAAAACAGGTTGCGTGCGTGCTAACAACTGGGTCTCGCCATAAGAATTAACCATATCCATGGCCTCTAACAAGGCTCAACAGTTGGCTTAGTCGCAAAGAACTCCAAACACAGTCCCTTATTTTTGCATCATGAGCTGAACAAACTCGTTGTCTGCAAATATTGGTTAGCTAAAGCTCTCGAAACCTGGAAAATGAACAGGTAGAATCGTCTTCTGTTGACTCGTAAACTCACAATCAATTCGGCCATCACCATCCTGATCGGCCTCACGAATCATCTCATCGACCTCGTCGTCGGTGAGCTTCTCGCCAATAGATGTCATGACATGGCGCAGCTCGGCAGCTGAGATGAAGCCGTTGTTATCGCGGTCGAAGACCTAGTCGCCAAGTGTCAATTTTGAAACCAAACATACGCATTAGTGCAAATAACAAACCTTGAAAGCCTCTCGGATCTCCTCCTCGGAATCGGTGTCCTTCATTTTTCGTGCCATCATGGTAAGGAACTCTTCACCGCTCTAAATTAGCCCGTGTTTGGCAGCCATCCAGGCGTTTCAGCTAATGACATACCAGGGAAATCGATGGATCCGTTGTTGTCGGCATCGACCTCGTTAATCATGTCCTGCAGCTCTGACTCGGAGGGGTTCTGTCCCAAAGAGCGCATGACAGTGCCGAGCTCCTTGGTGGTGATCTGGCCTGCGAAATCATGTTTGTTAGTTTCTTGTCCGATTCTTCGTCATAAAAATTGCCCGTGGGTGAAATTTCGATCGGTATCGCCGGTTCAGGTGGTCCAACAATGGTTCGCACAAAATAAGGGGGACGGTGAGGAGGGGGAAAGAGGAGTATCGCGTCACTAGCCACTACGTACCATCACCGTCCTTGTCCTGTAGCCACCAGATTAGTACCCAAATCGCCTGTAGATTTGTCGCAAAAGACCATGCAGAGACTTACAAAGAGAGAGAAGGCCTCCTTGAACTCAGAGACCTGCTCTTCGGTAAGTGAATCAGCCTGTCGGGGGCTCGCTGGTTAGCCACACAAAAGCTCCTGAAGATTTGGGGGGGCAGCCCGCCACGGTCGCGGGGTAGCGACCATGCAGAGACAGCTCGATAGAGGGCGGCTGCGCGCCACGCACCATTGTGAATAGGGGTTATTGAGAGCGAGCAAAGAGTGTAGAGTTTAAAGTTGAGAGAGGCAGAGAGGGCCGGTTTAATACGACAGCAAGCGTTAGTGGCGTCTTAGCGAAGGCGGAAGCTTTTTGCTTGTGCTCGTCGTTGACGTGGGGAGAGAGACGAAGGCCGGGCCAGCTAAAGCGTGCTGTCAGGGGACCGGTAAGGCAGAATCGGCAGACAGTATCAATCCTGAGGCAGGCCCCATGCTAAGACTGGGTCGCAGGCCATTTGTCGCCGCTGGGCTAGCCTAGGAGGCCCCCTGAAGGCCTATCTGGGGCCTGGCCTAGGACCGCGGCTCGCACTGTACAGGTCATCTGGCTCGACTGGGACGAGCTGAACAGGACTGGACCTGAACTCCCATGATGAGACTTTGCTGTGAGTGTGAGTATTTTACAGGTACTAGACTACGTAGCTGCGATGTATCTACGGATGGCTGACGGCCGGGAGATACACCCGTCATGGCCAGAAACGCTCGTGACACGTGTAAACACCGCCCACGGTTCCTCAGCTGCATTGGCCTGAGCTCCCAAACTCAGACAGCCGTCGCCCGCTTCGGGCTAGCGCTAAGTGTCTATATGCCGCTGGCTGGGAGCAGTGTCGTAATGCCAGCTTCGAGCATTGGCGCAGGTCGACCATCTCAGCGCTCGATCATGCCCGTCATTACATGAAGTCCCGGAATACTGCGTCCGTATTTCGAGCCGCTCCATTCATCGTCGACTTGCTCTTCTCCTGACGGGCCTCCAGACGCCCCCCCTTTAGCGTCCGCCATGTGGCGCGACCGCACAAACCTGTACGTTATGCCGCCATCCCCCAGGCCCTTGCAGCTCGGATGCGAGCACCCCAAGCCAAGGCATTCTCGCCTAATTGAGTGCGTCTGTCATATCTGACCCTGGGGAAACACACCTGTATAGCTACATCTCCTACCGGCAGTCGTACGCTCATCATCCCAACCAACGATCCAAATATGCCCAGGGCGGCTTCTCGGACGCCTACTCGAGCAGCAGCTTTGCGCACGAAGACCGGCGCGGGCTGCTCTCGAGCGGCGCATTCGAAGATGATGGCGACGCTGTAATCGAGATGGACCTGCTGCCGCCGCGGTGGTCGGACATCTCGGACGACATCACAGAGCTGCTCGCCGAGATTGCCACAAAGAGCCAGCGCCTCGACAAGCTGCACCAGACGCATGTGCTCCCGGGCTTCGACGATGACGAGACCAAGCGGGCCGAGGAGGTGCAGATCGAGAGGCTCACCCAAGACATCACAAAGGGCTTCCACCAGTGTCACCAGCGGATTCAGAAGCTCGAGGGCATGGTTCGCGAGTCGAAGCAGTCCGACAGCATCAGCAGAGCCGAGGAGACAATGGCGAAGAACATACAGATTTCCCTTGCCACAAGGGTCCAAGAAGCGAGTGCAAACTTTAGAAAGAAGCAGAGCGCATATCTCAAGAGTATGTTCATGACGGCACCCCTTGAAATTTTTCCCAATTTGCTGACCACAAGTGCTAGAACTCCGCGGAATGGGTGGCCTCGGCGCAATCAGTCCCATTGACCGTCCAACATCGCCAATGCCGGGCTCTTCTTACATGGACCCGTCACTCCAAGAATCAGATGCCGACCGCTCCTTCTCCCAATCAACGCTACAGGTTGCCATGCAGCAAAAGACGCTGCACTCAAACGACACCGCCATCGCCCAGCGAGAGCGAGAAATCGAAGAAATCGCACAAGGTATCATCGAGCTGTCCGACCTTTTCCGAGATCTCCAGACCATGATCATTGACCAGGGCACCATGCTGGACCGAATCGACTACAATGTTGAGCGCATGAACACAGAAGTCAAAGCTGCCGATAAAGAGCTGATAATAGCCTCTGGCTACCAGAAAAGGAGCATCAAGAGGAAGATTATACTCTTGCTGCTGCTAGTGGTTGCGGGCCTGTTCATTCTGCTGTTGGTCAAACCTAAGAAGAATAGGGATTAGGTACCTGGGCTGAGATGAGCAGGGAATTAAAAAGTTCGATGGAGGTGGGGAGGGAAATTCGGCGTTGTACGGGGAGACGACGCAGTCAAAACGAGAGAAAGTCCTTTTTCTCCTTTTCGTGATAACTGTGGCTCAGCATGGCGTTCGCAAGCGGCTGATGGTCATATTGCTTTATGATGTGTGACCATGTGTATCAATAATGGAGCGAATAGTGCTCCCCAAGGAAAAGAAAAACCAACGATACACTTGGAGTTTAATGGGGGGGGTTTGATTAGAATTTATTTACATGTTTCTGTAGATATCATTGTACAAGGGGGCTCTCCTGCGTGTGCCCAGAAATAGACTCATATATACCATGTGTCAGTGCTATTACTTTTGTTTGCTCGCTTACATGCTTATTCTCATGTGGAATCTTGATTAAAAGTCCTATCAATCAGTTTTGGGTATTGGTGCCACAGCTTTGACTTCCGCGCTTCGATTTCTCGAACCACCTTTGGCGCGTCGGGAAACATCTCTGAGCCCCATGCCTTTTCAATAAGATTCATCAGGTTTTCTACAGAAAACTCGATGCTGTCTCTCGCTCGATGTCTAGGCCGTCCAGGGACCATTCCAGTGGCGATACGAGAGATGACGCTTGATCGAACCACCTGCGTGTCTATCAAAGCTCCCTGGTCTCGCAGTGTGGCTAATAGGCGGACCCCGCGAGCAACATCAAACTGTGAAAAGCTCGGCGTTTGTAGAGATGTGACGGTTGTTGGTGGTTGAGGCTTGGTTGCCAGCGTCTGGTCAAATCCCCATCTCACGATGGAGCGCTGCAGCGAAGGATCAAAGAGCAGTCGGATCGGATGATGGTGATGTACGAATGGTAAATCAGCTGGTATAGATTCTCGTTCTTCGGTATTGAGGTGCTTTGGTAGATCCTCTCGATGTACAGGTACTAGCCCTCCGTAAGGTGGAGTGTAGAATTGCATGATTTCTAAGCTCAGTTGTTCTAGCTCGTCAAGACGCCTTGAGCGTCCCAGCTTGTAGAGTAAGATCTTCCAGTATCGAATAGGGATAGCAACGTCGTGGCAAGAAATCCGGCGGATGACATTCAGGGCTCTATCCAAAAAGGGGTCATCAAAGTCACGCGAGCCAGCATCACTTTGCGGCGCTCGTTGAGATCGCTGAGGATGAGAGTCGAGCTTCCAAAACACCCTCTTGAGGAGCCCAGTCGCACTGGCTTGGGCCATGCTGATTTTCAGTGCTTCCATACGGTCGAGGACCTCTCTCGCCTTGCCTAAACTTCGCTTAGAAAGCTCGCTCCTGAGCAGGGAGTTGAGACGTCGAGATGTTGGTCCAGTTTCGATAGCCCACTCGATGCCTTGAAGAAGTCGCTCCATCTTCCAATCCCCTGTCCTGGCCGCTTCAGCCATGAGAGAATGCCGAGTTTCCATATCCTCAAATTCGTCAGGGTGGATGTCGCAGTGAAGTAGATCAATCAGTAAATCATCCTCTCCGTTCCTGGCAAATGCAACCAAAATCTTGCAGTACGACTGCGAAGAGATCTTGATGCCCAGTCTCTCTACCTGAGCTATACGAGACGCAACTTCCTTGGTATCTGGGTCTCGCAGCGCAAGAGACTGTAACGCGCGTGGGCCTATAGTGCGTACTCCCAGCTTATGTATGAGGTTGATTGCAAATTCCAGAGATGTCCAGGTGCTAGCAAACCATTTGGCGATGAAAGCATCACTATGGATTCCCTTTCTATCGAACCCTCTTCTATCGATTTCGAAGAACGGTTCATCCTCTTCGGTTTCAGCAGCCAGCCACTCACGGTTGAGTTCGGCAACAGCAAGCTCACTCTCTGTGAGCTGTATGTGAGGATAGTAGTTGGCAAGAAAGAGCAGAAACGGGCGCGACTTTGCTGTGAATGGAGAATCTTTAAACAAAACAAGCTTCTTCCGCCATGTACGAGCTAATTTGGATTGGCCGGAAGCGAAGAGAGCCGGTATCACATGGTCGTATAGTTGGCGATTGGCGCCGGAGACATACAGCGCCGTCAGAGTGCTCTGCATCTCAGGAGTTGGCTTGATAACAAAGGTTGCTAATAAAGCTCCAAATTCTTCCGCTCCAGCTGGAAAGATAGGAGCTAGTAATTTGTCCCAGCGAATTGCGCTTTCATAATCGCCGCGTTCCAGGAAAAAGTGGACAGTTTTCGTGTAGAGTCCAGGCCATTGGAAATTCTCCTGAGCGACAAGCTGTCGCGCCGCAGTAAAAAGCAAAGACAGTCTTGCTTCAGAGCTTAACGCAGCTGACAAGATTCTGCAACGCAGGGCTTCGGCATCGTTATGGGTAAAAATTTTGTGTTTCCCACTCTGCCAAATAGACTGAGAGACGGCCCAAACGCCATCAGGGCCATACATATCAGACAGCACGCCGCATACTGCCTCCCAAGTAGCAGCATCGTAGGGTTCAATATCGGCCTCTGTATCCTGAAGAGTCTTGTTGATTCTTGCCGCGAGAGATTCGTTCGACGGAAGAACATCCAATGGTGCATCACGTCGCTGCCGCGCCTGCCCTAGACTCCCGTATTCTCTCCATTCTGATGGCTGCAGCAAGGAACTTGGTTTCCCAGCAGAGAGTGCTCGCCATGGATTCCGATCAAAGCCTCCAAGAACAACTTTAGGAGCTCGATGTAGAATACGATTTGTTACTGGAGTAGTAGATGGGCGAACTAGGGCAGAAGAATGCTGGAAATATTGCCGGAGCCTTGTCTGTGAAATTTGCGCCGAGGGCTTGGAAACGATTCGGGTCGGTTCTAGGCGATTTGATCTAGACGGCAAGGCTCTTCGCATTCCTGGGATTGTCTCGTCTCCAGCAGGCCGCCGAGCTTTGAAGCATATCACCACATTGGGCTGTCTGCTTTTGCGGTACCGCCGATAATGCGTTACGCTCAAGGCGCTTTGGGTATGCGATGCCGCAGCTGTAAATCCGAACGTAACAAAAGTCGAAGCCTTTGTTAGATTCTACTGGACTCTGATATTCACTCCAGCGCATCTCATTGGCGGCTCCTAGCTCGGCACCTACCCACTCCCACTTTGTGTGCATTTTTTGATGGGGCCGATTTGCTGAGTCATCCAGCTACCCACTTCGAGCTAGAATATGGCCTCATTTCTCTAACCAAGGCTCTTCTGCCGTTCCGAACCTCAAGATCCCTCTACAACGAAGCACATTTGAGAAGAGACGCCCTGCAAGCATCTTCAACCCCACCGCCAAAATGAGGTATGGCCTTTTCTGGAAGCAGCGCATGCGGAAGCCCCCAATTGCGGCCTGTCCGCGGGGCACGCGGCGGCTCTGCATTATGCACATAGCTTCGAAGACTTCGGCTGACGCAGTATCATAGCATGATCAACGCCAAGAACAAGGTGACGGAGCACCAGCGCTTCTACCAGCAGGCCTACAAGGCTCACACCCGTCTGTGGATGATTGTACGCGCGGATCGACGATATCGCACACGCCGGAACAATGCTAACTCAGCGTCAGAACTCACGAAGCCGCTGGTACATGGCTCCCTACCTGGTTGCCCTCTGGGGAGGCTTCGGTGGTGAGTCTACGATTGAACCGATAGTTATGGGATTCAACTAAAAACTTATAGCTACCCTTTACGCCGCCAGCCGAAAGGTCGCTGGACACAACACTTGGTTCGGCAAGGACTAAGCTGCCAACATATACTTGGGACGAGCCAATTGATTTTGCCCCGATTTCCATTCAATGTGGGATTAGGAGCTTGTATGAGTTGTAGTCTTATAGACAGTGAATATAGGATCTTGTCAGTCCATTTTTACACCTCCTCCATCCACTTGGCCTGCCATTGTTTTGTTCGCCCCGGTGTATCTGGTGTTTCATAAGTTTTCTTTTCTTTCAATTATGCGTGGCCATAATTCCCATGTGCCACTATACAATGTCTGCGTGGTAGAAAAAGAAAAAAGAGAATGCGAATCAAATAAGTCGCATGACAGATAACCGGCCCTTCCTCGCCTATTGACCCAAGCCCTGTAATATCACTAAATTGGTCGTAAATTCAGTCTATCAAAAATCAGTAGCCAGTTGCGCCTGGTGCCTTTTCATCCTTGCGCAGACTCATGAGCATTTCGCGGAAACGCTCCTTGCCAGATCCGGCGGCTCCGCCAGTAGCCCCCTTTCCACTGATATCAACGAGCTTTGCGATGCGGTCCCAGCTCGTGCCACCAGAAACGGTATCCTCCCGGTTCGCAAGGAATTCCTCTGCCTCTTTGCGTGTCTGCGCAATGCCTTTCTCTTTCTTGGAGTTATAGTTGTCATAGAAGTCATCGATATTCTGCTGAGCTTCCTTTATCGTCTCCTCTCGCTGGGCAGCGAATTGCTCGGACCGCTTCGCAATCTGCTCGTCCCGGCGCTCCCTCCACTCCTTGATGACCTCTGGCTCCTCCTCGTCGGCTGCATATGTTTGGTAACCTGAGTTGTAGCTCACAGATGGGCCGGTCATGATGTTTCCATCCACGCCTGCCAGGCCCTAAATGAACGAGTCCTATTAGCATTGAACGACTTGTATATATAGATCCAATGTTTACGCACAGCGGCCGGGTTGGCAAGGTCTGGGAATTGAGATTCGAATGAAGACTCGGCGGCGGCGGCGGCGGTCTCTCCCAAGAGGTCTCCGCCAGTCTCACCCAATACGTTTGCGTCATCACTGGTGGTGAACTGGTTCGCGTCATCGCCCAAGAGAGCCTTTTCCCTGGCAAGGAAATCCTCGGCGGAGGGCTCGTCGGAAACATCTTTGATATCGGTTTGCGCTGGAAAGCAATGGTTAGCCACAAGCAGAGGCGCCTGGATCCATTCAGGAGCTTACCTCCAGAATCGAAGTCCTCGAGAGAAGGGAAACGGTCGGCCATTTTGAATTTGGGCTGAGTAGCTAGATTCGAGAGAACTTGACGATTTTCCAAACACAAGTTGATAACGAAAAGGTCCAGAGATCCAGTCAAAGGAGAGTGTAGTGGTCGGATTAATATTAGCTTGCGCAACAAACAGCAAGAGCGTTCGTTAGCAGTGACCACCCTGTTGTCCCTGGCTACTGCTGCCACGTTCTGCCGGGCGGTGAGTGCTGCTGAGGCGTAGCTCTGGGCGCATGGTATTGCATAAGCCCATACAAGCACGCTAACATTTGCATTTAACCAGTCTCCTAGCGGATAAGCCTCCAGAGCATCCAGCTTGCGTCAAACTTTCTTCTTGATGTTTGAAGCTATTTCTTACTTCCATTCTATCTGCAGTCTCTTATTTATATATCTTTCTACTATGTACTGAGCTTTCAGACACACAGTCAGACTTGCATTCCCTTATTCACGCCCGATCTGCCTCAATTGCCCACCTCTTAGTTGATAGCACGCCTGTAGCTGAGCTTCGAGATCAAGGTCCACTGGTTGCTGTAGACTCTTTCCAATCGCGTCGCAACTCAAATCTACTCCAATAAGGCGCACCGTCTATAAATTTTCAGGTGGCATTTTTGCGTTGTTTTTGATAAAGCCTTGAGCGCAATCTTCAATTAGAGCATAGCCATCATAATGGCCTACAACGACGATTCCGTGCTGGCGCGTCTGTCAGCCCTCAATGAGAGCCACGATAGCATTGCGACCGCAGCTCAATGGATCATGTTCCATAGGTAAGACGCAATTTCCTTTTAATTAATAAGACATTTATCCATAGAATGTGCACTGACTCCATGAATTCTCTAGACGACACGCAGATCGCACGGTAGCGCTTTGGATGCAACGACTCAAAGACTCTTCTAGTACGAAACGATTAAGCTTGGTTTATCTTGCCAATGGTATGCATTCCTTACGACTATACAATATAATGATTTCGAATGGGGGTCTATGGCCTGCTATACATATATAGCTAGAGATGCTAATATGCATCCAGAGGTTGCACAGCAGTCTAGGATTCGCCACAAGGAGGACTTCATCATCGCATTTTCTCCTGTGATAGCAGAAGCCGCTGCAGTCGCCTATAAGGGGGCGCCAGCCGAAATTCAGGGCAAATTGCGCCGAGTGATTGACGTCTGGAAAGACAGGGCAATTTTCGAGGCACCGATTCAGGCGGCCATCGAATCGCGACTAAACGGTACGAGTCTTCGAAGCTGTTCGTTGAAGAATTGCCGATGCTAACTGCAATTTTAGAACTGGATAAAGCTCGCGGGTCTGTGAAGCCTGGTTTTGGAGGCTCTCCGTTCGGCGGCGGATCATCTACGGCCGTACCTGCAGAATTCACTCCTCTTATATCTGCTCACCAGACGGTCACCAAGCTCAGCGTACCGCTAAAGACGACTATCGCCTCCGCAAACCAAGAGTACGAAAAGCAAGTCGATGTTTCAGTGCCGGTTCCTTCAGCACCGGTCTATGCAGCTCGCCTGAATGGCTTGCTCAAGACTCTTGCGAGCGCAGAGAGCGCAGTGGCTGAGTGCGTAAAAGCTCGAGAGAGCCTGATCTCAGGGCTGGAGAAACTGCTGGATTCAAATAGGGCGGCATTGGAAAATGAAAAGAATACAGCTCTTGAATTCTCAACCCGCAAACGAGAGGTTGAAGATAAGAAGCAGCAGGTCGAAGTTGCCATCATGAGAGCACTTGGACCTGCGGAAAACAACGGATCCCACACGGAAGGGGAATCTGGCAGCCCGCCGACTGAGCTTGATCGCCCAGAGATGGAAGCTCTGACGCCGCCCGGTATGGATAATGACTTTGACGACACTATGCCAGAGCCGGTCGAGAACATTGAAGACAGTATGGATGTGAAGTTAGCAGAGGACATTTCAGCAACCGAGCCATCCACCACCTTTACTCAGTCATTGCCCATATCAGCCAACGGCTCTAACAAAAGGCGACGGGTGGACGATGGGGATGACTTTCCTGATCTCGGAAACGATGGCGAGATAGATCCTGAAGTGGCAGAAATGCTGAAAGAAAACAGCGATGTTTGATTTTACAGGAGGATACTAGTGCTTTTCAGAAACGGAGTATTGCTATCAAAATTGTTGTGGTGGGACATTTTCTTCACATCTTGACGGGACGATATGATCGATTCACTTATAGTAGCTTGTCGAATATCAGCACACCGGCAATGGCTTGGGCTGCTGCAAAGCTGCCGTGCAAGACTTTTCAACATATCAAAGCCGGATGCGGCTCAGCCGGCTTCAGGCTCCTTGAATACTGCCATGTACTTGGATGCTGGGGCCTGCTCGCTCCTCGATATCATGAGAAAATTATATATACATTGCTGTAGTAGTTACAGGGGCTTGTAGCCATATAGAGAACTCATGCTACTTTGCATAAACACTGTTGTCGTGGTCTGAAGCACAATTCACCGTTCCTGTTCAAATTCAGGATCGGATCTCGGACCTTTGAGCTCGGCCTCAGGCCCGTACGGGATCCGGAGCGCAGCAGATGCACGTACTACCGACTTTCGGCCGAGCCTTGCCCACTAATTACGGCGCTTCAGCTGCTGGCTGGCGCATGCAGCACAGGCTCCCAGCGCTTTCAGCTGTAAATCCCGCGAGTTAGTTATGACGGTATCTGCTAGCACAGCTGCGGAAATCCTTGGCTCCAGCCCTCTTTTCTCTCTCTCTTTCTGACTTGCTTTCCTTACAACTTGTCGCCGGATTTCCCTCCTTTAGCAGCGATCCCGGCTCTCTCCTCCATCCAGCTCCCAGCTACTCGATGCCGTACCGCTGGGCGGCCGAATAAAGGTCCCCTCGGTTAACATGAATGCCGGGGCGCTGCGAAGAGCGCTGCCTCCCAGGCTCGCATCGCAGGCGCAAGAATCGACAGCTTTTGCTCGGGCTTCTTTGTCGCAATGCTTCTCGACATCCGAAACTCTTGTGCGCCAGCCGCAGCTCCTTAGGCCCCCAATTGCTGTTCCGCGCTCTCTTCCAGCTTTTACTCCCGCCGCATTTCATAGTCTTGCAGGATCTTTACGGACGACTCCATCGCACTCTGGCGTTTCAGGCCAATCACCTCTCGGACATGGACACATTTTACAGCTGGCTCGGCAATTTTCTAGCACTTCGCCTGCTGCACGGGAACTTCGGCCAAATCCTCAGGATGCGACTCCGCGAACGGTAGAGCCTGTAAAGCAGGCAAAGGATGCCGAGAACGAAGAATTCCAAAAGAGCGAAAAGGCAGCTAATGCGGCGCAAGTCAACCTAGCTGCTCGGTTATCGAAAGAAGGAAAGGCCCCGGCAAAAGCTGGCATGAAGGAAATCTGGAGACTGCTCTCCATTGCCAAGCCGGAAGCTCGATGGCTAGGTTTGGCCTTTTGCTTTCTGGTGGTCTCCTCTGGCGTTACCATGCTCATACCGTTTTCCGTTGGACGCATCTTGGATATCTCCACCAAGGGCAGCATCGATGACGTTGACATCTTTGGCCTCTCCTTGAACCAATTTTTCATCGCTTTGGGTGGAGTACTGACGCTCGGCGCCATGACCAGCTTTGGACGAATCATTCTGTTGCGTATCATTGGAGAGAGAGTTGTCGCCAGACTACGATCTCAGCTCTACAGACGGACGTATGTTCAAGATGCCGAATTCTTCGATGCTAATCGGGTTGGTGATCTCATATCGCGACTTGGGTCTGATTCGGTCATTGTTGGCAAGTCAATTACATCCAACCTGAGCGACGGTCTTCGAGCAATCTTCAGTGGCGGCGCCGGATTTGCAATCATGATCTGGACAAGTGCCAAGCTTACCGGTATCTTATGTCTCATGTTCCCGCCCATTGCTATTGGCGCCTTCTTTTACGGACGAGCTATTCGAAATGTGAGCAGGGCGATACAGCAAAATCTCGGTACCCTGACCAAAATCGCAGAAGAGCGACTCGGAAACATCAAGACCAGCCAGGCGTTTGTTGGAGAGGTCCAAGAGGTTGGACGGTACAACAAACAGGTCCGCAAGATTTTTGCTCTTGGTAAGAAGGAATCATACATTGCCGCAACATTCTTCTCTTCGACAGGCTGGGCCGGCAACATGACCCTCCTTGCCATGCTTGTTGTTGGAGGAAATCTCGTAAGGTCCGGCGCCATGTCCTTGGGAGACTTGACCTCTTTCATGATGTATACTGCATTTGCAGGTTCCAGTCTGTTTGGACTTTCGGGCTTCTACTCGGAGCTTATGAAGGGTGTTGGCGCTGCGAGCCGTTTATTCGAACTGCAGGATCGAAAACCCACCATTCATCAGACAGTTGGACTTCCCGTCAAGTCTGCCCAGGGCAACATCCGATTTTCCAATGTTCATTTTGCTTATCCTACTCGACCCGCTGTAAACATTTTCAACGGTTTGGACTTTGAGATTGCATCTGGAAGCAACGTCTGCGTCGTTGGTCCGTCTGGAGGCGGCAAATCTACAGTGGCATCTTTGCTACTGCGATTTTACAATCCTACAAGCGGATCCATTACCATTAACGGCGTTGATATCTCGACCATGAACGTCAAATCGCTGAGGCGACGAATCGGTGTTGTGTCTCAGGAGCCTGTTCTGTTCTCTGGCACCATTGCAGAGAATATCGCTTACGGAAAGCCACATGCAAGCCGCGCGGAAATCATCTCTGCTGCTAGGAGAGCCAACTGCACGTTCATCAGCGATCTCCCTGATGGCTTAGAAACCCAGGTTGGCGCCCGTGGATCGCAGCTCTCTGGTGGTCAAAAGCAGCGTATTGCCATTGCCAGGGCACTGCTCAAGGACCCTGATATTTTGATTCTTGACGAGGCCACTTCGGCTCTCGACGCAGAATCAGAGACATTGGTCAACGAGGCTCTCGCCAAGCTCCTCGGTGGCAACAACACTACGATATCCATTGCCCACCGACTGTCTACGATCAAACGGTCTGATCAAATCATCGTCCTGAACAAGGATGGCATGGTGGCGGAGATTGGCAGCTATGTCCAGCTTGCTGCGGATAAAGGAAGCGCCTTTAGCAAGCTGATGGAGTGGCAGATGAGCGGCGGCGAGATTCCAGTTAAGCGGCCCTCAACGGAAGCTACAAGCCACATCACCGAATTTGAGGAGATTGAAGAGGATCTTGCTAAAGACGAGGACCTGGAACGATTTGTCGAAGACACCGAAGAGGCGAATCGAGAGAAGTCTGCTCAATCAACAGAAGATAAATCAGGGCGTCCCTGAATTGGATCCTAAAACGCTGAATTTACCCACAGTTCAAACCAGATATTAAAAATGATGGAGTTGAGTTGTGTTGTCTGATAAAACTTGTATATTATCTACGGCGGGTTCAACACGGCGTACCAGAGCTAAACACTGATTGTTTTTACGCATAAGAGGTCAGCATGTCCCCTCTGGGCAGCGGCATCAACGAAAAGTACGGTTCTATAGGTGGCGAGGTAGTAGTAATAACTCCACTCGGACTCGTATTTCGGAAGACAATGTCTTTAGGATAGCCAGTTGTGGAAAAATGTATGATAGATAAGAGCAAACAGTGAAGAGGGAAAGAGCTTAATGAATGAGAAAACTTTGGTTTTATGATGTAGTATTGCCGTGCTTTGGATTGCTGAATTAGTTTGGGCTGTTTGTTGGAACCTTGGATACAAAGCGGTTTGATGCTAATATAAAACCATGCCGTCCTCATTCCTAACACCGCTTCAAGAACCCTAATATAGAAACGCAAACCTTCATAATTTGGGACAAGCTGTGAACGTCAACTTCTACCGAGGAAGCTGACGATCTACCCGGCGAAGATCCACTGTAAAGGAAAAGGCCGGCTCGGGACCCGATCCAGTTAGCACAGCTCCGGCTGCAGACGGACAGCCACTGGCCCACAGTGACATTACAGGTGCATCTCAGCGCGTTGTCGAGCTCTGCTTTATTATTCCAGCGCCTCCCATTGTTTTCACTTAGTCGTTTATCAATCTGGCGAGGGAGCGTCGTTTCAAGCCCCTTGTATATACTGTATCTTGGATATAAAAGTTATCTAATAACAATTGTTCATCATGACGACTACCGAGGGCCAGTTCAAGGTCGGCGATGCGAGCTTCTACACCAAGACATGGACGGTTTGTCTGCCCGCCTTTCCCCTTTTTCCATCATCCATATTAGCATGTGATTCCTTGTCCCCAAACAGACCTGCTAATTCCATCATCCAGCCGACGAACCCCGTGATAGCCAAGGTCATCTTCGTCCACGGCTTCAGCGAGCACATCAACCGCTACAATGACTTCTTCCCCAAGCTCGCCGAGCAGGGCATCCAGGTCTTTGCATGGGACCAGCGCGGCTGGGGCCGCAGCGTGACGAAGCCCGCCGAGAAGGGCCTCACGGGGCCGACGGCGCGGGTTGTGGCCGACGTCGCCGCCTTTATCCAGGACAAGCTGCCGTCAGACGTGCCCGTCTTCGTCATGGGTCACTCCATGGGCGGCGGCGAGATCCTCACGCTGGCGGGGGACGCGCAGTACAAGCAGCTGGTGGGCCAGATTCGCGGCTGGGTGCTCGAGGCGCCCTTCATCGGCTTCTCGCCCACCGAGGTGCCCAGCTCGCTCAAGGTGTTTGTCGGAAGACTGGTCGGCCGCCTGTTGCCGCGGCAGCAGCTCAAGCATGTTGTGCCGCCAGAGCATCTGAGCCGCGACCCGGAGGTGGTTGAGTCGATTAGGAACGATGCGCTGTGCCATAACACGGGCACGCTGGAGGGCTTGGCGGCGTTGCTGGACCGAACGGCGACGCTGGCGGGAGGGGGAGTGAAATTGGGGGCTGATGTGCGTTCGCTGTTTTTGACGCATGGCACGAAGGACTTGACGTGCAGTTATGATGCGGCTGTGAAATTTGTGAATGAGCAGACGGCTGTGGAGGATAAGGAGAGCAAGTCGTATGAGGGTGGGTATCATCAGCTTCATGCGGATCTGTGCAAGGACGAGTTTACAAGGGATGTGATCGATTGGATAGTGAAGCGGTCCAAGATAGAACCGAAGCTGTAGGGGGTGGATAATATGTTGAGATATTTCGAAGCTTGCATCAAGGCGTTTTAATACATTCCATTTAATTTAATTTTTCTTTTCTTTTGGATAGCTGACACTTGGTTCCATTTGCCGAGCTATGCAAGATACCATTGAGATCTCTTGGATACGTAGGTACCTTATGCCTTGCGTCCAGCTACCCAGTGTGGTCTTGAAGATTTCATTTTCATGCAGATGACCGAAACACTAGAAACATTGAACCTGATATGTACTGAAATCTATAAGAGAACGCCATGTAATACTCAATCAACTCCCTCATTCAAAAAACATGCATTCTTACAGCTCGAGTTTTGCAGCCACGAATCATCTTCTGCAGCAACGGGCTGAGGCGCAGCGTGGGTCGGTAGATTTTGAGCCGCAAATGGAAGGGAACCTGGATGGTTCCGAAGTTGCCCGACCTGTCGTTACTAAAGCTGAATCGAGATCTATTTAAGATCTAGGCAATCTCCACTGCATCTAGAAAAGGTTATTTTAACTGTTCATACACAGATGTCTTCAATGTCGACTTTATATCACGTCGAGTTGGCGTGAGCGCTGGCATTGCTGCTTCTGCGAGCAGGTCCATTCGTCTACGACACGTCTCAACAAGCGTTGATATCCGACACCAGCCCAGCCTGGGAGCTTAGTCATGTGTGCCACACAATGGAGATCGGCGTGCGCTCATCGTTGACGTTATTTGCTGGAGCTGCTTGATTTGATGCTGAGGTTTAAAAGAGCAAGCAAACGCGTAACATTATACGCAATAGGTGGCCATGCAATACGGCAGTACTGCCTGGGTTAAGCTTGGCCGGTGGCGACTTCACCGCTTGAGAGCTCCATATCCCCTGTTTCTCTCCTCACAGCTCCATCTACGTCGTATTGAGATTGCCATTTCCATCAATTTGAAGCCTTGCTAAAACACAGACCGTTAATCCGACCAACCTTTTCGTCTCTTCCTCAACTTATCCTCTTCTTTCCACCAAAAATGCCCCCACGTCTGCGCTGACTGTGTCCCTTATTTGCTTGCGCCAGTGTGAGCTCTCCACAGCTGTTATCTCGGTCAATTTCCACTCTCTTGCCCCTGGCGTAAATCTATCGCTCACCTGCTTTATCGCGATCCAGCCTGCACCTTCATCATCGAAATTTTACTAGCGCCAGATTGTTCATCCTGTTCTTTCTATCCAGCATCGAGCCGTCGATCCATTGGTCTTTCTGGAGCTCTTTATTTGCATTGAACAGCCAAGGCTTTCTCAGAGGCCTCCTTGGTGGGAACGTGCCAAACCCCCACGCGCAATCCCGCGTCTTGTCCGGCGACACCGGTGAAAGGGATAAATCCGACGACGGAGAATTACTCCCACCATCGCTGCTATCGTTTGATTGATTTCGCAAGTTCCTCCTCTTCACAATCAAATCAGAGAGACTCGGTAGCTCATCATGACGCCGGACGCAAAAAACACCATCACGCACCACCCAAATGTCTTCAACCTCCAGCGTCTGCAGCCAGCCTCCAGCCGCAGCAGCTCGAAAGGACCTGCCGCCCCAAATGCTTCTAGCACCGGTGTCGAGGCTGTCGAAGTGAGGGACCAAGATCCGGTGGAGCGCCACCACTCGGCCGTCACCGATGTAGAGAGCCAATTCACCGCAACCCGCAACTCTCGCGTTCCTCGCCTCTCAGCCGAAAGCGACCCCTACGGGTTGTCTCTGTCCTATAAAACGGATTCGGATCTCGAGCAGATCAAAGCCAACTCATCTCGTAAGAGGGACGGTGAGCGAGGTGCCAATGGAGCCAAGCCAAAGGGCCCCAAGAGCGACCACCGCAAAGTCCGTGGCTTTTACGAGAATCAAAACGCCACCATCGAGCGAATGCTCAAATCGGTTGAGGAGCACGTAGAGGAGGCCCGTGTCGAGCAAGGAGAGGACCAGACAAAGGTCAAGATTGCCATCTATGGCTCGCTTGCTGCCAACATTGTCCTCACTGCCCTCCAGCTCTACGCTGCCATCACCTCCGGATCGCTGTCTCTGTTCACCACCATGGCGGATGCCGTTTTCGACCCGCTTAGCACTCTCGCTCTTATTCTGTCAAACCGCGCTATCAGCAAGGTCGACCCGCGACGCTTTCCTGCTGGCAAGGCGCGACTCGAGACGGTGGGCAACATTGTCTTCTGCTTTCTCATGAGCGCCGTGGCCCTCATCATCATCGCATTTTCGGCTAGGGAGCTGGCCTCTGGGGATGGCGACAAGACGTTCCATCTCCCTTCGGTCATCTCCGTTTGCGCGGCCTTTGCGACCAAATTCTGCCTCTTCCTGTACTGCTGGTCTCTCAAGGACAAATACAGCCAGGTCAACATTCTGTGGCAGGATCACCGCAACGATCTGCTTGTTAATGGCTTTGGTATCTTAACTTCGGTAGGTGGTGCAAAGCTGGAATGGTGGATTGACCCAATCGGTGCCATTCTCTTGTCTCTCTTGACTTCTGGCATCTGGCTCTACACTGCCTTCAACGAGTTCCTGCTACTTGTTGGCGTTGTTGCGCCTCTAGACATGCAGCAACTCATTACATACGTGTGCCTGACCCACTCGGATGCCATCGAGGGCATTGATACGGTTCGAGTCTACCACTCGGGGCCGCGGCTGATTGCCGAAGTGGACATTGTCATGGATCCATCGCGGACGCTTAGAGACACGCACGATGTCGCCGAAGAGCTGCAGATCAAGCTCGAGAGCCTGCCCGACGTTGAGCGGGCCTACGTTCATATTGACTACGAGACCACTCACAAGCCGGAGCACGCCTACAAGAAGGACCTTTGAGGTTGCTGCGAGAGACTTGTACTGCAGTATGCATGCATGAAAGAGGCTTTTTTTGTTCTCCCCTCTCTTAATTTATCACGCTTTTGTTTTTCTCATATCTGCGGTTTGTTTCGTCATTTCGATGAGAAGAGTATGCCACGGAGTCATTGGCGCATTAGTATCGTATCATTTTTGAATATTGTTATATTGCTCTACGTCGTACCGAAGAGGGGCTAGAATGGGTTTGATGGCGCATAACGGAAGACTTTTTACTGCTAGTAGTAAGTATATGCGCTACCACTACTACATACCCTGTCATAATATATGTGATCTCACAATCTTGTCAAAAAAAATTGCATGTGAAAGAGACGTTGGAAAAGACCATATAAACTAGACATCTTGCTGAATTCGCAGCCACGACATCTTCGTTGGTTGGCTCTTGAGCAGACGCAACTCTCAGCATACCAAGGTGCGGGGGGGAGCAAGCGATGCAGTGGGGACTACGGAGAATCTAAATCGTTGACGAGGAGGCCATAGCCGAAGTGGAGAGTTGCCATGATTATTCGCATCCTTGTTGACTTAAAGGCGCTTGGGTCTAGGTAATCGAAGCTTGCAGCTCAAACTGCCCCATCTCGAAAGCAAGGCCAAGAACGCGTCAACAAACAGATACGGAAAGATAGTGGGAGCCATTCTGCCCGACAGGTAATAAAGGAAGCGTTGAGGCGGCCGGATGTGGCCTGCGTTTAGGTATCAATTCCATTCCATTACCCGGATGACTCGACGGATAAAAGGAGGGGATGTCTAATTGATAACGAGATGGCCATTGAGAGGGTGGACAGACTGCACGGCACTAGATACGACGTTGCCTTGTCACGAATTATTAACGGCCCGACGTTTGAAGCCATCTCCGTGGCGTGAGAGACGAGCAAGACTCTGGATGTGCAGCCGCGCCGTACAGTACATTGCAAATGGAGACGCACAGCGAGCCAGCTAATCAGGACTGCTCGCAGCAGCATGTTGGGACGTGATGAGGAGCAGCCGCGGCCGCACGAGAATTGCGCGCATTTGCATGGGAACCGACAAACCATGCGCGGGAGCCCGACGAAGGCGGCGTTGGGCTGTAGCTGCGCCGTCTCCTAGCAGGTATTTATCGTAAATCTCAGCAATCTGCGGACGCAGCAGCCCAGAGACGCAGAACCACAGAAGCAATGAGTCCCAACTGCGGAGCCTTTCTGCAACAAGCATCCGGGAGGGGCCCAGCGGAGGTCGCCAAAGCCACTAGAGGTTGCTGTTTTGCGAGCTTTTTTTTCCATCGCTCTTCTGTCTTTCATGCATCTGCAAGCATGCATGGCATGGGCATGGCATGGCGCGGAGGCGAGAAATGGTGAGAGAAATAAAAATTTTCGCTTTCTGCGAGCTGCCTGGACGTCTGGCCTATAAGAGTGGCGCCCTTGGGTGGGATGTTGCATGGAGATGACGAATTGGATATGATGCTAGTATAAATGGAACACGGTTTCTAGCCCGGTACCTTTGATATCTTGAGATATGAGAGAAGTCAGAGAGAGAGAAGCCAACAGTTATGTATATGTGGCTGTACTGGTTGGGCATCTGCTTATCTTGAGCATTGAGTGCTTAGTCCATCCGCCATGTTGGTGAAAATGATCAATCGCTGAGGCAGTGTAGCTGCGTTGTCTGTTATCTGGGTAGAACACAAGAAGCGCGAACAAATCTGCGGATGGCGTTCGCCTGCACCGAAGAGAAAATTTCGCAGCGACGTGGTTGGCTAATCAAGACGAGCTGGAGGGGTTCCGAGTTTTTTACCCCTCCCCCTCCTTTTCCAACCTCTCCATTGATTGATACGAGCATGTGCATGACATTTGCCTGATGTGCTGCGCATCGTGCTGCAGCTGCAGGCTGGGCTGGTTCGCTTGCAAGCCATGATGCACACCGTCCGCTATCAGCGAGCTGGGCCCGGGAAAGGCCGTACAGGAGCTGCTGCAGCGCGGCTAGTGGCTGCTAGCTCATGACAGGTGGGCTGGCGGGGGCCTGCGGGTGGTCCAATGGGCGCTGTGCCGCAGGGCAGCTTTCGGACAGACAGCTACCTGGATGGCCTAGGTGCCGCCGGCGATGGAGATGGCCTCAAGGAATAGGCATAGCAGCGCCAGAGCAGGCGGATTAGTGCCTGCTTAGCAGGCTGTGGATAGATGAGCGGCGGCCAGGCCTAGTAGCAATCGGGTAGCAGCAGCAGGCAGTCGCAGTCGCATCGACGATTGAAGAAGGCGAGAAAAAGTAGCGCCAGCCTGACGGCACCTTAAACGACGCCACCCTCTTGCGCCGTACCCAATTCCAACCTCCATCACCATACAGTTGCCTCCCAACGCTTTCTTTATTTCTACCGCTGCTGTTCCCGCTTCCGGAGCTCCTCTTCTTCTCTCCCCTCTTCTTCTTCTTATTCCCTCTGCTCCTCCTCCGTAAAGGTCGTGCCTCGTGTCTCTGTCCCCGTAAGCGTGTCTTCAGAGATCTGCGGAATACCCCTCTCACCGACTTCTTCCATCTCTTTTGCGTTATCTAGCTATAACTCTTTGCTCATCTAGCTCATAATGGCTGATCCAAGCTGGGGCGAGCATGCTTATGCTACGGTTCGTCCTTGCTGCTCCCTTCCCCGCTTGTTCTCTGCGTTGTATATAGCTCAAAGAACGGCAAGCTGACTTATCGCCGCGGCCTGGCTCTCTTGATATAGCTTCTTTTGAACGATGCCTACCTTCCTGGTGAGTTTTCTCTAGCCAATTACTCTTGAAGATTTGTTGTCACTAACGAAATAGTAGGCGCTTTGGTGCTTGCTCACTCGCTGCGTGACGCCGGAACCACCAAGAAGCTCGCAGTTCTCGTCACTCTCGACGGTGTGACTGCCGAGGCCGTTGTCCAGCTCAAGGTACGCTTCAGAGTCAAAATATGCGTTTTACCATATACGTTGGAGAATATGGGCTAACTTGCGCCTTCTCTCCTCTTTGCACGAGCAATTAGACCGTTTACGACTATGTCTTGCCTGTTCCTCGAATCCGCAATGACAAGCCCGCCAACCTGTACCTCATGAACCGTGCTGATCTGCACTCTGCCTTTACCAAGATCAACCTGTGGAAGCAGACGCAGTTCTCTCGAATTGTCTACATCGATGCCGACGTTGTTGCCTATCGGGCTCCGGACGAGCTCTTCGACCTCCCACACGCCTTTGCGGCCTCCCCCGATATTGGTTGGCCAGACCTCTTCAACTCTGGTGTCATGGCGCTGACGCCCAACAACGGTGATTACCACGCCATGGTCGCCATGACCGAGAGGGGTATCTCCTTTGATGGCGCCGACCAGGGTCTCCTCAACATCTACTTCAAGAACAACTTCCACCGTCTGCCCTTCACCTACAACGTCACTCCTTCCGCGCACTACCAATACCTCCCTGCCTACCGACACTTCCAGTCCAGCATCAACATGGTCCACTTCATTGGTCCGGACAAGCCTTGGCGCGCTGGCCGCAACGCCTCATATGGCAGCTCAGCCTACGACGAAATGGTTGGCCGATGGTGGGCCGTGTATGATCGCCACTACCGCGAGAAGGTGAGTTTCCAGCAGTAACATTCCATTACATTAACAAAATTACCAGCTAATGCTTTCACTTAGGAAATTTCTCAGCTTGCCAATGGCAGTGGAAACTATAACACAGCTTACGAGGCTCAGAAGTAAGATGAGGAAGCTCTTGTGTTGAGACTATTTATCCCATGATTGTATTTACTAATGCGTTTTTAAACAATAGGAGTGCTTCTCTGGCTTATACTGGAAATGATACAACTCAAAACTGGGGTGGCCAGAACCAGGCACCACGACAAATCTTCCCATGGGAAAGCAAGCAGACCAAGGCTACCAGGTCCTTCTACGGCGATGAGTCAGAGCTGCAGCCGCAATCTGCGACCACCAAGCCTTCGGGCGCCCGTTCTTCAGTTACCAAATCGCCTCCCAAGTCTCCAGTCTCCAAGGCATCGGACAAACAGAGCGAGGCCGGCACAGCATCATGGACAACATACTCTCGAGGCAATGCTTGGGATGAAGATCCCGGCATCTCCAAGTATGCGGAAGCAGTTGAGAAGCGCCACCGATCGAGTAGCCGTGGACAGGGAGGAGATGAGGACGTAGACGACGACGAGGATGAACAAGAACAGACAAAGCGTGGCTTCAAGGTTACTGACTTCCCTACTGAGACGGAGCGACCCAGCTTGCCAGTCACGCCGGCCCCAGTTCCTCGAGGGCGTGAAGCCGCTGGAAAAGGCCTGCCGGCAGCTGAGGGCGTGCCGTCACAGGCCGAATGGGTACGTACTAATCAATCGAAAACAGCTAAATAGACTACACATATATACTGGGTAGCTGACGTGGAGTTTCCTGACAAGGATCCCACAGCGCAATTAGAGAAGCTTGCTCAACAGCAGTCAGCGATGCTATTGCGCAAGCTGGGAGGGGAGACGGATGATGTATCGAGAGGAACGAGCCAAAGTATTTCGACGCAGCCCATTGGATCACAGACTCGCATTGCACAGTCAGTGCCTCAGGTGTTGAGTCCACGACCTGTCAAGGGGACGGCCGCGGCCGCAACCAGAAGTTTGGAGCGCAAGATGGATGCAGAAGCCGACAAGTCATGACGCAAAAGAGAGAGAAAAAAACAAAGAAAAACGAAAAAGAAAAGTACCACAGTAACGAAAAAAGAAGGACGATATATTGGATATTGCGTATTGGATTGGGAAAAAAAGGTGAAAGAAAAAGGGGAAGGCTATTTACACCTTGGATTTTTTCTTCGCCCGCATAATTTTTGCTTATTGCTAGTCTATTCTTTTTTTTCCTTTTCAACCACACTCCTCTGCATAGCGACTGCACCAGCATCGTCATTTGCCAAGTACCCTTTCATCGCGTGTTATGCAGAGCGTGGCATTGGGCTTATCAGCATTGGTTTCATTTGTGTCCCATGACTATTTATTTTGATGTTGTCATCTTTATTTTTATTCCATACCGCTACTATACGTACATATGTAAATTAAGCTCATTGGTGGATGTTGAAGCCTCTTTTCCTCATAGTTTGTGAATGCTGCGTTGGTTTGAATGACTGCTGATGAGTGACAGATGGCTTACATGGAGTTGTATTGTTGGACTTGGTAGAATTCGTCTTGAAGTTTATATGAACATTATCTACACTATATCCTATATATACGACCATATGCAGTGGAAAATTGGGAGTCCTGTCATATTCTTCACCAGAGAACAATGTCTTCCCCCCACGCCCTTGGATTTGTAACATCATAGCAGCGACTCTGCTATCAAATGCCTAGCTAAAACAGTCATAGTGACTTTGATTTGCTCTGGAGTATTTGATCGACTGGTACCACCTTTCGCTAACCTTGATTCAACGCTTGTCTTATAGTTAAACGCATGTATAACTTCATCTGCAAATCGATCATCAATAGCCTTTTACATTTTTGAAATGAGAGTCTGCTTTCGCACTACTCGTCCTGACATTTGAAGTGTCTTACGGAAAGGCACACCTTTTCTGACGAGGGAGTCAGTAAAGTCTATGGTAAGATCAAATTATTTGCTGATACCAATTGCGCCGCCTTGGTTCTTGTGGTAGCAAAACCTTATTGTGTCAAAAAGGATGCCAGAGCTCTCCACTAGTAGGAGGCTTGAGCGTTTAGCTATTAATAAACTTGGTTTATTACGTGGTTCAGGCGGCCCTAAGCGGGAGACGGACAATATCCCTCGACCTCTCAGGGGATACTCAACCTTACTGTACATTCTTTCATATATATCATGAAGTAGATGGAAACCAAGCACATACGACCGTAGGTAGTGGAGAACTCGGGGTCCCATCAAGCTCTCTTCTTGAGTTCAATAACTTCCATTTTCGGCGGCCTAGGCTTCCGTCTTCAGAGTTTTGTAGTTCCGTTTTTAGCAGACAATGAACTACCTAGCGTGATATTGAAAAGAGCTTGGCGCTAGGTTTGGTTGCTTGACCCACCTTTTTGCCATTTTGGGACGGAGCTGTTTGCACTGGAAGCTTCTTATATTCGAAGCTTTGGACGCATATTTGGTAAGGTATGTACCTCTTATATGAAGGAGCTACATGTACTTAGCACGCCGAAACAAGATAAGATATCATAGTGTGTCAAAGAGACTTTGCATTTTATCGAATAGAATAGTAATTTTTGCCATTTCGTAATGGGAGCTTCAGGAGGCGCCACTTTCACTCTCGTGCATGTCGGCCCTTTACCTAAAATTCAAAACTCTCGTTCCGAATTCAACATCTATATGAAGTGAACGGACCCCCCTTATCCATTCCTCAGAAAGATGACGGTTTTCACCTTCTGCGCTGGCAAGAAGCTGTGTGCCAAGCTTCGGCATTGCATTTCTCTTCACTGAGAGTGCTTGTACTAAAGGATGACACAAAATTCGTCAGTGATGAAACGCTCCAGACGCGACAAAAGATCCCTTTGGGATATGAAAATGGTTCTTGGAACCAGCGTTCTTGAGAGCTCCTCTGAGACGTAGAATAGCTCATCACTGAATCGTATCCCTGGTTGAACCATGCAATCAAGTACTCTTCTGCCGCTGGTAGATTGTTGAATCAAAATTGCCTTGTCGTATTCATCGATCGATTCCGATTCGTGCACATATGGCAGATTGGGCCAGTGGAAGTAAAAAAAAAGCTTGGAATTGCTACATACATGTATCTACATACGCCATAGACCTTAGAGCAGATTGAAAAATGAAAGCAACAAAGACGCCGAACCTTCATTGTGATGCCCCTTTCTTCCAAACCAAATGCAAGCTGCTGAAGACCAGACATCCCACAGCTCTCCGCTCTGCGTGTCTGTACATGTAGTCAGCAGCAAAGTTCATACATGACATCATGTAGAAAACATACTTCTGAACTCGGAGCAGGGCTTCGTCCTTGAAACTCAAAATCGGAGTCATCGATCGGTCGTGGAGGCGTCTGGCTGTTGGGAAGCTGGCTGTTGGGAGAAAACCTAAAACATGTTTTTTTTTCCTTTGTCAGCCCTCGCTAATGTCACGAGTCGGCTGGTAGGGTGCGGCGTCAAGGAAACTCCGAAGAGAAAGCGTGAACCCGACCCCCTCTCACCCCTTTCATCCCTCAGAAGGATGACTTGTGTCGTCAAGAGCATGGCAAGAAGCTATGTGGCCATGCTTCGGCTCTGAAATTATCTTCACAGGGACTCCGGGGGATCATCTCAGGGGTCCCTACCTGGAAGCCCGTCAATGATGAGAATCCCCTCCAGACGCGACGAAGATCCTCGCAGGATCTGATGATGGCCCTTGGAGCCAGCGTACTGGAGAGTTGTTCTGAGACGGATCGCCACTCGTTGAATAGACACTGCATAGGCAAATGTGTCAAGATGGCATTTGGTCGCAACAGCATGAAAAGTCATCGTCTCATCCAAGTGGCAGTGAAGGCGTTGACCGAAAAAATAACAAATGGCATGGGCAAAGGTGCAGAGCGTTGAAGAAAAACCTGACAAGATTGACGGAAAAGGGACGAAGAAGATCGGAGGTGCAGCTTTGATGGTTTTTATCTCAGCATCTCCAGCTGCAACTTCCTGTCACGATTCGTCTGCTGTTGGTCTAAACGCAAGAGCGGTTGGAGTCGCATGATACAGTTGAGTGTCAACCCACCATGTCTACCTTACAGATTTATGTTTTGACATATAACCCAACAGGAGCTGTGATATCAACTTCCTTGGTAGCGTACGGTGCTCGAATTTGTACGGCAGTGACTAACGATGGCAATAAATAGGATTTCCTTTCCCGCTGCCGGTGACACCGTTTCTGGAGGAGTTGGGGAGGGAAAAGGCTCTTTTATTCTACGAATTATGTCCAACAGGTCTAGGAAGGTGTTGTTGTGAATTCGATATCGAAGAGTATTTGGAAATGCTCAATGAAAACGAATAAACATGGATCTTGACACCTGTGACTATCAGAAGGGAAGTAGCGCACAGGCTTGATCAGGATGCCTCCTTTGTGTCCTTCATCGAGCGACTAGAACGATTAGACGAACGCTATATTATATTTATGAAATCATTAAATGGTTCACCCTCACTATTTGAATTGATATTAACGGAACAATCTCCTTTTATGACACGAATTACCATATCCACGGTCAAAAGAATCTGTAAAAAAAGAGATGGCATTTCCAATCCGAGGTATGCAAGCCGCAAAAATACTCTAATATTAAATGTTTACATTAGAAATCCCCCCCACCTCTCAAGAAAAAATCCCATTCCAAGCGAGTTCTGCTACAGTCATCTAGAGTAACTGAAATCATAACCTATTGGATGAAATGTTTCCATATGAGAGAAGCATCTAAAACGGAGATCAAGATCGTCGCAAAATCGGCACCAAGATCTTGTACTGTAAATCTTCTAGATTATACTACTTGCTGTTAGAAATTTGAACACGCCGGAGATAGTTTTGGGACACTGTTACATGCTTACCGCTCTGCAAAAATCACAATATACTCCATGTCTATACCTATTTTCTATACTCTATTTTCTGAGAAAAATTCCGATATGTGCTCATCAATCGATAGTTCCGTAAGTAACTATATCACTTCATCCCTAGTGTCGGTCGTGATAAATGCAATTTCAAGTGGCGTCCAGATCTCATCTCCATCACCCTGAACTCTTATAGACTCATCAGTTCCGTCTTCAAGGAGAAGCTTATCGACGTGTGCCTGCGATTTGGAATTCAAGATTATTCCCAGCACAGCGCCGTCCAGCCGTCCAGCCGTTGAGATCAGCTTCGCTATTGGTAACGCCTGGTTGGTCAAGAATTTTACGGACAGTTTCAATATTGCCGCCTTGTGTCGCCCAGTGCAGGGCGTTGCGGCCAGCCTTGTCAGTGGCATATATATCGCACCCAAGGTTGGGCAAGTGTTGGAAGCAGTTGAACTATCTGGCGGCGGCCACATAGATTCGCTGGTAGCCCCTCTTATTAGATACTTCAAGGTCTGCGTTGCATTTGTCTTTGTCAGTGAGCAGCTTCAAAACTCTTGGGCTCTTCCGACAGCAGGCAAGATGAACGGCATTTTTGTCAATTTCGTCCATTATATAACGTTAGCTCATGTCCACTTTTACAGCTTCCACAAGGTATCGAATTACTTTCAGTAAGTCTTGATTGTCAGAGCTACTGTCGCAGGCAACATGAAGGGCAGTTGTATGAAAGTCACCGAAGACAAAATCTGCCTATGCTCCAGCTAGGTAAAGCAGCTTCACCATCTTTACATTTGCCTTTTTAAATTTTTACAACACCAGACTACATGCAAGCGGAGTGTTTTCACTTCGTGATCCTGTGACGCAAATTAGGAAACTATGCCGTGAGTATTGGCCAAACTCCCAACAGGTAATATATTATCAACGCCCTATCTGTGTTTAAGTACGTCTTGTTTCACTTACTTCTCAACGCCATAGCATTAACTCTGATAAAATGTATACGCGATAGAAGCCATCCATTCACTCCTCTACTATTAAAAAGCACCTTGACGTACTTTTACTTATAGAATCAGTCCATCTGATTGATAAGGCGCGGTTTCTGCTTAGCAATTCAATCTAGCATATCCGGCAAGATTACAACAAGACACGCCTTGTAGGCATTACAGGTTTAAAGATTAAGTAAGCTATAGGATAAAATTAATGAGCCTCTAGCACATACGACCATAGGTAATGGAAAATTCGGGGTCCCGTCTGCTCCCCCATAGACAAGCCATTAACCGGCAGATTAGTAGTTGAGTGGGTGACCATCAGCGAACACCGGCTGTTGTATGTTTTTAATTTTTTTTTCCATTGTTTCTCTTTTTACGTCTTTGCAAGATGTTTTTGTTATATCTCAAAAGTGTTACGCTGAGGCGGCTGTTGGAGGTGTGTGTCACATGATGCATTGCTTACATGCGCTCTGTTTTCGGATGTCCTATATCACATGTGTTATAAGAATAACGCGGTGAGGGAACCTCCTTTACCGCCCGATTGGATATTATAAGTACTGTATGCTGAAGAATGGTTAAGGATTTTCAATTACAAGCATTAGATCAAGGTTATTCAATAAATTAGTTGTATTAAGTTTGCTTGCTGCAAGAGTTTGCTGAGGTACAAATAGAATTGCGTATATGTACATGTAGCATGGGTGCCCGGGTGGCTAACCTAGACGTCACTCGGATGAAGCAAAAAAAACAGCTATAGCACATGCTCTCTTCAATACCAAGGCAGGTGTGTAGCCTAAGTGTTTTGCAGCATCTAGCCATTAACACTCGTATTCGCAAATCTCTATGGTATTCGCTTTTCGGAACGCGGGTTGGAAGGGGGAAATGTCAGGCCACTTGTGAGCTTGGCCACAAGACATCGGAAGTTGTGACAGATCTAATGAACCTACTGATTAGCAGAGAGATACTACTAAGACCCGAGCAAAAAAAGGCTAACGGAAGTCGTCCAGAGGGAAGGTTTTTGTTGGGCTGCTATAATTGATCGGTTTTGATCGCAGGGCGGGTCGAGGTCATACACGGGCGGGTTCGTTGACACATGGAGAAAGACTTGAAGCGTGTAACACCCCGTAGTACAGCTACTGCCAAGCTGTCCCTTTTTTGGTTGCTCCCCTTCTCACCGCAAGTTCAGCTGGATCTTATCAGATGCGAGATTAGATTACCGGAGGTTGCTGAGACACGAGGTCGCGTAGCGTTGAGGCGACACTACGCCCTGTTGCAGGGTATCACCGAGTGTCACTAGAATTGAACCTGCTTCACCGATGACATTTTACGCTATACTGTCTGGTTTTCCACTCCCCTTTGAATGTACAAACTCGGCGCCGCTTGGCATGCACTGTGCACAATAAATTCTCTAAATTGGGCTAGAATGCATCTAGTACGTAGCATGAATTGTTTGCCAACAACTGCGTCTTTGGCTACCTATCTGATTGGCTTTGGCTCGGCAGGAACGGGAGAGTGAGATGAGCAGCAAATGGCACATGGCAAAGTATTATCACAGAGTACAAGCAGAGTACGGCTCGTACTGCTACTAGGTATTTGCCAACTCAAAACAAATGCCGAAATCGGCATGCTTGAATCAGAGACACGTCCGTGATGTTGAGCTCCGCAAAAGGAGCTGTGCCCAAGCAAACACGCACGCAAGATTAGATGGGATTGATAAGATGGATCAGATAATTCGCTCCCACGCAGCATTGACCCCCATGCTTTCATGCATGGCCGCAGCGTCTTTTTTTGCTTGCTGTTCTCTCCCTTTGGCGCGCATTGGGCGGTTTGGGAATGGCGCAAGCGGCGTGCTGATTGGCGTAACGCGAAACCAACACCCGGAGAAGCACAAGCCCAAATACGCCCGTCTCCAGTTTGGTACGACAGCCCGATTTTTTTCTCTAGTGCTCTGGTCTAGTACTCCATACAGCAGGGAAACCTTTTCCATTTGTGCCTTTGCTTGCTCCCAATGTTGGCGGTGGCAAAGACAGTTCCCGATCGATTCAGCCGAGACATTGATACTGCTGTGGCGCAAACTGCAGAGGCGAGCTCGCATCGAGATGGACTCAATGATCAGCAGCTTACTGCTTTGGTCGCTTTTGCCGCTTCCTGCCGCTCCATTTCAAGCAATGGATCTCCTGGAGAGAAACAGGGTTAAAAGGCGCAAAAACCCGACAATGTTGGGGGTCCCTGCAAAAGATGGGGCGGGGGGATCCGGCGATCGGTGCAATTGATGCTGCTCCTACTCAGTGCCTAGCAGTAGCGAAAAGTCCCTTATCCCGGCTTAACGCGGAGCAAATGCGCCTCCCAATTGCATTCCAGGGAGGCGAGAAACCAATCGAAAGACAAACGGCGCCCAGACGCCTCCTCTCCGGGCAACAAACGCGGGATGCCCAAAGTGTCCTGGAATGTGCGACGGCGATGCGTCATTGATTGATAAAGAGCGGCAATCCGCCCGGCTCTTCCCACTGCGTTGCACTGCTGCACTGTGTGCTTTTCACTCTGATTATGCCAGCACTAGTAATGCGGGTGCAGTGTGGGAACATTTGAAGTTTTTATCAATCAGTGTCCAGCAATCAATCATTCATCATTAGCTCATCGTGGCGCTGGTCATCCGCCAATAATCGATGATGGCCAGCTCCACCGCCCATCCCAGCATGGCCAGGCTGCCAATCAGCAGCGTCCAGGGCCACTGCACAAGGAACCTTTCCTGGTAATCAATCTCTGGGCTCTTCTAAGCACGTCGAAAATTGGGCGGGTCGAGTGGGCTGCTCCGTAGAACGGACGCTGGGGTCAGGTCAATTGAATGCGTAAAATATTAGAATAAAAACTGTGTGTTTGCCTGCGTGTTTGCCTGCGTGTGTGGCTCGGCGCATTTTTCTAGCGGGCTTCCCCATCAAAGCCAGCAAAAGCCTCGGATAAGCCGTACTCGGGATTTTTCCCACCCTACTTACTCGCAGCAACCATTAAACCTCTGCCGAACATCAAACCATCACACCTCGATTCTCGTACGACTCAATCTGTCCCCTTGGGCCGCTCACCGTACCCGTGCACACGTCCCAATCTCCCGGGTCTTTTGCATGTTCCGTTACTTTGTCTCTTCAGCCCCGGATTCCTCTGTCCTCTTTTCCTCTAGCTGCCTTGGCGGACGGTTCCGATCTTACAACCTAAATAGGCGCAGTGCTCTCTCTCTGCTGACTCTTACGACCTTGTATCAATCTTCTCCTTTACTCTTCTCTTTCTCTCTTGCTCGATCTATCGAATACATCCATACCACGAAAGCAAGAATGCTGCAGTCTGCTCGAGTGCAGAACCTGTCCCTCGGGACAAACGAGGCGATCCACACTGCTCCCAAGGCGGAGTCTATAGCCCCCTCGTTGACCTACTCGGACGAATCAGACGACCAAGATGAGCCCATTCGGGCTGAGCAGCCTCGTCAAAGACGCGCTTCAACGAGATTGATTGCCCAAAGTGCTCGTGATATCCAACGCATTACAGGAGAGACGACGGCCGAATTCGTCACCCGCTGCTGCGGCGGCGGATGCTGCTTGATGGGCGGCGCGAGACCAGCTGGCATTCAATACGAAAAAGTTACGGAGCCCGATAACGACGCATATCGGTCCCTCGGCCTCAAGATTGGCGACATCCCGACCGCCCTGACCAAGCTGGCCGACCTCCCAGAGCAGACCATCTCATTCAGCTCGGTCCCCAAGCCGCTGAGCCCATCTTCTCCCACAGATTCTGCAATCTCTCTGGAGCGCGACAACGAGATTGACAGCACGAAACTCAACAAGATTCCCCTCGAAAAGTTCAAGACTGTTGACACGACCATTCAGCCACCGCGATTCGTCCAGCCTCACCCTCCGTATAATGTCTTCCCCGCCAAGATTCACACTGCGCGCGAGCTCACGAGGCCTGGTGCCGAGAAGCGCACCTACCACTTCGACCTGGATATCACAGATTATCCTGAAGAGGAAGACAGTGATTTCAAGGTTGGCGGCGCCATTGGCGTCATGGCCCCCAACTCTCAGGCGGTTGTCGAGGATGTCTTGGATGCCCTCATGGTGCCACGCTTCCTTAGAGACAAGCCTGTGCTGATGAAGACGACCAAGGGCCGTTGGCCTACCGTCTGGGGAGACGACAAGCCCCGTGAGCTCGTCACGACTCGCCGGGATTTGCTCACCTGGTGTGCAGACCTCCAGTCATACCCCCCCACCAAGCCACTGCTGCGAGTATTGGCCGAGCACGCTGCCGCAGACAACGAAAAGAAGATTCTCAGCTTCCTTTGTGCCGCTGAAGGACAGGGTGCTTTCTGCGATTTCCGATCTGGTCCTAGCATTTCCATTTCTCAGTTGTTGCATGCCTTCCCCAGCGCCCACCCACCCATGGACGAGCTGCTATCAGCCCTGCAGCAGCTCATGCCTCGCTTCTATTCTCTTTCCAATGACCCTCACGATACGTTCCAGAGGGGCGACCAGAAGCAGCATCGCCTGATTGAGATCGCCGTCACGGTTCATGAGACTGGAGACTGGCGCGAGGGAGCTCGAACGGGCGTGGGCTCCGGCTTCTTTGAGCGACAGGCCCGCAAGTTCATCAAGGCCCAAGAGGCCGGTGAGAAAACGGAATTCTACATTCCCATGTTCAAGGGCCTGATGGCGAACCCATTGGCCAAGCAGTTCAACGCCGAAGGACCCATGCTCCTGATTGGAGCCGGCGTGGGCATTGCCCCTTTCCGAGGCTTCGTGCAGCGACGCCTGAAGCAGGCCAACTGCGCCAACAAGGTGTGGGTGCTGCAGGGCATTCGAGACTCGCTGGTAGATGAGATCTACAGTGGCGAGTGGGGTGTCCACGAAGACGAGGTGAAGAAGGTGGTGCAGAGCCGCCGCGGCGAGGGCAGATACGTGCAAGAGGAAGTCCGAAACCAGTCCGACCTCGTGTGGAGCATCGTCAACGCTGTGGATGGCCGCATCTTTGTATGCGGCAGCTCCAAGGGCATGGGCGAGGGCGTTGAGGAGGCCCTTGTGGACGTGGCCATGGCCAAGGGCAACCTTGAGCGCGAAGAAGCTCGGAACTTCTGGCAGCTCAAGAAGGAGGCTGGTCAGTATATTGCCGAGACATGGTGAAGTGTTCCACGTTTCTTAATTCTTCAACTTTTCTTCAATCGCCTTTTTGTTCGAATCGTCATTTTCTTACGTCTTGAAGCACTCTTTTTTTTTATCGTTTCCAAATTTCTGCATTTTCTCTTTTCTCTTTTCTTCTCTTCTCTATCATACTGGCTCAGCATTTGCATGTGGGAAAGATTAAAAACAAAATGGAAGAGCAAAAACATGAAAATGGCGAGTCCTTTATCGGAGGGGGCAATTTTGGAGACAATACCAGGCGAGGGAGGGGGAATATCATATAACAGCTCTACTAGAACGAAAGGGAGTAGACAAAAAGCACTGATCCGGGGCGCAAGCAACCCGGGAGAAAATAAGTGTTATGCGAGGGAAAACAAAGCATTACGGAGTTGGGAGTTTTTAAACCTGCTGTTTTTGGGTTTCCAATACTTGATTGAATGAGCATGTCTGGGAAATGAAATGTTTGGGTGGGCATGCCTCTGTGTGGGGGAAAGCGTATATACTGGTAATTGAATCATCTTATTTAATATCTTTTCTTGGGGGCTATGAATCTGAATGAGGTGGGATGGGCTGTCTATACCAAGAATTTGAAAATACAAATTGTCAGATAACGATTGTCCAAATTAGGCAATTTGACACGTTTAATTGGTAACGACGCTGTAAAGGGATTGGCGTGAAGTTGAATAAGGCGTAGGACGAGATGGTGCATAGAAGGCGGAATATGCTGCCATGGGAATGGTTACAATGGGATTACAATGGGGTTGCAAGGAGTTTTCAGCTTTAATAGTGGCCGCCTATTTAACTTTGTTCAAATGCGACCTTTTTATCTACTTTGAAAGCGGAATTAGAGACGTTATTGATCTATCTCCGGTAAAAGAAGCAGTTTACAAGACCAAGAGGATTCAGTTATTCGTTATTCCGTATTTCCATTATTGGATGTGTACCGGTAACAGCAGCGCACATATACAGTTCTGGCAACAACTCGGTTCCTATCCAATGAAAGAACAAATTACACACATGCCCCTGTCAACTCTCAGAAAATAGCATTGTACCGTATTCTACATACAATGAGCAGTGGAAACCTACAGCGCTCGGAGAGTTTATGCCGTCATTAACAGCCGCTGCGCGCAAACCCAAAAAATAAGGCTTATAAATGCTTAGTTAACTGATGGGAAATCAAATGGCTGCGCTTTTCTAATCTAAATTCCTCGCTCAATAGCGCGCGGCTCTTTTCGCGCTCTAGTGGGGCCATGGTATTCCCGCTTTAGCCACAACCCCTGTCAATTCTATGGAAATACAGAGTCGCTGAACTTCCGAGGTCTGGAGCTGTGGGCTTTTTTTTTCCCTTTTGTTCCGCTTACATGATATGCCTTATGTGTGCATTCTTCATCTTTAAGCTAAAAAAATTTGAAGTTGAGTGGTTTATTACATTGCTATCAGGTGAGGGAGTGTAAAGCACTTTGTATCTATGTGGAAATCGGGTAGTGTGCGGAAAGAAGCAGTCTCCACTAAGAAAAGAGAGAAGAAAAGAAGGGTTCATGTTACACAGTTCTTTCCGACTCTTGCTTGATCTGTAGGGCAAAAAAAGAAAAGAAAAGAAAAGAAAGGAAAAGAGAATTAGGCTATCCACTCGGCACCTGGCCGTACTATGCGATATGCGCATGTCCCAAACTCTGCGGCAACTCGCCTGTTTCGGCTCAAAGATGTGTTGCCATTGAACCCAAGTGGAGAATTTCTCGGCAAGGGGAGTGGGCAAGTGGGATAAGCACGACACTACTTCTTCCCTTATGCTTTGGTCATGATGTCTAATGCGCTGGAGTGCGAAAAGGGTTCTCCATTCTTTTTCTCCGTCCATGGCGTCTTCTTTCGCCTTCTAGTTTTGAAATGCTATCATGCTAATTAATATGGGTTCCTTACTTTTTTGCGTGGGTCAGGGGTTCGGTCGGGTGGCTTGAGGCGATCGCTTTTGGGTTTTCAACGACTTGTAGCTCGGAGTTAACGAGGCACTTGAGTTGAAATATCTATATAACCATCCCCCATCTTCGTCGTCGTAGTTGACACCTCTGCTCTAGACAGAAACAACATCTGCAAAGCAAAAACACCGCAACCATTCAGTTCTCTCAGCTTCTCAGCTCATTTCTCTTTGTGTCCAACCTCACAACCTTCAACTCTACCCTCAACCAAAACACCACCACCACAGCAAACTTCACAATGGCCGCCAAGCTCTCCGCCGATCTCCTCTTCCAGATGGCTAAGGTCCGCCGCTCCATCTACACCCTCAACAAGGACCTCCCCATCTCGACCTCGCGCATCCACGAGATCGTCAAGGACGCCACCCTGCACACCCCGTCGTCCTTCAACTCCCAGACCAACCGCGCCGTCGTCCTCTTTGGCGGCGAGCACGAGAAGCTGTGGGACTTCACCTCGGAGACGCTCAAGGGCATCGTCCCCGCCGAGAACTTCAAGGCCACCGCCGACAAGCTCGCGCTCTTCAAGGGCGCTGCCGGCACGGTGCTCTTCTTCGAGGACACCTCCGCCACAAAGGCTCTGCAGGACAAGTTTGCTCTGTACGCCGACCGCTTCCCTACCTGGGCTGTTCACTCGCTGGGCATGGAGCAGCTGCTCGTCTGGACTGCTCTGGAGCTCGAGGGCCTGGGCGCCAATCTGCAGCACTACAACCCTCTGATTGACGACAAGGTTGCTGCCGCCTGGAAGATCCCCGCCACTTGGAGACTGGATGCTCAGCTTGTCTTTGGTGGCAAGACTGGCGAGGCTGGTCCCAAGGAGTTCCAGAACATTGACGAGCGCGTCAAGGTCTATGGTGCTTAAGCGTGAGGGGAAAATGATGGGAATGGAGTGATTATGAGTTTGGAAATTAAAAAGGATAGCAATGCATAAGCTGGAGTTTTTCTTTTGAGTGAGCTTATCATATAGATACCTATAGATATACAATTCAATTTATTGACAAGAATGATGATGCTGCTTTGAGCGTGATTATGTCGATACTGAAATTTTTGATAGCATGTAGAGCTTGGAAATTACAATTCCCAACAATATTTTGAGTACAAGTAGACATCGTCCTAGTAAATATTATTCGTCAACTTCAGCAATTATGGCTGCAATACAAGCCCCTGAGCTTCGAATAGAGTTGTACATCTACAAAGAGGCGTCGTCCGAAGTGAATAGTAGGTTGCAGTGGGCCACATGCGTGATCCCGGCATGACGATCAACGCGGCCCGATGCAAGGCAATCTAGGAATGAAGTAAAAATAAGCTGCATTGCCGGATTCGTAGAAGGCAATACTACCTAGTATCCTAGTCTTTGAATCAAGGAATGATTGGCTGACCATGTTGCCTTTGGTCGATTTCTCCTTCAGAGTGGAACTCCTCATATGGTTGGTCGGAATTTGTTTCCCCGTTGGGGAGACTCGATGGGGCTGGAATTTGGTAGTTTGCGTAATGCTTACGTTGATTTGGCTGTTGGAACATGTTTGTAAAATGCATACAGGACTTGCTGAATAACGAGGCTCTGCGAGTCAGAGCTACTAGGTGGATGAAGTTGGCTTAAAGCAAGATGCCGTCTAGTTGCATTGGTCTAACCACCTCTACGAAACACAAGTGGATAATAGATTACTGGCGGTGGCCAAGGGAAAGATGAAGGCTGCTGGCCTCATATGGTATTGAAGTCGCTGCTCATGTCATTCTCTACTGGTCTTTTTCTGGGTCTACTTGTTCAGACACACAATAGGTCTATTTTGGCTTTCAGAGTAAGGTGATCTAGTGACATGGCTTTGTCACTGCCGTTGTTTACAATAAATTCGCTTGTAGTTTTGTCACATCATGCAAAACTACTATCCAGTACCCAGAGGACCGACTTGGATATAACACTGCGATCCAACAAGGGCAGATGCTTTCGCACATGATCATCAGGTGTATCTCTCCTCTACTACTGCTATCATAACCCATCTCAAATAAGGCACTGAATAATGCTATTTAACATGTATTACATAGAGCACTCCACATTTTGACTTATACCCATGGATGCTGGCACTATTGCCCGTGCCGCATCGACGAGGTAGATGACCAAGTATAAGTCATTGACACGATCGAAATGAACGAGGCATAACTCTTTCAACAGAAAAACAAGAGAGGAGAAACATTTTCCTAGTCAAGGCCTTAGTCTCCTCTGCTGAACAAGCCTGGTCCATTCACGTGCAAAGTGGACAATATCCGAATCACACCTGTAACGCAGAAGGGGGCTGACATGGGAGAAGGGGATCGTCTCCGCTAAGGCTGAGCGAATCGACATCGGTGCGCCACAGAACCATTGTGCCGCCCCCGGCTTCTTCTGCAGCTCCCATGCCCAGATGCTGCTATTTTAGGGATCATTAATCATTTGCAAGTTCAATAGTAGTAATCCAATTAAACAAACGGAAACAAACAGGCCAACAAAGTTGACTGTTAATATATTTTAGGTAGGTCGATCCCTGGTGGACAATTAGATGCCCCGCGTGGCACGCTGTGTTGCCGCTACTAAACGCACTAAGACCCGGGAGCAGCTCTTCCCGAACACTTCTGAGACACACCTGGTCCTGTTTCAGCAACGGTCCGTGACGATGGAATTGAGCCCTCCATTCTTTCTGCGCACGTTTTACCCGATCGGATGCGGTTCTGATAATCGCAGAGAGGCGCGCGTAAAGATGCGCTGTGCTTCTTTGTTTCCAGCTGCAGCTACAGCCAGTGGTTGGAGGCAGTCGAGGATAAGGATTGCGGACGAGATCGGCTGAAAGGTTGGATTCTCTCTCCTACATTCTCTTCTCTGCGTCTTAACATCAATTCGTCTAGTCCGTGCAGAGAGCCGCCGCTAGTCGAGATCATCGGTGCCTCTCAGCCGCTTCGAGACCCGCCCGCTGGCTTCCTGGTTGGTGGTATTAATGGCCGGCCTGCGCCAATCTGGGATTCTGGGATACCTGAGCACAGTCTGCTGGCTGTCTTGTGAAACTTCAGCGCAAGGAGGTGATATGCGATCAAGGAGTCTCTAGAGTCTACGCTTTTGCTTCTCCCTGCAGGAGACCAACAGACACATCTTGGCTCCCTCGACACGCGGGTTTCACATGGCCAAGGCTCATTCGCTGCTTATATCCTCTCCAGCTGGCTCGCGAGTACGGCAACTTGTCTTTGTTACCGTCCATCGTCCTCTGCACTGAAAACGACATACCTTTCAAAGGCGCCACAATCACAACTAGCCGCCATGGATTCTCAATCCAACTCGACGTCGTTTGAATCGTCGTCATTGTCTGCTTACTGGACACCACGCACCGGCTACTACCTAACAATCTTGACTGTGCTGCTTTCTGTGTGGCTTTTCCTGCGATCAAAGCCTGAGTCTAGCAAGCTTTGCGTGCCTTTCTACAAAACCTCCAAATTAAAATGGATATTTGATGCAGAATCACAAATTGTCAAAAGCTACAAACAGGTTAGCTTACATAACCACCTCAATTGTCTCAAGCCTTGTCGACTTACTTACCTTTCGATACAGTTCCAAGACCAGGTCTATCAGATCAAGGCAACAGAGGGGACCCAGGCTATTATTCCTCCGAAATTCATTGCTGAGATCAAAGGCTTACCCGAGGATACTCTCAGCGCCACAGAGGCTGTAGCTGATGTAGGATGCCATGTTTCACCTCTGCAGCTCCCAAATTCTAATCGTCAAATGGATAGGCTCTTCAAACCAAGTACACCAATTTTACGCCGGGACACAATGGTGATATGCTATCACTTCTTGTGAGAACTCGTTTAACGCAGAATCTCGCTGAACTCATCCCCCAGCTTAAAAGCGAACTTGAACATTACATTGGTACCGAGTTCCCAGCTTGCGATGACTGGACGCCTGTCAAGTGGCAGCCCTTTGCTCTGCGCGGCATTGCTCGATTAAGCGGTCGAGCCTTCGTTGGACCCTGGCTGAATCGTGAAGAGCAATGGCTCAAAGTCACCATTGATTTCGCCATTGACGTCTTCATGTCCGTTATCAAACTGCAAATTTTCCCCGAATGGTTTCGCCCCATTGCTCAATACGCCGTGTCAGATTTGCGCAAGATACGGAAGGATGTCAACATCGCCAAATCCTTGTTGAAGCCCTTACTGGAGGAAAGAATACGTGACATGGAGATTTCGTCTTGCCATGAGCCCCCGAATGATCTAATGCAGTGGCTTATTGAGGCTCTTCCCCAAGAAGAAAAGGCTGATGTGGACGTCCACGCCAGACTGCAACTCATCTTGGCTGCGGCGTCTATTCACACCACGAATAACCTCTTGTTTGAGTGCATGGCTGATCTTGCCGATCATCCCGAGATTCAGGAAGAGCTGCGGGAAGAAGCCTACCAAATCCTCGAGGTAGAGAATGGCTGGGCTCGCAAGGAAAGCATGACCAAGCTCAAGAAGCTCGACAGCTTCATGCGCGAAGTTCAACGCCTCCGTGGCAACGTTAGTAAGTTTTTGTCAATATCACTTCCATCTTTCGCTGTCTGTGCAAAATGCCTAACAGATGAGCAGCTTCTTTTATTCGCAAGGTCATAAAGCCCATCGATCTCTCAGATGGCACGCATTTACCCGCGGGCACGAGAGTGCTAGCCCCCCAAGCGGGCATTTCCATTGACGACCAGTTTTTCCCTAACCCCACGGAATTAGATCCCTTGCGATTTTACCACATGCGGCAAGAGTCGGCCGAGGCGAGCAATCGCTGGCAATTCACGTCGCTCAACGACACGAATCTCAACTTTGGCGCGGGGAAGCACGCCTGCCCTGGTCGATTCTTTGCCGGAAATGAGATCAAGCTCATTCTGGCTTTTTTTCTCATCAATTATGACGTGAGGCTGAAGGAGGGAGACAAACGGCCGCAGCCAATGGCTTTGGTCATGACAAAGGGGCCGAATCCGAATACCGAGTTTGAGTTTAGACGGCGGCAGTTGGCGAATTAGAAAGAAAAGACAAAAAAAAAAAGGGGGGAATGGAACAAGGAGATAAATATCATTAATGGCTCAATTTGGATGAGTATATGCGCGTCTGGCGTTTATTTGGCAATATCTCTTTTGATGATAAAATGCAAGTATCAAAGGCCATTGGTTTGGTTGGTAGCATGGCGTTGTGGTAGTCAACATGCATCATATACGAACGTGGACACAGCAGTGTATTGGAATGTTGTAGAGAGAAAGCTCGAATCTGGATAAGAATCCCTCATTGGTGCGAATTTACTAGATGATTTGTATTCAACCTGAAACGTTTGATCCTAACCTAAACATACTTCAATCTCTTCATGGTCCATACTAGGAACCCGTCCCTCAGCGATTGCAATTACTTTGCATTTCTCATCAGACCTTTGAGGAAAGTTTTGCTCCAACCGGTCGTCAATTAATATCCCAGCCCAAGTTCCATCGTCGACACGAAGGTTAAATATGCCATATATCTCAAATATCCAATCATGTTGTTCGAGCTTATTTGATTTGAGCAGCCAGCCTCCATTTGCGATGCATCTTAGTATTGGGCCGTATTTATTATCCGGCGAACCTGCTTCTGCACCATCGGGAAATGGAAATGGAAATGGATATGTTTTGTCTGGAGACAAGGGATGCGAATACTTCACATAGTCTCTGCAACTACTAGATGCCGATTAGTGGCTTATTGAGTTCCAACCCGGAGGCATCGAGGCATGGCTACTGAAGTGCTGATACTCGATCAACTTCAATGCTTCCCCTTTAGAGCTCATTTTCCACCACTGAAGTAGTGGCTTCAGCTCATAGATGTCGCTGAACGATGTATCTTTGTGAAAATCCTCTGCAAAAAGGTTCCAGATCGCAATCCTGATTGAGCCCTTCCTACTCACCCATGACCAGCTCGGAAGGGGTGATGTCTGTGTCCTCCGGAGTTGGGGTAGATCTCGCTTTTCCCCGAGCGGTTCCCACAGCAGAGAAGCATCGAAAATCACCTCTGGCAGACCGTAGTGGAACCCCGAAGGAAAAGACTGGTTCAGCACTGTCATTACACCGGCAAAAGCATGGAGCATGCCATCGTCAAACGACAGGCATTTCTGACTATATTCCGCGGCCACTCTTGCGAAGTGGCCAATGTCAGGCCAGTTGGGAACATTGCAAACGAAGCCTGTTCTGTCAACACCGAAGCTATCTGAACCGTGGGGTTTCAAATCTCATTCAACGCTTGTGTGTGTCTGACAGTGGAAGCTGACAACTGATGTAAAGACAAGAACCCATCGGGACAGGTATAATTACTGAAATGTCCACCCAAGAGTCGCCCATGCCTTGCCCGTACAGTATAAGGTAGGTATTATATCACGATTAGGACTAAGAGATAGTGTGTAGCCAGGGAATCGTATTTCGCTGCAGAGGGTGTTCCGAGGCTTTGAACAGCGATTAATTCTCGGAGTCCCGTGATTACCACCCGCTCCCTCGCCAGCGACAATTGTCAAGTATGCATTGCCATTTATGGAAGCCATTCCGGTTAAAAACATGGTCCGTTCAGCCTTCTCGTCCTGAACAATGCATATACAGTCTTTCCAAAAGTAAGGGCAGCCAAGTTTTCTCGCTAAATCCATAGCATCTGCGATGATTTGTGCAAGTTCTGGTCCCTTCGTGTTCTGGCCATCAAGCAGTGCTGCGGGTTGTAGCATTTTCCCTAGATTCTCTGTCGTTGTCTTCAGCATATCTACTCCGCCCCAGACATATTTCAAAGCTATATCGGGGATTTTGGGCGGTATCAACCTTGACTACCTAGTCATTGCCTCTCCAAATCGATGAGATATAGCCACGGAGGCTCACTCGCGGATAGTAAAGGCGCAATACTCTGCGCTACAGGCTCATGAAGGCAGTTGCACGCTTCGACCCATTCTTGAATGATTGTCGTATCGATTTCACTGACATCCAACAATCTGTTATATTGCCAACATCTGAAGTCTGCCAGGTCACTGGGCAGTGTTGTCAGGTGAAGCCGCAGTGCTTCAATGTCATTTTCATCATTATAGTCAAGGATGAAGGAGAAGGTGGCACCGTTCTAGCATAGCCCCGCTTCCCGGTCATACAATTGTGCCTGGGTAACCACTCCCTGTTCTAGAAGCGCGGAAATGATGCACCGGCAGCATATGCAGTCTTCATTCGCCTGAAGATCTGCAATATTCCCTAACCTAATCGTGTGAGGTTTCTTTTCGTAAGAAGTCCGGATCTATAGGGGTTGGCTTATAACGAAATTGCTAAGGTGTTGACAGTTATCACAATATTCTCCATTGGCATCCGAGTCGGCGCTGAGCTGTGTGGATTCTCGAAGGGGAGGGATGAGTTGGGGTTTCGACATTGTATCGGTGCCACCACCTTTCACCGAGGTCAAGAATTGACGTCAAGGACATAGTAGACGACAACGCAAGGTATGCGCAGGACGTATTTGTTTCAGTTTACGGCCTATTGCAATTTTTGTAGTCAAGGATCTGGAATAAAACTTTACCTTCTTCAAATATTTAAGCTGATTGGTGTTCAGTGCTTTGCGGCCCAACATACAGCCTGATGTAACCAATTTGTATCTTTCCTGTTGTTATAGTCCGCCTTACCGATTAATATATATATATATATATATATGTGTGTGTGTGTGTGTGTGTGTGTGTGACCTGAGCTCCCTTCCCCTCCCTCTGCATGGAGCCCAAGCCCAAGCTATACACAGGTTTGCTTATGTAGGTAGATACCCAAGAGAAACCTAACTGCCTAGGTACGTGGGTAATATCTAAGATATCTTTCATTGATACTTACATATTCTGTTTGCTTATTTATGGTAGTCAATGAAAGCAGCGTTGGGCTAACACTGTTTTTGCTTTTAAATTAACTGCCTTTTCAACTAGCAGCTTACCAATGCTGGTATACTCTTTTCATCACTCCCTATATAACAGATTTGGGATCAACCAGTGTCTATGATTGAGATACGTATATTAAGTCACGTTTCACCTGTGGGAGAACTGGAAAAGGAAAACTCGTCTCGGCAGTAAGTATCTCAACGAAAACAATGAAAATTCCCCTTACAGATTGACATACGGCGTTTCACGACAGATACGAAAGATAATCACAGCGAATACAAGGAAGAATGATAAAGATTTAAGAAAAAAGTACTGGTATTCTTCTGCACTGGGCCTTAAAACACCCTATATAGTAACAAATAGCACACAAGCTCAAAAGCTAAGCAAGATCCCCTTATCCGGAACGCCCCATGCCATTATTGAATGAATCAATCCCTTTAAAACCGATACCCGTTCGGCGCACGAAGAGCTTAGATGCAAGTAGCAGCCTGATGTCAGGAATCATTTCGTGAAAACCAAACAAACAAGAACTTTTTTTTTCTTCTTTGGCGATCAGGACTTTTTATACAGGCCGATAGATGTTCATCATTTACCCCATAATCGCTGTTTATTCGCCGCGTGTGTAGATACCGGCAACCAGACAGTGATCACGCTCAAAGGGTTCTAAAAGAGTAAATTAGTCAGAAGCTGGTTCTCATTCGTCGCCAAATACAAGTCAGTGTTGGGGAATGGTGAAAATTCTTACCTAAGGTGAGCTGGAACTTGGGCTTGATAGATTCGGCGCGCATCTTCTGGACTTCGCTGGCGAAAACCTCGGCGGCGGGGGCTGTGCTGTCGATACAGTTGGCCTTGATGGAGATCAAGACACCACCACCCTGCTTGAGGAACCAGTTGGCGTTCATGGCAACAATACGGGCCTGGTCGGGCTGGGCAACGTCGGCGAAGATGACATCGACCATGGGGACGACCATGCGGTAACGGACGGGCTGACGGGCATCCTCGACAATGGGGACAACGTTGGGTCGCTTGGCAGCCATGGCAATCAGATCACGGCCAGAGCGGTTGGAGAACTCGACGGCGTAGACGAAACCAGTAGGGCCAACAAGGTCGGCAACGTGAGAGACGGAGGTACCAGAGGCAGCACCGATGTAGAGAACACGAGAACCAGGACGAATGTAGATGTCGTCAGCACCACCGGCAATGGCGGCGCAAAGCTTGCTTCGGAAGGGGTTCCAAAGGCGGTACTCGACCTTGGTGGTGGTAGTGGTTCCGTCGTCGTTCTCGACGGGCTCGTCAACGCTGATGCGCTTCTCGCCGTAGACAGACTCGCCAGGTGTGAGGTTACGGGTCGCTATGCCGTCTTCCTTGCCACCACGAACGACGAAGACACCGGCGTGACGGTGAGGCTCCTGTGTAGAAATGAGGTCAGCTCATTGTCTCTTTGAGATGATCACGAGTTATCAGATCGAGAGTTTTTCAACGTACAATGACGACCTTGGCACCGCCCTTCATGCCACCAGGACCACCGCGGGCACCACCACGGCCTCCTCGTCCTCCACGGGCAGGGCCGCCACGGCCACCACGGCCGCCACGATCACCAAAGCCTCCTCGGCCACCACCTGATATCACAAGTTAGCCTCCGGAAAAGTTCAGTCGCAAGTGACATGATAGACGAGCAGCATACCTCGTCCACGAACACCGTTAGCAGAGCCGCGGCCGCTGAAGCCTCCACGGCCTCCACGAGGAGCACCACCTCCTCGGCCACCACCAGGGCCACCACGACCACCACGAGCAGTGAAAGGCGCCATCTCAACGAAGTGGGATAAGATAGAGGAAAAAAGTTTTTGGGATCGAGTTCGAGCGGCGATTGAACGCGAAAAGAGGATTTCAACTCAAAAAATCGAGTCGAGTAGAAAGATTGGCTTGTGAAAAGTATAGATAGCCGGAGATCGACTCAAAAGGCTGGAGTTGCCTTTGTAATTGGGTCTGCCAAACACGGTTGAATTGTGAGAGCGCTCAGCGAGAAAAAGAAATTTTTGAAGCTTTTCGCAAGAAGCTTTAGTCTGCAGCCCCCACTGTGACCATCTACGGCTAGATCGGATTGATTTGCGGAGCTTATCGCACCGATATTGTTCCGGCGGAATTTTTGGAAGTGGAAAAAAGTTGATATCCAGATCACGTGGATATCTTGATGCTGAATCAGCAATGAGAATCATGTGACATCCAACGAAAGTTGCCATGAGATATCCAATTTTGCAAAGGGATAATTCGTGTGCATAGTTTGATTTGGTTGGTAGATGAGCTCTATATAACTGCATTGACTGCGGAAATAATCATCCACGGTTTAATAATATTTTTTGCCTATTTTCATGTACACTTGTCCCTGGTTTCTACCGTTTTTTGAGGTATTGTTTGTAAGTGAAGCGCGTTGCCGCCATTTGATTGGACCAGGGCAGAGTAGCCCTAACACTTCCCGAAGGGGTAAGCGAACATTGTGGTTCCCTGCCAGCGCTTTAGGGCAAAAGTTCAGAATTTCTCAACTTCAGCCCGCGAACCCACGTCGTCGAATCAGTCACCACACCATAAGCCGTCGAGATGGTGAGTGCCTGCCCCTATGCTGCGTTTGATTTGGTCGAGAGAATGTTTGAAAGAGGAGGAAATTACGGGATTGTTCACGAATTGGAACTGCTGTCGAAACATGGACATAACAGTGCATCTTTGAAGAGCTGTGGAGGAAGATAATCATAGCAAAAACTACGAGACCTCAAAACGTGCACACATACTGACCGTCTGCCTCTTTTGCGATACTCCAGGTTCGATACGCCGCGACCGAGATCCAGCCCGCGAAGTCGGCCCGCGCCCGCGGTGCCTACCTCCGAGTTTCCTTCAAGAACACCCGAGAGACCGCTCAGGCCATCAACGGCTGGAAGCTGCAGCGAGCTGTCCAGTTCCTCGAGAACGTCAAGGAGCACAAGGAGGCTGTCCCCATGCGACGATATGCCGGCAGCACTGGCCGCACCGCCCAAGGTACGACCTGGAAATTTTCTCTCTACCATGGCAATCTTCGAGCATGGGATCATTCTACGGACATATGAGATGTGGTGGAATATCTCATGATAGAGAGAATAGGACGAGAAAGACTACGTTGTGGATTCTGGACATGTCATGCTGATGGATATTTGCAATAGGCAAGCAGTTCGGTGTCTCCAAGGCTCGATGGCCCATCAAGTCCGCCGAGTTCCTGCTCGGTCTCCTGAAGAACGCTGAGGCCAACGCCGACGCTAAGGGCCTCGACACTGGCGCCCTCGTCGTCAAGCACATCCAGGTCAACCAGGCTCCCAAGCAGCGAAGAAGGACATACCGTGCCCACGGTCGTGTACGTATACCCTCGAATACCTCAATGGCCACTTTTTCTTCTCTTCAGCGCGACATTTGTTGGACAAGTTCAGCGAATATTTGCTTCTTTCTCTGTAAAGATCAGATACACTTGTCTGAACCAACACATGAGCACTGAAAAGAAAGAAAGAAAAGGCAAGCTCTCACAAACGCTCTGTTTCTAATCATCATTCAACAGATCAACCCCTACATGTCCAACCCCTGCCACATCGAGCTCATCCTGACCGAGGGTGAGGAGGTCGTCCAGAAGTCCGACGAGGTTGTTGGCCGTGAGCGCCTCACCGCCCGCCAGCGCGCCGTCCGTGCCCGCAAGGCCATCACCGCCGCATAAATCCGGACAACACGGATGATGTGCACATAAACGGCTTTGTTTTGTTTTTTTAAACGAATGGAGCGACGGGGGAGAAAAAGCGGAAACAGTTCGCCTTTCTGGTATTCTTTTTTTGCGAAAGCACTTTGGGAAGGCAAATAAAGGGAACAAATCAACTTTTCTTGCGCGTGGCTTCTTCAGGTGTATGGGCAGGCTACGGAAAGAAAGGGGAAGGAGGGTTCTTGCATGGCATTTAAATGGGAATACAAAAATTATTTGCATGCAACAAATCTTTTTTTATATCTTTCCGCTTGAGAGGCCTTTCTCTCTCTTGACGGAATCAATGACATGAAATAAACAAAAAAATTACAAAAAAGTTTGCTGTGCCTAGATGACATGCTATTGGGGAACATGAATGCCGCGACTGGGTACAGATACCTTGTTTATGACATAAAGTACTCGCATACAAATGAGCACACTCTTGATAACCATCGTTTGTCCACTCTAAAGATTCTAATGCAGTAAGTACCTGTACACTTGTCCTACAAAGTAAATATCGTGTCAAATCTCATCAAAAAAAGCAAAGCCATTTCATCATCAGATAGGCAAACAAAGGTTCCTCATTTTCCACTATCGGAACCGAAATCATAATCCTTTCTTATCTGTTATCTCTCTCTGTGTGTCAACAAATAAAGGCGGTAAAAAAAAAAGAGGCAATATTTTCCATAGGCGGCTAATAAGCCGTGTCTAATCGATTCGTATGGCAACCCTGCCAATCATATCCTCTTGCTTCAACGCCAAATTGTGCAGAGGACTAAGTCCTCCAACGGTTCAAGAAAAGAATCCTGAACACGCAAATGCATACAAACGCCTCTTGGTGTGTACTTGTCATAAGAAAAAATAGAAAATAGGCATGTAGTGCACCAAGCCTTGTCCAAAGTCTGGCACAGCACTCTCGTATTGGCGTAAAAGCAAAGATGCTTCAGCCTAAAAAAAGAATCTTGCTTTTTATCAAGAGTTTTGTAATTTCTCTCAATGTTGGAGAAAAAGGAAGGCGGAAATGTCCGACCTTATGGGCCCATAGTTTCAATTCCAAAGGGGTATCTTTTCATTTCTATTTTTTTTTTTCCTTTTTCATTTTTTCATTTTTTCATTGAATGTATATTCGTTCCTTCGTATTCGTGAATCGAGCTCGAGCATTGAGTTCTTTAAGATTAGAAAAAAAATTAAGAAAGTAAAAGACATATCTCTGGCAAGCTGTCGTTTTGGCAATGCTAGTAAAGCAACCGGGGAAGAGAGAGTTGACAAGTGCCGGTCTTTTCTCGGTTTCCCAGACCTCAGGCCCATTATCGAACCACTTCATAGCTGGAGCAATAAAACCGCGTGGTGAGCTGCAAACAAACATGTGTGTTCAGACAAGATAGAGGCCAAGAAAGTAAAAAAAACAAAATCATTCCGTCAGCACGAGTGACTCAGCATCACCAGTTCCCTCAAGGGTTCCAGAGAAGCGTGCCATGCCAGGGCAGTCAAAACCATCAGTGATAGCGTCTTCAAGAACCTGATCAGGGTACACTTTGCTCCAGCCCTGCTCGAAAAAGAAAATATGCTCCAGCGTCTTCATTTCGGCGGGCAGCATAAATGGCACAATGCGGCCGAGGAACTTGTCTTTGCTGTACTGCATTGAGTGGAAGATGTCGTGTCGAAGAGCGTTTGCAAACGCATGGCCAAGCTGAGCCTCTGTTGGCAGAATCGCCCTGATATCAAGGGTGCGTACATCTATGAAGACATAACCGCAGGATTTGAAAGATATGGAGCTGAGGCCATATCGAGACTCATCGATCTTGAGCCTATTCGCATCCGGTAAGAAAGGGGAGAGGTCTTCAGATTTACTGTTGGGTCCATCTGTGTCGGAGCCGGGCGATTCGCGGAAGCGAGGAAGGTGGCGCATTTTGATGCCAGGGCTAAAATGCTCGCAGAAACCAGCCCATGAAAATGTTTCTGGCAGCCCAAGCCTGTCAACCGATGGTTCTTCGGGCGGTGGAGGAATCACAGCCGGTTGGAAAGGGGCGCCTGGCACAGGACCGGCAAAGGGGGGGAAGAGTGGGTGAATCGGAACGCCTTGATCGTCGGCAACTAGCGGAGCAGGATTCGCAGGCTGTTGTGGAGGAATGGTGGGAGGCCCAGAAATAGAAACAGTCTCAAAATCCAGCTTTTCAAGACAGTGTAGCGCCATGTAGCGAGTTGTTTGGAATAATATGTGCGGCGCGAACCAGCAGTTTTTGAGTGACAAGTGCTTGATGTAAGGCAGATACAGCAGCCTATTGGTATCTTTAGCACCCTCAGGAGAAATCATCAGGTCTGAAGACTCAACAAATGGAGCCGGTAGAACATATTGATTGCGCTGATACGGGCCCCTCGCAAACTCACCACCGCAGATCCACTCAAAGCGGAGGCTCTCGATATTTGATTGTCGTCCAATGTGATCATTCAGCAGCCGATAGACCTTACTCACGGCTTCCACGGGAGATACATGGACGTCCTCAACTACGCCAGGGGAAGGCTTGGAAATCTTTCTCCAATCCGCAATAACAGCAAGGGAGACGGTTTTGATGCTAGGTATGTTCTCCCAGAGTTCCTTGTGGCACAGGATGTGAATGTGAGCGCTGGGGATTTTGGCAATCGTTACATTCGTCAAATTGGTGAAGCAGCCGTCTCTCGCGTTATCGATGATGCTGATGACATAAGATTGGATCATGGCCCGATGAGCCCACTCCAGCTCCAGTAGCAATTCCTTCTGGGCCCGTGTAAGATTGGTTGGAATAAGAGGCTGGCGGTTGGCGGTTTCGAGCGCGACCTGCCGCTGGCCCTCCTGTTCAGCCGGCCTCAGTTGGGGAGGTGGGCGTGGAGGGAATGCCGGTGCCGGTTGCGCTGGTTGCGCGGGAATGTTGGGGATCCCAAACGCCGCGTCTTCCTCGGGTGGTCCAAAGGTCGTGGTTCCGTTGCCATTAACATCCGGGGGTACAGGCAGCTGAATATGTCCCCCGTGATGATCAGGCACCTGGAATCCAAAGATATCGAATACATCAGGATTCTGTTGCTGCTGTTGATGCTGCTGCTGTGGTAATGCTGCTAGCTGCTGCTGTTGCGGCTGTGGTTGTGGATTGTGCTGCTGTAGGAGATGATGGATTTGAAACTGGCGCTGGGCTCTACGAGAGCTGCGTGCCTCTTGCTGCTGCTGTTGTAACTGCTGCTGTTGTTCATCAACGTTAACTTCTCGCTCGTCAAAGTCGATTTCGGTAATGGTAACGCCCTCGGTTTCGAGTAGAAGGTCGATCGCCTCGGGAACGCAGTAGCCGGCAAAGCCAGCATCAGAGATCATCTTCTCCAAAACTCGACGCTTGAAGGTATCATGCTGGGCTGTGGCGCTAGTCAGATCACGACGAACACCATTAAAATCGGACACAGCAACAAGCGTATCACCCTTCTTTACACGACCTTCCGGATGCCAATCGCGGGCATCGAAGACGGGGTCACGATTGTTGATCTTCTGAGCCGCGTGCTCAGGGCCAACCAGGAATCCCAAGCCCGCATCGCAGCAGAGGCCAATATTGGTAACCTTGGTTAGACAGCGAAGGGCCTTCTTCATGCTGTCGGTTTCATCGGCCGTCTGTTCCAGACCTTCGAGGTCTCTGTAGCGGTTGTACGTTTCGTGAGGCCATCGATAGATGCCCCAGAAGGCGGGGACGGCTTCCTGGGCGGGTTTGACGGGCGGGTAGGCAAGAATGAATTCGTCCAGCTCGAGTGATAGGGCGAAGCGCAAGATGTGAGGACCAAAGGATTCGAAGATGCGCATGCCGTTGGAAAACAGCCTCGACGTGATGGCGGCGTTGTTCTCGTCATCTAGGCTGGTGTACAGCTCAGCGCGAAAGGGAACGACAACATTTCGGAAATACTGGGCAGAGACCTTGGCCTCGAACTCCCTGCACACCAGGCGGAGGGCCTGGACATCAGCCCGGGTCAGATACCTGGTGATGATTTCGAAAATCTCGACCGGTAGCTGCGCCATTGGCCACGTAGCGATGGGGGCAGACGGGGAGGCTACAGCGGCGGCAGGCGACGGAGATGATGCTGGATCGGGGTCCTGGGCGACGAGGCCAAGCAGGGCTAACGCTGATGATAAAGAGTTCGGAGACGCGCCAGTTTTGAGGATGTTGGAGGAGGATGCAGAAGAAGTGAAGCAGGAAGCTGCCGAGGTCGTTGCGGGGTGTTTTTTAGCAGTGCTGGCGGCCTTGCTAGGCGGTGGTGGTGGGCCGAATGCGCTGTCAAACAGGTGCAGGCCCAGCAGCCGATCAATTGAGAACGGCGTCCCCAGCAGAGGCATGTTGGGCGAATTGGTCGAGAACAGGTGAACAAACAGACCAGCAAATTCTCCACCCAACAAGAAAATAATTTCTAAAGCAGTGAACAAGGACAGAACCATTAAAGAACGATTAGAAGGCAGGCTTTTTCTGTTCAGTTGAGAATTGAAGCGATGTTGGAAGAAGAGAGCCGTGTTGGATGAAACCTTGAAAGCTTCGATCTCCCTTCACCAATGGCCCTAGACACGTTCAGAAAAATCGTCTCCTTTTGATCCGTTACTAATATTGCTCTGCCGCACTAGTCAGTTGCGATGTGTACAGTAGAGGGCTGATGCCGATTGTAAGACACGGGATAAGTATTTGCGTGTTCCTTTCTCTGAGACAACTCCGAGACCTACATCCAGCCGATGCTGATTCCCTGCTTGAGACTCAGTTGGCTATGGGAGACGGGCGAGGAGTGATAGGATGAATCGGAAAATCTTGAGAACAACATGACCATTGGCAGAAGAACGTGAAAAAAAGTGATTCAGATGATCCAGTCTTCGGCTTTTGTTTGCTCGGAACGTTGGAAATGAATCTCTTTTACGCTTGTATACCAGCATCTAGTAATGAGATTTGGTACTAGTATCACACAAGACTTGGTAGAACAACGGGCAAGTGTTTTTGTGTTACTTTATTGACTGAATGCAATAATCTTGATATATTCCACTCCCAACATCTCGCTATCTACACTCGAGTCACGTCAATCAAGTTGTGAATATTCATTCGTAAATGCCTACTTTTCGATATAGAACAGCCCGCGAGTCATGACCCTCCTCAGCTGGGTGATGTATTGATTTCTCGGACTCGACTTTCCAATCCTCACGTCATGACCAATGCGCTTCAAGCTGCGTGACACATAAATGTCAGATTGCCCTGTGCTGGATTACTGTGATGGGAGCCCCAATATTACGCCGCATCGACTAAGAACGGCCAGCGTGGAGGCGGGGCCCTGAAGGGCATTTACAGAGGGTCAGTAGGACTGAGTGCTCCGTACAGGCGTCGCCGCAGCCGCTAAACGAAAATCTAGCGACAGCGCTAGGAGCCTAGCAAGGGCCGCGGGGCAGGGGCCGAGCGCTCTGGCATGTTTAAGCATTGCTTGCCTAATGTTCCTGTACTCTGTTTGGAGAAGTCATGGAGTAGGGTTTGCAGGGGGTTTGCAGATCGCGAGGTACAGGTACCTATCAAGCAACCTTATATCGGCTAGCCTCGTTAGCTCCGATGCGGCGCTCAGTTGGGTTGCCCACAGCCAAACGAAATGATCGACGGCATCTTGTTTCCGCCCTCTTGCTGCATGTATATTCCAGGTTTCGCTTTTCAGAACTGGTTCTTTTCTCTTCTCACTTGGGAATGCTTAGCGACATGAAACCAGCATATGCTAGTAGTGGGAGGGTTTGCCAGGGCTACTTGCCTGCATTCAGCTCTGGGCGACATAAGGCGTGCGTCCAAGACGAGCAATCCCAATGCTAGCATGCCTACGTGTATGCACACACGCACATATACATGGCGCGAATCAGACTTACTCAACGGCATTACGTATGTATTTGGTACCATATTACTGTCTCAATCTACCAAGAGTTGCTCCAGCAGGAGGGCATGTTCCACGACAGCCTAGATTTTGCGGCGCAAACAGGGCCCGTCGCCATTCCGTAATCCATCCACATGTCGCATCCACGCAGATCAGCCACAAAAACCTCCGCTGCCTTGCAGTCTTACTCATAAAGCGTAGCCAATAGACTAACAGCTCACGAGCATTTACAAAGTACATTTCGCGCATTAGCTTATCAATTTCGGCGTCGTTTCGATCACGACCCACGTACCTGTGCGCGTCCGACATCACTCAATACAGCTTAAAGTCAAGTTCAGTTTGGAAGAAAGATCGCTAACCAGCCCTCGTATCATTAATGAAATACTCTACCAGGTCTATATACCAGACTTGGGTGAAGAAAGTAAGAATCAAAACAAGTTACAAAGAAGAAAAATAAGGGATATTTGCCCGCCGCCCATGATGCCAATTTTCGCCCATCGCATCCCTCGCTCTCTAGTTGCTTCCCCAGAACCAGTATACTGCTGAGTATTGGACTTCAATGGTGGCGGGCTGGCCCTGGCATGTCGCTGGCGCGCTGCCTCCAGCCGTGTCGAGTCTGTACACCTCCTTGATGCCGCCGGTGGCGCCATCCTTGGCAAGGAGCTTCAACCACGGAACGGCGCTGGAGCCTGAGGGTCCCTTTGCGGCCGTGGCTGGTGCAGCGACGGTGTTGTTCTTGGAGGTGGGCACTGTGCCGATGTTCAGAGTGGGTGTGTCGAGGTTGAAGAAGGGCGTCGTGCTGTCGACGAAGAAGTGGTGGCCCGAGATGGGAGGAGGCGACATGGGGCCGAGTGATCCTGTGGAGGTGACGGCGTCGAAGTTGAAGTTGACGGCCATGGCAGGGACCTTTTCCAGCAGATCTTGGTTGATGGCCGCAACGCAGCTGACGTTGAAGAGGGTGGCCAGTGCTCCAACAGCTACGGGAGCTGAGCTGGGGTTGCTCGTATCGCACGTGTAGTTCTGGGTGCCGCGGCCGACGGCAACGTGATGCAGCGTCAAGCCTGCAGATGGAGGTGGCAGTCCAGTGGCTAGAATGATGGCATTGATTAGTCCATGCCCATGCTTGTCTGTATCTATTCCTGAAGCTGTACTTACCGGTGGGCATCTGTGCCTTGGACATGTCGCATATCGGCGCAACGGGCTGTACTTTGGACGTCTGGACCTTTGATGCAATCAGGTTGAAGTAATTTGATAGGGCATCGAGGGCTGCCGCCGGGTTGGCTACATTTTTGAGGTCGACCTTGGGGATGGCCGGAGCAGCGTGAGCCCCAAAGATGGCCAGTGAGGACACCAGAAATGTTGATGGACGCATTGTGTATGAGGAGATGTGGGTGTGAAGAGTGAGGAGAAGATGGCGATGACGGGAATTTATATGATTCGAATTCGATTGTCCAACCAAAGCACTGAGTTCCAATAACCAGATTGGTAGATGACGATAGCGATGATGTTGTGATGGGTGTTTTCGTAAACAGGGACCAGCCGACAAGCACACTAATTTTTCTTTTTTTTATGCTGAAGGGATGAAAAAGCACAAATTGATATACCAGATACTAACTCAAGGAAATAAAAAGAAAAAAGACGAAAAAGGAAATCGGGGATAAGATATTCAAGCTGAGGGATGGTTCTACCAAGATCCCGAAAACACAAAACAATGCGGCCAACAACCTTCTCTTATAACCCAACAGCACTCAACCGTGTCTCACACAATCTAGAACGCGGGTCCAAGGGAAAATTACGTGCATAACAAGCAGTGCAACCTTACTATTGAGCCGTAGTCCAACGCGCAATTCCTTTTTTAGCTTACTTTAATTAGATTCCTCTCTCTCTCTGTTTTGCCGCCTTCCGAAGCGGCGCCAAACGGCCCAGCAGCGCAGAAAATAGAAACGAGCGAGACGGGAAAGAATATTGGATGTGTGAGTGGGGAGGGAAGGGAAAGGTAGCCGACCTCTCTCTGTATGAGTCTCGAGTTCCATCCCGCGCTCTTCTTCCTTTTTGCCGCTGAGAGGCCTTGATTGGACGAGAGGCGACGGTGGGCGAGGCGCGCATGGGTCAGGGTTGAGGCGACGGCAGGGGCTGCGATTGGCTGCGCGTGCGGCGATTTAGGCGCCCGGCCTGGTTTGTCCTGCTGTAAGTAACATGAACAGTAGGTGGTAGCGCTGGAGCAATATGGACGGATATGAATAGCCTGCTTGGCGCAATCTATTTGGTTTTGGTGAGCCTGGCAATTGACATCGTACGATGCTGATGGAGATGCTTGAGCTCTGATAGTATTGATTAATTGCTATATAGCGTTGTAATAGTGAATAAACTCCGACGCTGCATCAGCTGCTAAAGAAAGCGCCCTCTCAAGCAGGGAGTTCCAAGACACTGCGGAGTAAATGCCTACATCAGTGTTGATTGCCAAAAAGTGTTCAAAACGGCAAGAAATCACTGAATACGATGAATATGAATAGCCAATTAACATAAAATTACAATAGGTAAAGACATATCCATCTTCTTCAGCTCATCTCTCTCATATCATCCGCGCGCCTCCATCGAAAACACATAAAAGCCAATTAATCCATCTACACAAGAAAAAGAAGAAAGAAAAATCAGCCCATTCTCCGGCGCCACATGTTCGGCCCGCCGCGGTGGCGGTTAAGCCGAGCAAAACGAACCCATCCACATCCGCAAAAAACCCCCATCCCATCCAAAAGTATCCAAAAATAGCATCCACAGATCTCAGGATCTCTTCCCAGCCAACCAAGCCCAACCCAAAAAGCCACCATCAGTTCTCTTTTTCCGATCTCTCTCTCCATCTCAGTGCCCCACGCACACGCGATAGCATCTCATTTGGCTGCTACGGTGGTACTAGTTGGTCGGAGCACAGATGTATGCAAAGCATTTCCGATGAGTGTGTTGCGCCAGCTCGGCAGTACATTTGCCGTGGGAAGACCTGTTGGCTTGACATGCTCTCTTAGTAGTACTTGGTAAGACATGGTTAGTAAATCATTGTATTGAAAACAGATACATAACACTGGTAATTATTTAAGATAGAAGCCAAATAGAAATGAAGAAAAATACACATGTCTTTCAAAAAGAAATACTGAGAATAAAAATAGCAAGCCGATTTAGCCTTTCAATGCGCAATCAATATACGCAAATGCCCCTCCTTGGGCCGCACTGGACGGCCGGCGTCTAGAACAAAGTAGCACCACCGCATTCTTGGCTCTGTCAGCCTATCAAGCCTCTTTATCTCTGAACATACACGCGTTCGCCAGCAGCAGATGAATGCCTTAGAAACGTCAAGTCGCAGTATCAACCCGCTTACGAGTACATACACAGCATAGGCAACATGACATGAACATGTATATTCTCTCCCCAATCAAGCTGCTCTCTGCTGGCAGCAGATACTGCTTTTCTCAGAGTACATCATTCTGCCAAGAGCACAAACAACTCCATGTGTATCATATATAGTAATAATAGTAGTAGCAGTAGTAGTACATGTGGTCATTTTCAAAAAGACAATTAAAATCTCCTCCTGCTGACCAGCACCGAATGACCAGACCACCGCTCCCCTCTTCATTCATTTATTTTACCATTTACAATTTACCCATCAAATCCATCTTCCCGCCAGTCTCCATGGCCTCCGCCGCTTGCCGCTCCTCCACCTACTCCCCCTCCACCAGCAGCTGCTCCCGCTGCCGCCGCCGCCGCTGACGAGCCGAAATTGCTGGCGTGACTCTCAAAGTCTGCCGTGCCCAGCCAGTACAGCGAGAAGAAGACCAAGATGTGCAGCGCCACGCAGTAGGCGGCAAATAAGTTCCTGCTTGTCCGCGACGCTAGAACCATGCGCGTGATTGAATAGACCACCCTCTCTGGAAAGCTCATGCGTCGGTACGCCCTAGCCGACTCTCGGCCGCGGAACGCTGCAAACGGCGATATGCTGGACTCGTACGCTTTTTGGTAGCGGTTCAGCTCCATGCCGGGAGTCCCTGTCCCGCCGATGGTGACTGTCGATGGGTTGGGATTCGTTGCGTAGGCAGATGACGACGATGTCGTGGCCCCTCCTCGGCTGTAGGTCGAGACATACCTTGTCTTCTCGTAAAGAGTCAGGTTGTCTTTTTGCAGTGCGGCCACTTCTTGTCGTAGCTGCTGAACCGCTCGGTGGTTTTCGGAGAGCTCCTGCTCCAGCTGAGCGTTCCTCTTCTTGAAACGATCTCTCTGCGCCATCACCATCGGCAGGATACCTGATCCTCCTCCCATTGGCTCGCGCTCGCCGGGTGCTGTCCGAGGGTCTATTCCACTAATGATGGATGACGTGGGTGATATTCTACCTCCTTTACGCCCTTGAGCGCGAGTGATGTACGTGCCAGCAACAGAGGCGCCAGATGGAAAGGCGTTTGCCCCCTCTGCCTGGAGATTTTCCAGGTCACTCTCCAGCTTCTCATTCAACTTCTGCGCCTTCTCCAGCTCCGCATTGGTTCTGGAAAGATCTTCCTGAAGATCTTCTAGTCGGCGCTGCAAGTCTTGATGCGAGACCCGCAGAATCGTAAGCTCATCGTTAAGTTTCTTATTTCGCGCCAGCAAGAGTTTCTCCAAAGTATCACCCTTGCCAGTGACACCTTCGATTTCGTGTGGCGCCTCGTCGTCATCGCCAGTTGAAAACTCAATGCTCTTGAGAACCTCAAGCTCCTGCTTCACTTCCTCGTAGTCACCCCATTTGTCCACCTTTTCTTTGAGTGACTCTTTCTCCTCCTTCAACAGGGCCACTTCACGCTCTACGGACCGCAGCTTACTGTCGAGATCGCGTTTAAACCCTTCCTTCTCTACTCTCGCCGCGTCCAGCTTGCGGATGAGAGACGAATTCTCCGAGCGCATTCGCATGTATCCAGGATCATCCTCCAGGGATGAATTCTGAGATTGTCTCGACGATTTGGCCTGGGCCAGCTCGAGTCTCATCTGCTCATTTCGTGCTTCGACTTCGGCTAGCCTGGAACTCGTCCGCTCGAGATCCACGTGAAGCATTTCAAGCTCCGCATTCAAGGCTTGACTGCGCTGACCATCTTGTTCTTCGCTGTTAGCCTTGCCCAGTCGCTGGTTGACTTCATAGTTGGCCTTTAATTCGCTTAATAGGCGGTCCTGATTCGCAACCTTCTCTTCGAGCGTCTTTTCTTTGGCCTCCCAATTGTCCTTCTTCTCATCCAGCACAGCGGTCCATGATGTTTCCACCTCTTTTACCTTAGATTCCAAGTTGTCCTCAAGATCTTTGCGGGCAGCGCGTTCGTCTTGGAGCCTGGACTCTGATTCTTCGAGCTGCGTCGTAAGCTTCGACACGCTCTTTTGTAGATGCTTATTTTCTTCGGTAACTTTCGGTAGCGTATCTTCGGACACCAGCATCGAATCAACCGAGGCTTCAAGTAAAGGATATGGATCGGGGGCCTCAGACAGCGAGGTATATGCTTTGAGAAATGCCGAGTTCACCGATTTGGAATGATTCGTCAGGAGATCGATAAAGGTTTGGTATGCTGTAGCCACCCAATGTCAGCCTGTCGGCGTTGCCTTGACAGCGAGGGGTCGTTAGCCAGGGAAGAATGCACCTTTGAGAAGCCCTTTGATCTCTGCCAACTTTGTAGCATCATCTGATTTTCTGAAATCCTTGGTCTTTTGCGCCAGTTCCTTGCGCTGCACCGTCGAGTCTCGCTGGTAGGTCACAATCTCCGACGCCGTATTGTCTAGATTGGATACCAGCGTTGTCAGGTCAACATCTGTGTGACATGGTCAGACGATTCAATTGCACGAATACGCGGCATGCTCTACATACTCCTCCACGCTGAGATGGCGTGAGAGAATTTGTTTCCTCCGACAGCATCGGGGCTGCTGCTCTGCGCTACAGCCCCTTCCGTTTCGTTCGACATGGTTGTTGAGCTCCTGTGCTGTATTATTTTCGCCGCTGCGAAAGGGAGAGATGGTCGGTCAGGCAAGCATTGGCATGCCGACTTCGTAGTTATTCAGAGAGCAAGAAGCGCAGCCCCAATGGTTGAATGTTCCAGATTGGTGGATAGTCAGCGTGGTTGTCGGTTGTGAAACGAGTTGACGTAGCCAAAGTCGCATCGGCGCAAGGCGACGCAAGCTTCCCAGTTCCAGGCGCCGGTGCCCCGTAGTTCCAGCGTGTCCTAGTGCTAGACAACCAGCCACAGGGGGCCATCAGCGCCCCACCTCAGCCTCGCCCGCAACAGCTCGCAGCTCTCAAGGTATTAGCGCTAGGCGAAAGGCTGGGGCATTCGTCACCTCGAACACGAGCACTCCAAGGCTTCCCCTCCAGCTCGCCTCTCCAAGTCGCTGCTCTCGTTGCGAGCGTGGATATTTCGTCTCAAACCATCTTCCCGGGATAAGATCATGATCCCGGTGTTCAGATGACATCACCAGAAGGAGATACGCTGTCATGACATCCAATGGCCCGGGTGGAGGGGCATCATCACCATCACCCGCAATGGCCTCGCCAACCGTTAACGTGCAGCCCGTGGACCGATCAGAGGGGCCGTTTGTGCTGCAGCCATGGATAGAGTCGGTGCCTCTCTCAGCGGATGGTGATGAGGGCGATATCAAGATCAACTGCGTCGAGTACTTCGGTTCGTGCGCTCTTTGTTTACACCTTCAACCACTTATACCGCTTGCTAACTGAGCCTCGCTCTCCTCGATATGCAGACGGCAATCTCTACGTCGGCACTTCTGCCGCCGAGCTTCTTCACTTCGTTAGCATCCCTCCAGATCCCTCCGACCCGTCCGGACGACCGGTGTTCATTCCAGCCTCCAGGCTCTCCCCGGCATTCGCTGAAAACACCACGGCTCGGCCTGGTGTGCAACAAATCTTGCTGCTACCTCGCGTCGGCAAGGCATGTATATTGTGCAATGGAACGGTCACCTTTTACTCTCTTCCAGAGTTGAGTCCTGTTTTTGGAACGAAGCAGGTCAAGAACTGCGGCTGGATCGGTGGCGTTGACTTGAACGAAGAGGGACTTGGTGATGGAGCTACAAACACTGGCGAAACTGTCACGGCTCTTCTTTCTCTCAATAGGCGAATCCAGGTTGTTAGAATTGACGAAGATGTGCGCGCTATCAAGGTATGATTCAGTGCTCGCTATACCCAAGCAAGGCTTTCCTCGCTAGCAAGGTCTTACCACTTACACACATCTCCAGAATATCGACTTTGCAGGAAGCACCCTTTCTGTGCGACGAGATTCTATAGCATGTGTTGCAGACTCAAAGACTTACGCTCTTCTCGACGTGGACCGACAGTTAAAGATTCCCCTCATGAACATGTCATCCTTGGAAGAAAATCCTAATGCCGCCGAATTTGGCCATGTCCAAGACATTGCCAAGGGCGCAAACAGCGGCCGAAGTGCCTCAAGAAGCCGGGCACAGCCCAGAAGCAGCTCAAAAGGTCATAACCGAAGTGCGAGCCTGGGAACTGCAGACCGATCCAGAGACTCACCAGCTCCCAGTTCTCGAGGAACAAGCCCAATGCCGCCGGCTTCACAGACGCTGTCTCATCCGGGACAGCCATCGAGCCCTCGACCTCCCGAGGAGCATAGCTCGACTCCGCCACCGGGCGACAAACCGCTACCGGGCGACAAACCGCTACCAGCGCCCCCTCCTCCTTCTAGCCCAGCTCCACAGGTTGTGACAGTGTTTCTAAAGCCGCATATTGCCTCGCCAACCCCAGAGGAGTTCCTTTTAGTAATGGGCACTACTCCTTCTGAACCTGGCGTTGGCATGTTTGTAAACCTTGATGGCGATCCTACTCGGCCAACTATCACGTTTGATAAATACCCCGAGCAAGTTGTGGTTGACGGCAGTTCATCAGATGCTGGCTCATCAGAAGACGTGGACGGCTACGTGTTTGCCTCCATGACAAAAGATGTCAAGGGTGGTGTCCCTCGCAGCGGAGTAGAGATTCAAAGTTGGAGTGCCGGCAGTGAAGCACATCCCGAAAAGCAATGGTTAGAGGCAGATGATGCTAGCCTGAGCGGGACATACGGAATCCGTGCTCTCACAAACAGCCAGGAGACCCAGTCCGACGAGGTTGTCGAGAAACTCAGCATGAGAAAATTCATACCATTTCCCAGCTCAGCAGAGTCCTCTGCTCCAAAATCGCCGACGTTAAAGCCCTCAAGCTCTCGGACTACTCTCTCGATCGAACAGCTATCAAAGGAAAGGGAACTTTTCGAGCGTGACGCTGATTCACAGGACGGAGAGTCTCTTCCAGAGGGGTGGGAAGCCGCACGAGTTACAGAAGGAGAGGAATTCGCCCGCCGCCTTGCGAAATCCAAGACGCGTGTTGCTATATGGCGTGGCAATCGGATCTGGTGGGCTGTGCGGAATCCCCTTATTGTCCAACTCGATAAGAAATTAGAAACTGCTCGCCAGGCAGCTTATAGTGATAAGCAAGACTTTGATAAACGCGCAATCATCATGGTCTTGTCAGCTATTCGCGATCGTGAGCCCAAGACGGAGCTCGAATTTACTTCGTTTGGCTATATACAACAAAAAGCTGGAGTTATCCTTTTAATCAACCTCCTTCTCTCGCCGCCAGACACGGAATTCTCAGACGAAGAGTTAAATGCGTTGCAAGAAGTTCTGGTCGAGAGTAAACTTGATCCCCGAGTTGTTCTTTCTCTAATTCCAGGCGTTCGAAATGAAATCATTGAAGGCCGCCGAGGTATTTGGGTTTATGGCGGCGTAAAAGAAGCTCCCGAGGCTTTCCTGGCAAACCCAGCATTTCAAACGCTATCTCAAGAAGGCATTAGAGGCCTTCCACTTAAAACTCTGCATTTCCTGAGACGCTATCTTCATGCCTGGAGAAAATTAAAGGGCTTTGGGAGCGTATTAGTTGAGGCCGAAGTGTTCCGAACGGTAGACGCAGCACTGCTGCTCGTTCTACTAGAGCTTGATAGGCACTCACCCAAGGGTTTAGGAAAGGGGGGCGCCGTCCGGGCAGAGATAGGTGCTCTCGTGGACGGCGGTATAGACTGCTTAGATCGAGCCGTCAGCCTCCTCGAATCATATCACAGATTCTTTGCTCTAAGCCGATTATATCACAGCCGAAAAATGTCCGCCGATGTTTTGGCGACTTGGAAGCGCGTCCTCGAAGGAGAGGAAGATGACGCCCAAGAGTTGGTTGACGGTGAGCAAAGAATACGGGATTACCTCACCAAGATCAGCAACCAAGAGCTTGTTCAAGAGTACGGTCTGTGGTTAGCCAATAGGAACCCAAGGCTTGGCGTGCAAGTATTCGCCGAAGATAAAAGCAAAGCACCCAAGTTTGAGCCCACCAAAGCAGTAGAGCTGCTGCGTGCCGAAGCTCCAGGCGCTGTCAGATATTATTTGGAACACTTGGTGTTCGACAAAGGGTATGAAACATATGTTAACGAGCTTATTTCCTACTATTTGGAGGTTGTCATGGACGATCTCAAATCTGACGAGAGCCGGGACCGCGTCCTGGCCGCATATGATGCCTACAGAGCTCTTCAAAATCCCAAACCAACATATAGGCATTTCCTGACTGAAAATGCCCCTGAAAACGACGAGGTCTGGCAAAGCCGCCTTCGTCTGCTTCAACTCCTCGGCGGCCCTCACGAATACGACGTTGCCGCGATTAGAGATCGCACCGACAAGTTATCAGGCGACCTGCTCGTCCCCGAGGCCATCATCCTCGCCGGCAGAGAACGCAAGCACGAAGAGGCTTTGCGTCTCCTGGTCCACAAACTCGGCGACTACGATACCGCCGTGTCGTACTGCCTCCGCGGCGGCGCAACCATCTACTCCCCCATGCAAGGGCGCCGCGACAGCGTTCCCGAAATCGAACAGCAGCGTCGCCTCTTTCAGGTCGTCTTCCGGGAATTCCTCGCCATTGACGACGTGAGCGACCGCGTCGAGCAGACCAGCGCTCTTCTCGACCGCTTCGGCGGATGGTACGAAGTCGACGACGTGCTGGCCCTCATCCCAGACCGATGGTCCGTCGACATTGTCGCTGGGTTCCTCGTCGGGGCTATACGGAAACTGGTACAGGAGAAGAACGAGGCCATGATGAAGAGAGCCCTGAGTGGCACGGAGAATTTGAGAGTGAGTTACGATTTGATTGTCAAGATTGGGGAAAAGGGGCCCAGGGTTGAGGAGGCGCCAAGTCAGGAGTAGAGTGAGCGTTTGCGAAATATAAAAAAAGGAGGTATTTTTGTTCCATGTTTGGGGAAGAGCGATATGTATTGGCGTTGTTGTGACGTCTTCGTCTTTTTTTTTGAATAGCTGTTTCGAGTAAAGTTTACGTATGTATGTAACGAAAATAATGCCACGTCCACAACGATGCGATACTGCCTCTTGGGAATCAAATCAAGCTTTTACTCCCAGCATGAGAATGCAAGTTGGCCAGAATTCAGTCACATTTACACGCAGTCAAAACATCCAAAGAGGTGGAAAAGTCATGAGTATGAATTGGGCGAATGTGATCTGAATGCCATCTGCTGTCCACCCTAAACGCCGTAACACTTTGCTTACGCATATGGACGGGCGGCGTACATAAAAACTGCTCCTTCTTGTCTGCAAGAACGAGCCATAACCATCAACAGGATATACGACGCTAAAAGTGCGCTCTACAATCGGACCGCAGCCCGGGATAATTTAATACACGTAAAAAACCGTCTTCTCATCTTTATCCGCGTCAATTTTCATCATCATCAGCTTCTTCCACTGTAACGGCCCTACCCTTTCCCTTGTCGGATGGCTCTTCTTCTGTGTGAGCCGCTTCACTCTGCTCAAGCTCCAAGATGCTCGGCTCTCTTTTGAGATCAGTCTCGGGAGCAGATCCATGAGTATTGACATTGCCGCTGCTTTCGGGTATGTTTTCGACTTCTGTTGGCGGAGCAGCTTGTGTGCTGGCTTGGCTCGCCGTGTCTCCTTGATCCAGTCGAGATCCGTTTCCGAAAAGCTGATTGGACCCGCCCCAGTTTGGCAGCATTGGGCTGGGTGACACCACGGGAGGGTGGTCTGACGAAATTGCAGGAGTCGGCGGTTGATCCCCTCGTGTTCTCGAAGCATTAGAAGCAGGAGCAGCAAATGGCGAAGATTCCGCTGGCGCAGTCTCTTGGCTATGTGGTACCGTCGGCGTTGGCTGTGCTGAGATTGATGCAGCCTGGCTGCCGTTTACAAGGTCCCCAGTGTGAGGCACGCCAGTAGTTTGAGGTAGGAACGGCGGTGCAGTCTGAGCATTATCCAGCCTCTGTAGAGGCGTCAAGGACCATCCAGGAGGCAGCACTAGTCCTTCTGGCAACTCAGAGCTACCAGCAGGAATTGCTGTCGTGGAGGGGCCAGCTCCGTGTCGAGTCATCAACGGGCTGTTCATTCTGGGTGGCATGCCCGGGAAAGGAGGGGGGAATGGTGGCAAACCACCAAGCTGAGGCACCGGCATGGGCAGCGGTGGCAGGCCTACCGGGACTCCAGTTGGTGGATAGTAGGGCACAGGGTATTGGTTCAGGCCATTCTGCGCGGCGTCCTGGGGCTGCAACCGTCTCTGGCGAAGCCGCTGAATCTCAGTATTGAGCATGTTGGCGATTTGCAGTTCGTGCTGTGTACCTTGTAAAGTCTGCAATTCGCGTTGCAACATCTGCTCTGCCTGCTGTAAAAGATTTCCGGCCTGCTGTAAATTGTCACCCGATGGAGGCAACTGAGACTGGTTCTGAGAGGCTGTCGTAGCTGCGTTTGGTTCCTGACCACCAGCAATTTGCGGCATGCCAAACTCTTGAGCGAGCTGGCGAACTTGCTGGTCATTAGCTCCGAATCCAACTCTTATAGGACCAAGAGTAAAGACGCGGGGCTGTCCGCCGCCTCGTCCCCCTTGAGGATGATGGTGCGCATGTTGCCCGTCGCCATGTCCATGGTTATCATTGTTTCCATTGTCGTTTTCGTTTCCACGTTGATTCTGGCCTCGGGGCGGTGCCTGGCCAAACTGTATCCTGAGACCAGCTTGACGACGGCCATTACGAGGCCGTGGTTGTTCACCCGTGACTGGGCTTCTACATGTCGGGCACACCTGCTGCCGTTCCAGCCAGCTCCTGAGGCAGCCAAGATGTAGAATGTGACCACATGGAAGTTTCTTGGGGCGTATACGGTCGACAACACCTACATTCTCTGCAGGGTCCCAGAAACGCATTTCCTCACGGCAAATGATGCATGTGTTTTCTTGTGCGAGATCTTGCACAGTCGCATCTGCGTATTTGTTCATCTCTTGGATAGCCCGTCTATAGCGTAGAAGGGCGTTGAGTCTCTTCAAGAAGTCTCTCGTCGTCATGAACAAGTCTCGCATAATATGAATCGGGAGGCCATAGAACATGAGAAGCATCAAGAAGAAGGAGATGTAAATTCCCAGCTTGGCAAAGTCTAGTGATGGAAGTTAGAGTCTGTAGTTGTATACAACCTCTTCAGGGAAAGGGGGCTTCTCTTACCAGTGAGCAAGTCCAGCCAAAGAATCAGCTCACCCTTTGCCGACCAGCCGGGCACTTCAATGTCCATTTCGTCGATATCATCAGGATTGGGCAAGGGTTCTTCATTCTCCGGAGCTGGCTCCCCAGCTGCCGCAGCTGCTTCGCGCTGACGGATAATCTCATCCCTCTGTCTGCTGATTTCGGCCTTCCGCTCCGCCAAATGCTTGCGGGTCTGCAGCTCGAGGATGCGCTGCTCCGTGACTGATACCAAGTAGCGGAATCCCGTTCTCATAGAGTTGGTGGCGAGGATGGCAAACTCAAACAGAAACATGACCATCATATTGGGCCTGGCCTGCTGAATGACCGTGAGGACGGTATATCGAAGTATCCAGATATCGTAGATGAAGCTAGCCGCTAGGGAGATACTGAGTCGCAAGTGGAAGAGTCGAGGATTCGTGGGGGGTTGCTGCTCGAGAAAGTCTACACGGCCATCTCCAATCCAGCCCCAGACCTTGCCCGTGACCAGCGCCGTGAACATGACAAGGAACCAAGCCCCAATCTCCTCTCGAAAGATTGTCATGGCCAGACATGTCTCGGTGATAGCAAACCATGCTCGCTCGGTAAGTTGTTCGACCTCGATCGCGCGCAGCGTGCCAAAGCATATCTGCGTCAAGGCATAGATGAAGCTAGTGTACAAGAACAAGGTGAAATTGACCAGAACCTAGAATAACAAAGTCAATTTTCAAGTCCTACCGTGACAAATAGACAGAGAGGGAGAGGCGATGTCACGTACCAGCAGACAGAAGTTGCTCTGCGCAAGGTATACCATAGCCGAGTAGAAGTTGGCCCGCTGGTGAAATGCCGAGAGCACGACGCCACCCGCCAGGGCAGTCGACACCTAGAATAACCATATGTGAGCATCATGTATATCAGACATATACTGAGAAATTAGCTGTTTTGTTAGGCGGGTGGTGAATGCCGCGCAGCCTGATTGGAGGAGAGCTTGACACCAAGCCTGAAGATCGAGACCTACCCCGGCATACCAGCCCAGCCGCAGTTTAAACATTGCGAACCAAAGACTTGACGTGGATTGATGAAAAACGCGAATTTCCAGACTCTACATTTCCATCATTCGAGCATGCAACCGCCCTCGCTGTACCGGGAGAAGACGAAATGGGCTCGAATGGCTGATTAACAATTGTAACGGTATGCTTTGATGCCACGTTATTGATAAGGAGGTGAGTGAGGTAAGCTCAGTGACCAGTGACGCATTAGCAGCACGTGACTGAGCTGTCAAGCTCGGCGCGCTCCGCGGCTTAGCCGATTTGATGCTGAAGCCCGCTCTTAGCTTATCAGCTTAACATCTTCAGCGTGATAAAACGTGTAGAAAGTGCAGAGTATTGATCGCTATTGAGCGAGTAAGAAATGAGGCAAATTGGGCTGGCTTTTTATTGATGTAGTTGTCTTGTTTGATTGTGTGAGTTATGAATGATGTATACCAGCTCAATATTGAGAGTTGGGACACTGTACATGGTTTCACTGCCTCGATTCTCTTGCTCAGCCCTGAAACGATCTCAACAGCAACTCAGATATTGTTCTCTCTCGTCAGTTACGATAAACAATTATGCCAGGTTATATGCCATAATCGAAGTGAAAAACAGATGAGGACATATCAAGAAAGCGACGGCAAATTCCACAAACCTCCTTGCTCATTGTAAAACGGCTAGTGTGATGCAAGAGGTTTAGTACGACATTTGCTCACCGTATCGACCAGGACTTGCATAGACAAACATCGTATAAGTTATATACGGCCTGCAAAATCAGTTTCATTCGGATTTCATATTATGCCTTTATATCTCAGCGTTCTCTATGCTGAAAATCTTCCCTCTGAAAAGACAAACTTTCTCCGTTGTGAAGGCTCATCTATGCTACTCAGTCTTTGCTCTGAGCGCGGCAAGTTTCAAAATCTCACACATGGCCCGATTCCTAAACACATAGCTACTACATTTATGTGCCTTGTACGTTTCTCGCCATACGTTGTAAATCACAGCCATCATGGCCATCAAATTACAGAGAAGTCCCCTAAGATGGACCCTCCTAAAATACCCATCGCATTAAGGATGATCCCAAGGTGCGAAGAAACAAAAATCAACATTCACTTACACCTTGCTACTACCACTAACTGTTTCTCACCTTTTTTTTTCCCCTGAATCGAAACACACAAGCTTTACACCCTGCATTCCCCATACTACTTCCCGTCTCGCCAAGCAAAACCCCATCCCAGACCATACAGCTTATTTACTCTTCCGAGCGAACGAATGAAAGACAAGGAGAAAAAATCAGAAGGGGGACAAGATATCCGCCCAGAAACCCTGCACATCTCATCATCATCAATTCAAAGTCTCTTCTTCCGAAATTCCGATCTCCTCTCCCACCCATGCAAATGCCCCCCCTTCCTCCAAGGGAGAGGGAGAGAGAGCATAAAGTCCACGCGGGAGCCCTGTCACCAGATCGCCGTTTTCGTTCCAGGGGAGGGGGTGAAGAGGAGTAAAAGAGAAAAAAAAACCGCAGGATATCACGATGAGAGTTTCCACTATGACAGGGTTCACTGCTTGTATCCGATAGAATACCACAACAAGGGCAGCAAGAGTTGCTAGTCTCAACACAGGGGGTGAGGTAAGAGTCTCCCTCCTCTCCCTTGGTCCCCATTCCCAGTTTTTCTCGCAGAACCACGTTTAGATCAAAAAGGGAATCCTCTTCTCCCTCTTCCCTTAGGTACCACCGTAACGGTAATCTCCACATTCGGTTCTATGTACTACCTGTCCTCCGTACAAAGGGGAAGCCGAGCTACTTGTACAATTACCAAGAGCTCGGTTCGCTTCCCCTTCGGGCGTCGTTAAGAAGGTTAAAAACGGCCCGAGTACCAAAAGAGCACGGAGTTTGTGTCTCTGGTAAGATTAAACGTGTCTTGGAACACAAGGCCTAAATCTTAGGCACATAATTGTTACAGAGTACACAGCGGGAGATACAACAGAGACAAACTCTGGGATGAATGACGTGAGTTGAAGCAGATTCTTTACACTACACAACATTTACAGAAGGATGCGGAAATAAGCATTATGAGTTCCCTAGTATCACAACATAGCTTTACTTCCGCTTTCTAGTTCCGTGGGAAAAAAAAACTTCATCATACACAACAAGAAAAAGAAAAGAAGCATAAAAAGCTCAACTCTCTCCAAGACACAGTGCACACGACGTAGATACTAGGTAACGATAGTAGTGTCTTTACACACATTCACTATCCAGTTGCCTAACCACAGATCCAGCGATCGACCTTCACACAAAGCCAAAAAAAAAAAAATGCATGACGAAATCAAATCTCAGAATTGGGAAAGAAAAAAAAAAGATCTATGACACAAAAGATTCACACAAATCAGATCATTAAAAACTGAAACATCGATTTGCACTCCCGATCTCCCCGATCAAAAAAAGAACTGTGGAGGTGAAGAGAGACGGCGGGGGGGAGCAAACAAAAAACAGATAGACAGGCAGAAATAACGATGTGTACACAAGATACCAGTTTAGCCTATCGCTCGCTCGCTACGATACAAGTAGTATGCCGGGGCGGGATTAAACAGGCTGCGTCACAGGTTTTGACGTTCCGTTCTCAACTGAGACATACAGCTCATATCTGTTTTGGCCCCCCTCTCAAAAGGCAGGCCAGTTAGGTAGGCCCAGCTAGCACTTTAAGCCGAGGCGACGTCGTGGGCCGCCCCGTTCAAAGGGAAGGGATGCCATGCCATGCCATGCGAAATGTGCCTTGTCGTGTCTACAAGAGAGATAGATCCGCATTGCATGCAGAGAGCTTGGATGATAAGTACAGGAGGTCGGTCTAGTGTCTCAATGAGCACATTCGTATGTACAAACAAGTAAACGCGGAAGGGGTTCCGCCATCGCACCACATCATACAATCAGACTCCATACGTGAATTTAGCACGGATCATCCGTTGGCATTCAAGGGGTTAGGGAGGGGGCCCTTCCGCGGCCTATTGTTTGTTCCTCGACAAGTGTGAAGAGTTTCGTACTTGTACATCCACTCGCCAGTGTGGTTGGTAAGACGATTGCGAAAATACTGGTCTGGACGAACTGAAAACAGCTAGCTAGCATCGACGGAGTTTGGCGCCAGACCACTTATCGCCTTGCTTGAGTCTCTTCTCCAGACTTCCCTTACTCCGGTATTATCCACAGAATAAGGCATGGGCAAGGGGCATGTGGCCAAACAAACACACAGGGATGTTTGCTGCTAGTTTCTGATGGTTCTAAGAGTATCTCCGAAAAGGAATTTTCTTCAGAAAACCAATAATGTAGACAAAAAGGTGTTTCTGCTCCGAGATAGGAGAAAGAGGACCACCGTGGTGGCCAAAGATACAGAAACTTACGAAAAGTCTCTCCCTCCTTGGCAACAGGATCCTACACAGAAAATACAACCTACTTCTCCAAAGACAGAGAGAGAGTTATGAAAATGAGGCTCGGCAGATCAGATAGTTGTCATGTATATACAAATATGCACAAAAAAAATGGTCTCTACGGTAAGGCTATCTTAGTGCCCAGAAGGAGAGAAAAACGCCTAGGTGTGGAGCTCGTACCTGCGGACTCTGTATGTATTTGTACGAGTGCCTTACGGTGAAAGGAAGTTTGGCGATATGCAAGAATATGGGGGCACTGTTGAGTCAAGAAATGCCCTTCACAACCACTAGTCATTGGCCGAACGAATCCCCAGCTTATATAAGTCAACAGGGGGGGTGTCGCTCAATTCCCTGAACGAGAGAACAATTCGAGAGCACCCTATTTCGGATAGAGCAGATGCCGGCTATGGGTTGCGACGCCGGCAGCAAATCGGTCACTTTTTTTTTTCTTCCCTCCATCCCAGGGTGCTACGGTACGACATTGACGACAGGCACCATAAAAACAAAGCCCGATCATCATGATGAACCAGGAAAGGGATGGGGATGGGCAGAGACAAACCCACCGGGCCGTTCCCTTAGCCCAGATACACACACCACAGCGACCCTTGACCTGCTGAAGGATAAGACGGAGCAGCCATTGGGAAAAGACACAGCAGGACGGGCCAGCGATTGGGTGCCGCGGCATGGTCGCTGATTTGTGTCATCTCGTCGTTGTGACTGTGTACATGTAGCAAAGGCAGCAAGATGCAGCACCGTAGTATCACTCGGCCTGCCTGTGCGACCGAGCTGCTGCCGGCTGCGCTCCGGACTCCAGACATGGCCCGTCCATCTTGCATGTCGGCGGGCCAATGTAGGTTGATTTAGAGGCCTGCGGCAAGGCCTGCTGTAAGTGCCCAGACGTGCATGCCAACGCACTTGGCGCATCCAGAGCAAATAGTGCAATGTGCTATTGGGTGCGTGGTGGGTGATGAGAGGCAGTGCGATGCTCAATCGGGCGTTTCTGCCGTTGTATTGGATGGCGATGAGCTGCACCAGGTGCATATTCGATCCAAATAGGAAATCCAGCATGACGGCATCCACCATATCATCATACCTGAGAGACCGGACCGTCGACAAATCGTCGTACGAGTACGACGGCGTCTTTTCAGGACAAGGCCCAGACAGGTCGAGGCCAAGATTCTCGCCCCTCCGTTGTTGCAACGACTCCAAATGGACAACATGTGGGAGACATATTGCATACTAGTAGGCCTATAGAAGTAGAACCGCAAGTATAGATGCAATATTTCAGTCTGTAGGATACCGCAGACAAGCCCTGATTGGTGTAAGCGCCTCAACGTGCGTGCATCTTTTCCCCCCCAACGTGCCGTCGCATTCGTTCGGCCCCTTTCGCGCTCTCCGATCGGTCCTGTCCATCAACAAGATGTTTCGGCAAGATAGGGCCCCCAAAGCAATGCATAACGCATCAAACCTATGGCAAAGAAGCGCCAGAACAAGAAGCGAACATTACCCGATTCCTATTCGCCTCTCCCCATCCAGATTGCCTCGATTCGGATTGCTGCCGCCGAAGTCATATCGCGAATTCAAGCCCCTTCCGGTCAAGCGCCCTCGCTCGCGCCTCTGGCCATCGCTCTCTGGGAAATCGCGGGCGGAAGCGAGCGCCTAGGCATGACTAAACCAGATGCCAGCATGGGCATGGCATGGGGCAATACCGTACCGTACTGTAGCACACAGTAGCATAGCACAGCAAGCTGTAGATTTGGGGGGGAATCTCAGCAAGGCGGGCGCATTTGTTCAGGGCCCAGGTTCACCTCGACAACCACACGTGGCCGTGCTTATTCCAAAATGCTTGGCCGCGTCGCTACGAGAGCGCCACGCCCATCATCTCCACTTACAAGACTCTCTCAAATCTTGCGCCAAAGAGACGATATCCACTGAAAAACAGAGGCAGTAGCCCCGTGGCTGTAGTCACCGTCAACCCGTCATTGACAGCGGCAAGCCCGTACAGTAGAGCAATTGTTATCCACCAGCAATGACGAGCACAATCTACTAGTAGTGCCAAAGTTAATTGCAGACAGTTGGCCGATTTGGTGCTTCGTAAGAGCTCTGCTTTGCGCCGAGTGTAAGACTTCGGGGAGGCGTTCAACGCCAAGCAAACCATGAGGCTATCCAAAGACCAAAGACTCGGGACAAGCAACACGCAAAGCTTCCCCCCTCCTTGCCATCAAACAACTGCCTCAGCACGCGCCCTCTCATCAGCCCCTTTATTTTGCGTCTGGAGGTGATTAGGCCTTCTCCCTGTATGGAATGCTGGCGTTGAAGCCGTCTTGCTGGGCACGAATCGCTCTGCCACTGGGGGGACCGTCCTCGCCAGCAATTCGCCTGCCCTACGAGGCGTCCCCCTCCCCTTCACACCCCCTGGCCACGATCCCCCGGCAACATCTTGACGCTAACGAGAGTGGTCGCCGACCACTTCTATTAAACGAGCCACAATTCCCCGTAGTTAAGCGTTAGTGCTAGTCGGGAGACGGACCCGAGCGCAGAGGGCCTAGCGGATGTCAGAAGCACATCCCTGGCTGGATATCACGCCGATTGCCGTCTGAGCATGTCTCGCCAGCCGCGCTAGGCAAGATGGCCCCCAAAAGACTAAACGCTGCAAAAATAGATGTGCTCAAAGCTTCTGATGGTGAGCGGCGCATGAATTTGCAATGTTTTGCGCTGAAACACCCCCGCTTCAAGACTCGAATATACTGTACGGTAGCCGTCCTTCTGTTCAAAGGGAGCAAGCGGGGGCAAATGCCACTCGTCCAATACAGACAGGCATCTGAAGGAATAGCCAGCGATCATCCCGTCCAGCCTAATGCTGTAAGTGCGAGCTCGCCAAAAGCTGCTTAGCGATGCGACTTTCTCCGCAGTAGCACCTGTCATCCGTACGTCAGATAGCCTTTCTTTGCGCCTGATGAAACCACCTACATCACATACTCAAGAGCCAAATCGCCCGTTTTCCACTTCAGACAGGCATGCATCGCATGAAGAATGCTAATAAACTCGCAACAGCATGCAAGTTAAAAAGGCCAGCTAGGTATTCCAGTACAGATGTTGGGTTGCATTGGGCCACTGCTAACAAGCACACTTGTTCACGCAAGCGGAAATCGAGTGTCAAGGGTATCGGAGAGCCAGGGGTGAATCTCGAAAAGGTTGGCTTTGCGAACGTAACGTAATTCTTCCGCCAGGGCCATTGGCATACATACTCGTACTGTATTTGAGTTAATGTTCCGTGCTCCGTACGGAGTCGGGCACGTTTCTGCTTGCGTGAGCCTCCCGAGTGAGGGCTGCAAAGAGGAACAGTAAGCATGGTCGCAATCTCATGTACTATCGCGATTTGTACCAGCCATTTCCCACCACGAGCCGTGAGGTCTCGAATCGAATCCTTTTGCTAGCATCAACCTAAAGCAAGCTTCCCTCAAGCCTAATGCATAAACCAAAAAGGCTTCCTAGGAGTCAGGTGGGAGCCCTGGATTTTGGTTCTCCGCCACAAGCCCTACGAAGCTAAGCGTTTCCAGCCGGCTGGGACGGATAAGCGCCGCCTCGAGGCATTCGTTTCTCTGATCACGACCTACCGGCAGATTGGTACGCCTCGTCCTACGTGGACCAGTCTCGAACGAGAGCTGACGGCGCTTTGGACGTTGGTTTTCTAGCTCGACAGGGCGAGATTGGGAATGTATGCATGCATAGTACAAGCCTCTTTAGCTCTCGACTTTGGCTTCTCCGCGCTGTCAACACAGGCCGTGCCCGACCCATGAAATATAGGCCTTGCCGTGCCACGGCTTAAAGGGTGGGTGTATGTAGTTCTAGCCTTACCAGGGCTCAACGTTGGGACGAGAAGCAAAGACAGCACCAGCCGTTCCTGTGCAAATGTGCTGCCCATACCATGCCACCTCCTGAGTTTGACTGCAGTGAGCACTTAATTGCGCAAGCTAGACCACGCTCCTGGGACAGCAACTCGGCTACAAGATCTGCCTCACTGTTGTATCTGCCGCTGCAAGGGAACTATGCAACTCCTGTGTTAGCGGCGCTTGCTAGTCATAGTGATGCTGCAAGTTGTCTTGAGAACCCTATAAACTCATGTGCCCATGTTGTTAATGCAGTTAGCGGTTCGTACTTTGTTGGTCCTTCCCAAGAGGCTGCCTCGTAAACTTAAAGTTGTGCTGGCAGAATTCAACGTCAAGCATTCCGGTTTCATGGACAACTATATCGACGTCAGCGTCATTCCCAGCCCGTCGGTTTCTGTCATTGTCCTGTTGCCAATTTTGGCTCGCCATGTCCCGTCTTTTGCTTTCCTTTTTCTTCAGCTTCTCGTGGTTATCTGGAATGAGAGCAGGGATGCTAGCAAGACCCCCCTCCATAGTACCGGGTTTGCGTGGCGTGGCGGTCTGCCGGTGGCTTTCAACGTCAGGCTTGAAACCTAGGATGCATCTGGATTAGCTGAGGGAGCTCTCCCGTAGCTCTGTATTTGGCCACCACCGGTGGCTTGAAAGTATCCTGAAAGAGCAATTTTGCGCATATGGCCAATAGCTGGTCAATGCAGAGCCGCCGGTGGCCGTCAAGCAAAATATGGCGCAACGCCATTGAGGGGTTCTGCCGCCATGATAGAGCAAATGGTAGCCGCCCTTGCGTCTCCGTAATTGTCTCATGCACAGAGGACTACTACTAACACATCCTACTATGTACATACTCTGAGCACAAGCCCAGTGCCGGCCATCTCCACTCTTCACATGCCTGTGACAAGCAGGCCCTGCGAAAACTTTCGTGGGGTTAAGAACGAAAATACGGACTGGCCAATCAGAGGCCAGGGTAGGGGTCGTAGCATAATGAGCTCTCCAGACAGCCCAAAACGAGCCAAATCAAATCTCATCTCATCCATGCGATGCAGCTGCTGGCCGCTGCACTTCAGCCCAACATCTGGCACATTCGAGCAGGAAACCACTAATTTCGCTCTCCCGACAATTTTTAGCTGCGATATGCTACAGGGCGAAGGGGGCGCAGGAAAGGCGGTACAAAGTCGATCGGTGACTGGTGCTAGCTTACAGTAGTGAAGCGCATGAACCTGTGTATGCACTAACTACTGTAGTCGACGATCAGGATCACGATCCCAACGTGGGCATGCAATTTATCGTAAACTCTGCAAGTGTGTGCAAGCGGTAGTGGCGGTGTGGCTGACTGGCTGTATCTGTATCGACGTCTTTCAATACAGCACGAGAATCTTTGCCAGGCTGTATGTTGATACGGGCAGCAACCCGTGCCCGATCACCGAAAAGGATGATGCAGGGCTTCCTTCTTTCCTTCTTCTTTTGGCCCTGGAATCGCTGGTGACTTGCTGTCGATCTCATCATGGTCCTTGATCCTGGCGGTTAGTCAGCTCGGCGAACCGAGTGCTTGGGCTACCGGATTGCCGGGGCTGCCAGGGTGTGGGAACAGAGAATTGTGGGCTTCGGCAAAGGGAGCTTCGAAACGCCATCCATATCTGTACACCTCTTTGCTGCTAGGGAGCTGCCAAGTTGCCTCATCCCAGCGCTGCAGAACGTCCACACGCCCCCCTTTTCTCATTGCCCTCGTCTGGACATTCTTGTAGCATGTGCTGGTAGCGTCCCGGCAGCCTCCCACTTCCCTAGCACCCTTGCGCCGTTCCGCGACATGCTTAACGGAGAGAGATCCCTGACGGCGCCTATTTGGAGTAGTGGCAGTAGATGTTGCCAACGATGGTCAATATATCGCGCCATAACACCGCATTCGGCAAGCCATGATAGCCTCTATCACAACGTCGAGCTATTGAGATTCTTGATATTCATTCCAACGGCGCTATTGATTTCGTGCTTTGTAGTCGGGATAAGATTGCTGTCTCCGTAACTTATCGATGTGATTAGCCTCGTGTCATGCATGATAGAGGCTTGCAACAAATCATCATCATCACATCTCCATTACGGCTCTAGAACCATGGAGTTTTCGCACCCCGCCAGAAGGGAGAAGGTAAGAAGCCGAAGAGAAGGCGCCAATAGCAAATAGTACCAGCAACTGGTTGGGGGCCAAAAAATGCTCAACTGGGAGACCAACGGGAGAGGGAAACACTTTGACGCTTCAACTTTAGGGTAGCTGGCCGGAAAGCAGCCTGCTAAGACCCGTCTCTGCCTCGGCGTGGGCCTGGGATAACATTGTTGACTTGTTTGCTAGCCCACCTACTGCATGGTTGGTAGGCAGTGTCGTGAAATGGCTGTCAAGACAATACCACAACTAGCTGAGGGCTTGCAACAGCGCTTGCGCAGTTCTCGAACCATGCAGTATATCACGTCTCTTTAGTTGAGCATCCGTAAACTTGAAGAGAATAGGTACCCCATACATACATAGTACAGAGTGAATGACCACCTGTTGAGCCACACAGCTTGTGAGACATGTGAGTAACTAGCAGTGGCATTGCCACGGACCTGAATACCTTTTTTTCTACAGCCTCGATTTGGGCAAGATGCCGCTCAAGCATGCCACGTTTCCCACCCCTTCGGACTGAGACAGGAGGGCAGCTTCAACTTGAGATCCGACGGGCACGTTGTGTAGGATCATCAAGAAGCGCGGAAGAGTGCGGAACGACGACGGTTGGCCGATAAGATGGGGAGAAGAAGCTGCAGCACTGTAGGATTTCCCCATGTGCGCTGGACGTATAGGCACAGCAACAGGTCCCACTGCTGCAAAGAAACGAGAGAGGTCCGACGAGTGGGTGTGGCGCTGCACTGCACTGCACTGCGCTGCCGTCTCGTCTCGTCTCTTGTCTGCGAGCCATCGGAGGCTTCTCTGCAGCAGCGTCAGTTGTCCATGGAGGGCCAGAACTCTACACGTCCCGACCACCTACAATTTCGTCCTAGGCGTGTAAATCTATTTTTACGACCTGCAAGAGAGGCCAAGACGCCTCGCGCCCCGTCTCAAGCCAGGCGACTCTTCATCGCCCAGTGACGCTCGCGCGCGCCTCGTGTCGGTAGAAGGCTGTGGTTAGCTGTATTCTGGATGCTCTAATTGGCGACCGAACACGACTGAGGCGACACAGGCGACGGTCGCCTACCTACAGTGCCGTCATACCCCAAGATCTCTGGAAGGCAGCGATGCATGCATCTTCCCCTCGGCTGCTAGCGTTGCCGGAGTGCTACAGGCATACTGCGCTGTGTCGCAGCATTGAATAACGTGTGACTAACCCGGCGAAGGGCCTCCTCCCGACCAGGCTCTCTACTCTACTGCCAGGTAGTGAAGGTCCTCATCCGCGTGGAGAACGACTCCGAGATCGAAGACGGGGGATGGCAGAATGACTCTCGGAGGACTGTCAAGGCGGCTAGCCTCTTTTTTTCTTCGCTTTCGCGCAAAAGACAGAGACCCAAAACAGAAGCCCTTTTCGGCTAACTTTGAATAGCAAAGCGAAGCGAATAAGCATGTGACCGGGCTCAACGGCGCGCTCTCATTGGTCAAAGTGCGAGATCCGGAGCACGGGCCAATCAGACCGTTGCTCAGTATATTTTGCACGTACCAAGAGACTTCAGTCACTCGTAGCTCGGCCAATCACACGGCAGTGCCGACGGCTCCAGTTTCCTGCTAGGGAGAATGTCTCAGAATGAAGAATCAGAAAGCCTCTTGCCCCCCTTACCGCGACGGGATTAGTGTACGAGGTGCAGGGCTGTTGCGACTTGCATCTGACGAAAGTCGCTAGAAGCACAAACTCATTTCGGAGCACAGCGATGGATGGCTCTCTATTGATTATTACCCGAAACCCGAAGCGGGCGCGCGTTGCGAAACGGCACTTGAGTGGCTGTCTCTAATGAGTGTCTCCAATGAGAAAAAGGCCCGTGTTTCGTCGCCGTTTCCTGGGCGAGGCTGCCCCTGAAACAAAACGTCCAACTTACACGACGTCGACGTACACAGCCTGCGCAATGAGACAGACGGTGACCTCATTGGAAGGCATTCATTCTATAGGCCGTATATTTCGTAATTGGCGGAGATTTCTTCGAAAAGGGGTCCGATAAGAACCTTGAAAGCACTGCCATTGATGTGGTAATGATGGGCATTGCCGGTTCCCATTCTGGAAGTGCCTGCTGCAGCGTTGCTGTCATAGGCAAGGGTGGAGACGCTCTGATGTTGATGGACAAATACGGAGCATGCCGGTCGCCAGGCCAGGATACAGTATGGAATACAAGATGCTATTACGGAGCCTTCCGTTTGGTTGCGTACATCTACGGGTATTGCTCTCAATCTCAATAGCCGGCTCCGTAGTCTACGAGCATGTCCAGGTAGAATTAACGAGTGACATCCTGGGGCTTCCGTATGCAGAAATGCTGGCGCAAGGATCGTACTGTGTATACGATATACGAGCAGTGGCCGACAGGCATGTAAAACAAAAGTATGCGAGCATCGTCTATCCTCGAAGAAACTGAGGTCCTATCCTGGACTTTGGTCTGATACCTGCTTGATGATACTTCGAACCACACATCGAAGTGGAGGGCATGATGCCTAGTAGCATTCTGCCGAGGGACGAAACGGGAAATTGTACTGTAGGCCAATCAAGTCGGGAAGTGGGCGCTCAAATGTCGTTGTCGGCCATTCCGGTTTCCGTAAACACTCAACTGAGATGCCTTCCCTTATTACGGTGCAGGTTGTCAATACGGGACGGCCGTGATGGTGTTTTTGACTTGTTAGACAGGTCTCGGGGTATTGCGTGCCTACCACTGCAACGCAACTCGCACATCATATCAATCCGCATAAAGGTGCGGCCCTTGAGTCGTGTAACCACGTTGGGTTATCATCTTTGTTTTCCTTGAATCTGTTTGCTGATTTGTTGTGAAACTAGCTGAACTGCAAATGCGACTCTGACATATATGCGTATGGCAACCTCGTACAAGCCGCAACTGCAGAAGCACTGACAATGCTCCGAGGGTCACCCATGTTAATGGCAGCTACAAACATGACTATGTACTCCTTCACCGGTATTGTAGAAGCATTGCTGAGCGAGGGCTTCGGAGGCTGGCATGATATCACAGAGCAGGTAGTAGTAGGGTGACATCCTGCCCAATATACTCCGTACAGGAGCCAACCTTGAGTGCGTAGTAGGGCATCCTGGCCGCGCTTTGCAGAGTTGATGCAAATATTGTTCAGGAGGAGAAGCTAATGCCGAGCGCACATGTATGCCTGTAGAAAGCACAGCAATCTTTCTTCTTCCCTTCCCTTTTCAGCCTCAAACAGGCATGGGACAGAGTAACAGGCATGTTGGTTGGCAATTTGGCAGCGCATGCTCGTACAGTATGAGATACTGCAGGCATCTACGGAGCAGCATGCTGTGTATGGCAGCGAAAGCAAGGAGAGCGGAGTAGAGCAGAGCAGGGTCGACATTGGTGGGGCTCCGCAGAAACGAAAGACTTCGGGAGGATGCGATCGCACTGATTACCGCATTCGATCAGAAAGCGATACGTATCCCTGAGCCGCGAAGAATCAAGAGGGACGGGACATGAAGCTCCAATAGGCGCTCGAAGGCCGGGGGGGGACTCAACCACCCACGGCCAGATGCCAGGGTGAGATAGAGATGACAGCCCAGGGCGTGGCCTCGTGGACAGAGATTGCGGATGGCACGCTGTGTGGCCGGGACCCTGACGAGATTGGCGTGCCGGCAAGATGGGCCTTGGACGGGACTGAGGATGAACGTCAGGGATTCAGCCAAAGTAGGGAGAAGGGTGGTGAGGGGGTGCGAGTATCGGCCACGTCGTTGGAGTTGATAATTGCACTCCCACGGCCATCTAAGCCAACTCCCCTCATGGTCCGGCTAACCTCATCGCGTATGTCTATACATATACTGTACAAGTATGATTGGGCGAAGGTGACAGCCAGCACAAGAGCAAAGCCGTGCATAGGTCTAGCTTTCTGCTCAGCCCTACAGCGCAACGCTTGAAGCAGCAAGCCAAAAGCCATTCCAACAGCACTTTCCAGATAGGGTTTCCTGGCGGCAGCGCCGGCGAAGGGGCTTCAGGACGAAGTGCCGTGTTAGACGCAGCCACAATACCGATTGAGAGCGACGCGACGCAGGCCGAAGCCACTCTAATCTAAATCCAGTTCTCCATACGTCTCCAGTCCCCCGATGTGAGTGATGTCTGAACCATTTTGACGGGCGGGGCCCCCAAAAACGTGTTACAAGACAAAGGCCACAAACCCTGCGTATGGCGTGTGTGAGTGAGGGTGAGTGAGGGCGCCTCTTCGCCCCTGAGCTACTGTATGCAATTCCCACGAGGACCAGCTAAAGCAATAGCCAACAGCAGATGATGGCAGCTGTGATGTGCCCCCCCCTGGAGGTAGGGGAGGAGGAGAAAGACAAGAGGAGAAAAAGAAAACAAATCCAACAGGATGGGTCGGAGGGCGACAACTTGAGTCCATGATCCCGGGTCAGGTCAATCAACGGGCGTGGCACCCTTGTCGAACATGATGTGCGCTTATTCCTTTCCCTCGAACCAACGGTGCTCCTCGATTGGCTGCGTCGTATGTCGTCGAGCCTGAGGTCGCACGGATGACAAGGTTTCTTGGTTTGCGCTCCCGTGCTTACTGGCATGGGGGGGCATTTTTTGGCAGGACAAAGAGACTATCTCCAACTTAAAGCTGCTGCCAGCCGGCGCTCGGATGAACATCACGTCACAGCGTTGGCGCCTTGCTTACATAACGCAGACGTTGACTCAGTCCGCAAGCCACCAGGGCAAGTTTATGACTGGGCAGATCTATGATAGCGAATGGTGCTTACTTGTTGAGAAAAGTCCTTTTCTTTTTTTCCACCCATCTGGCTTGATCGCTAAAGAACCAAAATAGGCAGCCAGCACGGTCTATTTCCAGCATTGATATAATGCGCATAGCATCCAGCAACAAGATCGTACTATTGCTGCTATCTTCTATGTTAGTGTTCCTAGCTCTGGCGAGTGTGCCTCGAGCTGCACGCCAAGATCCAGCTAAACAGAGCGCTAAGTACCAAATCGACGGGCCAGAAACAACCTGCCGCCAGTAGCGAAAGCCCAAAATCGGGACAGAGGGGGCGTGATGCGACGGAGGACGAAAAGTACGCCAAAGTTCATTTCTAAAAGACGGGCCAAAACGAGATACGTAATCAGAAGACGCCAGGATACAATGTATGCCAGTACCGGGTGATCAGTGATCAGTTTCTGAGAATATCCATAGCAGATAGACTTTGATGTTTTCCCTCTTTTGGCCGTCCCGGCCGGTATGGGGGCATGGAGTCCAAGGTCCGGGGACTACGAGAGTATAATTCATCAAATGACATTTGTTCCCAACTTTCCACTGTTTCACCGGTCCACCGTTTCACCGCATACCAGTCATTACCAAGAGGACAGAAATAGGGGATTCATTCCAGTCTTTAGGTCCCATCTTGCTGGGACTGCCATGTGTGCAGCCTGGAACTGGGCTTGCGCAGGTTCGTAGGGCTGAGCATGCCAATGAATTACATTCCTCACCGCCAGCCTCCGTCCTACTAGATACAGACACAGCCGCTAAGAAAGAAAAAAAAAAAAAAAGAGGGAGCCTCAAAAGACGGCAGCGCCAGTGGCGCTTGATCGGACCTCGACGCCGATAGCTAACCTGGGCGCAGCGTCGAGCTCTAAGTGAAGGGTGGGTGGATGGGTGGCATGATCAAGCAAAGTCTGGTCCATCTGTATACCAGTAGTGCCTACAGGTACATGTGGAAGCGATACTGCAAAGTAATCACGAGAACAGCCAAGAGTGTCGGGAATCCTCTCCAGAGCGCTGCGAGCACAATCTTGTCCTTGGCCCAACTGCCTGCTATTCCAGCAAACTAGGGCTCCAGGACTGTCGCGACTGAGATGCGCTCCTTTCCGCACAGATACGGAGGCCCGGAGTAGCTAATCTGTATCTACTTCTTATTCGGCACGCTCAATCCCTGACGGCAGTCTGGCCCACCCAATACTTTCCAGTCCGAGCAGCATCCACAGCTTGGAGCTTCGAAGGATCAAGTTCATTCGCAAACCCACTGCGCCCCACACACATTCCGGATAAGCTGCGGCAAAATCGATGCGACGGTCCTCTCGGTCCCGACCAGCTGGTTTGGTCTCCGAGGAACCGCGCGGTACGTACCTCGTCACAGCTTAAGCTTCTGACACAAGCAATAGGCCGTGTCTCATCAGCAAAATATCCTTCAACGGCAGGCAAGCCAACGCCCGTTTCTGTCCTCCCGATTATTATTGTTACTGTCCTGCGCTTAGGAATCTTTTTCTTTTTTGGCCTCGCGGCGAACAGGGGGTCCGGGGGGCAAGGATGCGGGATGCAACAGTACATGTACATACTGTACTGTTATAAGCACCTGTTGCAGGTCTGGAGGCTGCAGCATTGCGTGCCGGCTGTCGCTACTTCGCCCAATGCATGGAAGCCATTCGCCATCCTGACCTGACCTGGCGTGTGCTTTTTGCAGAGTGCAGAGTGCATAAGGTGCGCCGTGGCTTTTTCCAACCGGGGCGCGGATGATTTACCCAGCAATCCGGTGTTGCACGGACGGTTTGGGGGCCAACTCTGCCTTTTCTTTGAAAAGTGGACTCAACTCTAGGCTATGGCGCATGGCGCTTCTGACGAACGAAAGGGAGCTTGGCCTAGGGCGCGATCCACCTGAAGCCATGTGTCGCCAAGGTGGATGGGAAAACAGGCGGTGGGTGTGAAGGCAGCAGGAGGAGGAGAGCAAGATGTGGGCTGGCATAAGTGGCACCACTCTTGCTATGCCCAAGCTTCTTTTTAAGTAAGTAGACTACTACAATCTAGTCTAACATCTACAGTATGGCCTCGTCTAATGGCTTTGATGTGATGCATCATGTGTGCAGTTCTGCATTGAAAGCCACACTGCACCGCCCATCCAGTGTTGCTGCAGAGGCACTGCTGCGGCAGGCATTTCTGGCCAATCAGCGAGGGGTATCTGCCGTTTTCGTCCCAAAGAGGCATTCCCTAGGAGAAACATGAGCTGCCAAAGTGGGGCCTGGGTATAACTTCTTTATGCTTGTTCATAATAGTAGCGATTGGTTATGAATAAAGAGAATGAAACAATAAAGCCGCTCTTCTCTCTCTCTTTTGTCAATAGCACCAATAGTTATTTTGATGACGTTAATCATCAACGCACGCGTATAAAGTACTGTTTTAAATAGCACGTCGCGCCCTTTCACATGCTACTACGGGGGGCGCATGTTTATGAGGTAATACGCACTTTGTAGCAAACTATACAAGAATGTGAGCGTGAGTGCGCGGCATGCACGTCAGCAGTTTTCCTGCGTCTTGGGGGACTCTGGGCCTCTCGTGTCTGGAAAAGACCACTAACAATTTACCAACACACAGAGGCCAGGGGAAAAATAAGAATGAAGCTCAAAAAGCTTGGCATGCAAAACGCATCTTGGTTTCTCTACACAAAACCTTACCCTCCGTTGTCATCTAATTTCCACATAAGGAATGTTTCCTTTCTTCTCGACAAGCTAAACTAATGGGATGAGATCTTCGTCCCAAGAATATTAAATTGGCCATGGCATTCTTTCGTCGTTTCTCGCCCAATCTCTCTTACCAGGTTCCACGACAAGGTACATGTAAATTTTGGCGCTGCGCCTCCACCCGCTGTCTCGGGCCACCCGGCTGTCGCTGGCAAAAACGAAAATGAAAAGCCCCCATTCCCCGCGTGGTAAAGCCAAGAAAACGAAGCGTGGAAAAAGCGAGATGAAAGGAAAGTCAGAAACTATAAAACGGTTTACGCCACATGGGATCTAGACGACTAAGGATGAGAAGGGGACCGTGCAGTGCGCCATGAAAGGCGGTGGCTTTGAGACACGCTGGAGATGGAGGGGCAGCCCAGGATAGGATTTCGTTAGGGACCACCCCTCAGAGCCTAGACTTCGTAACGAGAACCTGTAGAGAGCCAACAAAGTAGTCATCCGGCCAGAAAAAAAGGAATGTAAATAGCATTACATGCTTTGACGAGATGATGAATCCGTACGAAGTGAGGGGGAATTATTAGTGTAAGATGAGAGTTGAAAACTAAAGCCACAGGGTAGTATCGACTATATCCTGCCAGCAGATCGTTAGTATGTATCACCATGATGACAGCATATAGACTATCTCTACTACTGTCTTCTTCAAGCAAGCTGGGGGCCAAAAAAAAAACCATCAACAACGAAACGAAAAAGAAGAAAGAAAAGAAAAGAACGCACAAGATCTAGAACTCGTCAAGGGCTTCGGACGCCATGCTGCTTTCAACTCCATTTCGCGCGCGTAACCCCAATATATTGGCATGAAACTGCGCACAATGCCCAGCTGAAGGTCTGAGCGAGACACGTTAAAAAAAAAAAAAAACACAAGGCTGATTCCTATAACGCTTAGGTAGAAAGACAGAGTGCTACTATATGGCACGCCCATGTCACTTCTGCGCGGTCCGGCATTACAAGTCATTGAACTGTTTGGGAATAGCTAGGAGCATCATATGCCATGGGTAAGAGAAGGGGGTATAAGAAAAAAAAAACGATAGACAGAGCATGGACCATTCATTACAGAGTTGCAGCATGGCATGGCATGGCATGTCTTTGTCTCATACACAAGGGGAGCCCTCCGAGACACTGCAGCACTAGAAGGCAAGAAAATAGATTGCTTCAACAATCCATCTCTCAATCAAAACAGATTCTAAGCAAGGGTCCCCCCTAGCACGCAAAGGGCCAAGCTTTTCCAAAAACCAGAAATCTCGCCTATACCGCTTTAGGCCTTCCCCCCTCCCTCCTAACCCCTCCCCACCAGGCGGGAAAAAAAAAAAGAGTTTGGGGGATGGGATGGATGACAGCACTATCTTTGTCGATTCGCGCCTTTCCTAAACGGGCTCGATTTCGCGCCGCATCCTTGCACAGCGTCACGTTTTTAAACCCTTGTGCGCTAAATCTTCGAAATACTACAGCAGTGGGGGTGTTTCTCATCATTCAATCTCCAATCCCACCGCACCGTACCGCGCGCGCACAGGGATTTGGAAAAGACATCAGCAGCAAGGTTTCGAGTCCGAAACCAGAAAAAAGGAAAGAAAATAGTAGCCGAAAAAACTTTCCAATAAGACTCTTACCGTATGACCCTTGTGAAAATCGGGGGGAGTGTGAGCAAAACGTGGCCGGGGTTGAACATACATACAGCCAAAGCGCGGTGCGTATTTTATGGGGCGCAGAGCCTCGCTCGACTGCTTCCTGTTTCTGCCTGTGGGTATTGTATTGAGACTAGAAGAACGACCTAGCATCATGGAGCTCATGGTGCTACCCTTCGTTAATTCTCTCTCTCTCTCCTCTTCTTGTTTTGCCTCATTCAATCCTTTATCCCCAGACCGCGGAGCAGGCAGGCATTTGGTATGTACAACTGAGCACACAGCTTTCTCGCAACTCCGCATAGACACACGCCCATGTAAGCCCGGCTCGATTATCTTGCTCGTTGTTCCTGCTTTCCACCTCGTGTGCTCTGTCTAGGGGTCTGGCCTGATCTTATCGCCCCGATGCCCCTCCCCTTTTTTCTTGCTTTCTGATATGCCTGGGCTGGGGGCTTGTCTGCCTACCGGCAGACGTCCTAGAAACGGATTCGAGGTCCATTCGATAGCTTCGAAAGAAAAAAAAGGGAGGGGGTGGTGGCAATGAAGCTGCTTGTTGTTGTGATTATGCCTCAGCTTGCAGGGTGGTCAAAGGATGACGGCGAAGGAGCTGAGTCTATTACCTGCTGGAATTGACGACTGATTGATGCCTGTTGTTGATGCTTGGAGTCACTCGTATATCTCGTACCTCGTGCTGTTGCCTCTTATTTCGCGTGGTGTAAGTCCGCAAAACAGCATTTAGTCTGTAGGCCAGAAGTACATGCGCCGCGCATACAAACCAGCACCAAACAGCAAGTACCTAGCCACGGTCTTAGTCAGTCGCCCTTCTAGCGCTACCCATCCAATCCAATCCGGCCCCCATATCCCTGTCCCCTTTAATTTATCCAAAGCCCATCTACCGTCGATGCTAGTGCGGAAAGTTTGCATTGGCTAGGGCGGAATCGATCTTTGCTCAGTTCTCGCATCTCGTCGTATCATTCACCGTGGGGTACATTGCTCATGTACCTTTTTACCGTCTGGGCATAGCGCCCTGTCTGCACTTGGAACCAACAGAAGAAAGAAGCTTGCAGCAGAGTCATGAATCTTGTTGCTTTTACTTTACTCCCTTGTCGAAAATGAGCAGAGGAGTCAAAGTGGCATTGCAGGTGTGTTTCGGCCGTGTTGGTGGCTCCTCTCAAGGTCGGCGAACTCTTTAATTACCATTTTTTCTTCTGTCTCTTTTGCTGGTGCTGTTGGTTCCAATTGATTGGTTTCCTTTTTTGCTGTTCGGAACAAGAGAGGGGCTCACCTTACAAAGCAGAGACCGATACATACAAGTATAACGTCTTTCTTGCGGAATAAAGGCCGTTGGATGTCTTGAGGCTAAAAATACATGTCTTATTTCCGAGATTTTTCTATAATGTCTCGCGGTCTTAACCGCGCGAGCAAAGAGCGAGAGTTGTTGGACGGGAGGCGTATAATGAATGGGGGCTCTAGGAAAACGGGGCTTGCCGGCAACTACATGTACCTATCGACGGGTTCTCAGAGCATGTCTCGCGAGTAAAGGCGTTGGCTCGCCTTGCTTTCAATCCGAGTCCGTCGATAAAGTGAATCCTTCTGCTTACATGCTTAGGCATGCTGCTCGTCGCACATGGTAAACGCCTTGTGAGCCCTACCTGACCGACGTTGACGCACATCCCAAATGGTCACCGGTTGCCATTCCGTCGCGGCTCATGCTGTGCGCCGTCTGATAAATTCCGTCCTCTGAGCCGGGCCCAGACGAATTGCCGGATTGGGCCTGCACGTCATTGCCTGGCTGGAGCTCTGCGGCAGCCTTTGAGCTCTTGGAGGACCCTCTTTCGCGGTCCCGCTCCGCACCCCCTGGTTCAATATCAAGTATCCCACGTTGTAAATTGCGTGTTAACATCAACCAACACCTTTTACTGTACCTCGGAACACCCGTGGTACGTATAATGCTGCTACCGGGCGAAGGTAGATATATATATATATATATATATATATATATCGATGTACAAACAGCATTTCAGCATCCCTTTGTATCTTTACCCTGTTGGCCCTGTTACCTTACCTTAGCAGCAGTAGATACTTAGGTACGCAGTCTGCTAGTATATAGTGGCAACTTGTAAGGGCGCTTGCTCCGACTAGGCACTGTACTCGTACCTTCGCGTGTAAGACCAAATAAAGACCAGATCGCTGGCTGTGCGCGCACCCGTCGGAGCCGGCGCACTAACTCAACCGCCCGGTTTTCCAGACCGGATCCGAAGCTGTCATTGGCCAACTTTGTGTGTGGGCGTGTGCATGCAGGGGTGAGGAAGATGGAATTGAATCTGGCATATGGTAGCACCTGTGCCTATTAGCAGCGGCAGTAGAGCAGCATTCCTAAGCGTATATACTGTAGCAATATGGTGTTGTTACTTGAGTTGACATTTCGGTTCTCCCTCTTTTCTGCCCTCCCCCCCTGGTTGCTGTTGCTCCTGGCTTTCTCTTATTGTCGTTGCTGTTGCTGCCTTGTCCTTGCAATTGGCTCGTATATCTCTCGCTCTCCTGTGTTGCCCACGCACGTCCCGAAATAGCAGCAATGGATCATGATCGAGGGGTAAAGTACGTAGTACCGCCTACCTTGCTTCCTTCGCGCAAATGCGTCTGTGCCGACGCGCGATTGGATAGGTTTCACAAAATATGCAATGAATGCATGGCGGGCGAGACAGCGTCTGCATGGTACAGGGTGCATCCAACAGCTGGTTTCTGCTCCTGGTTTGCTTTCCGCCAGCCCCAGACCCCTGGCCTGGTAGAAAAGCATTGATCTCAGTACCTATTTATCCACTATCGAAGCTGTATACAGCAACCTGCCTTCTGCTCCATTCCGCGGTCCGGGACAAATGCAGAGACGAACTTATTGGGACAGAGGGCGCGCGCGCATACTGTACATGTATTTCGAAGCCCGCGGGCCTTGTCCTGGCACCAACATGAAGCGGAGAACATTCAAGGCAGGAGGAGCGCTGTAGCCCACTCTGTTGTAAGGTGTATATTGCCCAGCAGGTACTCGTACTCCGTCATGGTAGCATTGCTCCATAGCGACGGTGGTACTCCATACCTATGCCGAAGCACTCTCAAATTGCTTACTATAGAGGCTGTTGAGAGCAGGCATCTACACCAAAGCGAGAGCGAGATCATAGGATGAATAGGTAGGTACCTGTATGCAATAGGATGAGAAAGCTTCCGGGTTGCTTAGGGGGGGGGGGGGCTGCAGTTAGATTCTGACCAAACTCCACCTGGTAGGCACTGTATCTGCCTTGCGCCCATCTCTCTCATGGGACAGAGCCGATCCGCTGTTGGCCAAGCCAGATTTCCGCATCCTCTGGGCTCCGTACGGAGTGCCGTGCCTCATTATCGATCTGTCGCAACGGGATTGGCCTGGGCTACGAGAGCCCGCCGTAATTCTCCGTGGCCTTGAGCGAACCCCTCGATCTGGTGTAAGATGTGCGTCAAGGTACGGTAATGACCGCTGCGATAATATCCTTATTTGAGCGGCTCCTCCTGTTCCTTTATTTCATCTGCGTCACGGGAGCATCTAAAGAATAGGTATGGATTGTGGGCATGGGCACATGATATGTGATTCCCATCTTCGCTGCTCTGTCGTATGCCTATGTAGTTCCATTCTGTATGTGGCATTACTGTATGTAGACGTCGTGCAAGTTGTTAGCTGGTCTGGCCCCTCTCCTCCCACACGCCGGAGGGCTTGTAAGCCACATGCATCCAATGATTGCCTCTGCGCATGCCGCGAGAAAGCCTCAGCCCACAACGACAAGCACGCCAGAGCAGTTTTCAGACAGGGCGCTGCAGGCACCGGAGGCAGGCACAGCATCAAATCACGGTCCGCTCCATCTTCTAAAACTTGCTTTCCTGGGGCTCTTGTGGGGGCCAAAGCAGACAACGTTGTCCATCTCTCTTCTGCTCTCGCCTGAGTGTTTTGGACACAACCTCATGGCTTCGCTTAGCGGACCTGGTCCCCTTGCCGTGGCCACTCCGGCACTCCCACGCGCCCTTGAAAGGGCTTGTGGCAGCCGTTTCCATCTAGTTCAGCCCGGAAGTCGACGTTCAAGCACGCACATCCATATCCTGGAAAGACGTGATGGTGATGGGCACTTCGTTCAGCCTCGCACGAAACCAGAGGGCTTCCGTAAAGCACCTAGCACTGGCGATAGAGTCATCAAACTCACCCACGCTCAGCGCTGCTTATACCCTGCCAGAGCCCTTGTCTGACCCCCCTGGACGAGCGCCGCGTACCTGGGACAGAAGCTGAGAAAGATCCTACTTGTAAGCCAGCTCGCATTAAACACGCCAATCCCATATACAGAGAGCAAAAGCAAAAAAGAAAAAAAGAAAAAGGCAAAAAAGAGTGTGTGATGAAGGTCCAGATAGGGACCGGGGGCAAGCAATCCTGTACCTGGTTACCAGCAGCGCCACGAAAACTTGGGGGCGCTGCAGGTAGCGCTACCTGCCCCATTAGCCGCTCTTGAAGCTTCTGACAGCAACTGGCAGGGTCGCAGGCAGGCTGGCTGGCACCCGGAGCGCGGCCCAAATCGACGCCGAGGTGGCCGGATTTGTCCACTGGCAGGTGGCTGCCGACAGCGCAGGTGGTGACGGCAAGGCCTGAGGAGGTCGCGCCAGGCCCGATGCGGCGCCAATCTCAGCAGCCAGCCGGTACGTACAGCGATTCTTGCTCTTGCCCAGGCCAGGATGGGGATGGCAGCCTGGCTCCATCGCACTTGCCTGGGAATGAGCATGGGTATCGGGCTTTGAGATAGCTCCACGCCTTCGGTCTCTGCTGTGCACACACCTAGCGCCCATCTCACCCCTCTGCAAGTGATATCGACACGGCCAGCAGTCTAAAAGCTACTCGTACTTTTTTTTACATGCTTTTTTTTTTTCAAGCCTCCCACCAGGCCTGGCCTGGAAGCATCACCACCCCCCTTTCAAATGACTGATCCATGCTCCTTTTCGTGCTTCTTCGCTCCTCGTTCTCTTCACCCCACTCTGCTTCCACCGGTAGACAGGACTGGCTACACACCCCCCCTTCTCGCCCATGATGAAAGACCAAGACCAAGAACCACCACCTAATACCGTCCCGACAAGAGGCGGCTGTTGGCTGGCTTGACCAGGGTCCCTCCTCGAAGGGGCTTTGCCATTGCGTGAATCGAACCTGATGGTGGTCCCAGACACCCTGGACGAGGCGGCGCCTCTGCCCTACCATGCCATGCCATGCCATGTAACTCGCGGCGCGGTACCTTGAGATGTACGAGCGCTAGTATGAACCGCTGCGTACCTGGTGGTCCCGCGGACTGCATCTTGGTTTGATGGACGATCCGAACTGACCCCAGTAACCCACGATATACGCCGTGGCTATATCTTTGTCGGTAGCCCCCAACATCTCCAACCGAGCTTCTGGTGCCAGACTATCCCAAGCAAGCATACAATTAGAGCTTGATCTCCATCATTATATATCCCCTCTCTGCCCTCGCAAGATCCAATTGTCTGCCTACCACGAACCCCATCTGCATCCATCTGCATCTACAGCAAAGCAACCCACAACGGACCCTCGTTTTACCACCAACGCTGCCGCCACCATCTGCCATTGCATCTCATCGTACCGCATCTTCACTTTGCGCTCAAAGCTCCGCCGTTCTTTTTTTTGCGCCAGACCGTTGAAAAAGAACTACCGTCAACGCAACTTCTTTTCTGCTTTTGGTCCATCGAGCAGAACAGCTGCAACTTTTTGCGACGGCCGAGGTTTCCAGGTAAGAGATCCGCTGCAAGCAACAGATCTCTCGCCCGAGAAGCCAGAAGAGCAAAGAAGATCTAACACCTTTGCGCCGCTTGACTAGGTGAACACGGCCTTGCGCGCGAAAGCAATTGCGACTGAGAACATCTTTCGCTTTCCAAGCGCAGGCGTTTGCCACGAAATCTCACCACAGCCTCTCACACAATGGCGTCTCTAGCAGAGCAGAACTTCAACCTGTTCTCGCAGCAGCAGCAGGAGGAATACTCCCACTTCGCCGACGCAACCCACAACCCCGTCTTCACCTCTGCGCCCATGGATCTGGGCATGACCGCCGATGCCTTCTCGTTTGTGCAGCGCGCACCCAGCCAGGAGCACTACAGCACCAGCCCCAGCACCATCAGCTTCGAATACACCACCGACCCAGCTTCCACCTACATGATGAACAGCGCTGCCTCACCAGGCGTGTACGGCGACGACCTTCTCTCCAACATGTCCACCGGCTCTGCATCCTCATCAGCGGTTGGGTCTCCTCTATCGAGCCACGGCCAGACGGGCATGGATCTGGCCCAGTACGGTGGTCTCGGCATCCAGCCTAGCATTGCCGGCGAATACTACGATTTTTCTGCCTATGCGCATGGAATGGAGGATGTGACGCCCTATGATTTCACCGGCCTGGCACCCACCAAGTCCTATGTTGGTAAGTCTCTCTTTTTCTTTACTTTACTTGATTCATTTTTTGCTTTCATTATTCATCATTCCCTCTCCCTCCACGCAACCCCATGGTGGCAGCCTGTCGCGGCAAGATTTCCTCTTTAGGCGACCAATTGTCTGTTGCTGCTCCCCTCCCCGCTGGATTGCCCCTCCGGCCCTCCGTGGCTGCTGAAGAGCCCCGGACCCGGTGGTGCCGCATCCCTGCCTTCAGCACTGCACAAGCACTGCATAGCCAGCCAGGCGGTGCCCAGAGCCCGCTGTGCAGCTGCAGACTTGGCGCCCCACTGCCGGCGGCCTCTGTCCAGCACAGCGCGTAACCACCACAAGCTTCGGCATCACCGCCGCTGCGCTGCTATTTCCAACCAGACGCGACATCATTGCTGCTTATGTCTTGCGTCCCCTCTGCATCCCCACGCGCTATTGCCCACCCGTCACTGCTACCTCTTCTTGGTTGGCGGCGTTGCCTCTGCGACTGCTGGTTGGCTCCGCGGCTGGGCTGACTTGGCCGCTAAGAGCTCCCGTTCAGCTGGTGCCAGAAAGCCTCACTGCTCGGTGTCGCTCGGTCCCTCCCTTGACTGGCCGATGGGTTCATCAACCCCCAGCTCCCCCTTCCGCTGTCGCCATTGGATCCCCTTTACTGCATGCAACTCATTTTTTCTCTCTCTCTTTTCGCACGCTTGTCGTGATGCTTACTGACCACTGGTTTGCGCTTACAGATCCCTCTCTGATTCACCCGGAGATCTCCAGACCGCCAATGGCGATATCTCCGTTTGAGACGCACTACCAGCCCGCCGTCCACTATCCCTCTTCGCCCTCTGCCCTCTCTGCTGCTTCTCCCCAGCCACACATGATCCGCACCAGCAGCTCATCGCCATATCTGCAGAGCGGCCCCTTCCAGCCCGGGTTCGCTGCCAGCCCGTATGCGACCAACGCCATGACTAACGGTGCTGGTGTTGGCGCTCGCCGCCTGAGCATGAGCAAGACCGGCGGCAACAGCTTCAACGTGTCTCCCGTCTCCGCCGACTACCACAGCGGCGACGAGGTCAAGGAGAAGCAGCGATGCTCCTATCCCGAGTGCGGCAAGACCTTCAAGGATCTCAAGGCCCACATGCTCACCCATCAGACCGAGCGCCCTGAGAAATGCCCCATCACGACATGCGAGTACCACATTAAGGGGTTTGCTCGCAAGTATGACAAGAACCGTCATACCCTGACGCACTACAAGGGCAACATGGTCTGTGGCTTCTGCCCCGGATCGGGGTCTGCGTCCGAGAAGTCGTTTAACCGCGCCGACGTCTTCAAGCGACACCTCACATCTGTCCACAATGTCGAGCAGACTCCCCCCAACAGCCGCAAGAGGACTGGCGGCGCGCCAATGACCCTCGCCGGCTATGCTGCCGACGCGACTGGCAAGTGCAGCACTTGCTCGCAATGCTTCAACAACGCCCAGGACTTTTACGAGCACTTGGACGACTGCGTGCTGCGCATGGTTCAACAGGAAGACCCCGCCGAGGCCATCAACGCTAAGCGCCTGGCTGAGGTTGCTGACGACAAGAACGTCCACCAGACCCTGGAGAAGAACAAGCTGCCCATCACCACCCAGACTTCTCAGATTCAAGAGGATGACGACGAAGATGACATGATGGAGGATGACGAGGATGACATGACCATCTTTTCGCCCTCGAAGAAGAATGCGTCCCTCAATCGCATTTCAAAGTCTCGCGGCATTACTCACTCCCGTGGCGGTGTTCCCCTTACTGCCAAGCGCGGCCGCAACAAGCGCCGCGACTACCCTTCCTCTTGGGGATTCAACAAGGGCCAGATGACGATGAAGAAGCGCGTCATGGCTGTCTTTGACGGTCCCCGACGCCTTGCCAAGGATGATTTAATGCTCTCTACTGATCACGAGGTCCGCATCAAGCTCTCTGACGGCAAGTCTTATGTGACAGACCTTGACGTCCAGACCTTGAAGCGAGCCGAGGGCTTCCACAATGCCACTGACGAGGAGAAGGGCCCTTGGATCTCTGATGATCCCACTGAGGAACAGTTGAAGGAGATGCAGGAGACGCAGCGGATGCTGGACACCGGTGCTTCTGACTTGTAAAGTCGCAAAATTTTGTCTCTCTTTCTCTACATTCTTACATCTTCCGATGTTGGGATAACAACAGCATGACTTTTGAACAAAGCATGGCAGACGGCGTTCTGGACCCAGGGCATTGGGCTATTCTTGAATGGGAATTTTTTTTTATAACGCTGGGAAGAAGCGGATAATCTGGATTTGATACCCTGTTTTGATATACTACTACTACCACTATAAATGTTGGACAATGAAGGCGCAGATGGAATTGAATGGGCACTACATGGAGGAACTATGTTATGGGGATCAAGGTATCATCTATCCTATCCCTCAGGGACACTTAGGCATGAAATTTGCTGTTTTTTAACCAATCATTGTTAACCGCCTCTGGATGTGGTTTCATTTGTATATTAATAATTTTCATTTGTTTTCGGGGCAGGGAACGGGGTTCTTTTTCTTTTGTTCTGCTTATTGGGAGCAAGGGATTGTACGATGCCACTTGAGCATCTCATGAAGATTTATGGCTTGATTGTTTATGTAATATTATTAATGAGTAAATCTTGTCAAAAAAATATGAATATCAAATCAAAGCATTTATGGAACACACTCTTTTTCTAAAATTGAACTGCTCATTGTGAGTTTTTTTTCTTAGATGAAATAGTTTCGGAATGCACAGAGATCTCAGTAGCAGCGAGTAAGTGAGTGAATGAGTGAGTGAGTGAAGCGGTTGGAAATAAGTGGGTGGATGCGACTGGCAAATTTCTCTTTTGGTGCTAACCCCCACCTCAAGTCTTTTTTCCTTTGCCCGCCGAGATAGTATCGAATTGCGAAGACTGCCTAGTCTTGATTTCAAGATTGACAAGGGAAGAAGGAAACAGAAAGAAGGAGATTTGTTTTTTTCTTATATGAATGTAAGTTTTCGTTTTCATTTGGAGAGCTGGAGGGGTGTTGTGGGTGAGGATATGTGAGGCTGATTTTTTGATAGGCACTGAGATTTCTACTTTCATATCGTTCGAGTTGAACACAGAAGAAGTGTAAATCTTTCAATTCGAAGATCTTATTTATTCTGCTGAAAAGAGAGGGGATATTGAAAATCTCCTGGCAGAAAAAGACGAAACGGGGTTCCATCAGGTCCTCATCTGAAAAACTCCAAATCACCAATATCAAACCAATATACAAACACACACATAAAATGGCCACCCTCACATCCCGCATCACCCTCAAGGGCGACGAGCCCGCCGGCCCGGAAGACTACCTCTCCACGTCCCTCGGCGTCATCTTCCCCGACGACGTCACCAACCAGCACGGCGACGCGGAGCACTCCCTCATCTACGCCTCGCCAAAGCTGCCCAAGCCGCTGCTGATTGAGCTCGCCGAGCCCGAGGGCGAGACGGACCGGCGCCTGTTCAGTCATTACTTGTGGAACGCGTCGCTGCTGCTGGCGGAGTTTATCGAGCGGGATTCTCTGGAGGCTGAAAGTGAAGAGACAGAAGCTGGACTGGGCAAGGGACTGAGCTTTGATACGCGAGGCTTGAGTACCGCGGAGCTGGGCGCGGGAACGGCCCTGCCGAGCATCATGGCTGGTTTGCTGGGCGCAAAGAGCGTTACTGTGACGGATTATCCTGCCCCGGCGGTGATGAAGACGCTGCGCGACAACGTTGCTCGCAACATAAAGCCCGAATTTGCTCCCCTGCCGCTACCGGGCAACGACCCCAACAGCATACTTCCCGTGACGACGGACATTACCATCGAGGGCCACGAATGGGGCGTATTTGACAGCAGCTCTTCTTCATTCCCTGCCTCTCACGCTCACACAGCCGACCGCCTCTTCGTCGCAGACTGTCTCTGGATGCCCTGGCAGCACGCCAACCTGCGCCGCTCCATCAACCACTTCCTCAAGAAGACGACGTCGGCGCGGGCTTGGGTCGTGGCCGGCTTCCACACGGGCCGCGCCAAGATGGCTGGCTTCTACGACGCCGAGGCGCTACGTGAGGAGGGCGGCGTGGAGATTGAGCGCATCTGGGAGAGGGACTGCGATGGCGTTGAGAGAGAGTGGGATGTGGAGAGGGAGGATGACATTACGGTGAGGAAGAGGTGGCTTGTTGTTGCAGTGTTGAAGAGGTGTGAGGGGATGGTTGAATGAGTGAATGAATGAATGGAGCGAGCGTATTCTTCTTCAGTTTTGGGCAATGAAAAAGATTTTTTTTTCTTGGTTTGATTTATTTGCAAGGTTATGAAAAGTTTCTTGATGAGCAGTGTTGAGCTATCCTACTACTCTTTATGTGACAAATGATATTTCATGTTACATCTCTTTTATACAAAACTTGCTTCCTTACTCGCTTTCCCTATCTTTGAGTGGGTATGATGTTTCTTTTTCTTCTTTATATGATTTCTCATTAGACCCCTTAGTCCTCAAGCACGCGTCCCAGGACCTGTCCCATCTTCAGCTTCTGGCCCTTTTCTACCGCCCACTCCCATCCCTTCTTCTCTTCTCCATCCGCAGTCTTCAACGTAGCTGGCGCCTCAAACACCAGTACAATCGTGCTGCCGAGTTGAAACCCACCCATTTCCTCGCCGCGCCTCAGAGCATGTCCGTGCAACACTGGGCTAGCGTTTTCATAGGTAGCTTCCGCGAAGCCGAGATACGGCTCGCCGCGCTTGGAAGCTTCCTCGGCTGCCAGGTCGGCGGCGGTATCCGTGGTGAGGCTGTTGGTGCGGAGCTCGCGGTCAAAGTTGATCTTGATGGAGCCGACGTTTGTGGCGCCGACGGGGACGTAGCTGAAGAAGCCCCAGCGCCAGCGGCCGAGGAGGACGACTCGCTCGTTGAGGGTGAAGAGGCCGGGCAGGGTGCGCTGGAGGTAGGGCGAGACGCTGTAGAGCTCGCCTGCGAAGTGGCGTCTGCTCTCCACGACCCAGTTCGTGGGTGAGTGGAAGCGGTGGTAGTCTCCGGGAGCGAGGTAGATGACGGCGTAGTACAGGGATGTGGTCTTGTCAGGCGAGAGCAGATCGTACCAGGGCTTTTCGCCCAGAGCAAGCTCGGCGCGGACCTCTGAAACGGCGCGGGGAGATGAAGCTGCATGCGACTCGTCGGTAACGGGGTGTGGAGGCTTGGCATTCTTGGATCCGGACATGAGGTCAGGCAATGTGTACGAGATGCCGTTGACCCGGGCAAATTCCTCCTCCTGCTTGATAATCTCTTCGTCGCCAACAGCTACGCTGCGGCTTCGAGGGGGACGCTCTCGGGCTTGGTCGGATAGGCCACTGTAGATGCTGGATGTCGGGCTATGCTTTCCGAGCAGCGCGTCAATGCTGTAGGTCATGCCTTTTACCTGTTCAATGTCACCGCTTTCGATATGGCCGAACTGGAGAACCTTGCCGTCGGACGGAGAGAGAAGAGCATGAGGGTCTGGATCTAGCGGACGAGCACCTGGTTTGAGAGTTCGATAGAAGAAGGCTGCAAGGTTAGGATACACATGAAGGTCGGGCTCGGACACCTCGTCAAGGCTACAGGAGGTTCAAGTCAGTCAAAGGGTTTTACATTACACCTCTCTGCTACATTTGATCTCAGGTAGGGATTAACTCACTTGACACCAAAGATGAATGAGTATAGCTTAAACCCAGGGACACGCAGATAGTACGGGATTGTCAGTTCATTGAATTTTCCCCAGAGTCGAGAGATGGCCTTGAGCGGGAGAGTGGACATGACTTGGACCTGCCTGTGGTGAAGTTGTCAGCAATCTGCACGCATATTGATCTTCTGCTCTAAAAAGCTGGATGAAAGGACTGTTTACCATGGTCCGTCGGGGCGTACTCTGGGCCGACGCTTCGGTGACGTGATCCCATCCTGCTCTTGCTGCCTTTCCCGCTCCCTGGACGAGACTTTGTAGAATTGAACCAGTCCCAAAAACCCTATGCCCAGACCCACGGGAATCTGATACCATGTGATTTTGCTGTTGCGCAGCGCCTCGCCAAGTCTCTGGGAGAACTTGGGTCGCTTGCCAGAGTTTTGAGTAGAAAAGTTGCATCGTGAGGATGGAATACGCCGAACAGGCCCTGAATTAGCGGCCAATTGGCCTGTTCGACGCCCAGCAGCAGCTCGAATGGCACATCTTGCGCGCAAGGATGATGAGAACGGATGATGCAAACTTGCTCCCCCACTGCCTCCACCGTGCACTAGACGGCTGGAACTGATTCCCAGCGTCGCCATAATGGCATGCGCCTCTAAACAGAGCTTTGCACTTGGCAAGGGAGCTCAGTTAGGCGATTGTGACAGGCATTGATTGAGCGCAGGCGATGAAGATGCGCTTGAGGTTGAGATTTTGGTTAGTTGCGAGATGACGTATGGGGAAGCAGGCCGTCTGATGGTTGGTGCGGGCGGCGCAAACATCTGCCGAGGCCGAGCTTGGAGCTTTGATGCACGAGCTGTCGAGGCCAGTTTGATGCTATGAAATCGCCAACCAATACTGCTTCAAAGCATCTACTACTAGTAATACTAGCATGCAGTTTATTCTAGGTACATGTATGCAATAACGGGTAATAGCACTGATGGCAAATTACCCACCTGAAAGACTCTCCAAACCTGCCGAGATGGGAATGCACATCCTTTGCTGGATGATGTGCTGCATGTTCCGATGGTCGGCAGCATGGGTCAAGATGCCAGATGTCCTTTGCTTTGTAACCACCGAGGTTGCATCGTGAGGTACAAGCCAGATACCAGGAGCTGCACACGAGTCCTATCAATCAATATAATTAATTCATCGATATCGTCTTGCAGCCTCACTGCTGCTCATCTATAGCAGATACCGCCACGTAGTAGCGTAGTAGCCAAGCAGGTACCGGATGGCTCATGCACAGTCCGGCTCGGTCCAAGCTTCATCCAATCCCTTTGCTCACCAACTTCAAACGACGACTTGCTTCGTCACAGGATCCACCTGCATCTAGAGAGCTGTCAATTAAACCCCCTGCATATTGGTGGTGATTTTTCTCTGGCGTTTTGCTTCTTTTTCTCTTCCTGCAGGGGGAGCTTCACCTTTCTGGGTCAAGCTACGAGCTCTAGGCTTTATCCATTTGTTATGACGGTACCTAATTGTCTAGTCTCCGATACTCCCGATAGTGCTGCCATAACGACAAAGCAGCGTATAAAAGTGCTCACGCGTCAAGTACACTCTACCCTGCGGCCATGAAGACCGCCAGCTCAGCGCTATTCGCTTATAATCGCGACACCTCTCAGCACGCATGGCGCTAAGCCGCATGGGGTCTATTTCCAGCTGTTGCGCAACTTGGCCTGCGGTACGTACCGCCCAAGTACCTGCGCCGACTCGACTGCAATCTGTCCGACTTCTAGAAGGCGTCTGGTTTGCCTGTTCGCATCACCGCCCTGCAAACCGAACTGAAGCCCGCGAGCTTCCGCTCCTTTTTCCTCTCCCTGGCTGTTTGGCCTTTTCTGCGTCTTTGCCGCGTCCTGCTCCACCAGAGTGATAGCGCCGTGTGCGCTTGGCTCGGGATCCAAAACCAAACCGCTGCCATCCCTGCCTTCAGCTTGTCTGACAAACACAAAGAGAAACCGCACGCTTCCCGATAGCTGGCGCTTTCATCTCTTCCTACTCTTCTTCGCCCTGACTACGAGGCGACGACTTGCCATTTGTCCATCTTCGAAATACCCGCCGTCTGAAGCCTGGTAGCATGCAAGCTGTCTCCCCATCATGGCTTCAGAGCACGAAATGGCCCAGAGCCCGGGTTCTCTTGCATTGCCCGATCCGCCTGCAGTAAACCTCCAGGTGCTGTCGCCATCGGTCGGTGTGAATCGACCGCTAATGTTCCCTGGACTCTCGTCTGCCACGACCATCAAGCAGCTCAAAGAGAAGATCCGGCAAAGCCTCCCCTTGCGGCCATCGGACGAAAACCAGCGTCTCATCTATCGCGGCCGAGCGCTTCTACATGAGACCGATACTCTGCTGGATGTAATCGGAAGCGATGTGGTGAGTCTACTTCCCTTCTTGATTGGTCTCATCCATGCAAAGGAGAAAGAAAGCACTGACTTACTCGTGGTACTGTAGTTTCGTCAACCCGACCTACATACAATACATCTTGTTTTAAGAGACGTCTCTGATGGCGTATCCCCAGCATCAACCTTGTTACCAGGTACCCAGAGCCCAGCTTTGGGGAGCCAGTCTTCTTCAAACATCCAACCTCCAAATATCCAGCGCCAAACGCCTCCGCACCCCGCATTCATGGGACCTCCTCCTCCGCCTGGCATGGCAAGAAGACCAGTAATGCAGCCAGCTCATCAGAATGCCACGCTATCTCAGCCCCAGGTGCCGTCATCGGCTCGCCCGCATTCCCCATCCCCAATTCATACTCCCGAACAGGCGGCAGCTTTCCAGCAGCAACATCAGAGCATGACGCAATGGTTAACACAGATTCAAAGAGAAGCTATGGCTAGGATGGTTCAACAGAATCAGCGTGGGAGAGCTCATATGGGCATGCGCGGTGTTGGCGACCCCGCGGCTGCGAACCACGGGGGATATACTCCAGAGTCAAACAGTGGGAGAGGGAGTCCGGCCCCATCGCACACAATCTATCGAGAAGTCATTGGGCCCAACGGCCACAGTTACCACGTCGAGACTCGCAATGTAGCTGGTGGACTCCCGGGGGCATCTGCATCTGCGCCATCAATTCCCGGCGTATTTACTCCCAATGATATTCATAATATTCTGCGAGGGGCAGACTCCAACCAGATACCCGCACCCTTGGCCAATGCTCTGCATCAAAGCAGCTTGCGCCGAAGTGCCTCCAGTGCCTCGCTCCACAACCGGGCATTCAACCAACCTTCCATCACTACCTCTGTCTTTGCTAATGGTGGTTCTCGAGCTGGCAGCGGCCGAGCTACGCCAGACCTGGGGCTGAGGTCGGTCTCTGGCTCATTCATTCCTGCTCCTACATCTGCTCCCTCTCTTGTTCCACCCCAGTCACGACAGGGTGTCGATGTGTATATTCTGTCCTCTCCCGAGGGGCCCCGCGCCCTTGTCTTTAATGGCAATGTGGCAGAGGCTTACTACACGCCCAGGCTGCCTATGCAACCGTTTCCATACTACTCTCCAAGCTTGATTCGCACGATGCAGCCACAAACTAGGGATGATCATCTTCAAGCACAACGTCCAGACGCAAGACAGGCTGCTCAAACCCCTCAGGATCCAGCGCCACAGCCTCAGCAGCAACAGCAACAGGTCCAACAGCCGCAGCCTCCGCAACAGCAGGGCCAACAGCCAAGAATTGCCCCTTTACATGCTGGTAACCCACCTGCGGCTGGCCTAGCTCACCTGATTGTGCAGTTGGCTCCTCATATCTGGCTTATAATACGCTTAGCTCTATTTGTGTGGTTCTTTACGCCTGTCAACTCTAGCTGGTCAAGATGGTGCACTGTTATTGCCTTGGCATTGTTCATGTTTGCCCTCACCACCGGGCTCTTGGCTGGCTATGCTGAGCAGATCTGGCGACCCATAATGCGATATCTGGAAAATGTGCTGCCTGCTATGGATCATGGGAATCATGGACAGAGAGAGGATGTAAACCATGATGGCGCCCCTAGAGCTGGGCGAAATAGAATGCCTGACCCTGCCGAGACGGCTGCCCGACTGCTTGCCGAGCGTCGCGGTCAAGAATCGTGGCTCACAGGGCAGTTGAGGCGACTGGAGCGAGCGGGTCTCCTCTTCCTTGCCAGTATTGCGCCTGGAGTTGCGGAACGCCATATTGCTAATCAAGAAAGAGAAGCAAGGGAACAGGAAGTGCGGCGCAGAGAAGCTGAAATTGCGGCGAGAGCGGCAGAGGCAGCAATGGCCGATGCCATGGCCGATGCCAGAGCTGCCGTAGCTGCTGAGTATGGCGAAGAAGAAGCCGTGCACGGGACAATTGACAGCCAACAACAACCCGGGGAGCAAGATGGGCAGCACGATTACGAGGATGTAGAACGAGACAGAGCCATCCGCGAAGAAATCTCTACCGCGTAGAGAGTGTATGAGCGATATGGGCTGGGGAGAAGGCATATAAGAAAATATTCATGAAAAGTGATTATCATGTTTTGGGATTTAGCGATTAAAGAATTCTATCAGGAGCAGGGGCGTTGAAACCAATGTTTCTTATGAAGTCCTCTCTAACAGAGACTAAAGAAGACATGCAGGCTCGAGTCTTTTCTTCTCTGTTCTTATTTTCATGTACTTTGTAGCTAAAGAATTACAAGATGAGAGGGTCTGTAAATAAAGCAGGGCGAGGCATTCTACGATTGAACATCGAATTTTTCTACTTTGACAAGATACTTTCAGTGACAGTTGTTTGTATGAGATTCATGTCCCTTATTAATGACGCCACCTCAAAGTACGTACTCGCGGTGTGCCTGCGTCCAACTCTTATCTTATCAGCGATTTGCCATCTACGTAAAGCTCCGGGAGCATCCCACCATCAAAGCTCACCATCAACGTTATAGCTCTCTCCTCCGACTTCCTGCCGCTACCACTTGGAAATTCTGCGCCGAAGAATTGGATAATATCTCGCCAATCTTTGTCCATTTTCCCACCTCATCTCCTTTCTCTTTTTCTCCAATCGGGGGCTGTTGCTTGCACGGCACATCGAGTGACACAATGAGCGGCGGTTGGAATACAAGTGAGCTTCTCTCCTAGATTGCGAAGCTGCTTCCCTCTTACTAATTCGACATCTTCTTTCTCTTCTAGTTGAGTCTGACGCAGTACGTTGCAACGCCATCATTACCAATATCTGAATTATGAAAAGAGTACGAAAGAAAAACAAGGAAAGCATTAGCTAACGTTATGCCAAACAGGGCGTCTTTACGTCCCTTATAGAAAATCTAGGGGTCAAAGATGTCCAGTTCGAAGAGCTCCTCACGCTCGACCCCTCCGAGCTGCTGACCCTCCAGCCCCTCTACGGCGTCATCTTCCTCTTCAAGTTCCCAACCGACCGGCCCTACGCCACGGCCGACGGCCCGCTCGACGGCACCTTCGACCACGATGCCTCGGAGCGCATCTTCTTCGCCGCGCAGACCATCCAAAACGCCTGCGCCACACAGGCCCTGCTCAGTGTGCTCATGAACAAGACGGCCGACGGCGAGGTCGACATTGGCGCGCAGATGAAGGACTTCCGCGACTTTACAATGGTCCTGCCGCCCGAGTTTCGCGGCGAGGCCCTTAGCAACTCGGACCTCATCCGCGAGGTGCACAACAGCTTCGCGCGCAGCAGCCCCTTTGCCGACGAGACGCAGCGCACGGGCGAGCCCTCCGAGGACGTCTTCCACTTCATCGCCTACACCCCCGTCGACGGCGTGCTGTACGAGCTAGACGGCCTGCAGCCCGCGCCCATATCGCATGGGCCCTGCGCCACCGAGGATTTCCCCCTGAAAGTGGTGGACGTGCTGCAGCGCCGCATTGCCCGCTACGACGTGACCGAGATCCGCTTCAACCTGCTGGCTATGTGCCGCGACCTACGGATCCGCGCGCGCGAGTTTGGCGACGAGGAGCTGCTGGAGCGGGAGGAGCGCAAGCGCAAAGACTGGCTGTTTGAGAATGCGCTGAGGAGGCACAACTTTGTGGGCTTTGCGGGCGAGGTGGTGAAGAAGGTGGTAGAGAGTAAACTTGATGCGGGGGGCGATGAAGCAGTGCAGAAGTGGGTGAGCGACAGCCTGGAGAGGAAAAAAGCGGCGGAGAGGGCTATGGGTGGGAGGGGAGGTGGTGATGTAGATATGAGTGGGTGAGATGTGTTGAGAGTGAGGACTGTGACTTGATGAGTTTGGGACAAGGAGAGAAGATAGAGTGAATATATACCCTGGCATATTTGAAGCATACATGATGTTCACCCAAAGGTACTCAATTGGGAGATATCAAAGAAACGATACATGAGAGCATTGGTGCGTCGAAATCATCATTTGAGTACTACAGAACCCCCTGACGAATACATACAAGTTTGGAAACCATGAAATCTCAGCCAAGCAAATTCTCGATAGCAATGTGTCATATTCATCTTTCGACAACACTCTCAGCCAATCGTATCCACGTTACTGCGTATTTATTCCTTGAATCATCAAGAACAGTCAAATCACTCATGTACCTCTCTCCCTTCCTCTCACTCATTTACCGGATTTGATCAGCGAGCAATGCCCCTCATCGGAGAAGATTGAGGATAGCCATACGCTTCATCATGATCAGTCGGCAATACAGATTGCTCCCCCATGGCTGCAGAACCATCCTTGCCGGGAGGATTCTCGCGGCTTTGCTGGAGGTTCAAGCCCCGCTGGCTTTCATTATCCTCAGCGATAGGGGGAACAGAATCGTGATGATCATCCGCTGAAGAAGAAGGCGAAAGGCGGCTTCTGTCTCTCCTCATGGCCCGGACAAACCAGGGCGGGCGTCCAGAGCCCTTCCAAGTCCAGTATTCTTTGAGGTCATATTCCCGAGGCTCGATGCGGTTATTGGAGAGGAAAACCACGAGGCCGATGAGGCCGTTGAGGATGGTGTAGACAAACAGGCCACTAGTTGTGTGCGAAACGATAGATTAGCTTTGGAATGAAGTGGAGGTGGAAGGTAGTAGTTGTTCTTCAATATTGAGAGACAGAGCGGGCGAGAAAACTTACGCAATGAGGCCATATGCGACGCTATAGCTGAATGGTATAAACGTCATGACAATGAAAGAAGGAAGGGCGTCACCAATGTAGCGCCAATTTACCTGCGTGACTTGGCGAATCATCATGCAGCCAACCAAGATGAGTGTACATCCCGTAGCCCAGGGCGGGATGGAGGCAAATATAGGAGCAAAGAAGATTGATACGATGAAGCAAAGCCCTGCCACCACAGCAGTGAGGCCAGTGCGACCGCCTTCTGCAATACCCGCACCACTCTCGATGAAAGCCGTGATGGGAGAGCATCCGAATAGAGCTCCGATCGAGATGAAAGTCGCATCAGTACAGTATGCGATTGTTGAGCGAGGAAAATCGCCGTCTTTGGGATTGACGACTCCACAGAAACGGACCATGGAGTATAAAGTAGCAGTAGCGTCGATGATATCGACGTAGAGGAAAGTAAAGAGAGCAAGAATAAAGTGAGATGTGCTGGTGCCTTCGAGGCTCCAGTCAAGCTGGTTGACAGTCTTGGAGAGAGGATGCCATGCAACGATTTGCTTGAAAAAGGAAAATCGAGAGTCGCCTTCTGGTGTATCGGGGAAATAAGTGACTGGAGTGTTGCGGCTGTAGCGACATGAAATGTTAGCGAATATCTGTTTACTTTGATCTAAAGATCGTAACTCACGGCCACGAGATAATAGAGACAAGCGCAACTCCGATGACGAGAGCGTACTTGATTCTGAACGCCATCAGGAAGGCTGTCACGATACCACCGCAAAAGACGGCGAGCCACATCTTGATCATAGGTATAGCATGTCAGCATCTTTCTTGCCTCTGATTTGATTTTGGACATACCGTGGGGTTCGTCATTTGACCAGCGTTACAAGCCCCCGTCTCTGGGTTAATCATATCAGGAGGGCAGCCACCCAAAGCCAGAGGGGTGGATGTGCTGCCGCCTGTGATGGCGCCAATGCCAGACGAGGAGGAGAGCCCAATTTCTGTCAACAGGAAACCAATTCCAACCCCAGTAGCGGTTTTCATGGTGGTTGGGATGAGTTTGACAAGCCATTGACGCATCCCGGTCAAAGCCAAGAAAATGAATATGATGCCTTCGAAGAAGACGGCAGTGAGGGCGGTTCGGTATGAGATGGAACCAGAACCGTTGCTGCCAACAACCTTCGAAGATGGAGCTTGGGATTAGTAGAGTAATGTGTATAATGATCAATATTACGTACCTGGTAGGCGAAATAGGCATTGAGACCCATTCCTGGGCTGAAAATTCCTGTTAGCATTTGTACATGGACGTGACGAGGGTTGTATATGCCTTACGCAAGGGCGACGGGTAGGTTAGTCAACAGCCCGAAGAACAGAGAGGCGAGGCCAGCTATGGCTGCCGTAGCTGTAATCAAATCTCTTCGCACCTCTATAATGATTTAGAACATGATCGTATTAAAGACTAGGGCGGGCAGGCTAAAAACAATACCTTCTTTACAGTCCGCATAAGCAGGGATAGTATCGCACTGGAATTTGTTTTTCAGGTCACAGTCGCAAGTTCCGCCAGTCTGAGAGAGGATAGAAGCCTATGGAGTTTTGCAATGGTCAGCCAGATCTCTAGCAAGAAAGGTTCTTCGCGGACCACATACATTCACTGCGATGATGTATGCCATGGTCGCAAAAGTTGTCAGTCCAGCGCGAATCTCTCGGAAAAAGGTTGTGCCTTCAAGTGCTTTGGCCTATCTGTACAGTTAGCCCTTGATGCCAATAATCATTTTTCTTATCTATTATACAACGCAAGAGAAATGCGATGATACTTACATGTCCCGAGTCGGCCAGACGAAACAGTCGCCCCAAGTAGGAGCCGCTCAGCCACTTATCAACAAGATCGACAAAGTCTCGAAATCCGCAGAACTTGGATCGGCCAACCGGGGGGGCTGGAGGTAGTCTTGGAGAGGACAGCCTTGGGTCAAGTGTTCCGGGTTCTTGGCTGTCCTTGGGCTGCATGGTTGGAGATTCCATGATGAGTAAAAAACAGTAAACGAGATTCACTGATCTTGGAGGCGGTAGGTTTTGGAGGCTGAAAACACGCTAGTCCGATATAAAGTGACCAATACGAAAGAAAACGAAAAGATATCTTGGCTAATCAGAAATACGGGGCAAAGTCAAATAAAATAAAAAGAATGGATTGTAGTAGGAGGGCGAATGGAGATGAACGAATAGAAGAAGGCGGCGATTTCTAGGTCAGGATTCAATGAACTTTGAAGAATATGCCTGCCAGCCACCAGATTCTTTGCCAGGACAACCGGGTTGCTATACATGAGGCAGCACATCCGTACGGCCCGTTTTGCGTTGGCCAATTATGCGGCAACTGGCCTGCAGGCTGGCAGCATACAGCTCATGGAATCCCAAATTTTCAGGGCGGGTTAGAGATAGACAGGCCACTCCAGCTGGACCAGGTGTCCCCAGAGAAGCACAAGATCCTCTCCAGACCTAGGACAGGGGGCGCACGTATCTCCCGTTACCTTGCGGATGCCTTAGTGTTTCGAGTCTTTCCGTGATTGTGCGAGATGGAGACGAAGCTAAAGTCGACCGCAAGGGAGCCTAGATTGTATATCATCTCTTCATCTGCCGCATCAAAGTCACCTGGCTGTTTATTATCTGCCGAGCTGCAGCCTTGGATGCCCCAGTGGATACAGGGATAACCATGAAGAGCATAATGACTGCGAGGGCGTACTCGCTCGGCTCCTGGCGCTGTGGCCAATCTACGAGTGGCATGGTTGGTAGCCGAGAGTGCTGATGTCGTACGAGCAATGTCGAAGCTGTTGGGAGAGTCGTTAAAGCTCGTTGCACAGGAAGTGATAGCGCGTGGTAGTGCTCGTACAGCCATTTGAGGCTGCAGGAGAAGCTGAACGATGGGACTGCTTGCAACATATATTAGCTGGCTGACCTGATAACCCTATAAAAGCGGCTTTGTCAAAGTCGTGAGCAATGCGAATACCTAGAATGGGTAGAAGTTTATCTTCCAGCATCTATAAAACACAGCCTGCTAAAGAGTCGGCCAATACATGGGTTCCTAGTGTAAGCAATTATCCGGCTGCTGTGTATGACAAGGAAAAGGAGTATTCCTTCAGCTGGCTCAATTTCCTTTGTACATTCAACAAGATCACAAAGGGGCAAGACCTGCATGATCCTAATATGCCTATGTCTCATTTCCGTAGCTGGATAATACGGTGTGGCAAATCCGATGCGTTGGCGGATGTTAGATACTCGGTACTCTGAGGGCTGTTTGGAACAGCAGTCAGCAGATAATGGAGTGTCAAAATTTTGAATCAGTCAGTAACTATGGAACGATTCATGAGCATGGTGCCTTTGATGAACTCGCTGCTTTGTCGAATTATCCCATATACGCACTCTATACAAAAATAGCTGGAAAACTCTACAACAAGGTTTATCTTGTTCGAAAATACCAACATCTCCCTTTTAACTAAAGTGGACGAATGGGAAATGTAGTTGGGTAAAACTTTGTGTTAGGTCAGCTCGCTGGTTCAATTGGTGGTATGATATGTAAGCCGCACGGAGCGAAGAGCGAATAACGCTGCAAAGCAGCAAGACACGTTGCTGCCAGGAGAATATCGTGTTTCTTCACCGTCTGGCTATCGCTTTCTCTCCCTGTAGATACGCAGATGTCTCTCTATCTCTTCAACAATCTCTCTCTTTGTGTGTGTAGTCGTCGACATACATATCGTAGTGTTTATGTGGATACCATCGTTGCAGTTGCTTTGTCGTGGCTGACTGCTCTCATTTTCCCAGCAAACGGCCGCAAACACTTGCAAACGGCCTGTCAAACCTCGCTTGCCATCTGATCGCCACAACACGGGATCTTGCATCTGCTGTGCTCACGTAACCTGTTACTGGCCTGTTGTTCGCTCAAATGGTACCCAACACTGCAATCAAGAGAAGGTGAAGCACATATCGGTATCAAATTTAGCCCTTTTAGCTTTGACTCTGTTCGTCTTGTGCCTCCCGTATTGGCATATTTCCTGCTGCCAATTTGGCTGGTGGGCGATGAACAGGTTCTCTCTTCTCTTTCTTGGTCAGATTTCTGCTTCCTGAGTAAAGCGTTTGTACTCTCTCGCTTCGCTGACTGTTGCACCGCGCCCATGAGCTTTGGAGTGTCATATTTTGGCAACGACGATCGTACAATATCTGCTCGCTTTATCCTCTTATTCATCACCCTTCGCAACTCAAAACCCAAAGCGTTGCAAGTCCTCAGTCAGTCTCCCATTTCTGTCACAAATCCCAACCACAATCAGAATTCTTGAAACAGAATTCACGACTGCGGCTGAACGCCAATCCAGTCAACGCTCAGTGGCATTCAAGCCACGAGTTAGCCAGTCTGGCAGCAGCCATCTTCCACCACTTCCTGCATCAATCACTTGCTGTTGTGACACTAGGCTCTCCTGGTTACGTTACTGCCGCTGCATCATAGCAAAGCCAGACAGGAGGCTTCACCTATATGTTTGTGGTGGAGTCTGCATGTGCTGCGTTTGCTGTTTGGACGACACCGATCAGGTGCTTCTCCTTGCCTGCAGGGGACCATTGCCATCATGTGGGATGTCGTCTGGACAGATCCCAATCCAGAACTGGTGGGCGAGCACAAGGCACGAAAAGAGAAAGAGGACATGTTCAAGAAAGACGATAAAAGTCAGCCGAGACGCCGTTCGGCATCCACAGCCAGCTCGCGCTGGTCAACTGACTCCCCGTTTGCCATTTTCCGTACCAGAGGCTCGAAGAAAGCAAACGAGGCTTCTTCCAACGCGGAAATGGCCTCGTCTGGCTCGTCGGGAGTGGCGTCACCGGCGATGGCCTCTTCTGATCGCTCACCAATGTCCAAAACATTTGACGAGGGCAGCCGTCGAAGCTCCAGCCGCATGTCTATCAGCTTCCTAGAGCGACTTGCCCACTTTGAAAGTCCTTTGAACACCAGCCCCTTGTTGTCCGAGAATAGTGGCGATGCATGCAGAAGGCTATTCTGTAGCTCTGCGATCGAAGGTGAGAAATGTCGACTTGCTTGTGTTAGAACGCCTGTTGATGACTTTGACTCTTCCACAGATATTCCCTCCTCGCCATCGGCTATTAAACGCTTCTCGATTGCCGGCTCGACCTCTGATGATTTGACCGAGTCCGAGAAGATGCGGAGTCTGGTGCAGATATTCCGGCGAAGTCCATCGACAGCCGAGCCAGTTGGCAACTGCCCACTGCCATCTGCGGGCAATGCCGTCGTTCCTGCCCATTTGACATCTGGAGAGAAGTGAGTGACAACTTCTCAACGCTGAAATTCTTTCCCTCGCTTCTTCGCTTTCTTTCTTTCTTTCTTCTCTTCTGCCTCCCGCATTCAAACTTTCCCATTATGATTCTTTGATCGTCTTCTCTATAGACAAAATTCCTCGCTACAAGTTTCTTGAAGCTGACATACCATCAAAGATCTCCATCTCTACCTCTATCGCCCACGGCCAGATCAAGATTTGGCCCAGCAGCCATGCAGGCCTCACCAATAAATTCTCAACTCTCCTCAGCGAATGCCAGCACGAAAACACGTATTACACCAAACAGTCCCGAGGCTTGGAAGCCGGTAGATGAATGGGAGCCTCTCCCTCTCCTACGCGGATCGCCCGAGCTGCCTTCTTCCGGCTTGCTTGTTGGCACAGACTCCTCTGACCATAGCCTCGGAACGCACAATAATTTTCGCTTACTACACGCAGCAGTTGTCAAAATGGCAAGCAAGAATGCAACGGAAATCCTAGTCACGCTGGAGGCATTATGGAAGAATGTTGCGAAGAAAGACGTTGCCTACCTTTTAGGAGACAATGCTATAACTGAGGATCTACGTAGATGGATGCTCTCGACGATGATTCACATGGACCAGGTTCCAACTCTTGAAAATCGAGTGTCTCCTCGTAAGGAGTGCCTCCTGACAGCTCGTATGGTTGTGTGTCTTTATGATTCAGCAGGTAAATGTTGACTTTGTGTCATATTGGGCAGCAATATACTAATGTACATGTATCTGACAAGCTACCGTTGCCTATCTCGCCGCACTTGAACCCACGAAGCAACACGATTATATATCGCTTATGGCGGCACCGAAAGAAGACATGTTTAACAACGTTCGGATAGTTTCTGTTCCCAGAGTCGCGCCTACAGAATTCCCAATAGCGCCTCGGATTTATGAATCAGTTCATTCACTGACGTTGCCTTCTCTGTGCCCCTTGCCTCTGCTGCCCGGGATGCTCAGTGGTGTCTATAAGTGCTTAAATAAGAAAGGCTTCATTCGGTTAATACTTATTGATCCGCTACCTCGAGCTGCTACCTTGGGCACAAAGATGAGACTGTGGATAGAGGAGAATGTGCTTCGAAACCTGGCAAAACAGGGCAAATGCATGAGCCCCAGCACAGCATTCCCACAACTACTCGCTCAAGCTCATCTCCGCGGGGATGGAAGCACTCTTACAACGACAAAGTTTTACGCCGTGCCGGGTAGCGCAATAAGCAGAGATCAAGATGCAGCTAAAGACTCAGTGCAAAGGGAGAAGGAGTCCAAGGCCCAGGTCAGAAGTCTAGTTGGGCGTATGCTTTGGGTAGAGGTATGGGGCTCGTATGTGACTTGTAAGAAATGGTGGTGGGACGACCCGGAATGCGTCGCCGAGTGTCTCGAGCTGGGTACATTGTGGGAATATCATGCCGTCAAAGGTGTCAAGGAACTGAAGGCGGCGTAGATATACGGCCAGTCTTGGCCAGGAGCTGCCTACAAATATCAATGAGTCAAGTGCTGGAGAGTTCCAGAGCAACGATATTTGCCTTTTTGGGCAAACGTTGAATTAACTGGGGCGAATATGGCGTTTTCGGGCCGGAGTCTTGACTCGGCCGAGATGAGGCTTTTTTCCTTTCTTTCTTTCTTTCTTTCTTTTCTTTCTTTGCAATTCATGGCTCTCGATACTGAGTCGTTTTGTTTCTCCAAGAAGGGTCACGTCCCGTCCCAGCTGGTATTGCTACGGTCGGGTATTACGGCGTGGAATTCGCCTAGTTTAGGGGCTTATCGAGACCAGCAAGAGAAACGGTACCTTAACCATGTCCTGAGCAACCCGTTTTGCCGTTTAGAGCTTGCGGCAAGCAGTTCGCAGTTCGGGCCATAATACTCCGCGAGCACCATATACAGGTATCACTCCGTACTCCGTACTGTAACCTGTTTGGTTGCATTGCTCGATAGATCCAGTGTTACATGAGAAGAGCGGGACAGACGCAGGGGCCCCTTTCTATCAACGATCAGCGAAGATGGCTGCACATCCAATGTCCGTAAACAGGGGCGATTTGGACGATGAACTAAGGTCTTGATGCTACGTCGACAAGGGGAGGAGTTTACGTTTGCGTATACGTACCTATTGCTATATCTCGAAACAGTGCTGTGCATCCATGCAGCCAAGAATTGCAACCTGTCGGCCAACAACTACTGCCCCAAATCAACGCCTTTACAAGTACTAGGTATTATTACCTATCACCAACCAATGCTACTGTGCAAGCATGCATCATGCATCCCCTTCGAGCTGCGAACCATCTCCCTGCAGTTCTTTGGATTCTGCAGGACTTTCGAATTGGGAAAAAGGCCCGCGGGCCAGCGCAGGTACGGAAAAGAGGGCATCCTTAGAGCGGTGGCTTGTGCGTGTTTTCTTTTGAATCTATTGCCTTGTCGGAGAATAAAACCAATTGTGATGGGCGCCTCTTTTCCAAATCCGACCGTCTATGAGCCGCTAGCCGTTGAATCTTTTCCACGGCCGCTTTTCTTCTCTCGCAGGCCTCTTGCCCTAGCAGGGATGAGGGAAGAATTCCTCTACGGTCTTATCATTGACTTGATCAAACAGCCGCTACGCATTGCATTTGTGCCTAAATTGTTCATCCAGCAGCGCCATCGTTTCGTCGTCGCGCGAACTAGGCTCCTTTCGAATGCTGACCGACTGCTGCGCTTCTCGGCGGGTTGAATGCCCACTTGCGGATGTTGAAAGTCATTATGTGTTCCGTAGACGGGAACAGCTGAGAGGCATCACCAAGACATGGGCTATTTGGCCGACTGTTGGCCTGACGCTGTTTATTTGCGCATCACTGCACTCTCCCACTTTTGGCAGGACATTTGGACAGGCTACCCACGCCAACGCTGAAAGAAGTGCTGACGAGGGGGCCCATCTCGAAAAGGAATCTTTATGTCTAAAAGAGAGACCTGGTAAGCATTAGTATCCGCCAGAGCTAGCACCCGACTGCTCGGATACCTGATGAGGAAAGAAAAAAACAAAGAAGAAAATTAAGCTACCAGCACATGCCACACCTCAGCCCTATTTACGTATACAGAATATACGGGCTAGCTCACCTAGGATTGCAATCCTATACTAGCACTGAGCTTACAATTCTGTCTCTCCCTGCGTCAATATACGTCGCCTAGCAAAGCGGAGCGCGCAACTTGACGCTCGTGAACATCCCGGGCTCTGAACCTGTACCGTACCCTTGCAGCTGTGACGATTTGCGAACTTGTTGTTGGCCGCGACGCGGACGGGAAGGATATGCGGGGAACTAATGAGAAAAGAGCGCATAGTTGCAGAAAACAATTTATCTGAGTGGCTGATGGCTTGTATTTTGTGTTTTTCCCCAGGAACAACGTCAAGTTTCCTCGTCGTATTTGTCCGATTGATTGGGGAAAAAGGAGTTTGCTCCCCGATGTTGAAGATGAGAAAATATTTTTTTGGGGGCGCCGGGGGGGGGGGGGCGTAATATATTACAGGGAATCCCCATCAGCTGCTGTTGGCCCAAGCTGCTGATTCAAAGCTGATGCAAGCTGATGAATGAGGCTCGCAGCATTTTATAGGCCAGACAAGAAGTCAATGGCCTGCTATGAGTCAACTAGCTGCTATACAGAGCAGTAGCTGCATACTAGACTAATCAGCAATACACGCGGCTCTTTTCACCTTCTAAAAGCACTACGACTAATCAACCTGTTTCTCTCGCAAGGTCGGCTTGGTCGGGTGCCCCAAGCGTTGAGCCGCTGCGGCGGAGATTGAGGGGAGACCCTGGTTCCTGAATCCTATCAAATCCTACCCGTGTTGTGTGCCACGCGTGGGTGACCCTTGGAGGCAGAGGGGGAGAGGGCCTGGATCTCGATTGGAAATACGGAGTTGTAGCGTTTGCTGGGCCAGAAACTAAATTTGATCGAGGGGATCGCCAGGTTTTCTGGTATCTTGTTAACTATATCGTCGGAATATGGTGCCGAAAGTATTGGCATTAGCATTGCTAATTAATAGTAAATTCAAGTCAACGGTTGACATACGCCGTACAGCAACTCCTTTTTAGCCCTTGCAATATTGGACAGACACCAAAAATTTTAGTCTTCATGTAGAGATGGGGAGAGGGAATAATAATAATCATTAGCGAATGCAGCGCAGTTCAGCGTCGATAATATCTTGATAGTAGTCATAGTAAAAGTCCTGGGTATCTGTCTTTCCCGCCTTTTGTCAAATTCCCAAAGTGGCAAATCGCCATCCCTGCGTACCCCAGAACTCGTCATCCTTGCCGTCGTAAACATACAAAACAAAGAGAAAACAAATAAAGGGAATAAAAGAAAATGCAAGAAATAAAAAACAAGATTGCGAAGAAGTGAACAAAGGTGAGTCCAGCAGAGAGCATCAAACACACTCGGTTTGGACGATTAAATAATATACTGGAAGTAGTAGTAGCAACACACATTTTCTACCCGCATCCCGTGTTTTTATCCAGTGCTTGAGCGTCCATACTGTGAGCTGGTCTCCGCCGAGTGAGCATCTGCTGAGTGTGTCCTGGTGTTGGCCAGCTCCGTCATACTCTCCGAGTCGAGACCCTTGTTCGCGCGTGCTGGCCTAAACTGGCTTACACGCCGGCTGTGACGGCTGTTTTCGTCTTGCGCACCCATTCCCCCAACCAACTCCATCACCTCTGGCCGCTTGCCAGATCTCATATCCTCAAGGAAGCTCTTGCAGGCACCCCATGATGTTACGGTGTAGATGAGAGCGTTCCAGAATCCCTGGAGCGGAAGCACAAAGGCGCTCATGATTTCAAGTGGAGCATTGATTTCCTGCGATTTCACCACAGAGTAGACTCGATTGGCACTCGATGGGATCCATGTAATGAGAAGGGCCGTGAAGAAGAGCAGGGAACACTTGGCGTAAGCCCATGCTGCGTTGTTGATTTCGTAGTTTCGTCGTCGAGCGTTCGGCGGGCGGTTTGCTCGGAGTCTAGATCTCTTGGCGGCTTCAATTTCGGGAGCTGGAACAGGCTGAATCTTATCATCTGCGGCAGCCTTATCAGCCGAGATATGCACCGAGTAGTTGGGATTGCCCGAGTCGGGCTCGGTGAGAGATGGCCGGTGGCCTGAGGGGCCATTCGCGGTGAGGTTTCCGGAATTTGGCATGGCTTCTGAAGTAGTGACGGTTACTTCAGTTGTCCTGAGGGTAGTGATGACGTCGATGGAAGAGAGGCCCTCAGATGAGTGAAAGTCGTTAAGTTGCTTGTGCTTTTCGTAGATTGTTCGTCCAGCTCGAATATAGATGAAGAAAGTGGCAAAGATAACGACCCTAAACTGATGTTAGTAAGGAGGGTTCATCTATTTCTTTTCCTTGCCCAGAGAAATCTCTCCGATTTTCATTTCTTATTAAGAATAGGGACTTACCAGACGGGACCATAAAACGTAGCAATACGGAAAATATCCCACTCAGTTGTGATCCAGCACCAAATAGTGGCATTACCATATGCTCGATATCCATCCTTGTTCTTGAGGAAGATGTATGTAATGGCAGGAATAAAAGGAATACCATAGCAGCAGAGCAAATAGGGTATCTCCATTCTTCGCAGCTTCCTAGCGTCGTATTTGTGATAAAATGTCAGATAGACGTTGAACGCCATGGCAAGCGTCCAGTATGCATCTGCAGGCATGAACCTAAGCAATGTTAGTTGGACTGCAATAAAAAATAACTCATGTATATCGGTATCAAAAGCATACATTTGAATGAGGAATCCTTGGAATTGGCAACCCGGAGAGTTTGGCGAACTCAGATAGCTACGAGACATGAGTGTGCCCACATTGGTCAACATATTACCAAACGAGGCATAAAACACCAGTCTGTTGATGGGTTTGTGGAACGAGCTCGAACAGCAGAATGTAAACACGACGAAGATACATCCCAGCAGAGAAATCACCGAACAGACTCGTTCAATGTCGCTGATGAGATTCAGCTGATGCTGAGTGAGACCGTCGGACATGTTGGGCAGTCGTTTCTGATTCGGCTAGCCTGACTGGTCAAGAAAAGTTGTCGAGAAGATGCAATTCATGAGCTTGGTGAATATCGAATTGTAAGTGTAGACGTGCCGGCAGCCCCGGTCCTCGTCAGTGAGGTAGGAGACTAATATTTCCCAGTTCAAGAATATGAACTTTTTCTCGCCAGACACTCCAGATGGGGAAGAGGGGGCAAGCTGTTAGTAATATATGTACGGTCGAGAAGAGGTGAATCAGGGATTCTGCTGCAGTGCATGTACCACCCAACCACAGATGGCAGGGGTCGGTGAAGAGGGTGCGTGAGAGCAGTAGCCACTACTGCTCAACTTCAAATTGGCATAACATGGCAAACTAGAAAGAGGGTGGGAGAGAATAGATAAATGCTAGCACGGAGTAGGCGGGAGCAAGCTCCCGTGCTAATAAACCAGGCCCTCTTAATGCAGTATCTGATCGACGCAGCAGACTCAGTAGTTCGCTGCAAGCGTACGGTCCATGTGCCGGCGCCAGAAGCATGGGCGAGACTCTAAGATGGTTTGGAAGCCAGGTAGAAAAACGGTCAGTGGCGCCCGCGTCTCAGAATGCCTGCCACTGGGTGGATGAACGTCACAATCGTTAGGGCGTACGGCTACACTTGGAAAGGGTTAAAATACAGACAAGACAGCCTTTACCCGTGCCAGGCCTGCGGCGATACGAGCCTAGCGGACAGGACCAAGATGCGTTGAGCGGTTGAGCGGGTATGAAAAAATCCATTGTGAAGCCCTAGCGACAAGGTGGCTAGGCTAAGAGCAAGGGGGGCCGAGACAACGGAACCAAATCAACAGCACCCGTACGGCGAACATCACTCTGAGGCCGGAGATGAAGTCCAGCTTCATGCATAGTGTGTGTGGATTGGGCGAGCGGACGCGGGTGGAGATGCGATATCTGGCCAATGTCGAAGCGAGGTGTCGACTGGATCAGGACCTCATTTAGCCCGCAGAACCTTGCCGGCTGCCTAGCTAGCCTGCGAAATATAAGTACCAACGTGGCAAAGCGTTCGGGCTGGATTGACATGGAGCATTACTGGATGGATGCATGCTTTACAGTAGTAGTAGTATCATGAAAATTTGTCTTCGGTAGCTGTCAGGGGACGCCGGTGATTGGAACCAAGAAGAATGCTGCCCCCACTTCCCAAGCCCTCTGGGGATTTTCATGTGCCCGGTGTGTCTGTCTGGGGAATTGGTGGTCAGAGACCCTGATGCTGAAGAAAATGACGTTAAAGCGCTTGGACAAAAATAGCCTTGTAAGCAATTTTAAGCAGCAAACAGCGCGGGAAGCCGTGCTTTGGCCCCGTGGCTTTGGCTCGGCGCCACCGTTTGCCTCTAGACAGGACAGTCTGCTAGTACAAGTATAGGACGTCGATTGAGTTCCTAACTAGTCAACTTGTTAGAGCCGATACTGTACGACGTGCGGAGAACGGAGTGTTACTCTGCTGCAGCACCGTCGTAGCAATCCTACTCTGTAAAAATAGGAATAGGGCGGGCTTGACGGAGGTTTCCCCCGAGCAGTTCCCCATACTACCTTTGAAAACCAGGGCCAGGGACTAGCGTGGCCGGAGAGTCATGACCCCTGAAGAGCCTAACGACATGGCGTCTTTGAGACAGGCATTCCAGATTCGCCTCAACGGGCTCTAGCTGGTTTCGCGTAAGGCTAGCTGGTGCCTAGATGAAGACCGTCTCCCATTGTGACGATATCAGAGAGCCCGTTTGGTGCTTGATCAGCAAAAGCAATGAGGAGCAGCGCTCCCACTCGTCCGTAGTCGTGCGCCAAAGGTCAAAGTAGTACAGTAGTGGCGACACTGATACAGTAGATGGGAAGATTGCTTTGAAACAGTGCCGTTGAGGCTAGTCTGTCGCTGCTCTGAAACTTTCTATCAAAGATTCTCGTCGGACCCTTTTACCTGTATGAAGTCACTGGTGCATCGACGCAGAGATCGGCCGCATCATGAGTCGGGGTCCGTCTTAGGATGGCCACGAATAAGCAGCGCTATCATCGCCAAGAAGGACGGCATCGCCTTGGGATGCTTGCTTCCTGGTCGAATCTTGCCAAGACGGCCGTTGTGCTCTCAAACAGCTCGACACGGATACTTTCAGCAGCAGCAGTACAATGTAGTATATAGCAGCAGGTAAAATCCAGGCACAGGACCGTCTGCAGGGGCATCTCTGGCGGGCCTGGACCTGCAGAAGATCTCATATAGAAGACGAATCGCACTTGCGTGCACCGTCAATCAAGGCCCCGCCCTCGTAGCTCCAGAGCTATCCGCACAGGTCCGCGATGCTAACCCTCGATCTGGATGAATTGCCTCTCTAGCTCTATCTCCTCCCCCTCTCTCCTTTTTTTCCGCTGCTCTTCAATGGCTAGACACTCGCGGTGAGCGCAACCAGCAGCCCATAGCGGGTCATCAACAAGGCTGGCCCG